GATGAGTGCGTGTGTGCAATAGGCCCTTTGATTGTTTATATTATATGTTGATGAGGTAATTATATCAAAGGAACTAGTTTGTAGCTGTAATTTTATTTAAATATAAATATTTGTTTATTGTACCGTCGCTGATTGAGAAGCAATTTATAAATTTGAACACGTTCCAAATTGTGACTAAATAGTGACAGCTTGTTTAAACCGATGCAAGAGCAGTGGAATGCCGCTCAGGCATGTATCCAAGTGCATTTGGAGGAAGATAACGACTATATAACTTTCCTTAAGAGCATTGAACAGAAGCTGGCAAGAAAGCTAAGGTTTGAGCGTTGTTTGCGACATGGAAATCTCGTAGAGAGCATTGTTTTCGACAGGTTTGTCCAGTCTGCAGCTCAGCTGCGACACCTCCACGTGGTATTTCAAGGAAAATTGAAGCCCATAGCAGAACCATTAGCATCTGAAATGCTCAGACTAATCGACACAAAGTGTAGCAACTTGGTGGAGATTGTGGCGGATATGTTGTGTGCCATCCGCTTCCTCTACGGACAATTATTCGCTCAAAGCGAAATCATTCGTGTAACACTAGAAACAGCATTAGCTCATGAAGATAAAGAGTGGGATGGTAATATACTGGAAAAGTATCTGGAGACTGAGCACTTGACTGTTGACAATTTGGTATCGCGCCCGTTAAAACGGTTTACTGAAGTGATTGAGTTTGTGGAAGCGCTAAGCACTAAGCTATCAGAGGATGGAGGACCCAATTCTGGAAGCAATGACTGTGATAAAGTTAGTGACGAGAGACTTGAGTATGCTATTCAGTTGATGCATATTGTCCAGGAGAACAAGCAATATATTAATTTTGCTAAGGCCGATGCACGCGAGGAGAATGAGTTGATTGCGTTACAGACGTGCTTCTACGGCGATGGGGCTGATGTTCTCAATGATCTGTCCAACAATAAATTGCTGCTACACGGCGAAGTGTTCCTGATGCTCTTGAAGGATTCAAGCAATTTCAGTAGAGTCAGTCCTGAGGTTGCCACCAATGCAGGGCTTTTTAGCGATTTAGAGAAGGTTTATGCGCATTGCTTTCAGGATGGAACCTTGGTTTGCAGTAAACAACAGAACACTGAGCTGGGAGTGTCTTTTGTGATCCTACATCGTCTACAGCTCAAACAAGACGCAGCATTTTTAGAATTTGTTCCTGCCAGCATATCATTGCTTGAGGCATCGAAGGAAGCACGTGCCTTGGCCCTGATTTATCGAGACAAGACATTTGTCTTCGCATGGAAAGGTGTAGTGGAGAGTCAGCGATGGGCTGACACGATTGAGCGTTTTTTGGAAATGAACGGATTGCGGACCGAAGTGTTTCACCAAAGCCGGACGATTGATGAACTTCCTATTTGCAAGGAGATCTCAGCTCAGCTTGTGGAAAATGACACAGTGCCGACGAAGTTTGCATCATTTTACGACGATCATCTTCCTGGGGTTTTTTGGATGGCACCTTGTAAGGGCTCTAATCCGGCTCAGTGGGAATTGGTTGAGATTGTTTTCTATGCTAGATGGCTACTAGTTTTCAAGATAGAAGGATGGAAAAAACATTCAGTTCTATATAATTTTGATACTCACTCTCCTAAGATGGAAATTACTGAGTATCCGCGGGCAGAGAGTGAGTGGAGTTTGGTTATTTCCATTGGATCAGTTGACTTTGCTACGCTTGTATCAATGAAGAGAACGAGAATTGACTTCTGGTTTGACCAAGTGTGGAAGGCAGTGGAGAGCGCTCAGGTTGCGGCAAGACGTGCGGAAGAGGAAAAAATAAAGTGCTTAGCGACGGAAAAAAGGGAGTCCGTATGCAGCGCGACAGCCAAATGAAAGCTGAGAAAATTGCTGGGAAGAAACGAAGTATTGAGGAAAGTTTTGATAACAACAAAGTTTTGATTGCAACGGCAAACGAGAAAGAGCAATCCACATCAACTTTGAGTCCAGCAGGCTGCTATAAGCTAGGCCATGACACAGACGAAGAATGTTTCGAATTGGATAGAGGCTTGATGATGATCAGTGCGGAAGAAAAACAAACTGCTGCGCCATCGGCGAAAAGATTGAGGCGCGTGCCCGATAAATCAAAGTATATCCCGCATATGGTCTGCACTGAAAAGAATGATATTATTGCTGCTGTAACATTGGCAGCTGTAAAAACTCATAAGCAAAAGCGGTTAAAGAGGAAATCGAATGATATTGCACCGATACCAACTCAACCAAGCCCGAGTATTCCAACAGATGAATCTACGAGTGAGATTGATATCACTCAGCTTTCCGCCAACGAAGAACCTGCTGAACACGAACCTAAACCAAAACAAGTGCGGATTATCCTCACTGGCATTGAGTTAACTGCTTTGATCCGAAAGAAAATTGGTCTGATTGCGGGTGCTGTCTACGAGGATGACATAAAGGAAGCAACGCATATTATTGCCCCAAAAGGCCAATTGAAACGAACCGTGAAGCTACTTTGCGGGATCTCGACGTGTGTGCACGTTCTCGATGTGCGATGGCTGGAGGAGTCGGCTCGCGTCGGCTCTCCTATCAGTGAGCGAGCGTACTGTTTGAAGGATACGAGGGCAGAAAAAAAGTGGCAGTTTGATCTTCGGAAAACAATGTATGACTTTACCCCAAAGCAACGGCAGCAGCTCTTTTCCGGTCATCAAGTGTTCATAACAAGCCATAAGTCGGTGCTCCCGCCAATTAAAGACTTGGTAAAGATTGTGGAATGTGCTGGCGGAACAGCAGTGACGAAAGGTAGCGCTGGTCCGGACAACGTGGTAATCACAAGCGAGGCAGCGATGGCCACAGCTTCGGTTCGTAAAGCATTGACTCTGGCCAATCCGCAGCGAGTTTACTCCACAGAGCTAATTTTGAGCAGTATATTACAGCAGCATCTTGATCTCGACAAGAACCGCCTCGAGCGAACAAGTGGCGAATGTCGCCGACGCAAGTAGACAGAAATGTCTAAATAAACTTGCACTCCAACCGTAGCCAATGGATACAACCGGCTAGTAATAAACTGTCGAGTGCAGTTAAACGGAATGTAGGGTGATTGACGGCCAACTAGCGTATGAGACTATGAGCAAGACGCAGCAACACTCAAGCACTATCATCAATTATTGTATAGCCAACATGGTGGCTGGGTATCAATCGGCAAGGAAATTGCGCAGTTATTTGTACGATCTCCACCACACCAAGAGCCGCTGCATGAATGCGCTCGAAATCGCGTTAGGATTATGTACATCCAGCATAAGGTGTCGACAAGCCTTACGCGAGGTGAACTTGAAGTGTCCGTGCTTTCATCTTTTTAGATCGTCGATTGATACACATGGTCGTCCCACTTTCAACTATCGCATGGAGGTAGGACTATGACATTGATTACGATGACCGTACCGTAATAGTAGCTGCAAATTTTCACTTCACGATGAGATAATCTCGCCGCGGTGCATTTGCTGCAGACATTCATACAATTGTGTATTCTGAAAGGCCGTCATGCAAAGTCGTCAAAACAAACGATTAGTAAAGTTTTTGCACTAAAGTTTGAGTCGATTCTGTCCAATACGAGCTTTGCGAATCATCACGCAACGCTTTAGCTATTTTCAGTAAAAATTGTGTTGCAAACAGTCCGAAAACGCCTTTGACGCACTCTATGAACAAGTTTAAAAACATCGAAATGTGTAGTTATTTTTTTATTCATTCGTGTTTTCCCAGTGGCAAAATGGCGTGTGGCATGTCCGCTTTTCCATGCAAGAAACTCACTAATTATCGAGTTTCTCAGCCTCTATGCCTCATTCTCCCTTCTCAACGACATCAGGATGCAGAAGCGACATAACGACTTAGTATCGCAGCCAATACGAACGGCGACGGATGAAGTTATAGTCCGGTAGCTCGTGAATAGGACCTGTAGCAGCCAGAGCGTGCTCCTTGTCGTTGACAACTTCGTCAGCCGTCTTACGGACAGCAGCAGCATCCACAGCATCAATGCGAGCAAAGATCTCGGCGGGGGTCATCCGACGACCATACGTCAGCATCTGGCGACCAATGTCTTCACAAATGGGCGACGAACCGTCCAGCTGCATCAGCATATTGGCCTTCAGCTGCGTCTTGGCACGCTCAACCTCTTCATCCGTGGTCTTGTGCACAAGGCGCACAAGGGCCTCCATCGTGTACCACGTCAGGTCGTTCAGCTTATACTTGTCAGCAACAGCGTATACACCGAATAGACCCGTGTCCTGATAGCACGTGTTGAAAGACATGTACGAGTGAGCAAGCTCTTTCTCAGCAACCACCTGGCCAAGCTTCGACGACATGTTCATGCCGGCGCCCGAGGTGCGGTCCCAGCTGCCGAGCAGTGTCTGCATGATCAGCAGAGGGAACGAGTGCTCACTGGTCCAGCTAAAACCCTCAAAGGCTATGGCAACATGAGCCAGAGGCATACTGTCATCCTTCACACGCACATCCGAGCCAACAAAGCGCACAGGCTCGAGCGTGGGAGCCACAGCGGGGGTTCTAGGCAGGTCACCGAACGAGTTCTGGGCCAGCTCCACCAGTTGCGAGTGATCCACAGCACCGGCGCCAGCAATCACCATTCGTGGGGCCGTGTAGTGCGTAGCAATATAGTCCTGCAGGTCCGACTTTTTCAGGTTACGGATCTAATTTTGAAATCAAATAACAGTCAGTCAGCCAGATCAGTCGGTTGACAACATGCATATCACTCAAGCATCCAGCGTACGTTCTCAATTGGCCCAAGGATAGTGCGGCCAAGTCCATTGCCCATAAATGCAGTTTCGTGCAGGCGGTCAAAAACAACCTCCTCCTGTTGCTTGTTAACCTCCTCCATCTCACGAAGAATGACGTCACGCTCGCGCTCAATCGCAGCCTCGTCTAGTTTCGAGTTTTGCAAAATGTCGCTGAGAATGTCCATCGCACGAGGTACGTCCTTCTTAAATACCTTGGCGTAGTACACAGTCTGCTCGCGGCTCGTGTAGGCATTAAGGTGGCCACCCATATTCTCGATCTCGAGCTCCAGCTGTTGCTGCGTACGCTTGCTCGTGCCCTTGAAGGCCATATGCTCTAGAAAGTGTGCAGCACCATTGTTCTGTGCTGTCTCATAGCGAGAGCCAGCGCCAATCCACACACCTACGGTGGCTGTTTCGCCGTGCGAGCCCTCGGAGGCTACGCGCAGACCACTGGGTAATGTTGTCACCTCAGTGGCCGGTGCATTGAGCACATACGACGGGTAGTTAGACACAGCAGCCACCACCGATGAATGCGCACGGGTGAGTGGCTGGCGCACGAAATTTAGCTTAGACATCATCTTAAAGACTTGTGAGGGCGAGACTGTAATTTGCTTCCAGGCTACGAATGGGAGACCGACCACAGACCTCACGTTTTGTAGAGATAACTTTCTGATTTTTTAGTCGTGAAAGTCAAAAATTCATAGATTTGTGGCATATATTTTCAGAGGATAGCACAAAAATTGAAAAAATAGATGTGCACCTATGAATTAGAATAGTGTTTACCTTTTCTGTCATTTGAGACTGAAGGCGCATATGTGCAGAAAATACAATTTGTGTGACGCGAAGACGCAGAGTTAAGACCATTTTGTGAATGGTATATGAACAATAGATTCAGCTGAAGCCGCAGTATGTATTGCTACGATCTAAAAACGAGCATAAAGATAGTCATACATACTATACTGGAGTGAAAAGTTTTGGTAAACTAGATGAGCTACAACGGCGAAGAAATAGTGTCCACAAGCAACGATTATGAAATCAAGCTCAAAGTGAACGAACAGCAACTTGTGGCAGAATCATGGTGCTTACAGCCAAGAAAACATTTGTGAAGCTATAAGCTTTCTCCTTGGAGCGAAGTGACCCAACCCAATCTTCCAGTGTATGAACACTGCAGACCATTGCCTGTCTAAGTCAAAAGTTTGACACAAACATGCACCGACGGTAGATTAAGAAGTGTGGATTGGTGTTTCGAATCAAAAGCAAATGGGAAAAAACCATAGGGAAGACAAGCGCAAGAAGACCTTGTCAACCACGAACCAAACGAAGAGTTCACATACAACAGCTGCAAGGTGGACGAGTACAAAAAGCAGAGTCAAATGCTAACAAGACGTCAGATCTATTGGTGATGAACGATAGATATGGTTTGGTGTATCCTGCCAATATGACGCTTTATAATGCTTCTGCCTACTCTTGGTATGTACTATCAAATCAAATATTGATCCTTCTTCTTGTTGGTGCACTCATAGAGATAAGTATTGGTCTTGTTTGTTCAATATGCAATGACAAATACATACGAAAACGGCAATTTATATTCGTTGACTTACGAGTGAATCATATTCATATTCCTGTCAGTACTTTAGCTGACAAAGAATCCATCTATGTGCGAAATCACGGCAACGTCGCTAAGCTGTGTGCCATCTTGCTTCGTAAGGAAGACTTCATCCATGCGGTACATGTCATGGAATACGCTAGAAAGCGCAGGAAGGCAGCAAGACTAAGCCTGCTTGGGTCATGTCTGTTGTTCAACCTTTAAATCACTTTTGTGTTCTTTTTGCTCCTGCGACACTATCGTGATGTTTATCTACACTGCACTGCTCGTGTCCATTGCGGTACAATGTTGAATATGAGATTGCCTAAAAAATAAAAAGCACTGGTATATGTACTTCATTTTGAAAACAAGCAATGTCTTTACGAACGAAAAGAAAAATACATTTACATCAACTTGTCTTCCTGGCTCGTGTCCCGTGCGATTTCTCCGGAATGTGGCAAATGCGATTCTGACGAGCTTGGGCTCTGAACGACGAGATGTAGCAAAAGCCTTCCAGCAAGACTGGATCCGTAGCATCCTTACTAGCCGCTGATTTTGCTGCACTCAGCCACGAACTGACGCTGTTGCGTAGAGAGGCCCCACACGGGCGTGCCTCGGCTAAGCAATCGCTGTATGAGCGTCTCCTCTTCGCTGGCGATCCGTGCAAGCGCCTTCTTCTGCTCTTCGGTTGGCAGTGAAGCCTTTTGCGCTTCCCATTTTGTCATGAGCTGCTGAAGCTTGGTCAGATCCTGTGGCTCAGCGCGGGCGCCAGGACTGAACTTGGAATTGGCCTCGGAGCGCGTTTTTGCCGAACCATAGAAGCCGCCTTGGCCCTCGGAGGGATGGCCACCAGAGTACGTGGTGAAGGCACGAGCAGAGGACATGCGGCTAACAAAGGCAGCGCGGCGGCAGGTCTGGAGTACTGTGGACTGCATTGTCTTTACGTGGAGGTTTACGGCAAAACTGGGAATGACTCGCGAATTTAGAGGGCTCATTATGTGACGTCATCAAGATTTTGATCGATAATGGGATGAGTCATGCACCAGAATTTCGGTGAGTTTCCATAAATTATCCGTCACTATTGGTCCTTAAGATATCGACACGCACTGCATATACGTGCTTTAGCTAGTCTTACACAAGTATCGGATGTGCTCTCACTTGGCATATTGCTGACGATATGCCGGTCTGTGAAGGTCGTTGTATAGTGTTGTTTGCAATAGCTAGACGGCACTGCACAGGCTGCAATGACTGGGCACATAATGTCTTCTGTGCTATAGACGAATTACTTGTGGCCAAGCACGACACTGAAAGTGATGTAGATTGCCTTGCTTCTGCTCTCAAGTAAGGTCCTATGCAGACTACAAATGCTTGAACAGGCAGCAAATAGTTGAGCTGGGGTTGGTATAAGATTAGCACCTACAGGACCAACCAAAAGCAAAGTTTTTTTAGACGGGTAGAACGAGAGTATCTACATGCTTTAGGTGCGCCGCTAAGACAATAAATCGTGTCTCTTGTGGCTGGCGATTATTGTAGCGCTGCATCTTGGAGCTGATCAAAAATTGGGTTGGGCAATGGATTGATGCTGAGATGTTTACTAATCCAGACGGCAAGAGAGCTAGACGCATTGCGGGTTGCGGACGTGCTGTGGACAGGTAGCTTTGAGTATAGCCTAGATTCAGGGGACTACGTTCGTAAGATTCAAGTCTCCACCATGCACGTCGCAATTGCTGCATGAAAAGGCGGTTCTTGTTGAAGATGGTATTGCGCAGATGGAAGCAGACGCTACTATCACTGGGAGTATCAATCATCTTGATCCTTCTCTTGTAGATTGGTATCAATGCAAAGAACGGCGTACAATGATGATAAACACGAGCTATACAGGCACATCCTTTGGCAGTGGTTCCGCGCGTACGACTGTCGCATGCCATCCTATGAACATGCTGCGAGAATGCAGCTTGTGCCGTAGGAGGCGGACCAACTCTTTCCCAAACCAGTTCGTTGAAAGCAAGCAGCTGGCCAAAGTCCAGTTTGGACATGGATTCAATAGGCCTCTACAAAAATCAATAGTCTTTATGATGGGATCGTTCCTGTTGAGTTTTGCCTGAAGACGTGAGAGTTTCAGATGTGGAACGTGACAATGTGTCATTATGCGCTCCTATAAGTCTTTGATGGAAGACGCCGAAGCTAGCAACCCCCATTTGGAAGCGCGTGGTCATGGAGTAGCAGGATTGCATTACTGAGAATCTCGAACGGACAGCATACTTTTTATCGGTACACTTTTGCCGAACAAAGCACACTTGCTGCCGTTCTTTGTGGCATCATGGATGAAGCGCGCCGAACTTCACAAACTTGTGTATTGCTTCACTAAATCTGCAATCAGTGGTGTCTCGAGCTACTTCCGCTGGATACGCTTTGCAAATGAACGCATCCAAATGCTGTTGAACACACATTTGTCAGGGAAAGCTACGCTTTCTTTTACATGAGTTATTACAACCCGAAGATTACATTAAAGATTTTTCTACCGAGCGTGATAAATAAAGATAACGCGTGTGCTGGAGATACTGCGCAATAGTCTCTTTGCATTCGGCTTGGCTGTGGAGTCTTGGCGCAGGCCACTTGTTTCTTCTTCGCCAAGCCAGAGTAAAATGTTTATTATCATTTTAAGCCAAACCGTCTCAGGAAGACGAGTGAATACCTCAAACATGGCGAGGCTTTATTTCCATACTCAAGGCAGCGTTTGGAACCAGAATCGAGCGCGAGGGCATAGCAAGGTGCATTAGAAGTCTTATTCTGCTGCGCTCAAAAGTAATGGCGTCATTGTTTCTACTGACAGACATTATAAACGATGTGGATCGGCGTCATTGACCGCTGGTAAAGGACTTCAAATGTTCGCTTTGGCATATCACGAAGTTGCACATTGTTTGCACTGATGTGTACAATTAGTTTTGTATACACACCCATACAGTTCAATTTGTTGCATATCTAGTGGGGCATCGGCGATGATTACCAAATTGACGTCGACTAGATATCAAATATCTAAGAGACAATACACATGTAGTCAAACTTTAAATTAACGTTCACTGTTAATACAAACGATAGCATGGGACATGCGGCTAGCGTTAATCGCCAGCAACGCAGGACCGTGAATACGCTATATGGAGAGCCACCGACAAACGCAGATGCAGTACCACACGAGAGATACACACCGGTGCAAATGCAGGCGCTGTATTTAAGTCATGGACGTCCAGATATGGCGTTTATATCCAATCAGGACGGAAATATACCGGTGGACCTTCCCGAATTGCAACAAACGTGCGCAGTAAAGAACCATGTGAGCCTGAAGAAGGGCAGCATCAAATTACGGCGGCCAACAGAACTGCCGCATTACAATTTAGAATTCCAATTTGATGCTACGACACCATGTCATATCAGTGTATATTTAGTTGCAGCTGAGAGCATCGACAATGACACTGGAAGCTCCAGCTATCGCTCTAGTCCATGCAGACAAAATTCCGGTGCTGACCCAGCACTTTTCTTCAGGATTGGGGCAAACATTTACTCTCAAAACACGTGAAAAAGACGAGGGCAAAGAGAAGCACGAGCACTTGTTACAGCTCTTGAATTTCTCAATGTACGATCCTGACGAGCTTCTGTACAAGACTGGCACGACACAGTTTCCCTTAATTATTGTGCTGGAAGTGACATCAACTAGTAAGTTTGCATCATTGTTGCAGCATTGTTTCATTGATGATTCGGTTCATGACGTTGTTCTGCTGGTCACAGGGAAGCGTCCACAGTCTCAGTCGACATTCTGTACGTTTTTCAGACAAGATGGAGACTGCTGGGATATTAAAGTGCTTAAACAGAAAGCCTTGGTAATCACCAGAATGATTAATTAGTGTTTCGTTTTAAAGTTCAAGGTTTTGTTGACTACTTCTGTGTGTCGTAGGTGAACGGACTGACGTATGAGTTGCAGGAGGTCTACGGGATCGATGGCTCAGTGACAGCAGCGCCCCAAGCTGAGCAAAACAATGTAGCAGGGTACGAAAACAAAGCTGACAGAACTTCGACGGTCAAAAATGAGATTAAGATACCCGAAGGAGCCGAGTGCATCATCTGCTTGTGTGAAACACGTAATACGACAATTTTGCCCTGCCGTCACATGTGCCTCTGCAGCGAGTGCGCAGAAGCACTGCGTAAGAGCTCGAGTACATGCCCAGTTTGTAGAACGCCAGTCAAAGCATTGCTCCAGATTCGTGTTGAAGCAAAGGAGACTACGGCGACAGAAGCTGAGTGACATGGATGAACTCCAGCACGAGGGAAACACTTGTTAAGCGCATAAGAGTGCGAGTAGCACAAGAACACAACGAATGCAATCAATTAGGATCATACATTTGTTATTCATGTTTGTTACTACTGGACTTTGCAAAAATATATTAAAGGCATCGTCAAAAACATAACGAAAGAATTTATCAAATTACTCTGGTTCCTATCTCATCCTTGTCCTCTCGCTACGTGAGTGGCCCACCGGATCAAAAGTTACCCCTCGACTTCCGTCCAAGTCAGTCCTTCACACAGGATTGGGCTCTCTATCTATGCTGACCTAGTCTTTGCTGGTGACACGTTCGCCATCCACACTCAGCAGTCGGGTTCCGCGCTCTTCATTTTTCTTGTTAATTTGGTCGATTATCTTGTACAAATATTGATGGCGCCCGACGGCGCGTGTTTGACGAAAATCGACAACGATTTAGGTTAACTGTTCAAGCAACCACCATCGCTGTCGACTACTTCCACCAAAACACATGCAGATAATACGTTACTGTTGCACCGCATTCCAATCTGTGTCCCGTCCCACAATGTTGACTGCTCGACACCAGCTAATTGTTCTTCCTCCACATTCCCTTCATCTGTCATTCCAAATTCAGTTATTAGTCATAAATATCAACCACAGAGTTTGCAAAAGTAAAGCATACCAAATTCGCAACTTGCTCAGGAGCGTCACGAAGTCTGTTTGACGACGGCACAGACGCGCTCACGTCGCCCGCAGGGCCACCGTAAGGGCTGCCCTGGCCTTTGGCAGGATAAACCCCGCCGCGCTGAGATCTTGGTTGAGCGTCCTCTGCAGCCACTTTTGCATTTAAATCTCCTGAAAGCTGCGACTGAAGACCACCACGACTTAATGGACTGCCCCCGCTGACGTCTCCTCGCCGCTTGGGACTCTGTGGGCCTCCGTGGCCAAAATTGTTGTCTGCACTGGAGTTGGAGTCATCGGATGTTGGCGATCCAACCTTGCCAGTGTTGTAAGACAGCTTGCGCGTCATTACCTCTACCATTTGCTCGCGTTTCTTCAGCTCGCTTTCGCGACGCATGTAGTCAACTTCCAGCTCTATACGTGCGCACAAAACGTTTAGTAGCTACTTCTCGCAAATGATACAATGCAAACGTAAAAGTCAACTATCTCACCTTTCAGCTTCTTTTCACGAGCCATTAAAGCAGCCTCCTGTCGACGCAAGTCTTCCTCTATTCCCAAAAGCTCTTTCATCTTCTGATTATAGGAAGTTTGCAAATTTGGATCAGCAGCTAGTTGCGGCGTCGTAGCCGCCGAGTATGCACGTAATCTTTGTTGCAACTGTGGCACACGTTCCAAATCTTCGATTCTCGGCCGTCGAGAGCGTTGTCTGTGAAGCATCCAGCGAATAACCTGGAACAGTCCCTCTGAGTACTGCGACGGAATCCGTGTGAATTTGCCAGCGTTAATTTTCTTGGCGAGTGCTAGCTGGTTAGTCGCATCGAAAGGTGGGCCAAGGGTAGCCATTTCGTACAGCAAACACCCCAGTGCCCAAATGTCAGAGCGGTCATCGTATGTCATCTCATTCACCATCTCCGGGCTCATATAGTACGGTGTTCCAACGTTTGTCTGTGCAAAACGAGACTCACTGCTTAATTCCTTGGCAAGGCCAAAGTCGCCAAGTTTTGCATTGTTCTGATCAAAATATACAAAGGTTGGTGTGGTTAGAAAACTCAAAGGTACAGACGAAACAATCAAGCAAGAAAGTTCGTACGTTTGAGTCTAGGAAAATGTTGCCAGGCTTGATATCACGGTGAAGAATGGGACGCACGACGTTGCCTTCGCGGTGGCGATGACACTCCTTCAATGCCAAAAAGATGTGCGTAAAAATGTGCCAGATAAAGCCTTCTTCGATATAGGACCTGGTAAATCAGATAAGATTCAGAAAAGATGCTCTTAAGATCGGTATTTGTGTGTGGCGTACCCTTCCCGTTTTTTCCTCTTAATGAACTGCCCAAGATCACCGCCTTCACAAAACTCCATGACAATGTAAATTCTAGTAGCCTGTTTGTCAATCACTCGGTCCAAGTAGCGGACGATATGCGGGTGCCGCAACTCTCTCAAAATGTTCACCTGCACAAGAGAAAGCAATATCCATGTACAACGTTAGCCTCTTAACAAAACAGAACAATCAGATGTACATCGACGCACCTCGCTGACAATAAGCTGCTTTTCCTTTTCGCTCATTGCGCCATAATTGACCTCCTTCCACACGAGCATCTACTCACACATAACACGTCAGCTATAAAGTCTTTTAAGTCTTTCTAAAACCCACGCTTCTTCCTCTTAAATGTACCTTGCGATCGGCCTTGCGTACAATCTGCGTAACAACACCAAAGGAGCCCTTGCCGATAATGCGGACCTGCTCATACGCGTCCATAGTGGATGCTAAAAAATACTGTTGCTGTTGTATTTAAAAAGAGTCTCCAAGTAGATGGAGAAGAGTGGATAAGGACGTTTCTCCGCCTAGTAAAACGAATAAATGAGATGATTAAGGCGATAGAGAAGCAACTGTCAAAGTGAGTGACCTATTGTCCACTAAACGTTGCAATGCTTCTTCTTCTTCTTCTCTTGACTGTTCTTCGTTTTGTGGCGGGTCACCGTGAGGCCCGAAAGTGGGGAGAGAGTCAGTGGAGGGAGAGTCGGGAGGACGATTTGATTTTCGTAACTGGTTATAGAAATACTAAATTAACAGTCACCACTTGAAAACAGGGTTACAATAATCTTAAAAAAAACAGGAAAGCATACGATTGATTATAAGGCCTTTTTTCAGTCATACATATATTATTTCTCACTACTTGCATTGCATATCCACAACCTTTTTTCTAAGCTGTTTCTGAAGTAAATATATGGACATCAATACTGATGGTACTTAGGATAGAAAAACCCTTTCTAATTTAAATTAGAGCGACGCACATAGGTTCCATTTGTTAACGCCACCGAGACATCGGGATGCGCAACCCTTTACGTGTTTGACCAATTTAAGGATCTGATGTGTTTTCGCTATGAAAACACATCAGATGGGTTGCGTAATACGAGTAAACCTTTGTCTTTCATCTCGTCAACAAGAAGAGCAGTAGCGAACAGACAGGGTAATTAAATGCAAAGCCTACAAGCTAAAAAGTTCAACAAAGGTAGCACGTACAGTCCACGCAACTGTTCATGTACTATGGATAGCACCGACTCAGTGAGACGTACGTAGTTCGGCGGTCAATGTACTTTTGCGCGCTCCGTGCGCCAGTCTTTTTTATGCCTAATAACGTTACTTTTGTAACGATGACAACGTGTGGCGCACATACTACCAAACCAATTAAAAATCAATACATGTTAAAGTGTTCTTACCGGTACATTTTCATATGTAATACTATAAAAGCAGAAAATTGATTTTAATCAGTTATGTCCAAGCAATTCCCTTATCTCTCTCTCTACAAAGGTAAAGGGAAGTCAGGATCGCGCATCGTGTATTTCAGGTTGTTGTTAAGGACGATTGCATTATTACCCTAAGCTCTGAGCATCATAGACACAAAACTTAAGTCGCATGTTGAAAAAAAATGAAGACAAACCAGGATGGCTACAAACATCTGCCCACGCAACTACTTCTCAGCAGGCAACAGCGCTTCATTGTCAATCGCGTCCTCCTCCATCATGTGCGCCACTCTTCTATCAATGGCTTTTGTGCGGTTTAAGATCGAACCGTTCTGGTAATCCACCACGTTGAGAGCAATGCCAACGAGACTGCCCAACACTCCGAATGACACAAAGAGCAGCTCCACACTTGGAATGTATCGATCATCGTGATTAAACTCAGCCGCCACGGCCAGCGGGAAGAGTGCAAGACCGATGTTCTAGAAGCATGTGCACACAACGAGAACATATATAGTATGAGCTTTCAGGAACGGAGCTTCACATTTGGATAGCTCTACATTCAGGAAGTAAAGAGTGTCGACAAACTGAACGTGATACGCACCTGAATAGCAGTGACTGCTCCGTATGCTGTTCCTACGTGTTTTGCCTCGACCACGTCTAGTCAGTCACACAAAGATATATGAAAATTGTTAGCACTTTGTCATTTCAGAGCCCCAAAAAAAATCTCACTTTTCGTACATGGAATTGAGGGCCACAATGCTGCGGCGAACACACTGTACGCAACTCCTTGCAGTACCAACGGTACGTAAAGTGTTACTTGTGTCAATCCTAACATGACGTGGACTGCTGTCAGTGCCAGTGGCGCTACAAGCGCCAAAAAGGCGTGGAGACCGACACGGTCAACCACGAAACCCAGAAATGGAGATATGACAGCACTGATAATGTAGGGGATAGACATGGGAGTAGCCGCCTTCTGAGCTGCATCCATTTTTGCGGCACAGTATGTATTTGTCAATGGACCAAGCTTCCACGCGTCATCGTCACAATTAATATTATCTCCAAGAATCAATGGAGGTGACGTGGAGCAATACAACTGATCTTGTGGTTCCTTGATCGTGCAATTTGCAGACAGAAGTGGGAGCGGCCACCCGTATGGAGGAACACTAGGGCATCCCACGGCAATATCTTGGCAATTGACCTCGTTAATGTAAAAGCCCTCGCCGCATCGTCTGCATTGCTCTGGGGGTTCTTTGAAAAAATCACGCTCCAATAAGAGGCTACTCGCAACATTATTGAAGGGTATGACACAGCCGTACACGACCAAGCAGCTCAACGCTAGGAGCCAAAAGGCCGGACGAAAATGCTTTACATCACTGAAGTGAACACTTTCAGCAGCTGCTGCTTCCGCGTTATGATTTATTTTTGCCAACTTCTCACCTCGCTTATCAATTGGAATCACAAGCAACACTGTAAAGGTGGATGCAAGACACATGATAACACCTACCCAAAGCGCCGTCGACACATCCGACGCTTGAGCTACAATTGGACTGAGTTCGTTATTAATGACACTTCCCAGTCGAGCTACACTGAGGTTAATACCCAAGGCCAAAGCTAGTTCACTGTTTTTGAACCACGAAGCGACAAGCGTCCCCTGAGCGACTCCCAAACTTTCTCCACCAAAGCCAAATACTACTCTGCCAAACTGCAACAAAAATAAAAATTCATCAGCTTTACGATATAGTGCAAACGAACCCCAGCCAGCAACTGTCTCACTAGCATTAGATTGAAACTGGAGAGCGAGCAGCCCGTTGCAAAGATCACTTGTCCCGTTAAAATTGCCGTCGAGAATACAAACAGCATCACACGCGCACCAAATCGATCCACTAATACACCACCAAAGAATGGTAGCACTATATTGGGAATTGAGTACAACGTGTACAGCAAGTTCTATAATATATTTATTATAAATATTAGACCAAGTATCATATTTTATCAGATATCTTTCATTCATATAAAAGTGAAAGTTGTTAATTAAACCTTACAAAAAAAAACTCGTAGCGGTCTTTGGGAATCATGTCAAAGTGCTGCTGTAACTGACTCTTGAGTGCCGACGGGTTATCGAAGCAGTAATAGTTGCCGATCATTACAATACACGATAGAACTAGTACCAGCCATCGTACGCGCAGCTCACTTTTTTCCATGGTCTTTTTTATCTATTGGGGTCGTTCTTCTATCTCGTGTCTTCAATTAAATACGATCTGAAGAATTCATCATTGTCTGCCGTCAATACCATGATATTCGAATAGAATAGAACACAAATGGAGCTTTGAGCCAGACGAGAGAAAAGTGTGACAAGTTTGAGTCTACGTTAGCATATCACAACATGGCAAAGCCGTGTGGGTGCGAATTCTCACTAAATTTGAAAAGATACAAACATCTACGCGCCAAATCTGCTCATCTGTAATCAGTTCACGCAACATTTAGTTCAAGCCCAGAATGGCATTGCAGTTTTTCAGACAAGAAGCGAGCTACCACTGTTAAAGTGCATATTATTGTAATGGCTTTTTCTTTGTCTGTTGCTTACTCATAGCAACCCAAACCAGGTCGTTTTGTGAAGATTGAGAAGTAAGCTGATTGCAGCGCTGGGCCCTAACAAGCTTAAAATGAAGTATATATTATTAAGGGTCGCGATTGCTTCTAGGTGGCTAGCATCGCTTTTTTTGCCCTTTCACATTCCATTAAGCCACTCACATAGGTCCGGATGTCAACGAAATAATCACATTAGCTAACATTCAAATATGAAGGCTTTGATGTACTCGCTTTCCATACGCTTAGCGCATACCATTTTCTGCAAGAATACTACACAAACGCGTGTCTTTATTTGCAGCACGATATGCCGGCTGCGTCACGATTACCTCTTTCATGTCGTATACACTCCATTTTGCCATCGTAGTTGTACCATACTCGACCTGTGACCAATTACTCTTAATAGAGTCAATCTCAATAGAGTACAAGCATTTGAGCTTTTAGTAGGCTAGACTGACGTCGTACGTAATAGAATCAAGAAACGAGGAATATCGTCTATATAACTACGTGCTTTTACGTTATGCGCTGTCAATGACACGACCAAATAAACAATTAGCGTTGCTCCACCAGTGCCGTCGTTGCTGAACTTGTAACGGCCGTAAGCCCTTCGAGTTAGTGGAGAGCAGAAGACACGACTTCGGGGTGGTTCGACTGAATTTGCCAAGACTCATGTATAATCTGAGAAGTCATAAACAAGTGGCTTTCAGTTACCAATAGTTTAAGGTGTTGGTCAAGTAGCACCAGTCAAGTTGAGAAGCAGCTCCAGCTGAAATTGCAACTTCATGGAAGATATCTGACTATCTTCAAATTGATTTTGGGTTAGACTCTTTGCTTGTTTCAACCCTTTCAAAAGCTCTGGACGACGTGTTAGTCACAATTTCCATTGAAACTCAGTTGCCAGAACAATTGCAAACAGTACCAGCTGCTGTGACCCATGATAGCTTGCGTGAGACGCTGACCGGCCACACCGATTTCTATGGCGTCAATTCTGCCAGCTCTGGAATGGACGTGATGTAAGCGGATTGCGGTCAGCGTGGCGACATAAGGTGTATCGTAAATGCGTTGAATCTCATGGGAGAGGTGCCGAAAGTTTTCAATAACCAAGTGTCGAATGTCGTTCTTCACAGTGAGGACGGTGGTACCTTTGGCGACTTGCCTGCACATAACAATGTCCCACAATCCGATCAAAACAGCCCAGCGATTGCCGACGACCTAGCACTGTATTACAAGCATGTTTGCAAGGTAAGCTTTCTTAATTTATGCATGTATTGACTCAACAGAATCAAGCCCATATGATGGTGTTCAACATCATGTGGGTCCAAACTGACTGCAAAAGGAAGCAGATGCCGCTTGGAAGCTGGGCAAATTTTGACCGACCTGAGCCATACGAGAGGCTATGGAGCTTTGTGACTCACACATCTGTCCAGTTTGCTATCATGTAACAAGATTCTTATATTAATGGTTTGTACTGGTGTTGGTGCAGATCGAGCAACTGAACCGTGCGTTTTATTGACGGCGCTGTAATACTTTGTGCAAGCTCCAAGTTGCTGAAGAGTTCAATACTAAACAAGTTTTTTGCTTGCCGTACAACTTGGAACTACGCGGTCGCGCGTACCCGATCTGAACCAATCGGAGCTCCGATCACTCGCGCATTCATTATTTATACGCAACCGTAAGCCCCTGGGTGAGTATGGATTGCGGTGGATGACGATTCGTCAGGCCGATGATTTTTCGGTGTGGACAAGTGCTCATTTGATGAGCACATGGAATTTGCGGATGCCCATTTGAACAAGGCCGTCGCTTTGGCGTGCAATCCGCTTGGCAAGGGCGATTGCGCGTTAGTTAAAAGTCCGCATTTTGGCATGGCGTGTGCATTGAGTGAGTCTAAGCGCAATTTAATTCGGGCCCGATGATTTATGTGTCTATTATCCCAATCTACCAAGAAGACTCGTGCGATGGACGTCACTGCTATGACGCCCCTGGGCCGTCACGGTCATGGCAGCGCTCAGGTGAATTTTGAAGCAACATGACGTGTACATGAGTGTGGCAACGCAAGTATTGGAAATGGCAGAACGTGATGTTGCCGTGGACGTGCCACGCGCTGCGGAAGTAAATGCGATGCTTGAAAGTGCTTCTGGCATTGACGAAGTGGAGCTTAAGGTTGCTTCGTCAGGCTTACAGCCATAAATTTGCGCCGGTATCGCTTTCCTAGGTTTGCTGAAGATGCAGCCGTACCGCAGCAAGCCTGTGCAACAGGTGTGTACGAATGTACAGCATGTGCTGATGATGGTAGAAAGCAAAGAGCGACAGGTGAGCATCGGTCGCCAAAATCGACCCTCCGCCATATTTCGTTCATTTTCTTGACCCCACCAACATGAAGCTGGCGGCACATTGTTGACTTGCGGAGGGTACATTGCATTTGCAGCCGTGCATGGCACTAATCGGACGCACGCGTGTTCCGTGTACATCATGAGCCGCCGACTGCGCGAGGAATTTGTGAATTCGTGTGAGCAACCCTTGTTAGCGGACTTGCTGACGTAATTACGGCTTCGTTTTCCAGACATGCAGTTTGAGAACGTGCTCAGCCAGGTGACCTGGATCTGACATATCCAGCAGCATTGTAGTCACTGACTAGCAGCAGTTTATTCTTCCAGAGCCAGTTATCTCCGTGTACTGAAACTACGACGCAGCACAACCTCACCAGGCTTCAAATATTTATGTTGCGCTACACGCCAGACCTTTGATATTTTTAGAAATGCGTGTTCTTCTCAAAGACGGCAGCTACCTGCGGCGTGGGATGTTGTGCGTGCTTTAGAGCTTAAACAATAATGAGCGTGGTCACATCAGTCCATGGAGAGCAGCAGCAATTTCTATTGTATTCAGAAGCACTCGACTTGCAGCCGCATTGCACAAGGACAAAGCGAAAAAGGATTGTAAAGAGAAGAAGTTACTGCAGTAGAAACTACCACAATCCTTGCGTCATCGATAGCCGCCAGCACATGATTATAGACATTTCTGTCCATAATGCTGTACTTGATGAGCTTTGCGTTTGTCTCCACTCATGTCAATGGCAAGACTCCGATGTACGCGCATATTGAAACGCGAAGTGGCAAAACATGACGGAAGCGCCACGAATATCTTCTCATGGCCTCGAACCACGTCGTCACGGTGCCAATTAGAAAAGAAGCTGACTGTTGTAGTCGCTTTGTAACCGGGTTGGTTACACGAAGGTGTTTTTTTTTTAAACACCCTGCCACTTCAATGTGGTGTGGCCGTACCTTGGGTACAAAAGTCGGTGATGTGAGTACCTGAAGTACGAAGGGTCACATCGCACGTGGTCACTATACTTATTTAAAGTATACGTGACTATGCATTTTGCAATAATAATAGGCATAGAGCCAGTAAATAGTGACTAGCACTAAGTATAGAGTAGGTGCTTCTATATCTAGTGTTAAAAGAAAAACATAAATATAAATCAGTTGGTTTAGGATGCGTGCTGCAACATAACGCTTCGATAGTACAACTGAACACCTCACGTATAGACAACATTATAGGGTCTCCAGCGACAGCCAATGTAAGCGTCATTTGAGCACGCCATTCTAGTAGCAGAGCTACCGTAGAAAAGCTACTTATGCAGTAAGCGCAGAGGAAGAGAAGCGCTAGCAGCTTTATGTCTTAGGGTTAACAGCTCTCACAAGGCTAGCTTTATAATCTTGCGCCTTCTGATTGTAACTAATCCACGCTCTATGAAACTAGTATGTACAAATACTGTTTCCTTCTTTAAATGCATACACGCTAGCAACAAATGCTATACAGAGCAAATTTAAAACTGATTTTTTCATATTTTTATCTTCTAGCACCAATACAAAAGCATCTCCATTAAAACTTTAGGTGTTGGCGAAAACTCTCAATTTTTCCACGCCTAGTCACTATATTTAACCGGCTCTGTCACTTTATACACATATGTATCCATAGTACTTAAAAAGTCTATGGCTGTGATGCAAATCCACTGTACCTTAGGTACGTTTTTGTATCAAAGACTAATGAGCTTAAGTACAGCCACACCTAAAACGGTGTGGCTAGTGTGTGTATTCTACACACACTTGTGTAGGTAGCCCGTTTACAACATATCTCACTAAGGCTGGTTTTGACATAATTGGATTCAAAAAATGTCACGAAATTGTATAAATAGACGGAAAGCTTTAGCGTAGAGGATCACTGGCAAAAGTATTGATAGTAATAACCAAACAATAAAACAATACTAAGAATACATGAAAAATGCGAATATCTTCTTACTGCAATTACTTGATGGAGGCAGATGCAAATAGCATTCTCCCAACTCGGCTTACACCAATTGTTGATGCTCTAACATTTCTTCCTGTGGTGCAATCATACGGAGGGGTAATCGACGTATGGTGACAACCTTCGATGGGACAATCACAGCTCCCAATGGGACAAAAACAACTGGTAGGTGGACATTCACCTCCCCGACTGGACAATATGGTATAGGGCCTAGAGGTTTGGTGGAATCAAGTAGCTTTCGATGTAAATCACCCGCCTCGCCGAGGGCACGTCCTTCTAAGACGGCATTCGGCGAAACGCCAGAATCGCTAATCATGCTGCTGGAATCACGGTCTCCATGACTTTGGCCACGAAGATAGGCCGCTATCACGGCCGAGAGGATGAAAGTGAGACGCATCTGGATATTGGCCATGTAAAATACGAACGATGTTTTGTTCTTGCTTTGGTGCGAGTTAAAGCAAACTGAAGAATGAGAAATGTAAGAAAGTATTTTGTAAAAATATTTTGCGTTGTTTTTACCTCAGTTGTCACTCCACAAATGTTTGTGTCATTCCGCAAAGAACATGCGTTGATCAACTATAGATTTGACACCAACTGTATAATAAAATAAAGGATGAAGCAAAGTAAATGACTCGTATGCTGGTTGACAAGATACACCGCAAGTGTATCGTTATGGACGTTTTACGTACACCTGTGTCGGATGTTGGATATCGGTTATGACTCACTTCCTTCGGAACATAAAGTAAGCGTATGTTACATTTTAGGTGAGTAAGACTGATTACCAAAAGATTACCATCAGGCGATGGGATTGCGTAGGTACATGACGTTTCCTGTCCGATGAAACCTTATCGTAGATTGGGCGTTGAAGTAACATGGCAGACATGAGATTTTGAGGACCTATGTGAATATATCACTTTAGTATTAGCCTATAAAAACGTACAAACGCGTGCCAGAGGATTGCACCTCATTGGCTTGTCAATTTGCACGTGCAAACTGTCCAAATCTTTATCTACCTCTGTTTATTATACATAGTAGACTCAAGAACCTTTCTTATAACCTTTAGAGTTCGGGATATGTCGTTCAGCTGGTTGGCTAGCGTGCCGGGAGCACTGCGGCGCGTAGCTGCAACCCTAGACAACAAACTACGAAATATCAAGTGAAGCCAAGGCACTTGATAAGCTGGTTAAGCCCGTGCGATTAAGTGAGGTGATGTAGTTATAACAGGCCTTTTCTTGCCATTTACAACTCAATGAACAATATATTATGTGTCTGTAGTCAGATGCGACTTAGCATGTAACTGCTGCATTATAACAGTGTTAACCGCGCCGTCCGGATAAAACGTATGGGTTCTGTGGTTTTCCCACTTGCTTATCGTAAAGATATTGGCAACACTTTCTAAATTATTCGTGCTATATGCAAGATGAGATGCACTTTAGAGTGGCGTTCCCAAACCCATGCAGTCAAACTCAAGTCAATTAACGCCTCAGTCACTCATCTCCGGCGTTCCCTTCCGCGGAAATCCTCTCTCTTAGGAGCCGAAGTAGATGAGGGTATGTCTTGGGCACGCCTGTCGCGCAGTAACCGGTCGAGCGGGAAAGCAGACCAGAGGCGGCGTCTCCGCGCCACGCGCCATCGCTTTAACGGTTTTGCAAATCTGTTTCAAGGGCTGCATCAGCGGTGACTAAGGTGGCTTCGCCCCATACACGTGCAGTCAACAGACAGGCGCCTGCGCCCTTCGACTAAAAGGTCTTCTTGAGCCTCTACGGCATTACAATAGAGCATCAATGGATACGTTTTAGAGAAATTTACCGAGGCGAGGCATAAGCGCTCTTGCTTACTGCAGATCAACGGCCGCGCGAGCCGACATACCAGGGCTATGATGCCAAGACGCATTAACAGACAAACCTAAGAGACGCACATTGTAGCTATTCCTAACAACAGAATGCACTAGACTTGCTGCGTTTGCTATAGTGAGATAAATACTTTGCTAAAGCCACAAAATGGTAGCATCAGATGTCGTTGACGCCCTTAAAAGCTTTTGCTTCCGCATCACTTTTCAGTACATTCTTGCACATGACCAGTTAGGCCTTGCAAAGACGACACAACCTATTATGTTTGGCGTAATGATTCGACGTCAACGCGCACATTCAGCTCCTTTGCTTCCATAAAGTCGAGAAGTTCTTGACATTCACGTTTACTCAAATACGCTCGCATCACGCGTATACCATCCATGTAAAGCACCTTGCTCCATGCACAGGTTGCAATCCCACGATACAAGACTTTTTTTGCCGCATCCACCTTTCCCAGTGCGACTTCAAAGCGCATATACAGTCCCCAACAGAGAGCACTGCCTCTAGTGTTAATCTTCATCACCATGCATTCGAACATTTGCCGAATACGATTCACTGCAGTCATATCCATTTCCCAGCGGTGAAAAAGACAGCACGTTAGGCGAGTGGATATCTTGTTACTCTCAGCTGATTTTTTGATGACTGAGGCTCTCTCAATGCGGCAAAACTCGCAGAGTAATGCAAATAACCACTCTACTAGACTTGGTGATTCATAATGCCGGCGCCAGCGTCTTTCGACCCGACGAAAGTAGTTGCGATGCACTTGTGAGATAGTGTTTCCCATTTCAGAGTCGACAAAAAGCCGAAGAAAGAGTTCGTTGAACGGATACTTCTCCACTGCCTCACTAACTGATGCGCGCCATACACGGGGCGCTACGGTGGGGAACAAACCCGATATCTCGTGCTGCTGAATAAATTCAAGAAAACAAGTCCACGCCCAAGCTCCCTGCAAGCACGTCCGATGCTCCATATCAGCTAACGCCTCGCGATATTCTTGGCAAGCTGCCTCAAATCCGGTGTAGATGTAAACGACAAGAGCCAAGTTGTGCAAGCAGTAACCAGCCCAGCAACGTGATTTATTATACAATTCATGCATTGCTCTGCCACGCACATGGTTTGCTGAAGTTGATGCAGTGCAGTGCTCGACTGCACACCTCAGTTCCGCTCGATATCTAGCAATGAGATTTGTTCCGGTCAATTTGTTGGACATTAAGAGATTTTGCAAGTATTCCTGACTCTGCTGACGGTGTCTTTTTGTTCCCGCCAGTATATTTTCCTCTATGCAGTCTGATTGTGTTGGTTGCCACACATTCCACAACGTGTACAAACACCGGAGCATCCCATCATCTCCATGCTCACGAACGCAGTTTTGATCATGAGAGGAAGGCCACAGTTCAAGTCGCGCGTGAAGAAAAACGAAGCGGTGGTTACTTCTAGCTGACGAGGATACATTTGAAGCCTGAGCTCCGAGTGAGCTGAGCGTATTCTTACATATTCGTCGCACTTGACGTTCATTTCCCAAAGCGAATTCCAGCTTAGCGTAGGCATAGAGAGCATTGAAATCAATGTCGCCATTTGCAGACTTCTGAGCTAGTATCTGACTTAAACGTCTTGCATACGCCACAGCTTCCTCATGCCCTCTGACTTCACATGCCCGTGCTACCTTGGCTTCAAAGCCGATCCAAAGACACTTGAGATCACTTTCAAAGCTATGATCAACGTTGTGAAATATATCCAGCCCTTGTGCAAAAACTCTACGTATAAATGCCACTTTGCTAGGGTCATGTAGTACATCTTGACTCACGGCAACATCTTCAAGGCAAACATTCTCAAGCAACAACTTTCGGTCGATTGGATTTAGAAACAACGCGTGTTTTCCGGAGCAGTTTGTTTGAGGATTTAGCGCAGACTGAATTGGGTCTACAAGCAGCTCGTAATCCGTGTGGCTGTCTGCATACATAGAATTAGCAGCTGGAAGAGTAGTCTCCCATGCAAACTCACCACGCCAAGCTACGCCACAAATATACAGCAGCTCAGCAATAAGCCGCCATCGGTGTGCCACGGGAACAGGAAACAGAAAAGGCTGCACTTCTTCGGTTAGTATGGCACGATCTGGTTGCTGCTCAATAAGATTTTGATGGAGAGGGTTGCTACACCGAAGCGGGGCCCAATGTACATGCATTTGTACTTCTTCGCGCCTAAGCCATTGCACAAAAGAGTCATCTTCGTGAACCGGATCGTAATTAGCACGTTGATCTTCTACTTGCGCTTTTGTTGTTGCAAGCAGACCATATTTCATCTTCTCTTTTTCCAAGAAGCGAATCCGTCGAGCACGAAAATTTTCTGTACCACGTAATTCACTCAGAATTCGCTCGTATTCCATCGTATCGTCAGCCTCGTCAATGTTGATTCGGTACCCATGCAAGTTGCTGTAAACAAGCGTGCTGTTTCGCTTGGTTTTCACCTCAAAATCGTCACTTGCTGCTGAGTCAGCTGGGTTTCTGTCAATTGTGTTTGGTTCCCTTACTCTATCCACAACTTGCAATGCTTCTTTTGTCCGTGAGAGCCGTTGGTATACAGCTGAAGAAGACAGCAAGCTTTGTTTGTGTTCATCTGATTGCAACACTTTGGGAGGGTTAACCTGATCGACAATGGCCGCACATTTTTGCTGAATGTAGTTTTGAAACACTGCAGTGGAAATCTCAGGAGAGTCTCTTTCCAATATTTCAAAGCTCACATCAGTTATATTTCGGCGGCGGTCACCAAGTCTTAATACATCATCATCATTCCACCGCAAAGTAAATTTTCGCAACATTTCCAAATGAGATGCTTTGCTGTCACTGCTATCAACCAACATACTAAAATCGAGTAAAGCTTGGATTTGAGCGATCGAGCGCTCAACATATCCTGCCTTCTGCTCAAACACGCACATCAAAAAGTGAAAATCAAGAAGCACTATCGACAACTCCTCCACTTGTTCAACACAAAACGTTGCTTCTGTCTTCCCGCTTGATGTAGCTGTGTGTACTGTCGCAACTGCATCTTTGACATTGCTTGCATTATGTGCTCTCAAAACAGTCAGTATACGTGCGTACAAGTTACGCACAGACTGCATCGAAAAGGTGCCAAAGTGCTGGTGCCGACTTTGAAGTAGCTTGAGCCACAGATCGCTATTTGACAGATCTTTAGAGAGTAGGCTCTCTAACTGTCGCTGAAATGAGTCGACGTCACTGTTTTCGCCATTTGCTTGAGCTTGCAACGCGATATTCAGCTTTATGCGATGCAGCTCCCGCGACTGAGGGTTACTGGCAAGCGCTTTTGCTAGTATTGCCGCTTGCTTTTCCACAATACTTGCTTTTGCGGCGGAGCTTTTCTTTGTTGAATTTGCGTGAAGATAGACTGTCTGCTCCTGAAACACCACCAAATCTAGCCAGTGGTTAATATTATGCGGACTCGCGACGACAGCAGCATTTAACTTTCTGTTGCATTCTACCAAATGCTGCTCCACACTTTGCCCGTCCGTTAGCAAGGGTGTTTCGCCAAACATTGCATCAAAATCAGTATCACTGCTCACAAGTTTATCGATGTCAAGCACTGGATCAAGTGGGATGAATGACATTTCGTGTGATCGACTTATAGCAGCCTGATCCGATGGATCGCTGTCACTTACTTTGCATTCAAGCGCTGCACGGGTCAGTCGTTTCTCCGAGTAAGCAAGATACAGACGCTTCTGTCGAGCGTCTCTCTCCATTTTCTGGGCCTCTAGCGAGAAGTATCGACCAAAATCTTGTCTTTCTTCTGGAAAATTGGTGCTAGGATATTTTACCCGTGTCCGAATTACACGTTCTCCTGTGAGCAGATTTCGTTGCGTATCCAATTGATAAAGCGGCTGATCATAAGCATACGTGGATCCGAAGAGATGATTGTTGCGATCACCCGTGCGGTCAAATTCATACAAAAAATCTTCGTCTTGCTCTGTTGATTGTATATCATGAACCACAACATCGTTAACAGACTGCATTATGGCCTGATATTCTTGCTTGCGAGACTTTGACCGAGATCGGGAGCGCAACTTACGGCTGCTCTTTTGGTGTCGAGAGCAGTGAGTCGAACAGTGAGCGTTATCTTTGTAGCTGCTGTCAGTTGGACTCGAAGATCTACGTCGCTTTTTCCTTTTGCTTTTGCTCTTTTTCTCGTGTTTCGACAGATATCGGGTCTCACGCGACTTGACAACTGTTGATTCGTCACTACGTCGCTTCTTGTGCGTATGTTTTTTCTTCTCTTTTTTACCATGTCCATCTTTGTATACTTGTAATTCAGAGCTGAATGGTTCGGTGGCTTTCTGCTTTGCGTTTGCATTTCGTGTTGTACTGGAAAAACTCTTGCCAATCGTCAGCCAATCTAAAGCACACACAGATAAAACCCGAGTCACTGGACACGTATTTTTTGCAGTATATAGTTAGTAAACCTACCATTATCAGTCTCCATATTGTTGCTATCTTTTGCACCACTATCCTGTCTTCTCGCCTTCCGCCCTGCTGCGAACATTATTAGTGGGAGAAATGTGATCTCTAATCTATGATTGGTCATAATCTAGTCCAATATGCTTCACTCGCTCTTATACTGTATTATTACAATCTCAGTATATTTACTCATATCAAGTAGAAATACGCGAATGCAGTAAGTTTCGCACGACTGGGAAGTTAGACGACTAGATCGTAAGAAAGTTCACGTTGCCACTGCAGGGCCCTAAAGCCCCCTTCCAAGCGATCGTGGCATCCTCAAGTTCGGGTAGATATGGTGAGCTATAAGTTCAGGAGGAGGGTTATCTTCGGATCACCGCTGCGTTAGTCACCCGACAAGCACTTGTGGGCCCTAAAACTTCAAAGGGACGTCGTACATTGCGTCTCGAGCTTATGTACTGATAGTGTGACCAGAAACGCATCACGATCGATGGTTGCGTTGTCATCATGAATGATCGGTGCAGCAGTTCATGTAATAAGAATAAGAATCATCATGTTGATGTTGTCGAGTCGACGAAGATCAGACTCTCCAATGGCCCACGGTGAGTTCATCGAAAGCTGGGTGGATTGCGTACACAACGTACTGAAGTAGACGTGAGCGTTAAGCTGCCAGTGCAATACAATGGCCACTAAAGACTGACCATATCATGCAGAAATCGAGTCAGAACCTTCTCCATGCTGAATGGTTTTACCTCAAGAAATCGAAGCACCGTATCAATTTGAACCGGAATCTCTACAATGTTGGGTCAGTTTTAAAGCTTTAGTATGTATTGTTATTTGTTATTAGCGAACTGGTTGATAGATGAAAAAAAACCTCTGAGCTTTCTCGCGTATGCGATTCAAGAGGCTTTTAATGGCGTTTCGTGGAAGATAATAAAAACAACATCAAATCACGAAGGGAATTAAATAGTAGTGTGAGCTCTGCTTGCAGTAATGCCGCCGAAGCAACGCAATCGTCAGCGCTTTGGACCCAGTCAGGACTATCTCTTAGTTGTACAGGTGAATACAGATTTACCGTTCTGTGCGCCTTATGGAGGACTAATGGCTGGCTGGGAAAAGGTTGCCACGACCCTTAACGGCTGCAACGCTTTCAAGATGCACCACCTCAAAGGACCAATCGTCAAGAATCGCTTTGAGCGTCTTGTTAGTCGTCACCGCAGTTGGGTAAAGAATGGCAGCCAATTGGAAGAAGCACCGTCAAAAGACGCTGCTTTCCAAACTGTCATGACTCAGCTGGTGCCGAAACTGGACGCCGCGGAGGCGGAACCGCTGGCCCAGACGTTGGGAAAGCGTGGCCGCCCACGGAAGATCTGGTCGAAGGATCGATCAGACTCTATAGAGAATAAAATGTCACTGGTAGCCTCGCAAGTTGTAATCGCTCCTTCGCCGTTGGGCCCTAAACCTTCTTCGACTACGTCTCTCCTTGTGGACTCTGAGGACCAGGCATTGCCCATTCTGACTAAGACAACCCGTCAACGATTCACTCCTGGAGATGACCTTTTGCTTGTAAAATACGTAAAGGAGTCACTTCCATTCCATGCCAAGTTTGGTGCAATTTCTACGGCATGGGAAGATGTGGCAAATAAATTGGACAACAGTCCAGAGTTTTCGAAGGACAGCGTAAAAGGCCCGATTGTGCGCTACCGCTTTGAAAATTTAGTATCCAAGTACCGTGAGCGTGTCAAGCGCAACAACGGACGCGTTGTTGGTCCGAAGGGCGCCCCAGCAGGTGAACTTGAAGTGATTATGACAGAATTGGTCACCTTGTTGGATGGTGGAGACCCTGTCAGCGCTGCTCTGCTTGCACAGAATGTGGCAATCGCTACTGGTGCGATCACTACGGTGATAGCACGAGAACTACCTCGCACGTCAATGAGTCAGGATGAGGATTCAACCAGCACTACTAGCGAGCCATCATCGCCGGCTTCCAGTGGGTCTGAAGGCACCTCTGGTGCCACCCAGAGCTTCATCACACCTACGCCTAAGTCCGAGCCGACAGTGGTGGCTACAAATCCAACGACGGTTTCGGCTGTGTTGGATGCCGCTGACCCGACAAGTATTGCTGAGCTTAAGGTCTTGCTCCAAGAAATAGTAGAGCAACAGACTCGGGCCACCGATCAAATGCTGTTACTGCAGCGAGAAGAGCGCCGTCTGGAAGCGGAGCGGCGAGAGAGAGAGCTTGAAGTTGAGCGCGAAGAGCGCGAGAAGGACCGTCAGGCATTGACTGCTACCGTGATGTCGGCATTGAAGACGTTTCTGGAACAGAATGACCGCAAAACGTGATAATGATGTAGTCGTATATTGGCACAATGATGTTAACATATCTCTTTAAAGGTAGCACATACATGTACATGTACTTGCCCGGATTCGTTAGAATGTCTGTCGACTCTTTGCATCTTGAAGTATTTGTTTTCAACGCCAAGCTCACTGCTAGGACCAAGCCATTATCTCTCTCGAAGCTCCAACGTTGCTATTCACACTAGGAAACTACAAGCTGGACATGATCAACAATACAGCTTCATGCTACGCCACATTGCCAAATAAAACGCTTCGCTGGCGACGCTTTCGCCGCCGCAACTACAATACGCTGCCCAAAGTTTCCATTGATATCCCGCTGCTGCCTCGCGTGGACCCTAAAGACAGAAGAGAATGGAAAACGAATGGATGACGGAGATTATGCCTTACCATACAAAGACTTACCTTAGAGGTGAATACTACTACGACCGTCAGTGAAAAACTGTTCGAAAGAACGGCCTTTCATTGGGCACAAGGTCATGGAAATAGTAGATCGCAAGTAAAATGGGAGGAGAAATTGTCGTCGGCACGCGGCTTCATTGGAACAATCACGTACAGGATGAGTGCATCAATATAAACAAAGTGCTGAATCAAGTGCGCACTTTTTGCATTCGTGCAGCTACGTACTCCGATGGTGGAGTTTTGATTGCTGTGGGACTGCCTGATGCACTTGTTCAATCCATTACAACTACTAATGAAGACATGTCAACAACCAGCGCTTTTGCTGACTCTGTGCGAAAGTTTATGGTCCAATTGCAGAGCGAGGCAGATGCAGGAACTCTTGCTGGCAAGGTGAAGATTATTCCCATGCTGTATTGGGGAAAGTTTGTTCCGGCGCTGAACGCATTGATTGGAACGGCGGCCGACTACTTTCCAAAGGCTGATACACTTCTCTTACAGTCCTTAGAGATCAACGTCGATGCAGATAGTGTAGAGTCATTGCGCTCACATTTTGACTTAACGCGCGACCTTGTGGTGGGAGCGGCACTGCCTGGCCACGACTTCCAATCAAACCCGGCAAGCCAACCGGTCGAGTTGAGTGGCTTGACGTCGCCGTGGAATACACTTGCGCTATGGAACCTCGAGCAATTGACAAAAATTGGTTTTGCATTGATGGGAGACGCGTTGCGCCTCGAGGTCGACGGGATCGGCTCGGCCGCAGGTATTGAAGAAGTGGCCACCATTGCAATGTACCAGCAACTTTACGTCGGCACCACGTCGCCTACAATGGCCAAGCTAGTGCGCATCCCTAGTATCGCGTGGCAAGTGGATCAACTGCACGACTTAAAGCGCGTCGCCTGGCATGAGAAGAAGATGGCAAGCAAGCAGCAGCGCGCAGCTGCTCAGATTGCTCAATTTGGCGGTGTTTGTCCCGGTCGTGTATATCACATAGACGCTGAGCAGTAGCGTTGGTGCAACCTGCAACGAGGTGCATTTCAACTTGCATTAGTGTTGTCACCCCTCTCGTGATGCATAGACCGGAGCTGAGAGTGTGAATCTGACATTGTATGGCATGATATAGCACACAATCCTTCGCAACAAAACATATGAACAATATGAGCGGGGCTATGACTATGCTCCTTAGTCACTTCTGGACACCGAAGGTGCTGATGTTGCAATCATTAGGATGCATCCACTTGCAGCTTCTTGACAATCAACTGTCGACACACAGTTTTAAGCAAGAAAAGGGTGTTTTTCTAGCTCAGTTTTATTGTTTCACCTAAAACTTACCCTTCCCTTGATGACGCACTCATTTGCCTTTTTATATTCCAAGCAATACTCTGCGACATGTTAGATAAAATCATTCACTTGAAGCTCAACGCACGACATTATCATAAAGCATACAAACGAATGAGTAGTCTACTAGACCAATGAATAATATTCAAGTGCGTGCAACGTCTTTACGTAAAGAAGCAACAAGGAGGTGGCTAGTAAAGGAAGAACTATATTTTCTACTCTTACATTATAAACTAGTGAGCGTACCGGCGGTACTTCATTCGCTCCAGCTCCAGCCACCAAGTAAGATTGTATCCGTAGACAAAAGTTTTTGGAGATTTGAGCTTGACTGATGAATGCAGACGAATTGATTGTTGTTGTTATCACTGATTACCATTAGGTGGTACCTTGCTGTTTTATAATACATTGAGTGTCTTGGATTATAAGAAAGATGGTTGGCACTGGCAGAAGAGAAAAGACAAGAGCGGACGGGTGCGGCGATCACATGCTTGGCGTCATATGCAATTCTTTTATATACAATAGTCGATACTGATTGAAATGGAAAATGAAAATGGCCTGCAGGTTCGTGAAGATCGAGCAAAGCTTGTGATTAATCGAGAAATCATCATCCTCGGAACTTATGTGCATTCTGCTGAGACTTCTGTAAGCTTTTTATGCTCACTAGGTTCAAAAGTGTGTGTCTATATTGCTAACGAGTTGACTTTTTGTAGACTTTTCATAGAAGAATCTATTCAGTGCGAGATTCAAACGAGAATATCATCCTTGTTCACTACTTTGATGAGGTGAACAAGGAAGGAATGGGACGTCAGTTTTTGTCGGATAGAAACAAGTTGAGCAAAGGACTGCAACAGTCATTTCCGCTGTGCCAGCAACCTAACTTGCCTACGTGTACATCTACGTCATCGGAAGAAGCAGCTGAGTGCATCATGAAAGGTAGGTAGCTGGTCGTCTAGTTCCCTAGAGTCGCTCATTCGAAGACGATTGCTTTTTTTTTTGCTACAGGCTTTGAGCCTCAATCAAGATTACGTCAGACTTCATCGATTCAAGCTTCTGACGCGGAGCTGCTGCTACTTAAATGCAACGGCATGGAAAATGTTACAACAGAATCGGGTATCTACGACCTACTTAATAGCTTGAACTGGGCGCCCTCCCCGGAAAAGAGTATCGATGGCATGGGAGGTCAACAAACTTTTGAATTGACCGAAATAGTAGACTTCTCACCAGATTGGGACTTTGAAAATGGTGGGGCGAAGATTCTGATTTGTCTAGCAGCAAAATTTCCAGCGAGTCTAGTCCACGATCCAACGAATGTGTATGTGCAGTTTGGTACCAAGCGAGTGCGTGCGGAAAAAGTCTCGGACACAGTACTCCGTTGCTCTGGTATGTCTACTTCATCCTGTGTGTTTCTGTCAAGCGAAATTGTGCTTAGTACTAAGAATTCGTTTCAATGCAATGTTGTTGCTCCGGTCATTGGTGCAGCTCCAAGTGCCCAAGACCTTGGCTGTGTTGACTTATACGTGTGCCATTGGAATGAGACTTTTCAACCGCAAACTATCCAGCTGTCACACAAACGAAAGTTCACGTATCGAAGTTATTTACAAGTATCTCCGTCACGCGTTGGCGATATTGCTACAAAAAGACACATCTCCGACTCAAGTGCTACAGATCCACAGGAAGGTACAACACCTTATTCTGTGCATGTCTTTGGCACGAGCAAGCGAGGCAGATCATTAGCTGTTCAATCTCATGCTATTGCTGGCAGCAAACGGTCAGAAGATAAAGCTTTTGATTCAAACAGAAATTTGTCAACATACGTTGAGTCAGATTGTAAGTCGTCGTGTTTAACTTTGATGTTCATGTTTTTACTGTTCGGTACGGACTTGTTAACGTTCTTACTATTGCACCTTCTACCGTGTATTTAGTGGACGAACGGCAGTGCAAGATTCGAGTTGTAGAACGATTGTCGGAATTTAACCAGGCAATATGCACAAAGTCATTGGAGCCTGTAGTTGACGGTGGTATTTCTAATGCATTGAAAAGTACCGGTGGTGAGAGCAACATACTAGCAAAAGGAAATGACAGTTTGTTTGTACCGGATTTGCTATCATCGTTGGGCTCATCAACAACCCAAGAGCAGCAAGTTTTATCTCTACCAAGTTTGCCCATTGAGCCTTCGGCCACGCTGGTTTCGTCCAGTGAAACTTTGACTTCGTTGGACGACTGTACAATTGAAGCACTGAGCGACAAGGAGTTGGAGCAGCTGTCCGAAAAACTACTCGAGCGTGTCGTACGTCAGCTTGTAACAGTTGCATACACAAGTGAAGAGCTGCTTGAGGAGCTTAACTCGCTAGATGAGGCTGGTTTAAGCTTACTACACTACGTGAGCTTTTACAATTATTCTCAGTTGGTACCTGTACTTGTTGCCCACGGTGCGCATATTAACCAGCAAAGTACCCAGGGGCAAACAGCGCTTCACTTGGCAGCAGGGTGTGGCCATGATGAAGTGGTCGATGTACTGCAGCAGTCTGGGGTCGATTTACAAGTCCGAGACTTTGATGGTCTTACAGCTGCTGATCGTGCTGAAAAGTCGGGCCACGCAAATGTTGCTGCCAAGCTGCGCCGCTACATGGGATACGACACATTTTGCGACTTGGGCGAAGTTGATGGAACACACGAATTTGGAGGATCGCCTATGGATATTGATGATGCCCCGACTCCTTACATGGATGCTGGAGATATGGGTATTTTGGAAAGCAATGACCACACGGTACATGGTGTACGACCATCTTGTTCTCTCTTAGATGATTTTGAGAGTCCTTGTGAAGCAAGTTTGCCGTTGAAAGCGATCTCTTACGTAAGTGTGGTCATCATCTTTGTATTGGACGGGATTGTGTTGCTCATTGGAGTTCGTGAATTCAAATTGTTGCCTTGCAGGAGGGAGATAATCAGGAGCACAATCGGAAACTTCTTCTTGGGGCCTTTTCTACGATGAGCTTGCACGACAAATGTGCGCTATCATTAAGTATCTCACGAGACTCGGCGATCTACCCTGCCTGGCGCCATGGAAGCAGTGTTGGAGAAGATACTATAGCTTCCTAATAGCAGCAGCACGGGGACAACGGCAGGTTTTGGTTCATCCCCAGCAAGCATGATTGGCATGCAAGCTGACTTTATCGGTGGGCGACTAGTGGTGTTGGGGGCTGAAAACGATTCGGATGTTCAGAGTGTCATTGCAGAAGACGAGGAAGGTTTAAGCAAGCTTCAAGCAGCTATGGAACTCATGGGCCCGGAAGAAAGGCAATTGCTGGAAGACGAGGTGAAAGTGCTGCAGCACGGTGTACGCGCGTGGTTGCTCAAGCGGAATTGCAAGAACATGCGTGAGGCAACCAAGCAGCTACGCGAAGCTGCTCAAAGTATTGAGCAGCAAGAAGATGTCGAGCACCTTCCTCAGGTGACAAACGAACAACTAGAGCGTGAGCGTGCCGCAGTGACTGTCCAAGCCGCGACACGGAGCATGCTAGCTCGACGTAGTTTTTTGCAGACCAAGCATGTAGCCATTAAATTCCAAGCTGCTACACGCGGGGTGCTTTGTCGCAAGAATTTTGCTCGCATGAAGGCACATGCTCTAGCGTCGCTTGTTATCCAGCGCAACGTTCGTGAGTGGTGGAACAAGCAGCCGACTGCATCACGACCAGAAAGTTTTACCAACTATGATGACAGAAGAAAAGAAAACGCCGGTTCCATGAAATAAAAATGCGCGACGAAGTGCACCACAATTTGTAAATCACGAGAGGCATTACCTACCAAAACCAACACCCATGCAGCCTTGTACGGTTCACCTGTCGCTCTATTTACCGCTTCTTGTGTATATCGAGGCTAGAAACACCTCTAAAACCTGTTTATTCCATCGTCTCAGCTTCTTCGTCCGTGTATCGTCGGAAGCCTGGAATGGGTGGTGTCCAGGTAGCCATCCCTTGCTCCTCCGGAATAGGAGCATTGTCAATTTCCAGTGCTTCAGCCTGCAACTCAGCCGGTAGCGCGTTAATGGCCTCCCACTTGAAATCAATCTTGGTCTGCACATCACGCATCAAGTGGTTGTGCTCAATCATGCTCATGACATTGTAACGGCGACCAATTTCCTGATGACGCTGTACTTCTTCTTCTGTCCACTCCTCACTGCAGCATAGAAACAAAAAAACAAAGCATATGACAACCATAATGTATTATAGATTGTTACAATAGTCAGCCATTATCAAAGAGAGAGAAACAATATGCAATAAACCACAACATACGCGTCTGGATATTGGCCCTTAATCGCACGCAGCATCTGCTCAAAGTTGGTGTCTTCACTGCCTTTTTTACCCTTCTTTTTCTTATCTGTCTTTGCTGCAAATCCACGTACACACCTAGAAGACACAGCAATGTCTACAAATGCACCAAAGACTGTTCGCTTAGCAGTCACACAAGTCACACTTCGTAACAATAGCGCCATTTCTCTCTTGTCAAATGTTTAATGATACTATTAACAATCTCTGGACACAAAGCCATGAGGGACGACTGTACTAAGTACGAATCATAAATATACTTAGGTAGATTTGGTTTTAAATAAGATGGACAAGACGACTAGTGTCACAATTTGTGTAAACAAACACCTTTTAACTGTCAACCTCGTCGTCGTCATTGCTCGAATGATGATGATAATACGGTGCATTGAAATATTCTGGTGCTGACACGACCATTGGTGATTGAAATCCAAAGCTTTCATTTATAGATGAGTCCATGTCTCGAGCATGCACCAATGGAGAATAAAATGACATTGGTGGGCCAGGGTTGAAATAATAGCTTGATAATGCAGGCGATAGAAAGTGAGACGCGTGAAATCGAGACGCGTATTCGTCATCATGTCGAGGCGAAAAGTATCGTACCACTTCTTTCGGTGCCGTTCTCCATAGCATTGAGTTACTCCAGGGATGATTCATACGAGCATCTGAAAGCTTACACTGTCGTGTAAAGTCCCAGCCAAAGAGAGACGATGTCGACGCGTAAACTTGTTGCAGCTGCCACTCGAGCTCCGCGTCTGCTTCGCAACGACGTTGCTTCCTATTCCACTGCTGGTGGTCATTTTGATTGTCAGTTTCCACGTCATCGTAGGATAAATCTCTATCAATACTTTGGTGGTCGATGGCACTCCCCAAGTCATTATCCACGTCCCCCCCATGGAATGTTGACGATACATTCGTCGAGCTTTCGCTTGCCTACAGATGGAGCACGTGCATTAATATATGCAGGTGCTGGTGTCACATGTTGAGGCTGGAATACGAGTGCGTTGGGGTTGAGAGTCGATAATCTCTCTGTAACTGTTTCGACTTGTGGAATGGTTTCGTTTACATCAAGCGTGGCTTCATCGATAGATTCCGCTGGCATCACAAACCCACAATTGTTGTCTGCAGGGATCGACTTGGGCTCAAGCATTGGTTCATGGACTTGCTTCATTGCCAAAACCTCGCTTCTGCTCAATGCCGTAGTTGGATTGTCATCTTTTGTTTGAAACCGATCAGCATTGTCATCATCTTTGCTTTGAGACTTTGCAATATACAGCTTTTCGTTCATCTGTACAGGTAGAGCTTCATGTCGTGTCAAGTTTTTCTTTTTTTTCTTTTTGTTGGCCTTCTTGCCGTAGAAAATTGTAGTGTCTGTTGACATTTTACCATCCTCTAGAGACATTTCTAGCAATAGTTGCTCCATTTGTTGTGCAGCTTTTCGTTCCAAGTGACTGACATAACTTCGTAAAATGAGCTAAATCCATGAACAACATGAGCATACTACACTGAATATTACGGGTTTAGCTTAGTCAACAGGCAGATTGGATAAGTCTTACCTGCTCCACCAGCATCGCAATCAGGCGCTGGTAATTTGCCCACGTGTTAATCGTTTCACTTTCCGTCACAAAAAGTTTGTTGAAGTTGCTCTCCGTAAGAACATGAATCGAGGTCAAGAATCCTTCCAACACGTCTCCTACCAATGTGAACAGCCGATCCGTGTCCTCTGCCAGCTCTGTTTTCACTGTCAGAATACCTGGATCACACCAAAATGAGTGCACGATCAGGTACCGCCATGATCACATACCACGTGCCTGTGCTTATATCCATAAACTCCATCGCTTCAAGCAGCTCATATGTCTTCTCCGATGGCATATCCGACACTTGTCCACGCGTTCGCGGCAGCGTAGCTATTCGGTCATGGACTACCGACGCGTTGGTTGACGTTTCAATATTCGTTTCGTTTGACGTTTCAATATTCGTTTCGTTTGACGTGGACAACGGTACAAGATTTTTGTCTCCAGTAGTTACGCCTGTTCGATTCGATGTTTTGAGATGGCGCTGCATCAGCCCAACGCACAACAAGCTCAGGTTTAGCTTGTACAACTGCTTCACCAATTCCGGCTCGTCCAAAAACAAGATTTGTTGTCGCTCGTTAACGCTGAGCTGTTCCCAATAGTGACGGATGCATGTCCGCACTGCGGATCCATCTTGTCTACCGTTATGTCGCGTCGTCAATGGCGTGGCCAGCGTCATCCAAATGCTAGCTCCTTGTGCTCGACCTCGACCAGCTAACGGCTTTGCTCTCTTCCTTCCATGAAAATGTAGCACATCACAATTGTTGTATACTGTTCCTGAGCTGTTGCTAGCATTGACAACCCCAATGGAGCTTGAAGAACGTATGGCCAGGTATGATTTCCAAACTGGAGCTGTATCATCAATCCATCCACGCCATCATACGAAACAAAGCAGTTAAGCATTGCATACAGTTTAATTATGCTACAATTACATGTGTAACGCACCATCCGAGGTCAATGCAATCTTCTTCACATGAGAAATACTGCCCCAGGACAATGACGTCGTCATCCTTGGTAGCAATTGATCACTGCCAATCATTATTGCAATAAACAATTGACCTCCATGATATTTTGCTACCGGTAATTGTGCGGTATTTTACTGTTTTACTGCTTACTCTTAATCGTTTTGATCAATGGCAGATATCGAGCACAAGCGTGTGGCACTTAAGCTCAAGCAGGCGTGCGAGGAGACAGCAGCACAGGCCATTGAAGCTACAACCGCCAGTGGACAGGCAAGTCGTATTCATGGCAAGAACAAGAAGTTTGGTAGCCGAAAAGAGGCCATGGCAGCCAAGGCAAGATGGAAAACTTGAGTCCAATAATCAAGATATTGCGCTACTAACGTCGTGCTAGGACGGATTTTTGTTTGTGTAGATTGCAGCTGCAAAGATAAAACGTGAAGAAAAAGAGGCGTTGAACTAAGTGTGTGAGGGATAACGTAACAGACAGAACAACACAATGAAGAATGGCCGTTTTCATTCCGTTTCGTGGCTCTTGTGCTGATGTAGTTTGAAAATAATAACAGCTTGGACTGGACTATCTTATCAGTGCTTGCTTCATTACAACTAGATATTCTTCATTGATAATGCTGAACGGTGATTGCTGCCAAGATACTGGGTTGCTTCTTTGTAGCCGGTCGTACGAGTAGTGATGGCAAAAAAGTCAATGGGCAAAAGGCTATCGGTTGTTACGTGTTCTGTGAAGCAAAGTTCTCGACCAGTTGATGTCACATATTACTGTTTGTAAATAACGTATTTGAGCCAGGACACAAACAATTCGTCTCGTTGTAAAAATGACATTGCTCCTGGGTCTAGCCGTACTTGAGACGTACATGTTCAAGATCTGTACTGAGCGATATCGTAATGATTGGTACTGGCATTGGTGTGCAGATTGCCAACATTGATTTCACGAAATCCAACACTATCTGAATTGTATATACTGCGGAGCTCACCTTAGACTTTACTGGAAGGAGATAATAGCAGAAGAGTGGAAAGGGAGTTATCTGGTGGGCTACGGTCGCAAAGCTATTGATGTGCGGTTGTACTCATGCGAAACTGATGGCAACCAAGAGACAAAGTTTGCATCAGCTGTAGCGACGAGAAGGAAAGTTACCGAATCATAAGCCCAATCTAGATGATAGTCGTTTTTACGATATCCCGACGCACTAAAGACTCCTGACGATCCGACCACCCTAGACGAAACCTTGCTATGCAAGCACGCACAATATGACGTGAACATGCTGTTTTACCTTACAATTTTTCCTCTTACTGCTATCTTTGTTGGTCTTACATTGAGCTATTCACGTGCGGTTTTTGCACAGTAAACCGTTGATGGCGGCAGATATGACCTGATGCAAGGAGCATCTGGAGCCAAAGTACCTTTTCAAGACTTGCATTCAAGGCATACTTAGTGGTACGACTGTTTACAACGCATCAACACAAAACACACACGCTCTAACGTACATTACGATACATCTACTATCAATCTAACGATACTAACGGTTACAGTGTTGAAATCATCAAAGCAACTCTTCAAATACGGATGTAGACCGAACACTGATTTTACGTGCTGCCAACACAGACTGCTTGCTATATACGCTACGTTAACGGCTATCTTTGTACCTCTTCGGACGTTTATATCAACACATTGAGCTAAAAAACAACGTGCTAACAAACACTTTGCGCTTTTACCAGTATACAAATCTTGCTGTTATTTATCGCCTCTGGTTGTTCACAGGCTTCAAGCGATATCAAACTCAGTCATCTTTGTTTCATCCTATTTGCCTTTCGCTATCGATCGAAACGCCTACTCTGTTGCATGTAATATATATTCTCACAATCGTAAAATAAGTGTAACAATCATCGTCTAAACGTACAAATCGTATGTAACAACACTTGCGTAGTCACGATCTGGTCGGCGCAAATAACAAGACTGAATCTTTCGTCACGTCGAAAACCTTGAAAATTCATCAGAACCGTATCATTTGATCACTGGCCAATCTATGTCCATGTACGCTTTTTTCTACCACAAGACTGACTGACTACCCAAACGTTGTTTCCGGCGTTGCAGATGTCACTGACTCTCTTCCATTCACCGATTTGCAGCAATTTCTCAAGCTTAAGACATCGCAACGCTACAAAATGGTTTGCCTCTTTACGCTCTCCGTTATCACCATGATGGCGTCATCGACGTCAGCCCTTGACCAAAAACTCTATGGTCTTAATTACGATCTACGTCAGGGTCCAGATTGGGATCCCAGCAAGTGCAAGCCGGTGGACGCTATTGCCGCTGATCTCAAGATTCTGAGCACCATCACGTCAAACGTACGTACGTACAGTCTATCGAACTGTGACGTGTCCGGCGTGCTTATAGCTGCCAAGGAGCTGTCACTTACCGTTTGGCTCGGTGTCTGGGTTTCGGAGGACCCGAAGGTATTTGACGCCGAGGTAAAAGCCTTTAAGAAACTCATTAGCGCTGGCCTTATCGATAGCAATGTTGTGGGTATGAATGTCGGGAGTGAGGCTGTGTACCGTGAGGATATCACGGCGAAACAGTCTATCAAGTATCTGACTGATTTTAAAAAGGTCATGGTGGATAACGATATTAACGTGCCTGTCAGCATCACGGACATCGTTGACACATTTGTGCAGTACCCGGAGATGCTCAAGGCCGGTGACATTGTAACCATTAACCAGTTTCCGTATTGGGAAAAGATCGATGCGGACAAGGCTGTGGCTCAGTTCAACAAGCGTATCCAGCCTCTGCTGAAGATGGCCGGTGACATGGAGGTCATCATTAGTGAGACGGGTTGGCCCACAGAAGGCAAGGACAAGAAAGGAGCTGTGGCGTCGGAGGAGAATGCTGCTATCTACTTGAACGACTTCTACGAGCTGGCCGAAGCCGAGGGATGGAAGTACTACTACTTTGTCGGGATCGACACGCCATACAAAGCGGAGCAGCTAGATGAGGCCACAACAGTCGAATCGCATTTCGGCATCTTTGACACGACAGGAACCATGAAGCCGGCGTATGAGTCTCTCACGTTTACTAAGAACGGAGAATTGTCAACCTCTGGCAGCTTTGGCGACAACTCCTCGTCAGATTTATCGTCTGCGTCGGCCAACAGCGACATTGTTGCCTCAGACAGCGGTACACCGAGCACTGTCGATTTAGTCGACACGGACACGTCGACAGACACTCAGCCTTCGTCTTCAATAGAGCGCAGTGGATCGTCTCAGGTTGTGGCAGCTAATCTCGTAGTCTGCTTGAGTGTCGCGTACGCCATTTTTTGGAGCCTGTAGGCTTTGATCAATCGGTCCTTTTACTCCCAATGGTAATATTGTCTATATATATCTAAAAATTTAAAAATACAATCTAGTTTTTCAAAAATGGAAACCGCCACTACGCAGTCGAATGGAGCTGAAACGTCTAATGAAGGGCTCTTGGTGCTCGTGATCGATACGAACCCTATGTACTGGTTTAAACAGGGAGGTGGAGCAACTGAGCGTAGCAATTTTCAGCAGCTGATTTCTAGTACTCTAGTGTTTGTAAACTCGTATCTGCTTCTACATCGCAGCAATCGCATCGTAATTATTGCCGCCCATGCTGGCAAAAGCGCCATGTTATATCCAAATCCAGATCACGATGATACTTCTGGAAATGCAGAACAGTCTGCCAAAGTAAATGCAGGTGTTATGCAGCGTCTGCAGGAGTTGAGTGATACTCCAATGGACCCTGCCAAGCCCAATCGAACGGCCATCGCTGCGTCACTGTCACGGGCTCTATGCTGTAAGCTACTTTCAGTGTTTTAGCTAGATTACATGTATAGGATGTTTAATCGTGTGGCTGCTATGTTGTTGTATGTACACAGTCATTAATCGTGCTATGAATGAGGAACCAGACTTACGACCACGCATCTTGGTTGTTCAGAAATCTCCGGATGTATCTGAACACTACATTGCGATTATGAATGGTATTTTCTCAGCCCAGAAGAAGAATGTTGCAGTGGATGCCTGTATGCTCACGTCCGAGCAGTCCTCGTTCATGCAACAGGCTGCGTATCTAACGGGTGGTATATATTATAAACCCAACGAGTACAGTGGATTGCTCCAGTACCTCATTTCAATCTATTTGCCGGATCCATCCATGCGTAAACTGCTAAAGCTTCCATCGCAGGATTCAGTGGACTTTCGTGCAATGTGTTTTTGCCACCGCAGAGTGATTTCAACGGCATTTGTATGTCCAGTATGTCTTTCTCTATTTTGTGAATTTCGACCCATTTGCTCAACGTGTGGTATCCGAAGCCACATTGAGCCAAAGAAGAAGAAGATGATGAAGGGGTTGGTCAAGAAGCGTCTACGTATAGATTCATAAAAATAAGTTGTTTTGGAACTACTGAGATTCATATTTTTGATGTTACCAGCATGATGGTTTAATTTGATTGGCTAATTGATTCATGAGTAGCAAAATCAAGATTATGCGCATTCAACCGTTAGTCGAGCAAAAACAATTGATTTTTCTTTGCCATACGTAGAATCGCCACGTAAGCAGCAGTATGAATAGGTACGTGATTGATGTTGTATTATATACACATGAAAATCTTTTGCTCGATTGAGATATTTTATTTATAAAGTCTCTTGTTGTTGTGATCATTGCAGACCCACGATTACAGAGATTTTTGCTGAACGTAAAGCCAACAATACAGCGGCTTTTATTGCTTTTGTCCCATGTGGCTTTAAGACCAAGGATGATACAGTAGATATTATGCTGGGACTGCAGCGTGGAGGTGCTAATATCATTGAGGTTGGCATCCCGTACTCGGATCCACAGGCTGATGGTCCGACCATTCAGCGTGCTCACCAGGTGGGGGTGGACCAGGGCATTACGTTGGACGATGTTCTGGCCACTGTGAGGAAGGCACGCAGCATGGGCCTTACTACTCCAGTGGTACTCATGGGGTATTACAACAATATTCTGCAATACGGCGAGGACAGGATATGCATTGATGCCAAGAAAGGTACGACCATTATTTAAGGTCACTGTTATGTAAACAATTAGTAACCTATTGCTTGTCTTGTTTGCATGTTGCAGCTGGTGTGGACGGATTCATTGTTGTGGACCTGCCGCCTGAGGAAGCCAAATCGCTTAGTGATGATGCTGCGAATCACGGTCTTGCCTACATTCCTCTTGTGTCGCCTACAACGACAGAAAAGCGTATGAAGCTTATCGCCTCAGTCGCACATGGCTTTGTGTACTGTGTGAGTCTTACTGGCGTCACTGGTGCTCGTAGTGAGCTACCACAAAACCTTAACACGTTCATGTCCAAAAGTAAGTTGTCGTGTGTTTGTCTTTGCTGCATGACGTATGCTGTACTAATTGCATGTGCTATGGTTTTTCTACAGTCCGTGCAAATGTGAAGCATCCGTTAGCGCTGGGTTTTGGTCTGTCTACCCACGAACACTTTGTGCAAGCCAGTGCAATTGCGGATGGTGTTGTAATTGGCTCGAAGATTGTTGAGGTTATTGAGAAGTCTGTTGACGCGGCTTCTCGTGCTGCCGACGTCGAAGCGTTCGCTAAGAGCATTGTGAATTCCGTAGACTAGAGACATGTAACGGATGCGAGGTTTCTGTAATTCGGATCCTACAATATAGTACCTATAAAGTACATTGCTGGTAGAATTGTTGTGCTATTGGAACATTCACGGAATAAAAGACGACGGATTGGCTCGTATTATAGTGTAGTCTCGTATGGCAAATCCTAGCTGGCGAAAGTTCGAGTCCCACTCATGTGCAAAGTCTATAATTTGTATTTAGCGTAGCATACTTCGAAGCCCAATGTGTCTGTACCATTAGACTAAGGATTGGGTCAAAATGTGTGCAATAGTAACATTCGCGTGTCAGGGTGTCAGAACTGGGTGATTGGCCAAAAGTGCAAATTAGTCTCAGTATCTGCCAATCGACATGCAAACATACACCTTTAGCAAAATTCCTATTGTATGAACTAACGTAAGGAATTCATACGGACGCCGCAGAGTTTTAACGTCAAATCGAGCAACTAAATCTTCAACAACGTGCATTCTATATGCTATGCGATGGTTAAAACGATAAGAATCTGGCTATCAACATGAGAAACAGCAATGGGAAGCTGACGGGACCTGCAACAGTACGAGCTGAAATTTGTCTCAAGATTCGAACGACTTTGTTGGGTATGCTGCATCCAAAGAGATGGAAATACACGAAAGAATTCAAAAAGAGTCGTGTCGCGCAAAACAAAAGCGTTGCAGCAGAATGGTGGACGACTTTATGGAGTTACTGAGGCAAGAGGAGGTCATAACAGTCACGAAAGCTTTTCTTCGGTCGAAAACGAGAGCGATCCGGGCAATTACAAGACAAAATCGGCCGATCGAAGTCTTGATTGTAATTAGCAAGCTGTGATTACTATATGCTGTGAGCTGTGATTACTATATGTACATGCATGCATGTCTTATTACTTCTAATTCTACTAGTCTTGAGCGTCATCGTCGCTTAAATGAATGATTTGAGGACGGGACCGTCGATAACGAAGACCGCAGCTTGAGCAATTGATACTAGTTGCAGGATTGATGAGTGTGCATCGTGAACAGCTCCACGCAGGCTGGACCTCATGCACTATTTGCTTTTCCTTTGTATCGATGACCTGATCTCTCACGCAGCGCTGGTCACTCAAAACATTCTCAACAAAGGCTTCTTCGTCATCGGAATCTGAAAACTCACTCACTTTGAGCGTCTTTGGCGACCATGAGTCTGCATTAACCTCTGGCGCAAAGGTCACATTCCTCTTTAATGTTGGTCCTGCTGATTGAGAGGAAGCCACTGACGTGGTTGGTAACACGTGGGGCATTGTACTGCATGATACATCTACTTCAGATTCCAAAGTGCTGCGCCTTGAGGTCACATGAGGTGCGCCGTCACCATCGCTCTCTATTGCACTCTCGCCAAGGACTTTGCCACTTTCGTCGTCACCTTCATCGCTCTGACTCGAATAGTCAAGTTCCAATTCGTCCGATTCATTAACAACCGCTTTATTCTTCCGTTTGGAGCGTTTGGGTTTGCTGCCGTCCTTCGCCCACTCTATGTTTGTGGATTCAATAATTTCCAGGCGTTTACGCTTTCGCTCCTCGTCACGCTGAATTTCCTTTTCTCCATTTTCAGCTTGGTCCTCCTGAAGCAACTCCCAATCAATGCGGCAGCTGAAAGCAAAACTCACCAAGTCATTTTGTACCTGCTGCAGAGCTGATTGCATCACTTCGTCGTCAACAGAAGCGTAAGAACGGTGGTGGCCCCAACTATTCAAATCCTCTTCCGACGGCATGCCAATTTGCTGGTGATAGCTCTTCACCATGTCGCTGCTAGTTTCTTCATCGCTTGTTGTGTCTCTTTCAGATAAAACATCGCTTGTTGCCTCCTTACTGTTTCCATCGTCGTCATCAATCGTAATTATAGAGGAATTGTCTCTACTACTATCATTGTCGTCATCTTGCCACTTGCAACGATCGCATTTCAGCTGATCATGAGTATCAGACATCGTATCTTCCCGGAACACAAACAGCCGCTTCAGATCTTTTGAAGATAACGAGTTCACCTCCTCTTTATCGTCAACAATATTTTGAAGACCTTCTTTGGACAGCTGCCGCTGGAAAATCTTCTCTTCAAGTGTCCCTGTCGCCAGGAAGCGGTACACATAGCACATCTTTTTCTGCCCTTCGCGCCATACACGAGCAGCAGCTTGTTTGTCTGTCGCAGGGTTCCAATCAGGATCAAAAAGTACCAACCGGTTCGCGCCAATCAGATTCAAACCACATCCTCCAGCTTTACTTGACAACAGGAAGGCAAACGAGTTGGTTGTCGGGTCATTAAACGTGTCGACAAGTTTCTTACGTTTCTTGGCAGAAGTAGTTCCATCCAAACGAACAAACGGCAATTGTCGCTCTCGGCACAGGGTCGATACAACATCCAAGGTCTGCGTGTAGTTGGACACGATTACGATGCGGTCTGTTGTTGTTTTCCTCATAGCAATCATCAAGCGATCAAGTAGAAGCATCTTTCCAGACCATTCTGGATAGCATGTGCGCGCGCCAAAGCTTCCTCGTCGATGCCGATTATCATCGCTCCTACTATTACTAGATTCCTTTGCCTCTGCAAAGTATTGCGCGCAGTTGCTAAATCCAGGCAGCTTGGTGTTGGTCTTCCCCATTTCATCAAAAATGAGCAGAGGGTGGTTGCACAACTTTTTCAATGCGGTAATAGATGACAGAACGTTGACACTCTTTCGTTTCATCATATCACGACATGCACTGGACGACAGAAAATGCTTGTAGAGCTGCTCTTGCAGCGGGGACAGTGGACAACAAATTACCTGCATTAACTTTGGCGGTAGGTGCTTTGCGTTGAGAATGTTGCCTCGACGCAAAATAAATTGATTAACAGTTTCACAAAGCACAGCTGAGCACGACTGTGCCACACTTCGCTCACGATCCGTCGAGTCCGGTTCTCTTCCAACCAAGATCGGTCCCAAAAATTTCTTCCGAAACTCGCTTGGCGTGCCGAGTATGTTCGGGTTTGTAAAATCCACCATTGCAAAAAACTCCTCCAAATCATTTTGCATCGGCGTACCAGACAAGAGCAGACGCCTGCGACATGCCAAGGAAGATAACGCTTTGTTAACCTGCGAGTTGGCATTCTTAAGTCGATGTGCTTCATCACATATCAGCAGTTCACAGCAGGCTGGTGTATCGGCAAATTTCTCTGCGTGCATGCGAAAGGTTTCGTACGATATGATCAATACTTGTGCAGAAATCCCAGGACGTGGTCTTTTACTTCCATCAATAAACTGATTAATGCCTTTGATCACGGTCTCACGCTTTGCTTCGAATAGAGCCACTGTCTTGACATGCCCGTGCAGCCATTTAATGATCTCATCGTCCCAATTTTTTACTAGCGATGTTGGACATACCACAATTGCTCGATTTACGGTTGGCTTCATATCCATGCCCGTCTTAAATAGCGTATACATCAATGTGATACTCTGTAAAGTCTTACCCAAACCCATATCGTCAGCCAAGATGCATCCTTGTCCATCAAATCCTTTTACTTGACATACACAATCAAACATAAACTGCACACCTTCTCGTTGATGAGGCCTTAAGAATTTGCCTACAATCTCAGGTACCACTACTTTCACATCAGGGTCTGTATTGCTCTGCCACAACACAAGAGGTGGTGGAGCATCAGGCACAGGAACTACAGCTGCAATTTCCTCTTTTTCTAGCAATTTTAACGCCACGGACGTCTCCATTTCCTCCACATTCACTTCAACAGGAGGTAGATCGTGACGCACCATGGGCTTTACAGCGGTAGAGCCCCAGCGACGTCGCATCCCAAGTGTCTTGACATGCAATAGTCGATTACTCTCTTGAGATCGTCCTCCTTCTACACACGGAGATTTAAATGGACGTCGTATGTGCTTTTCGCGACGTTCTGGTTCCATACACAGGAACGGTAGAAATGGAAGGCGCTTGACGGATAACGATGCACCAGTACGAAGCGCTTGACGGGTATTAACTGTATCTTCATCTTCAGACACATCTTGATCATTATTCTGTGTATGAATCAATGAAGATGTGGACTTTACAGGTAGAATAAACGGCTTGAACTGAGCACTACTACTGCCATGACGTCGCCGGAGCATGGTAATGGAGGAAAATGCAATGATCGTATTTCACTGGTCAAAATCATTGAAAAGACCATCACTCCGATACGGGATATGATGTGACGATATGATTGGCTATTTTGTCATTTGTTATTATCATTTTTATTTCAACTAATGAAATATCAAGAAATGACCTCCACACACAAATAACTTCCTATTAAAACGAGTCACTACATAATGCGCATTCTGCGTGTGCTACAGCAGCGGATACCGAATAGATTGCTGATCCCGAATAGTATTGCTGCTTGTATACATGTATCTCACTCATTTCGTCCACTTCATGCTTGTCAATTTACAGTATTAACGTCAAATGATTGTCAAGTCTCTGCAGTCCAACAACTTATGAACGTTTCCAAGAGCTCTTGGCGTTTACAGGCGATGGTGAATGATGTGGAGCAATCATTACCACACGATAAAGGTCGTCGATACTACAATCGTCAATTGGTAGAAATGTTGGAGCAGAGTGACTATAACCGTGCGTGGGCTATTGTCGAGACATTGCATCGACGATATCCAAACAAGGCGGTACTCTGGACGTATACGTACAATCTGATACTCCGTCATTATTGTAAACAGCAAAAGACACTGATGAATTTGAATCTGACGCGCATTCTGGCGCTATTGGACGTGATGGTAGCTCAAGGCTGTGCGAACCAGATAAGTTTTCAAGTAGCCATGGCTGCGTGCAGTCGTGCACGGCATTTACGCAGTGCGAGACATGTACTGGAGAAGATAAAGGAAGCTGATAAGAAACCGGATGAAAGAATATACGGCTTTTTGATCAATTGCTGTGCAAGAAAGCAAGGACTAATCAAGATTGCGGAACGTTATTTTTATGAAATGATACTTGCAGGAGTAAAACCGACCATGTTGGTGATCAATGCCTTGCTGCGGGTATACTCGCGTGATTCAGGACGGTCCAACGCGATGTTGAAGCTTGTAGAGCGTGCAATGGATGAGTTTGGGCTAGTTCCCGACACTGTCACAACACGGACGATCGTGTATTATCTTTTGCGTAAAGGTGACATTGATGGCGCTGTGAATTTTTTGCAACAGGTTGATAGTCTTTCGTTTGCGAAATTAATGAAGCTGCCAGTAAGGCGTCAAGTGGTGAATGCGCTGGTTGATGCTTGTCGGCAACGTGGTGAGTGGGATTTGGCTGAGTACGGGCTTACGATATTAGAAAGGACCGATGAAGAGAGCGTTTCAGCTGTCGATCTTGCCAGAAATGTTCAAGACTCGATTGAACTGAAGAAGCTGGTTGCGAGACGTGATGCTGTGACCGTGGCGGTAGTCTGGGCGCTAGATAATCAAGATTGGTCTCAAATGACACGACTGGAAAAGGGAGCATTTTTGCGGGATCGGAATCAGAGCGAAAGTTTTGAGCGCGCATTGGAGTACATGCGCACATGCAACTCTTTTTCGAAGAAGCGGGCGATTGAAAGGCTTTCCTTAAAGCTGGAGGGTAAATTACGGATATTGGATGAACTGATTTGCACCAGGAGTGCAAGTGCAGAAGACTTTAATGCCATGCTATGTGCCTGCGGGAGACAGGGACATTCAGCAGACGCAGTGTCTGTTATGACGAAGATGAAAAAATACGCAGAAGTTACGCCAGAATGCAAGCCGACGATTTGGAGCTATAACGCGTTGCTAAATGGGTATGCAGTCGGTGGCAATGTTGAGCACATAGAAGCGGTTGTGAATGAGATGATCGACAATGAATTGCAGCTTGACCAAGTGACCATGAATACGGTGATGAAGGGCTATATTGCAAGTTTGAAGGGTGGTATTAGTAGAAGCCCACAGGTGCGTCTTAACAATGTGGTACGAGCGCTTTCGTTTTTTGAGTGGTGTACAGAAGACCAAAAACTTGATCCAGGGGCAGCAACCTATTATTTGATGTTTCGGTTGTTTTCAACATATTTGGGGATACCATGCAAAGGAAGCAATTACCAACCCAATGACGAAGATCAGCTGAGCGATGGTAGCTATAGTGAGGAAATCGTGGATGGCCCAGACGGCGAACTCATGGCGTGGATGGGAAAGTTCATATCCAGCACCTGCCACGACGCGCCTCTCGGGTCTCTGGATATCGGTGTGTTTAACAATGCGTTTGACTATTACTACCGCCTTGGTGACGTGGACGCATCGTTTGCACTATTCAATTTGATGAAAAAGCGCGGGTTTGAGCCAAACGACACCACTCTTGGACTGATGTTTGCTACATGCGCTAGCCAGCAACAATTTGAGGTAGGCTTAAAGTTTTTAGACCATTTAATGACCGTCGACGGTTATAAGCCCACGCTGAAGGTACTCCGTGGTGCCATGCAATTGTGTGCAAACTCAAAGAACCCGGACGGAACGCTGGAGCTCTTTCGGGCTATTGAATCGTCAGGCTTATTTTCGCTTACTGTAGAAACTTACGAACCCGTGGTGTTTGCATATGCTCGCGTTGGGAACGTAGCTAGTGCGTGGGAGATTGCAAACGAGATGGAAGAGAAACTAGGGAGAGTATCAGTTAGTATTTACAACCGTATCTTATTGGCGTGCGTGGAAGCTGCTCTTCCTGGGCGTGCCTTGGAAGTGCTAGGTGTGATTCGGCGAAAGGGAGTGACTCCGGACATTATTTCTTACAACACGGCACTGGAAGCTTTTGTAAAAGCTGGCGAGCGAGCGGCATGGTGGAGAAAGCACAAAGGCAGTTGGGAGGGGGAAGATGTAGATAGCGACATTGGTGAAGCTGACAGGAATGACTATTTTGGAAGTGTTGATGTGATGAAAGGTGAATGTGGTTCAGGAGAGCCTACTCTGGTTGCTGGTTGTAGTGTGAATCTGGTGCCATCTAAAGATTATGAGCTTGAACAACGTGAGAAAGCTACATGGGTTCGTGCTAGCATTCTGGGTCTACTCGAGGACATGCAGCAAGGTCAAGTGAGACCGGACATGATAACTTATGAGCGTGCAATAGCAGCGTGCAGTGTTAATGAGGATTCCGAAGGTGTGATCACTATATTCGACCACTATCTCATCGATCGAAGCAAGATTACCGTCGAGCTGAAAAGCGATCTCGTAACTGAGTCCTCTTTTTCAGCCTATCTCGTGGAGTGCACGTCATTGCAAGACAAAGACCGTGTGATTGAAGCTTTGTCACTTTTCCGCAAATGGCACGCTGCAACGGGCCAAGCGCCACCAGCATTTGTCATGGCGCAATTGTTGGACTCACTGGACGATTTAGGCGAATGGCGTCGAGCTGTTCGGATGCTTCCCAATTGGCAGGCATTGTTTGGTGTTCCGCCCAGCGTTGCTGTATTTAATCGTATCATGCAAATGTGTAACCGTGCAGAAGAATACCAGCTTGTGGCTCCAATATTCGCTACTATGCAGGATACCGCAGCTTATCGTGTTTACCCCGACACAGAAAGTTACATTCAACGAATTTATGCTGAGGAGCAGCGCGAAAATTGGGTAGCAGCCACGGATCTGTTTATAGAGATGCAGAAAATATGTCCGAGCGATGACATTCCACACCAACAGCTTCAAAAAATTGCATTAGGTCGCTACAGGATGCGTCAAAACGAGCATTAAGGTAAACAGCGCGTGGACTCAATCAAACGTTGTCAACGTAGACAAGAACGCTTTTACATGAAGAATGCTCGCACATCTAGTTCCTAAGCAAGCAAGCTCTCTTTGTCGTCGTGAAGCTCGGGGATCAAAGACGAATAAGACAAATTGGACTTGGAGCTGGAAGTAGCGCTGATGCTGCTGTAATCCTCTTCGTGGCTACGTCTTGCGTAAATTGACTTGTCTGAGGCATTGCAATGAAAAAACACCGCGCCAAAGATGAGGACGACTGCAGCAATTGCAAACACGAGGTCCCATGATCCCGTAGCTTGCAGGATTGCGCCTGTGACCACATTACCAATGATGCCCGGGATAGTGCCGAAGGTGTTGGAGATGCCCATAACATGTGCAGCGTGATTCGGCGCTACATCAATCATGTTGACCCAATATCCAGCCATAGCGGCGCGGCTGGTGAACAGTGTCATACACAGTAAAGCCACTGCCATGGGGGCTGACTTGGCGAGGCGTAGCGAGAAGAGAAAAAAGGCGCATCCAAAGAACGAAAAAGCATTCATTGTTTGGCGCACATGCAGTTCGCGGTATCCGCGAGTGACCAGGAGATCACCCAGTTGCCCGAACAGTAGGGTGCCGGTGTAGCCACACATGTAAGGCAGCGCGGCGGCAAACCCTCCCGTTTTGGTCAGATCGAGATTCAAAGCTAATTTAAAGTACTGTGGAATCCAGCCCAATAGGACGTACCAGCTGTAGTTGTAGCACATGTGCGCAACGTAGATCGCCCACGCTGGCCGTGAGGTCAGCAGCACCCGCCAGTTGATTGCATGGGTGTCTAGCTCAGCGCGCGAGCTCTGACGTTCGTGAGTGTCTGGATCGACTGTGCGGTTGCAAAGAATGAAATTGCGTTCTTCAGCCGTGATGTAGGGATCATCCTCTGGTCGGCTCATTCCCATAAAGACGTACACTACAACCCAGATGAAGCTGAGTGCGCCGAATACAATAAAAATGCATTGCCAACCACTAGCTGCCATAATTGCAGGCGATATGATCAGCGCAGAGATAGTGCCTAGGTCGGAACCACTTGCCACTAGTGATACAAGGCGACTTCGTTCCTGTATCGGGTACCACGCACCAGCAATTTGGTGCATACATGGGAACAAAATACCTTCTCCAAGCCCCATCCCTATTCTCGTCACAAAGAGACACGTGAAGCATTTTGCCACTAGTACCGTCGACAGATCCTACAGTTGTGGCACATACCGTAACAAAGTGTGACCACATGAATCTATCTCACGAAGGAATTGAGTATAATTACTTACAAAAAGTGTCCATACAATGACACCAACAAGTAAAACAAGTTTTGCACCAAATCTAGCAGCAAAATACCCTCCAGGAATCTAATAAACAAGAGCAGCAACAAGAGCAGCAGCAATAGTTAAAAGCACCACAAACAATTCCTTTTCTTTCTCTCATTTGATCATGTCATGGACGTACTTGGGTACACATGTAGCCATAGAAGAAGGCAGAAAGTATTTCACCCTGTTCCGTTGTATGTGTGATAAATGACGGTAATGCAATGCCCATATTTGTGCCTATTAATCCACTCAAACAGCTCAGAAATTAGATTCAACACATGATTTAGTATTCACGATAAATGGATTCAATCTCTTGCAATAGAACGTACGATCAGCATAACAAATAGTAGAGACACATAGACATAGAAATGCCGTCAGATAGCGTCGTTTACCACGTGGTAACTCTAGATACACGTCTTTTGCAGTGATGCGATCGATCTTCTGCCATCTTGCATTCGTAGCTGTTGCCATGGGTATTTTATTATGGAAATCAATAATAGGATCGAATATATGGTTTTAGTATATATTTTGAGTATAATTATATAGAATTTAGGTTATCATGTTGAAATGGGTGATTATAATTAGATAGAGGTATGAAGATTTTATATGACTATTAATATGTTTGTCAGAAATATATATTTATATTACACCGTATACAAGAAGATAAAGTATTTTGTGCGTTTTTTACGACATGAAGCATATATATTACGCGTATGTGTAGATAAGCTTACATGATGGAGTAATGGAAGTTAGTCATCTCTTTGAGAGCAAACTAAGGTGCTTTTATCGCTTTGAAACAGCATGAGATGACGTTTTCGGAGTCTTGCGAGTTTCTGCTCTTGCATTCGGTATTTTCATGCTCTTGTTCGTGTGGACAACGAGGAACTTCTTCTTGTGCAGCCCCGATGATCCTGTTTTCTTCATCTTGGACGGAGTGACGGGTTTGATTGATGTTTGACGTCCTGCCAGACTTATTCCAATCGAATTTGCTTCGGTGGCGGATACAGGATCATATTGTTGAGAATCTTGACTGCTGCTTGAAGCGGTGACGTCAGTGACAGCATCAATGCTGACGGGAGCATTGCTATGGGATTGCATCGCGGAGAAGGTGGTCGTCACATTATCAGGGCGACCTGGGTGACTCATTCTCCTTCTCTTGTGACTTGGCTCATCATCACCTAACGAGTTGGCGTAGCTGGATGAATGCTGCGTGATGACCAACTGCTCAGCTGAAATTTTCGTGGACGCAAAGGACGGGAACGGCCGGTCATCCGTCTTCACAGGTGTCGTTCCTGTTCTTGTATTGATCTAGATCAAATTAACAATTGTTGCAAGCAAACAAGTTGGAAACAATCACATATGAATGAAAACCATATCATGAGTATCATACCTTTCGTTTCTTCATGTATGTTTCCATTTCGTCTAGTTGCTGGGTGGACGCTGCAGTAGCTTTGACAACAATGTCATTACCAAGAGATGCGACTGAGTCAATCTTGCCCTTTGTATGCGAAATATGACATTGAAGCCCTTCTCCCAGTGTCTTGTACCCTCCATTCACAAGTTGCCGGAGCTCTTTGTGCTCATCAAAGAATTGCATTAATTGCTCTCGCCTCTTTATCAATGTTGCAGCATCATCCTGTGAATGCTTCTCCGACAAAGAAAGCTCTTTCTCCGAGTGCGTGTTAGCAAGCTCAGTAGTATCGTTCCTCCATGTCATTTGTTGTCGTTCGTGTGATTTAATCAACTCGGTTTGTCGTGCGTTTGTTTCACCAAGTTGGCCTCGCATTTCAGACAACCGCTCACAACACCCAGCCGTCTCACTCTCCTGTTTTGCGTTTTGACTGCCCATCGCCTGCACAAATCCCTTCATTTGCTGCTCCGTAATGGTCTGCACATGCGAAAGGTGTTTGTGTTGCTTCTTCGTGTTCTCTTCGATAAGCAGCGTCTGCTCGTCGAGCTTCCGTGATTGACTTTGGATACACGTCTCAATGTACTGCGCAAGATGTGCCTTCACGCCATTTAGTTCCTCCTCTTGCCGGGCACGACTATCTTTTAGTGCAGCCACAAGTGCTGCCTTGCTTTCGTCGAGCTCCTTGCCTTGTTTCACGACCGACATGTCAATTGCTGCCTGTAGCTCCAGCAATTTATCGCTTTGCTCCGTGAGAAAACTGGCTAGCTCTTTGCGAGAACATTCCAGTGTCGATTGTACATTTTCGAGAAATGCAACATTTTGCCACTTAGACGTGGACAAGTCTTCCATGATAACTGTCGCGTGGCACTTGGATACCTCGACGAGCTTGTCAAGCTGGTTTTGCATAGCTTCCTGTTGCCTTTTCATCGATATGACCACTTCTTCACGCTGTCGTGTCCTTTGAGCATCGTCTGCAGCAAGCGATTCGGTGATCTGCAATCTATGCGCTTCGACAAGACTTTGCATTGCATTTAAACTAGTGATCAAACCATCCAAGTCGGTTGAATGACCCGTCTGCAGCTCGTGCAATGCACTCGAGACATCGTGAAACATACTGTCTTGACTCTCCATTGTGTTCTGTGAGCTTTTTCAGGAACGCACCAATTTGGCATTGCACATCACTACGATACAAAGAGGCTAGCTCTGTGTTGGTCTCTTCTGTGCGCTGTGTGTTCTCTACAATCCCAGCACGCGAAATCAGATATTAGCAAATATGCTTCTACGATAGCTGAAGATGACCCAAACGTACCAATTTTCACCAAAAGCTGAGCAGCCCGGTTTTCACAGGCATCGTACAACTTCTCAGCGGTAGCTCCGTTTGCAAGTAGAACTTGCTCATTCTCCTGATAGGCTTTCAGCACGTTCTGTACTTGCTGCAGCTCATGAGTCGTCTTCTCCAAGGTTTGCTTTGTCAAAGTAAGTTCATCTTCTGTTCTAGTCAGTTTGTCGCTTACCTCTTGCTTTGCAAGTGTCAGAGACGCGACCTCGCTCGCATGCTTTTCAGCAACTTCCTCGAGCTCTTTACAGGATATGTTCCTCGCCTTTAGAATATCCTCCAGCTCCGTTAATTGCACGGTCTGACCAGCAAGTCGCTCTTGCATGTCAGTAAACTGCTCCAGTGGGAGGTACACACCATCTTTCATTCTAGCAGCTCGCAGAGCTGCACGAAGCATTTCAATCTCGCTTCCAAAATCATTCAGCAATCCTGCCTTGGTCATTTTCTGGTTCAGTTCCGGTTTGTTTTTGATATTCTTTGCGCGGAATGCATACTCTAACGTGCTAAGCGTCTCATCAAGGCTGTCTGCACAAGGAGCTAAAGTCGCAATAATCGTTGTTTTTGCCCGTCCTCCAAGGGACTCTTGCAGCAAGCGCGTAAGCTTACTATCGCGATACGGGACGTGTGGGAGGTTGTCAACGAGCGCCGTGATTACTCGTCCCAAAGTGAGCAAACTCTGGTTGATCGTACCTGCTTCACGCGCTCTGGCATTGCGTGCGCCTGATCGACCAACACATTCGGATCCTGCAAGGTCCACAAGGTTTAATTGTCCAACACGTAACAAATCTTCACCTGCCGCATTGTGTTCTTTACTATGAATTCGAACGGTAAAAATACTATGGGAACGACTCGAGTTTTCATTCATCAAAGTCTCGGACGTAATGCGATTTTTTACACCAGTATTCACCAAATCATACACGTGCTTGGCTGTCGTTGCTGTAATTTCCAGCAGATTGACGCAGTAAATTCCTCCTCGCTTTGTATCTTCCATGAGTCTCAATTTCTTATCCGTGTCAGGATCCAGCAAATCTTTTAACTCTTCATTGTAGAGCTGCAAGAAGGATACACGGACACTAAATTCCTCGTCACTTGCCTTCAGAGTATCAAAAATACATTGGACACTACGTGGAATAATCCCAGCCGTCTCACTGCCACGAGACAAGTCGCCTTGCATTGTATACGTCTTGCCCGTGCCCGTCTGACCATAGGCAAATACAGTACAATTGTAACCAGCCAATGCTTCATCCACTGCAGGACGTACGACAGTATCAAATACGTCCTTTTGGGTTGAATATTGACCAAAGACACGGTCAAACGTATACGTCTTGCGCTTCAGAACGGCCACTTCGTTGGAATTCGGCTTGCATTGAACAACAGCACCACGTCCTGTGGATTTTTCACGATGATTGAGAGGACGACAACGGACTGCAACCTGTACATTAGTAGGTGTTGGTAAGGGAGGAGGGGTGTCGTGGTTAGTACTGGGTGAAGACGACGACAAGGGCGACGACATGGGGCGATGTGACTCTATTACGTGACCTTTTTTTTCAAAATGTGGGGTGAAAAATTCATGTTTTTGACGAATCAAAGAAGACGTGATTTTTAGTGTACGAATTAGCTGGCAGCAATGACATTTTAATAGTGTTAATGCAATAGTTTGGTTACAGGTACGATGATAGTCTGTGTGGAAAGATGAAATTGTCAATACTTTTTATTCGACCGATTATCTCGTGACCAGTCATTATCAATCTACTGCGACCATGGTGGAACAGTCCAAGGTTCATGAGACTCTACTGGATGGACAAAAGCCCTTTGCTGCGTGTGAATTTGGTCTAGATCGACGTTTATCCAAGGCTGTAGCCAAGATGCGCTTTGTGCATGCGACACTCGTGCAGATGCACTGCATTCCATTGGCGTTGCAAGGTAAGGATTTACTTGTACGTGCTCGAACAGGATCGGGCAAGACTGCGGCCTTTGCACTGCCATTGTTGCATAAGATATTACAACAGAAACAGGACGCACCTGTCAGTGAACCAGCAATACGCGCTCTAGTGTTGGTGCCCACAAAAGAGCTGGTGGAACAGATTCGACGTCATATGAATGAGTTGATGTACTATTGCCAGGATACAGTGAGTCTGCTTGCATTAGGTGGACAAAGCATGAATGCACAGCAAGCGCTACTACGTGACGCACCGGACGTGCTTGTTGCCACACCAGGTCGGCTCGTGGCTCACCTTGAAGCTGGCAATTTGACGCTTAAGGACTCGGTGCAGACAGTAGTCATTGATGAAGCTGACTTGGTGTTGTCTTTTGGATATGGAGAAGATATCCGCAGCATCTTTAACGCGCTGCCAAAGGCGTGTCAGACATTCTGCATGTCAGCGACATTGAGTCCAGAGCTGGAGAAGCTTAAGCGCTCGGTCCTGCACAATCCTGCGGTCGTGAAGCTTGAAGAGGGAGCGACGGATGGAAAGCTCCAGCAATTCTACTTACCTGTAAAGGCTGTTGATAAAGATCTACTGCTATATGCGTTGCTGCGACTTGGCGTGGTGAGCGGTAAGGTCATCTTCTTCGTTAACTCGACGGATGCGGCATACCGACTCAAGCTTTTCTTTGAGCAGTTTGTGATCAAGAGTGCAGTACTGAACGCCAAGTTGCCGCACAACTCACGTCAGCACATTATTGAAGAGTTCAATCGCGGCCTTTTCGACTACTTGATTGCTACGGACGACAGCGTCGATCGCGACGAAGTTGGTGATGAAGACGACGACGACGATGATGACGAAGAAGAAGAGGCGGCGGATGCAGAGCAGGAAGAAGAGGAGACGGCAGATGCTGAGAAGTCGGATGCGGATTCAGACGCTGTGGAAGAAGAAGTTAACGACGAGGAGGATCGCAACGAAGAGGATGAAAGTAACGAACAAGAGGATGATGACAGCGAAAAGGAGGAGGATGAAGCCACGGGAAGTGACAAGGGAGAGGCAACTGAAAACGACAATTCAGCTGGCAACGGCAATAAACAGCAGGAGAAAAAGACGGCAGGAACGAAGCGAGAACGTGCTCACGATGAAGACTACGGGGTGTCGCGCGGTATTGACTTTCGTGGTGTTCAATTTGTTATCAATGTGGACTTTCCGAAAAGTGTGCGTGCGTACACCCACCGCATCGGACGTACAGCTCGTGGAGGTGCCGCTGGTACGGCGTTGTCTCTTGTATGCAAAGAAGATGCCAAGGAAGAGCGTGCGCTGAAGCGTGTGCAAGCGAAACAGCAGGCTGTTCGCTCCGAGGCACATGATGTTATTGCCCAGCCCGCTGAACTGGCTTTTGATCTCAAAGAAATTAATTGTTTCCGCTATCGCGTGGAAGATGTTCGTCGTGCTGTCACACGTGTGGCCGTGCGCGAGGCTCAGCTGGCTGATATTAAGAAGGAGATGCTCAATTCCGAGCGTTTGGCGGCATACTTTGAGGCCAACCCGCGCGATCTAAACGTGCTCGAGCACGACAAAGTCGTGGGCTCAGCGCCAGTGCAGTCTCACCTGGCGACAATCCCGGATTACCTTGTGCCTATTGAGCTGCAACCACCGGCACCAGCACGCACCAAGAAAAAGTCGAACAAGCGGCAGCGTCTCACTGACGGCAAGCGCCGTATCGACAATGACCCATTGCACACGTTCGTGGCTCCTAATGCTGGTGACGACAACAAGAAGCAAACAGCGGAGGATCGTATCAGCTATGGCAACGTTGGTGTAGGCAGGAGTACTGCTGGTCGTCAGAAATGGAAGAAACAACACCGCAAGGGCCACTTTAATCCCAAAACGATTGCCAAGACGAAGTACAAGATGAGCAAGGGTGCCACTCATTAATATGCCTTCACTTTGAACCGTGTTTGTTACCTGACGCGAGTTTTGACCAGGTCGTTGTTCTTGCATTGCTTGCCGAATAGATGCATGTGTACACGTGTTTGCTTCGTTTCCGGTCTTAATTGTCTTGTGTTTGTCTTCTAAAGGTTGTGAGCAAATACCGACGAAGCAAAGCGTGGATTGAAACGGGTCGGTTGATGCCAAAATAGTGCAGAGCTGCTCTTGGTAAGTTGCTGCTAGACACGACTATCGTTGCCTTCATCTTGCTGCTAGTGGATAAATCGACAACAACGTGTGAGTCGTTTGGATGTGTTGAGTGCACGCGAGAAGTTTGCATAAGGACTCGCTTTGAATGAACAACCTCCGGTCACTCCACAAGGATATGTTGCGTCAAACGTCCTTTCATGTTGTCATCTTCTGCAAGCACGATCGCGGCTCGGCCACATGAAAAAAATTGCACTCATGCCACAGCCACATCTCCTGTTGCGGGTGACTGACTGCGTTAATGGTCGGTCACGTATTGCAGTGGTAACAGCTTCGTGAGCATTCGTCTCTCTATTGTCAACGCACATTGCTGCTAGCTGAAAGACTTTGTACGCGAAGAAACGTAGCGCAGATTCACCGATATCAATCGTTATCACAAGCTTTCCCCACCGTTGTCACAAATGCCAAGTAACGATATGCCGTGTCCTGTGGCGCACTTGCTGCTTTATAATCAGAAAGGTAGAGCTGACAACGGGTCAGAGGCTTATGCGTAGCTGCGTTTCTAATTGTGCTTGGCGTATGAGTATTCGGTCACGTCACTGGACGAAGCATGGCTTGACGACTTGCCTCAAGTATATTGTTATCCCGTTGCGACACTGTTTTAGAAGTTTTCATCATCATTGCTGCTCAGCTTGCCTCCGTCTCCAGCGTGCTTGAATCAACGCAGCGGAAGACAAGACACTCTTCCAAGAGAAGACCAACTACGAGATATACGCACTTCCTTCTCGCCATTTTTTCTAAATCAAACAATGAATGTGGTGATTGTCTTCGTATGCCACACTGCGATACAGTCTGTATTCATACCGTGAGCGCAGTGGTCTTGCACACTATCGAAGCTAATCGCATCGCGTATTCAAACAAGTGGGCGTAAAAGCTCTAGATCCGCTAGCAGGCTATGACGAAGTCCGTAGCACAAGTACACAGCCAGCCCCACACTCAACCAGATGAGCACACCGATCCTGTAAGCAGTCAATTGCCAGATACCGAATCAGTAGCAAGAACGTACGTTGAGGCAAAAAAGGATATACGTACCAGCCCTCACTGGGGATACTTGCCACCATGTATACATTTGCAAGAATCCCGACGCACGGTACAAGCGGCACGAGTGGGCACTGAAATGATGTTGGAAGGCCACTGTGATCAATAAACAAATGCACGCGACACGGCAGTTGGTACCACAGCCGTCAAACCCATCGACACCAGTCATACTGCGTACCTGAGCTTGCCCAATCGATAAATGAACATGAATGAAGCGATCACGAGCAATGCGAACACGCCTTGAATAATCCAGGAAAGATCAAACACAAAAGATAGCGATAATGCAAAGCACGATATCACGTATAATAGAACACGGTGGATAACGCTAGCACCACTAAAACTTGGACGCATGCGCAGAAGAAGAACGCCAGTATTTACAAAAGTAAAGACTTGTAACGTTCCGCACGAAATCACGTTGGCTAGAAAATCAAGCTCAAAGAGAAACGCGATGATCGAAACAATCGTCCCAGTTAATATTGTACTAGCAACAGGCACATGCGTTCTGCGGTGAAGCGTGGCAAAGAGTGGTGGCAGCAAACCATCCTTGGCCATCTGGTAAAAGATACGAGGTTGACCCATCAGACAGGTAAATGCAGCTGTGGTAAGTCCAAAAATCGAGCCGAACGACACTATACGCCCGGCCCACGGTGCGTCATGGAACATAAAGGCATTTACAAGCGGAACTTCGTCCCCCAAGATGCTCACAGGTGCCATTCCAGTCACCACGAGCGAAACGCCAATGTAAATAATCATTGAAATCAAGAGCGAGCCAATGATTCCTTTGGGCAGGGTGCGTTGGGGCTCATGTACCTCTTCGGCGAGACAAGCTACCATATCAAACCCCAAGTACGCGAAAAAGACCACGCCAGCACCCGTCAGGACACCGTGAAAACCAGCAGGCATAAATGGTTTCCAGTATGTAGTATCAACTTCAGTACTTCCAAATGCCACTACGAAAAGCAGTACCGAGATGTTCAATAGTGTCACAAATGAATTAAACTTGGCAGACTCCTGTAACGTACACACCCCGTAAGCCAAAGCAACATATTAGTAGCAGCATACGCAGTTGGTAAATCAATATGTAGTTGAAAAACAGTAAAGTACGTACGCGAACGCCAGCGAGTAGAATGAAAGTACAGCAGATCACGAGAAACGCTGCTAGGATACTATACGAGACACCATGAATCTCTACACGTACAAGCCACTTTGGAAGATAAAGACCGAAATGTTGCAAGAACAAGTGGGCATACGAAGCCCAACTCCGTGCAATACCGGCTACAAGAAAGACAAAAACACACGATAGATCATTGTTAAGTGTAGAACAAACGCTTGAGATCAGTCTATTGCAAGTCATTTACCTGCTGAAATACCGTATCCAAGCGTTAGATTCCAACCAATTAACCACGCAGACAGCTCTCCAAACGTAATATACACGAATGTGTACGCAGAGCCCGTGACCTTCATTCAGCATACAAACATTCCGTTTTAATTCACCCTTTTTATTCGAATATAGATAGAGATAGATAGAGAGAGATAGAGAGAGATAGAGAGAGATAGAGATGGATAGAGATAGATAGAGATATTATAACATACAGGTACACGAGCTGCAAATTCTGAGTAGGTGAGTGACGTAAACATACAAGCAATGCCACTGATAAAGAATGACAGTGAAATACTTGGTCCTGTAATCTGTGCACCAACACCAACAAGGGAATAGACACCAGCACCTACGGAACATCCGACTCCATACGCTACTAGATCTATTAGTGTAAGACATTTATGTAATGAATTTGATCCCTTTTCACAATGAGATAAGGGCTTTATACGACATGCAGCTGCTAGAAATCCTGCTATCATTACGTCGTGTCTCTTGATGCGGAATATCTGATAATTGCTGTCGATCGTGGACTCAGATATTACGCTAGACAGGGATTAAGAGAATAGGTTTTTGATATTTTAGCCAATGAAAAACTATATTTATATGATTGGTTAATATTTCATCCGATCCAAAAAGGGGGTGTCCAATCCAAAAAGTTCAAGCAAAAGTAAACATGGCGTCAATTGCGACTGAAGATGAACGTACACAGGTGTTGAATGCGTATAAAGCAAAGGTTATGGAACATCGTGAGATGGAAAGCAGGTATGCATCTTTCTATTGATATTCAAATGAGTCTCAGAAGCGTTGTCTAGACTGCAATATCTCATTGTAAGCATTAACGTCTCTGTTTGTCACGTGTCAACTAATTTCTTGTCGTTTTCTACTGGAAAATAGAGTGAAAAACATGCGAGAAAATGCAAGAACGCTTGTCAAGGAGTTTAACAAGACAGAGGATGATCTGAAGGCTTTACAGGTGCGGCATTTGCGTCACTTGAAGTCATTTGTACCTTCATTTAATGACATTTTTACTGTGTAGAGTGTGGGACAAATTATTGGTGAAGTATTGCGTCAATTGGATGAAGATCGATTTATTGTCAAGGCATCAAGTGGTCCGCGTTATGTAGTTGGATGTCGTGCGAAGGTGGAAAAGAGTAAACTCAAGTCAGGTACGCGAGTGGCACTGGACATGACTACGCTCACTATCATGCGCTACCTACCACGTGAGGTCGATCCTACAGTGTATCATATGCTGAACGAGGATGCTGGCAATGTATCGTTTTCAAGTATTGGTGGCCTGAATGATCAGATTCGAGAACTTCGCGAGGTCATTGAGCTACCATTGACGAATCCAGAGCTCTTTTTGCGTGTCGGCATCAAGCCACCGAAGGGCGTGCTACTCTATGGACCACCTGGTACGGGGAAGACATTGTTGGCACGTGCACTAGCGTGCAACATTAATGCCACCTTCTTGAAAGTTGTGGCGAGTGCTATCGTGGACAAGTACATTGGTGAAAGTGCTCGAGTGATTCGTGAGATGTTTGGATACGCTCGTGATCACCAACCGTGTGTCATCTTCATGGATGAGATTGATGCCATTGGTGGAAGCCGCTATTCAGAAGGAACGTCGGCTGATCGTGAAATCCAGCGTACGCTGATGGAATTGCTGAACCAGCTTGATGGCTTTGACGCTTTGGGACAGGTAAAGATGGTCATGGCTACGAACCGACCAGATATTTTGGACCCTGCTCTACTGCGTCCTGGTCGTCTTGATCGTAAGATTGAAATTCCACTCCCAAACGAGGCTTCACGCATGGATATTCTCAAAATTCACTCGGGCCCCATCACAAAGAAGGGCGAAATTGACTACGAGTCGATTGTCAAGCTCACAGATGGCTTCAACGGTGCCGATATGCGTAACGTGTGTACCGAAGCAGGTATGTTTGCTATCCGTGCTGACCGCGAGTACGTTGTGGAAGAAGATTTCATGAAGGCAGCGCGAAAACTGGGCGAGACCAAGAAGCTTGAATCCAAGATGGATTATAGCAAGGTTTAAATTGGCTGCTGTATCACCTCCGTGTGGATGTCTATCGTTCCTACTTTTCTCAGACTGTGTCAAGGTTGAATCATTCAACGGTTGACCAGATCCAACATATACGAGACAATGGGGAATGAAACACCGTGTGGTGGGCTGTATCTGGTGTTGACGTTGTGCTACATTTCCTATTTGCCATGATGATGCTTGCTCATGTTTTGTTTAGGTTGATGTTGCGAAAAACTTCATGCAGGTGCGATATAGATTGCTAGGGATGCATTTTTGCATTGTCTCAAGTGCATTTGCGTAGAGAATGAAGACGGCCTAGGTAGCACATGAGCCCGGAGTGCCTGCAAGCTTTTTTGGTAAGTCTGCTGCACGCTACGATGTTGGAGCGCTACTACAAAACTTGCTGCGCTTCATTCAACTATCGCGTCGCAGCTGAGGGAACAGTGGAAATAAAACATCTAAAGTCGTTTGCAGTATCAGCTACATACTAAGATGGGCAGAGCTACTACAAACGCGACACGACCGATGATCTTACTGACGGATTTGTCAAATGAATGCTAGATGGGGAACACAAGTTGCTTGATTACGCAAATGAAGGAGACGCGGCTTTGGAAATATAGATGCTTGCTGGAGCGTCTTCGATATCCGGCTGCTTGCTGTAACTGCTTCAAATCGCGTCTTGGCGGGTTGACAGTGAAGGTCTTGTGAAGGCAGCGACACTGCCAGGTATGTGTGGCATTTGCAGCGAAGATCAAACACAACTGCTGAGCTACCAGAGCAATGCGATGCATCGCGTTATGCGTGGTGACATGATGCAACCGATCTTCTTGCACATCTTGAGCTTAGACGCATATGCGACTGGTTGCTTACGCCTCTCGCATGTTTTATACGTGCATACAATGCTCATCGGACACGAATAGTTCCAATTCATTCCATTGCGTCGCAATCGTGGCTTGATAGCTGGAACGACACTAACTTTTGTGTTTTTGGCCACCTTTGTCATGACTACACAGCAACAAGAAAACTACAGACGACTACCATTGTTGACAGCAGAAACCTTCAGGCATGGACATGCGACAAGAAAGAAACAAGCAGATAAACTGAATAAATAGTGCTCACTATATCAATGAGCATATAAAAAACGACAATTGTGGCGGTCATCGTTTAGACTACTGTAGTTTGATCAATCGGAGAGGAAGCTACAGACATCGGCACTGCTGGAACAAGAAGAGAGTCGATTGCCGTGGCAGAGTGTGGCGTACAGCTATTGTGGACTTCAACAAGCTGCAGATCGTACCGCAGTCGTCTGAGGTCCACAAGTGATCGGATTTTGTGGAACTGAAGACCAAGAGCAAGACTCACATGCTCTTCCTCAAGTCCGTCACCAATAGCAACAAATTCCACGTCTGGTGCGTCGTACTTCTTCAAGATTGTTTCAAAACAGTGGTATTTGTGTACCTTTGCCGAGGAGTACACATGGTCAATCGGAAAGAACGAGTCCAGTTGGTAAATGAGGCACTTACACAAAGCTGGCACCAATTGGGTATTTGTAACCAGCACATTCACATTCTCCACCCCTTCCTCTTCATTTCTGGCATTGTCAGGACATGCTTTGGACTTGACGGATCCTGCTGCAGACTCGGCAATAAGCTCCAGTACTTGACGAGCTTCGTTCAGCCAGCCAGTTGAAAAGTTGTCGATAGCAGAAATGAGTGCATTATGAATGGCAAACCACTCACTATTAGCATCATGAAGAAAGTCCACGTGGCCACGACGTTCATAGATCTCACGAATACGTTCATATCGCTCCTGTACACTAAGTTTTTCATCAGTTGTCGTCGAAGTTACATGTGCAATATGGTCTACATCTGTATCATGCAAGTCACTAAAGAAAAAGTGTCGCTCCAACATGGTCAGCATGAAGGTCATCATCTGTTCACCTAGTACAACACCTGGCGCCACCTCTTTGCCGTGTGTTTGAGCAAATGCTCCAGTATACAACGAAGCAAAAAGCACCAGCGTCTCATCTAGGTCCCAGATAAACACGCGTCTTCGCACTCGCAGCTTCATCAAGCCTTTCGTCTTGCGTTTCTCCTCTGTTGTATCTTCGTTATCCTCTTTTTCGTCCTCTTCTTCACCAACTTGTTCTTGGTCTTTCTTCTCGTCGCTAGACTGTCTCTCCTTCACGTTCTCTTGAGTCACCGTCTTTTGTCGCTTCACAGACCGCGAGTTGTCTTCACCGTTATCAACGTCTTTCTTGTGATCACTATCAGAAGACTCACGTCGTCGTTCTTTCTCCACTTGATCCAAACATGAACTCTTCTCTGCTGATACCATAGACACCTCGAGTCGCTTAAACGGCAATAAGGTCGGCACTAGTGTCAACAGTGCAGCCCACATACGTGCACGCCACTTGAATATCTGATGCTGACGTTGCAACGTCTCCATCCATTGTAGACCAAGCACAATTGTCATGCAACCGCATAGACTCAAACCCACGACAGGTAGGAGTACTAGTTTGCAAACAGCATCTCCTAATCGTGCACTCCATGATGCTATCATCACTTTTCGTCTTGTCTCCTTTGTCTCGTCGTGAACTTGAGTGACTGGTGGTTAGTACGTACGCACATGTCTGCGCTCTGTTCAAATTTCGAATGCCAGGCTGACACAGCAAGCGTCACTGTCCATCTCGAAAAAGCTTCAGCATCTTGGACCACTCTTATTGGAATACAAAGCCAGGACAAGGCGAAATTGATGCAACACGACGCAAGTCACTCACTGCATTCATTTAGTGAATTGGGACAAGTGTGCATTGATTGAATCATTGTTGGGAGTTAGCATTTATTCTTCCTATCTCTTTGGATCATCCTATATCGTGTGAATCTACAAGAAGATAGAACAATAACAGCAATAACACGAGAATGAGATCTTTGACCACATGGACAGAGACATCGTCAAGTCACAAATCATTTGATCGGCAGGAGTAAATCATTGAAACACCATCAAAGCACAAGATTCGATTTGCTCCTACTATTAGCATTATAAACCACTTACTGCCGATGAAAGATCGTGCCATTGCTGCAGTACCAATGGTAGCTGATGCATCTCGCTCGTCATATGGTTTGGAACGTCCCTAGACAGAAAAAATGTCATCATTGAATAGACGTAACAAACGTAACTCTAATGCAGTAATATAGTGTCCATCTTACCACCAAATGAGCTCATCAAAGTGATCATCAATCTCCCAAATACGACCTTCATCCTCCTCGTGTCGTATTCCATTGTCTTCCAAGACAAGACCTACATCCATCCACGTTAACAAGAATGATAGGAACAATTGGACAATTATCGACTGTATACATCCTAAACAACGCACCCGTAAAACCCATTGGTGTCAATGACATCTTCTCGCCCTGCAATTGAATGCCACGAAACTCTGCATGCAGCATATTGTTGTCATTGTCCTTGCCATCCAGCTCGACCTTAACGTCTTGCTCTTCCAAAGTCGATCCACCGTGGTCTGTGCTGTTACTGTTTCCATCAATGAGCTGTGGTTGAAAATAAGTGTGCACAGGAGCTAATCCATCATAGTGAATGCGACATGGCAATGAGTGCACTTGCTGCTTTATTGCTGGCAAAGGACAGCGCGTCAGACATACACGCACGGTGCTCGAGGCGTTATCTTTTGTCATGTTTGATTCACTTGTTAGAAATAACTTATTGCGTTAGAAATGCATTCCCGCCAAAAAAACAGTATAGAAATATACAGTGCGTACTTAACACTGACAGTAATCGTCATGGATGATGTGGTAGGTGATAGACGACACCTTCTTGTAATGACTTTCTCTCTCTCTGTAGTTTTAATGTGTTCATCTCACCTCTCTATCTATATATATACATGCAGCAATCGATTCCACATGCCAAGCGTTCTCGTGATGAAGCTAGCAAGATATTGGGTGAAAAAATGCTTCAGGTCGGTCCATACACAGTTGTAAAGGTCTTATGAATTGTTGCAATTGCTAAGGGTGCAAGGATTATAGGGTTGGGTATTGCTAGGTGCAAGTTGTCCCGTTGGGGACTGCTATACGCCTCTTATGCGTAATCATAAGGCACAGGTTTGTGGACGTAGTAGATTGATTGAGTGTATTTTGTGATGACAGTTTGATCTGCTCACAAACATCTCAAACGTGTGATGATAGATGTTCTGTGTAAGGTGTGATCAATATGTAGTCACTGCAGAAGATGCAAAGAAGCAGCACATGGAGAAGGAGGCTGAAGAACGGGCGTTTGTAGAGAAGGAAAAGACCGAGGCTGAAGATCAATTGGAGGAAGAGCGCAGGCGCCATATTGAGCAACAGTTTCGCTTGGAAGAACAAGCCAAGCAGGCTAGAGACATGCAGGAGCTCAACCGGACAACGTTGCAGTATTCGGACGCTTTACAAGGAGCTGGTATTGTATGCATGTATAGATTTGAACCTTGGATGTTGCTTGAACCATGTCTAACATGACGCGTCACTGTGTTTGACATAGCAAAGCGCAAGATTGACAATATGGTGAGCCAAAGCACGTCTGACGGCGACGTGAATACTGTTCGTCGGCAGACACTTGCTGCACTTTATCAGGTGGAACATCCGCATTTATTCTAGTCTAGCATTTCCTCTGGATATTGCTATGCGCTTTGAGGCACGATGTCTCCAAATCCAACTCATTAGCCTGTGTATTTGGAAAGTAGCTGATGTATTAATGTTTTCCGTGGCTATCCTCATTACACTATCCTTACAGAAAATGGAAGCTCTGACGGACTCGCTTTCGCCTACCGACCACGGCGAACGTCTTCTTTCCGTTGCCAAAGCTGTGCGAGAGATTGCTGAAGCTGCGCAGCTGTTGAAGAATTGATCGCTTTTGCACAACGCTGGCAACGAAGAGAATACTTGTTGGCCCATGGCAGCAACTTTAGAGCAGTTTTAATAATTGCAATCGTCAAGCCTTTCATTGTCTTGACGTAGATGTTCACAACGTAACGCTTGGGCAGCTACCTAGACAGTAAGTATACTTCATGCTTTACGCTTCATGCTACAAATTGCTATATGGTACCTACTCTACAGATCAGTGGTCTGCCGGACATCCTCAAATGCATCGTGCTCCTTCTCAGCCAGAAGAGCCTTTTCGTCATCTGAAATTGTTGCCGGCGTCGATTGGATGTGCAAAGTCTCTTCGACAAAGTAGTAAACATACAGAAGACACACGGCTGCAACACCACTGGAATACAAAACGGCAACAAAGGAAATGGTCAGCAGTAATCGTCACGATGACACGTCGAAGTGCTGTACAGTGCGCTTTGCACTAATATATCTTGACACGAACCTAAGGATTAAATAGAGCTTCGCAATTCCATTCTTTTCGGGATTCGAGCCACGGCCCAAAAAGTTGATGGCAGATAACGTGCCAATAGCAATCACAATGTTGCAGATATAGCTGACAATCATATAAAACGCAAACGCTCGTGTGCGGATGTGCACAGGCGTAATGTCTCCTAGCATAACCCTGTGCAGTTTATCAACACATACTGGAGTGGGCTTATACAGTTGATAGTCCATGAGCAACAATCAGATACGTACCACACGACAGCGCCAAGGCCCACAGCAAATCCGACAACAAACATGAGCACGGAACTTACAGCTACCATACCCTGTAGCTCAAGATTGTCGTTTAGATAAAGAAGTGACCAACTGAGTGCGCATAGTGCAATGGTCATGATTGTGGTCCCCACAATCAAAAGCGGTCGCCGACCATACAAATCGACAAAGCGCGCCGATACGATCGTAACGCCCACATTCGTAACACTAACAACAGCCGTGGCGACGAACGGGTTGGTCACTCCTGCAAAATGAAAGATCTTTGCCGAGTATAACATCACTGTGTTAATGCCTGTCATGGCCTGAAAGAACACAAGAATAGTGCCTGTCATCATGACTTTCTTATGCTCCAACAGGTTCAAAAAGGATACATGAGGCTCATGCCGTCGGTGCTCCATCACGCGCGCGATTTCTAGCATCTCTGCTTCAATAGCATCCTTCTGATTATTTGGACGTAGATATATCATCATTGCCCGGCATTCATCACGGCTGCGGTTCTTCATTAACCACCATAGACTTTCCGGCATGAACGACATGCTTAAACACTGCATCAATGGAGGTAGAACCATGAACCCGTTGAGATATCTCCACCCCGAAGGTACATTCAAAATAACAAAGAACCCAAGCACAGTAGACACCAACATGCCAATTGTGAGACTGAGTTGATGTAGTGACGTGATCATGCCACGTGAAGCAACGGGCGAGATCTCTGTAAGCAAAACGGGCACTGTGTTCGTGACGACTCCTGACGCCAATCCAACAAGCAGACGACCGATATAAAGCTCATGCTTAGAGGTTGCAAGTGCACAGACAGTGCTTCCAATGATATACAGCACGTTATTGACGAGAATCGTTGTCTTGAGTCCCACACGAGCACCTACACCGCCCGTCAAAAGCGCAGAAAATAAACAGCCTACGACGACCAGAGCCGTAGCACGCTCTTGTTCCGTCGTTGTGAGATTAATATCTACAAGGATCGATCCCACAGCATTTGGTACAATGCACAAATTAAGCACAGCGGCACCAAAACCCCACATGAAGGATGAGATGGAGACAATCCATGCTGCGAGCCGTAGTTGTCCCGTACGACCGCAGCCGACCCTAAAAGTTGTATCAAGACTGCTGTTACTGCTATTATAATCTCGACTATATGTTGTAGCCATATTAAATAAACCTCCCAGTCGCTTCCTTGGAGCAATTGTCTCATCCTTGGGCAAGAGTCGCTCGTCCATATCGTTATAGGTTTCCATCATTTACTGTGTTGAAATGGTGTATTCAGATCTGATTGACACACTAAATGAACATATACCAACGATACCACTCTGCGGCATAGCCGGTCCATATCCCCTAATCTACTCACCCATCATGAAATCGATGATCGTCATCGACGACCCTGCGTGTTTGGCAATAAAAAGGACTTTGCGATATCAAGCGGCTCATCTCATATGCAGTTTCAACATGCGCCCCTCGCTGGTCGAAACTACTGCGAAGAAGAAATCATCGTCGATACATTACGTTCAAATGGCGATGGTCATTCATTTATGTAGCACCACACTTTATACAGCAACCCTACTAGCATTTGGTGATACACTATAACCCGATACATTTGCAACATTTGATTGCCACAAGAAGCACATTGAGACTCTCAGTGATGATGTCGTCATGTAAGCTTTACATGTACAAGTATGTCTAGACTAGTATTTCTGTGACCAGACGGTATTTGTAACATTCGTCATGGGCAAAGCTAAAACTGTTTCACCAAAAAATGAAACATAACTCGTGCATCGGGTTAACACGATGCGTGCACGTTTGTAGATACTGCATTATGGGGAAATAGTGCGAGCACAATGTCGTCATTTATTACCCAGCAAGGTTCAGTGTCAGTGCTGCAAGTCCCAGAAACAAGACTTGCCAGCTATATGGTGTTTGTTTTCGCATACGCACGTCCCCGCAAACATATTCCAACGTGGTGTTTTGTCAATGTTGCGACGGGCATGGAAGCGACAATCGCACACATAGGGGTAGCGCTGCGCCTGAATACTATATATATATGTTGTAATTTCGAGAACCCCTCCCTGTCTCTTCTTTCATACAGAAGACATATTATTATAATACATCAGGAAAACTACTGGCTTGTTTGTATCTTTCACGTTAAATGATTCGTTGAAAACCGTCCATACCAACAGGTTTACGCTGTCGATAGCTAAGAAAAGCGAGAGGTTGCTAGAACGCAAAGTGCAAAGAAGAAGAAAGAAGAGAAAAGAGAAGAGAAGAAGAGTGGAAGAAGAAGAATTGGAAATTTAGTATACTAAGACTTGAGAGAATGTGTCGCCCGATTGAGTCCCGTGATTCATTAGGTGCCATGGGATCTGCCACCTCCGTGCTGTTTGCAAGCCATCCGTCTGCATACAATAACAATCATACAGTCCTGGCAAACCAAAAGGTTAAGAATGCTACGGGGCGTGCACCGATTTGGTCCACTGCCAATGACAAGAGCTTTGGCGTGGACGGTATCAATATGCTGAACATGACGGCACCACCCTTAGTGCTGCCTTTTGTAACCTCTTCAAAGAACAATACTGCATCAACGATACCGTGGGATACCGCTGCTCCCATGGACGACCTGCTGAGCTTGGGCTTGCCTAGCAACCAATTTCCGGCCAGTCCGATCCCCTTGGAAAGCAAGCCCAAAAAGATTCAAATGAACTTTGAAGCCCAGGAGTTGGAAGAGCTATTGGAATGTTCGATGCCTGGCGACTCAGTGAAGAGCAGTAAGGAAAACACAGGTCACGTGAACGTAAACGACGGCTTCGATGGAACAGAAATGTCCATTCTATACAGCTTTTTGGTGGATACTCCCAAGGTCACGTTTAAGAAGGTTGATGAAGTAGATGACGGTGTTTTGAACCTCAATATGATGACGGCATCTCCTGTTGAGAGGCTTGTGGAATCACTTGAGGCTGATTTTACGGATCCAGAGGTCATGATGATTCCGCGGTGTCAAAAGTCCAAGGTAGCTTCGAAAGTATTGAAGTGCCCTGGTGAAGTCAAAAACCGTCGTCTTTGCAAGAGCGAGGGCTGCTACAAGCGGTCACGCTCAAATGGCCTGTGCATTTCGCATGGTGGTGGCCGTCGATGCGCCATGGAGGGCTGTGATAAAAGCTCGCAGGGCGGCAACCTTTGCATCCGTCATGGTGGTGGTAAGCGTTGTAGCTACAATGGCTGTGATAAGGCGGCACAGTCGAATTTCCTATGCAAGGCACACGGTGGCGGCCCGCGTTGCCAGTTTAATGACTGCTCGCGCAGCTCGCAGGGCGGTGGCTTCTGTCGCTCGCATGGTGGAGGCAAGCGCTGCATGTACGACGGCTGCGAAAAGGGCACGCAGCGCGGCGACTTTTGTGCGCTCCATGGTGGATCCCGTCTGTGTGAGGCGCCGGGCTGCATGCGAAACGACCGCGGCGGAGGTCTGTGCGCTACCCATGGTGGAGGCAAACGCTGCACTGTGGACGCGTGCAATAGGCCATGCCGACGCAAGGGTCTGTGCTCTGCTCACCTGCGCCAGGCGGAGGATGCAACGGAGTAAAGAGGAATTGATTCAGTCGCTTTGACTTTGCCAATTGGGTGACATGATGGCGATGGCAGGTCAAGGTCATCTTGTTATCCTGTCCTATTCAATGTGTCAAAGACGGAAAGAGACAAGGAGGAAGCAGGTTGGTGACATGGATGCTTGTTTGGCTCAATTCAAATAATGCTTTAATGTTTCGCTGTCGGTGTGGTCGCAGCTTACTGCTCGTCAGTTCTTCTGTATTTACGGCAAGGACATAGGACAAGATGCTATTTTGACCTTTTTCCAGTATGGCTGTTCCAAAACTGCTATAGCAATTTTTAGGTTGACTGGGCCTGTTGACAATTTTTTAACGTGGTGTAATGTAAAATTCACAATTTTTTAACGTGGTGTAATGTAAAATTCACAATTTTTAAAACAAATGCGATAATTCATCAGTTACAACTTATGACAAGTCCTAACGAAGCGATACCTCGTGCCAAGCGGCTACAGCTTCTGCGCGAGGCCAAGGCTCGCAAAGAGCGTGGTGAGGTCGAACATAGTGATGAAGCCGATGCATCTGCTGCAATGCAAAATCCTGTGGTGGATAAGCCGATGGATGTGGAAGTGAAGAAGCCGCATGATCATCAGCAGGACACGGACGTGATCGATGACGAAAAGGCAAATGATCTTGTAGAAAAAGTGGACCAGATGCAGGAAGAGAATGTCAAGACGGAAGACGAGAGTGAGGAGGAGCTACTGAATCTTGCGCCCAAACGCGCCAATTGGGATATGGAACGCGACATTGCACCCATGCTACGCAAACTAGAGCGGCGCACCCAGCACGCTATTGTCGAGATTTTGCGTACGTAATAATAGCATTGCGTAGCTTGTGCTACGATAATATATTGGTATGAAATTGACAGTGTATTTGTGACAAAATGCAGGAGAAAAGCTTGCAGCAGAGCAGCAGGAACAAGATAGCGACGATGACGAGGAAGATGACGAGGAGGAGGAGATAGATGCATAGTATATTTGCCAAGTGCAATTTCATGTACTAGCGCTGCAATATTTGTATCTGCAGTGTTTGATGCTTTCTGAGACTTTAGTCGGCAGGAGGAACTATCTGGCTTTCATTTGAGTACGTTATCAAGCTTTCTCCGTCTTTTGTTTCTTAACCTTCATCTTGCCGTTCTTGGATCCGTCCTTGCGCTTCTTGTCCTTCTTCTTGCCCGCACTCCTTTTCTTCTTCTCTTTCTTCTCGTCATCCTTGTAAAATTGCTTAAGCTTCTTATAAATGAACTTGACCTGCTTTGCACGATGAGCAACTGCTTCCTCGCCTTCCTTATCCTTTTCTGATTTTAACACTTGGAACGCCTGAGCAATCTCCAGTAGTTGACTAGACACTTCATTAACCGGTTGACTTTTCGAAAAGTTGCTGTGTCTGACGTAACTCAGAACATCATCATTTGTAAGACCGCAAGCCTTCTCGCCAATGCTTGCAGCAACCTCGCCCGCCACGTGCCACAGTGCCGCAAGTGCCAAGTACGACGGGTAATGGAGAAGTGGTAAATCCGTCAGCAACATATCGTTAAGCACTGCGGTGGCATTAGCATGAAGTTTTTGCAGAACCGTTGCAGGTAAGTCCTTACTCAGCACTTGTTTTGAATAGGCACGAAAGTCATCCAAAAAGCCCAAGAGCGTGCGAAATGGATGATACATAATCAGGTGAAAGCGCACACCTTCTAGCAAAATCATCTCATGGCCAATGATAAATTTGTGGTCAACATGAAGCTGATCCGCGACAGTATCGACCGATATATACTGCTCCTCGACCTTTCCAGCCACGTAAATAGCAGTTGGAACGAGATGCTTTGGATGAAACTCCATCACACTATTGCTCAGATAAAACCTCTTGTATAGCATGATAGCACAGCACTTGACCTTGTCTGATGTACGCAGGAACTGAGCACTACAGCTCTCTTGTATTTTCTCCTCATAAAATGCTCGAAGCAGCGTCTCCTGCTCGGGACTCAAAAATTCCAGCAGCGGAACTGGTTGTAAATTAGCCTTCTCCTCTGCTTCTTCTTGTGTCAAAATATCCGTTTCAATATCATCATTCCAATCAAATGCGTCAGTTACAGCAGTGGATGAACGCGGTAACAATGCCGCAAACGATCGTGCTTTGCGCTTACTAGGAGCCGTCATTTCCATCTTTTGAGTTTCTTCACGCTCCAGACGTAACGCACGCTTTGTTTTTACATGTTGAAGACGACGTACACGTGCAAGTTCGTCCCTTGTAAAGATCCAATTGTTAAAATGCGTCGATCTCGAGAGGTACGACATGGTACTGAATGAAGCTTTTGAGCTGAAAATACTTTCAAGCTTAGAATAGTATGAGGTTTGAGAGGATTTATTTTTGCCTAATGAAAGGCTTTTGATGTACGTACATTAAAACAGACGTGGTCAGAGATGGTATTAGAGCAGCTGCCGCACAAGAAGTTCCCACCATTAATTCTTTCTTAAGACTTATTATATGACGTTATGTGAGCATTTTCCATCAGCAAGTAGAAACAAGGTAGCCATGTCCTGTTAGATGTTGCAAGTGCATTTGTTGCGCAGAAGGTAGAATTAAAAGTAATATGTGTTCCATTATTACTGCGTCTGGTGCTAATGACATGCAATTACATGCAATTCGACGGGTGTGCGATAGCACTGTAACTTGACCGTCCGTCTTGCATCCCATCACGCATCAGATCCCATGTGGTGATGGATACTCTTGTCTCACTTAGTAGTAACGGAATCAGGTGTGAGCGCGTCTTACCTATAGCAGTCTTGACATTGAGCTTGCACTTGACTGGTTAAAACCAATAGGTTCTAACACTTTTCCACGCATCCTGCGTGGCTCTCAAATGGAGCATTCCACGTCAATCTGAAGCTTTCGGTGGTATGCCCCCAGTCATTTAGGGACTTCATGCATGGCGTCGTGTTCAACTCACTTTGTATTTGCTTATAGAACAAACATCGAATGCGTAGTACAGATAGCCTTGGAATCGTTCGGCCATTTTAGACGCCAGTGCCAAGAAGTTTAAGATAGAGATAATTTTCTGTTGACTAGTAACGTTTTAGACAAATATTGCTTTTCAACCTGAAGAACATTCTACGTAGTACTGCACGTCACTTCATTTTGATGGCACGCAGTACATGCCCATGTCCTGCATGTCCTGTTTTGTCAGCTACGGACCGCTAAATCTGATACAGGTATGTTTGTCGAAATTGACTGGAACTCTGAAGAGCGCTGCAATGCCTCACATTTTTTTAGTAGCTACTCCCTGATGGACTGCGCGCACCTACAAAATGACACCATTGGTCGTATGCCTCTGATACATATCAGATACACTTTGTTTTGAGCAGCAAATGACAAGGCGTAAAAGTATTGGAGCTGGGATAGCCTACGTAAGAAAGTTTGCCATCATGTCCCTGGAATTGACGAAACATGGCTGCACGATGTAGGCTTGAGCGCAATGCTGAATAAACTTGAAGCGATGTTGACATGTTTTGCACTCTTTTTGGAGAAAAAGAAATGTGATCTGGAGTATCGCAAAGGGAGGCTATTTTGGTCTCATCTACCGGCGGCGTTCCGAATATAGATGCTGACTGTGTGAATATGTATTGACGGGTTTTTTCGGTGGATCCTCATGTGGTGGATATGGCAACGTTGGAACGCCAAAAGAGACAATCATGGCAGTATTTAGCAACATCACCATTACAAACAGTTCGGGTTTGCAATGTGGCATCCTGATTGATTTTCACTGCCGTCTTGCTACACGGTTATAAAAATGGCACGCGACCTCGCATCTGGTATTAAATTGACTGATACCGAGCGTATTAACTGTTTAGCCTAGGCTCAAGGCACACAGACGAAAAACGTGCAGTCACGCAAGGATATGGGAGAAACTCACGCATTGACGCGATCGGTGGGGTATTTTGTTCTAACCTGAAAGGCACTATGACACCACGTGACCGTCTTGGCACTCGATACCTGATCGAAAATCATTGATCACCGATCAAAATATTGTCGGGTGTTTCTTGCTAAGTCGACGGACGTTGCATCTTTGAACCCAAGGATTGTTTGGTTGCTTTCAAATGTAAACTTAATTGACGTGTACATGTATTACGTACCGACGATGATGGCAAGCACAAGACGCTGTATTTGTTTTGTAAGGCAATCGGTATCCCTCGACAAGTGAGTGAAGCCAACAATCAGGCTAGCAATGGTAAGGCTAAACGTATGCGCCGTACCATTATGAATACGGTGCAGAGAATGATTTATGCACGTGGTTTACCTTCAAAGTTTGGGATGATGCTGCCCAGTATGCGGCATACATACTGAATCGTAGTCCTATGAAGGCAGTCAAGGGCAATGTTTCACCAATCGAAATGCTTACTAAAATAAAAGGGCACTACTTTTAGGTGACATCGAAGCTTTCGGGCCACCACGTATGGTGCATCGGAACAGCACAAATAAGTCCCTATGTGGCAATAGTTATCGGCAAGAGATGAGACTAATCGATTTCAAGTATATATTCCGTCGGATCGAGTTGTGGTGGTTACCCATCATGTTCGAAGCGTGAACCTTGACTGACATGCAGAACACCTAATTGGCAAAGTTTGGCATGATACCGAAGGTCACAAGGAGCCATCTGGTGACTTTCATCATGCAACCGACCGTAGTACCAAATCGAACAAGAGTCAATAGACGATGTGGGTTCGTAATCGATATTTAGCTCGGTCAAGGGGGCTGGACAAGGATAAAGGCAAATCTGCGAGTCTGATCAGTGACGATCAAGACATCGTCGCTACAGTCGGCAAACCTGACCTAACGCCTTACGAAAGCTATAAGAAGCTTCAACAAGGACAAATGAGTCACTGGTGTACATGAAGATCAGCAAGCATTGGAGGCAAATGATGTGTGGACTGTGGTAGTAACCCAAAGGTTCACACGTTCTCCACAATAAGTGGTATTCAAGACAAATCCTGATGCAGATGAAAGTATCGACCGGTACAAGGCCTGATTGGTTGCATGTGACAACATACAGCTTTTTGGTATCGACTACATCGACTTTCGCTGCCATGATGGATCTTAAAATTGGTAAGGTCATATGGGTGCTCTCACGACGATGGAATGTGCCCAGCACGCCACGGTGACGTGCTGGGCGCATGTGTTGAAGCAAAAAAGGAGGAGCACCTGGAAATTTACATGAAGGTACCAAGTGGTATGCAGCCAAGCCACAATGTACACTTGGAGTCACCGACCCAAGTAATTCAGCAATTTGTTAAAGAATCCCTTTACGGACTGAAACAGGCCGGACGACTTTGGATACTACAAGTTGGTCAATGTGGGTTCTAAGCAGTAAACCACGGATATGTGTCGATACTTCAAGGAATGCATGGACAACGTTACTGTTTTCAGAGTAAATGGTTGGTCACGGGCATTTCCAAAAGTGTTATCAACCAGTTTCTCGTGGATATGATTTTTCTCAAAATAATGGACTTGGGAGGAACTTACAAAGTTATTGGTTTGCGCATCTTGCTAGATGACCATGATGCCTACTTATTAGATCAAAAAATGACGATCAACCTACTGCTAAAGGACTTTAGTCTTGACTTAGCAAACGGGATTCGGACCCACAATTGGGGAAGACTGCTATGATGGTGACGATGAAGTTTCAGTATAGCAAAATTTGACTGCAGCATCAGGGGGGGCAGCATAAAAGCATTTCAGTCTCTTGTTGGAAGTTTGCTATGGGTCGCGTGATGTACCAGACCAGACATTTGCTATGCGATGCATCGGTAAAGTCTACGATGACATGGTCAAGCAAACACTAAGATACTCATAGATGGTCAAGAAGTTTAAGTTTCACATCAACGAAGCAAATCGATCACAGACCCCATAAAGGTCGAGAGTTGGAGCAACGCAGATGTTGCCGCAGACAAAGAAGACCGTAAACAGGTATCGGAATGCGTCACCACCGTGGAAGGAACTGCAGTCTTATGGTCATGCAAGAAACAAGCTAGTGCTAGTGTTTCACTGAGTATCTTGGAGGCGGAGTTCATAGCCGCCTCGAAGGCAGGGCAAAAACTTATGGGGGTAAAGCATCTGATAGCAGATATAGACATGAGATTACTGCACCTGTGCAAATGTGGATAGACAACCAAGCTGCGAATAAGCAGTTGGAGCGAGAAAGAAGCAAAGAAAATGCAAAACATTCGCTTCAAGTTTATTCAGCATTGCGCTCAAGCCTACATCGTGCAGCCATGTTTCGTCAATTCCGGGGACATGATGGCAAACTTTCTTACGTAGGCTATCCCAGCTCCAATACTTTTACGCTTTGTCATTTGCTGCTCAAAACAAAGTGTATCTGATATGTATCAGAGACATACGACCAATGGTGTCATTTTGTAGGTGCGCGCAGTCCATCAGGGAGTTATTATAGCCCTGAATCCCAGACTCAGGTGTATTGCCTTCTTAAAATTAGCGTCAACTTGTACCGGCGGTTGCACCATCCCTCCAGCATGAGCTGGCCGGCGTGCACCAAAGTTGGTAGCCGGCGAAAAATTCGGCGAAAGTTTGGGTGAAGAGTTGTGTGGTGAAGTGTTTCAAGAATTGGTAGGCTAGAGGACCGGTGAGTCAAAGAGAAGGGGATCTAACAAGGAGGGGCGACCGTTAGGTAAGGGACAGAGAGACGAGGCGCTAAAAAAAGGACGGGGGACGACCGTTGGATGAGGAGAATGTACGGTTTAAGCGTGCTCCATTCAGAGGAGATGACCGCGGTTAGTCTGATGGACCGCGGTTCCTCGAGGTGGACTCCAGTCTTTTAGAGGCTGACCATGGCCCTCGTTGGTAGACCCTGGTCTTTCGTGGTAGGCCCTGGTCCCTCGTTTGTAGACCTGGTCTTTCGTGGTGGACCCTGATCCCTCGGTCACCCGGCCCCTCGGTCACGTCCCTCGGTCCCTCGACAGGCAGAATCAAGAATCAGGTCTCGGGGGTAAGGATAGAGTAAAGAAGTAAAAGATAGGATTATATTAAATACTACTCAATTTGCGATCTACATAGCACACCTCCGTCGTGCTTCCAAGGTACTTACTAAGTCTACCCACCTGTTCCAGGAAGGGATACATTTTGCCCCCCCCGTCGAAGACAGTCGTGTGGTAAGACCCAAGTGCGAATAGAACCCCAGGATAAATTTGGCCTGTGGGTTCATCTGAGTAGCACCCTTCAACTTAACCCTCTATCCGAAGCGGTCTTCCTACCCTAGTGGTCCGGGAGCAGGTAAAGGCCAGGCGGTTAATGCCTCTGAGATATTAAGGGAGGAAAAGGCCAGGGTTGAGTATCTCCCCTGAAGAATTTAGCTATAAGTCCACCCTCGACCTAGTCGACCGAGTGGCCACCTACCCGCGTACCGAGTGAAGTATATCCACTTGAGGAACCCCAAGGTCGACCTCTCTCAAGGCCGACACCACATCTCAACCAAGTCCTCCGAAGAGTGCAACCCGCCAGCCGACGGGTACACAAGGTGAGAGAAGGTCTATACGCGGCATCCGGGTACCCCCTCCGACAGTCGCAGTCCGGCACAGGAAGTGGCTTGGGGTCTCATTACGCTGTTCTAAGAACCCACTTCACCACAGGTGCGCTCCAAATTTTGGAGGCTTATGCCTGCTTTAGCTTCCAAAGCCAAGCCAAAAGTACTTGACTTAAAGGAGTTTACCGGTGCTGCCCGACTGGACCAGCCTGCGAGGATCCCATCACACGCAATGCGTGGAGAAGTTCACATTGTGCGAATGGTCTTTCCTTGGGGCGATCATGCGATCCAATGAGTAGTAAGTCCGCATCACACGTGATTGGTTGATAAAAAATCACGTGTCATTTGGACTTACTACGGGCAACCACGATTAAGATCGGAGCAAGCCCACCGAGGGGAGTGCAACCCGCCCAGAGTCTACGGATACACAAGGTGAAGAAGGACTGGCATACTGTATCGGAGTACCTCATCCGTCAGTCGACAGTTCAGGCGCCGAGAAAGGTCGGGATTACAGAGAGATTTTTGTGATCCCCGCTTAACCACACATACGCTCGGACAAGTCCCCAAGTGTGAGCACCTAATCCAGTGCCGCCCCGGGACTGCTGATTTTCTTCAAGGCGTGGTCGACGTCAACGTCGATGTCGCATGTAACGGCGTTGCACGAAGGTGTGTATTTTACATACACACCTGCCACTTCAATGTGGTGTGGCCGTACCTTGGGTACAAGAGAAGGTTCGATGTGACCGTACCTGAAGTACGAAGGGTCGCATCGTGGCAGAGAGCCACGTGGTCACTATACTTATTTAAGTACAGTGACTATACATGTTTGCATGATAATAATAAGCTATAGAGCAGTAAATTGTGACTAGCACTAAGTATAGGTGCTTCTATATTTAGTGTTAGAAGATAAACAAATATAAATCAGTTTCAAAACCTGCTCTACAAGCATCACTGCTTGAGCGTTCTATTCCTCTTGAGGAATTAAGTATCTTTGATACTAGTCTCTTTGAGACCCGGTTGTGACAACCGATAGGCACAAGCTTCAGAGCTAGCCTAGGAAGGGTTAAGCACCCTAAGACAAATAAGCTCTTGGAGCTTGTCTTTCTCTGTAGATAGTGCATAAGTAGCTTGGCTACAGTCGCTCGGCTACATCGCAGCCGTAACCACCCCAGATGATGCAGCCACTCCGGCTGCATCACCATCACCAAATGTTAAGCTTATTATCCGTTAGATGTTGCAAGTACACTTTGCACATAATCTAAAGTAATATGTTTTCCATTATGGTAGACTTGGAAGTAATATATTTTCCATTATTACTACGTCTAGTGCTAATGACATGCAATTACATGCATATGCGACGGGTGTGCGATAGCACCGTCCGTCTTGCATCCCATCACGCGTCACATCCCATATGGTGATGGGCGCATCTTACCTGACGTTAGACTTGCACTTGACCTGTTGAAACCAATATGTTCTAGCAGTCACGCGATAGGGTGATACAAATGCTTCAGTAAGCACCAGACTCCAATAAATGAGCGAAATCAATCACTCGTCGTTCGCTTTACTTGCGTAGCGCTGCAAACTCTTCGAACAGATTCTTTGCGTACGTGTTACACATGAGATCATCCCGCGTGGGTTTTCGTTCGTATTCAACCTCAAAAGCATTGCGCCACTCTGCAAGTGCCTTTTCCACTCGCTTCAGCTTCTCAGCGCGCGACTCGTGGACAACCTCTTCAGGCACGGTGTCTAAGATCGGTTGACAAAGGACGCTCATTATGTCTCGCTTATCTACAGTCCCATCAGCAAGCTTTGTCATCTGTAGACGAATTACAATAGAACGTTAGCTCACAAAAATAAACAAGTTCCAACCTTCCAGGTCCGTGCTTCTTACCTTGACCAACTTTTGCTCTGCACCTGCTCCACCAATCGGAACCAAAAGCCCTCCACCAGGTTTGAGGTACTTTAAGAAACTCTCTGCTTCAGCTTTCGTCTCAACAGCGACACCAATATGGATGCAGTCGTACTTATTATCAAACGCCAGACCAAAGTCATTTTTTCCAGTACTCAGCAAAATCTTTGTCTGCTTGTCAGCTACTTCCTTGCCCAGACTGCGTTGCACATTCTCTCTAGAGAACGTCACAAGATCTGGTACAATATCAACTCCTGTGACAAATCCAAACGGGCCTACTAACCGCGACATAGCGGCCACAAGAATACCTGAGCCGCAACCGACGTCCACTGCTGTCATTCCTGGATGAAGATGGGGTTCCAGTAGCCCTAGCACCTGTGCATGCTGTTGAGGTGTGGAGATGGTAGCTACCGTACCAATTTTCAATGGACGATTGTCATATCGCTCACTTGAGTCTCGAAACGCCGTCAACACGAAATCTCCACGGTCCACATGTCTAAGCGCTGCTTCAAGTCGTGAGCCAGCAGTCACCACATTCGTCCGGACCAAACTGTCTACCAGTGCAGAGTGTGAATCACCTCCAATTTGGTGTCCAATACTTGTACTCACTAGTAGGTCTTCCGAGATACCACGCAATACACTGAGCAGGCGACAATTGACGTTTTTACGTGAAGAGCTCAACGATCGGACCAATTGCGATATCATGTCAATTGTGACATGTAGAGACTATAAAATCTGAGCTCAAAGCGTCAATTTTGACACATAATTTGTGAAATAGTCTGCTACATTTTTAGTCGATACACCGCGTGATTTTTTTTCGTTTGCACGTCAAACAACAAGAATCTGAGTCGAGTGGATCATCTTGATCTTATTTTCACTATGGTCATATCTGAGTCCACGCAAAACCGTCACAAGTGCAAGCAGATTTCCACACGCGCCACAGGACGGAAATAAGAAGCAAGTAGCTAGATTGTTTCTTATAGCCAAGTCCTGAACATGCTCAGCGCACAAGAGTGCGTACTTGATTTCTTTTAGTCCTTGTTTTACCCTGAAAAAATAGTCCTCCATGCTTTTATGTATCCATTCCCTACAATCACTCTTACATGACAATTAACAACAGAATGTTTGTCATTGTTTTACCTAGGAGCATCCTCGTGACTGCAGCTACTGCTTTAATCACGGGTTGTACATTATTAGTAGCTAGAAGCGTCTTTGGCTTTCGAACTCTACGATACGGCCGCATTGTTGCTGGTAATTCCGAATTGAATGAATTCGTGGCGCGTGTAAGTAAAACGTGGCAATTGAATGTTACAGAGGCATAGCACCTGATCTGACGTTATTCTTGGTATAATGTGCTCTTTATTGCATCTTGACAGGCTCTACAGCCCATGTTGGACCAATACACTCCAACGTGGTGGACAAACTCGCATATTCAATGTTTTCTGACCTTTTTGGTGCCTCAATCCCGTGTAAAGTACCAGAGAGATATACTTACTCTGAAAGATGGAGGTCAAGCATCTTTGGACTGGGCTTTGGAGTCATCTGTGGCCATGGAATCACCATTGAAACTAGACTCACCCATTGCAATTATCATGCACGGACTTGTGGGTTGCAGTGAGAATATGCGCTCTCTATGTGCCGAAGCGTTGGCGCACGGATATCGTCCCGTCGTGTTCAATAAACGAGGTCATGGCGGGATGAAACTATCTACACCCAAGTTGCAACAGTTTGGCTGTGTACAGGACTTGCAAGAGGCCATTGCTCATGTGGAAAGAGCTTTTCCTGACAGTGAATTGTTTGGCATTGGTTGCTCGGCTGGAGCGGGTTTGTTGTGCAGTTACTTGTGCGAACTTGGTGACAAGTCGCGCCTTCGTGCCGGTGTGTTAATCTCGCCGGGTTATAACGCCTTTGACCTGTTTTGCGGTGGCAAGATCAACCCTGTCTACGATTTTCTTATGACTTTCACGCTCAAATCCTTTCTGTGGCGTCATAAAAGTGAACTGAGCGGCGTTGTTGACGTGGCGAGCGCGCTGCGGGCTACCAGTATTCGGGCATTCGACCAACACGTGTATATGAAGATGCACGGATATGGTGACTTGGAGTCGTACTGGAAGGTGAACAACCCTATGCGAGACGTGGACAATCTCAACACGCCACTACTCTGCATTAATGCACTGGACGACCCTGTATGCACCAAAGAGACGATTGCATACGAGGTGTTTGATACGAAGCCAAACGCCATGCTGTTAGCTACGGGGGAGGGCAGTCATTGCGCTTTCTTCGAGGGCAACTTTCAGCTCAAGTCGTGGTGTGATACAGTTGCCATGGTGTATCTAGACCGTCTCCGCGAGTTTGAGAAAACATCGGGGACAAGCGCGCACGCTATCACTGCAGTTACTACAACTTAGAAAGACAGGGTGTCGAGTCATTTCATCGTGCTGACCTTAATCCTATACAAAAATTGATATCAGCAGTGCTGGTTTGTGTTACTACTTACGAGGTGTAAAGCAAATTGCAAGCTGCTACTGTTGACTGTTAGCCAAGAACACCAATCGAAGCTGCGGCATTCTTGCCCCTCGAGCTTGTTACCTTCCTCGGCGCTTTCATCTTCACAATTACTGCTCACATTGTGCTCAATATGGTCTCGTGGTCCTCTTTGAGAAGCCATTGCCTCAGTTGAGCGTTCACGTTGTGAAGCAAGCGTTGGTAATTAACCACTTTCACCAAAAGTCTGATGACAAACTACAGAGACATTCAAAGTGTATGGTCGGTCACCCGTAGTCTTTTTTGAGATAACTAAACTAGATTATGCTATCCTTTGCTCCTGTAGCAGATCTACAAGTAAAGTTTTAGAGAGGTGTTTGAACAGCTTTAACCACTATGGCCGGCAAACAAGTGCGTTAGGTGCAAAAAGAGGTAACGACTGATAAATGCTACAATGTGATTTCGAGACATTCGTAGCGTGGCTTAGAATGTGAACATACTCTTGACAACAAGGTCATGCATTGTTGTGCAACAACAAAACCTACTAGTCTTCAAAGTCGAGACCGGGACACATTTTCTGTACGACTACTGCATCCGGTATCGGTTTCTTGCCAACGACAAAGTAAACTGGTGCCGCTTGTATGGTTTGAGGGGTAAGGATCGGCGTCCAGTGACGACCAAAGTGTTCTCCAGCAGTCTTTAGTGATGCCTGCACCTCCAGGGTCCATGGAATTTCGCTCAATACTCCATGCAACGGATCATCCTCTCCATACTTCATTGCATGTTCCCCCCCACTCCTGCTCGTCAACAAACGTTTGGCCTGGCATATCCGCCCAAAATTCACTTCCAGGAGCTGAAAGGTAGTCGATTGTCTTGAGTAATTTAACAATGCTCGGGCGATTCATACACGCGATCAATCCCTCCATGGCCCAAAACGTAGGCATTGTTGGATTAAAACCGTGACCCATGAGGTTCGCCTCCAGCCCCGCCTTGGCCAAATCTGAGACGATGCAGTCAACATTTTGAGCAACTAGTGGCGCATGCAATTCCTTCATCACACTTGCCTTATGTTCGAACATGGCACTACTTTGATCGACTTCCAGTACATGGCAACCGCGAAGTGAACCAAGACGATATGCACGAGCATCGAGTCCTGCGCCAAGAATTACAATTTGAAGGATACGGGGGTTGCGGTGATGAAGAGCTTCGTCAAGATACCGTGTCCGGAGAGCAATAGCATTTTCAGGGTACAAGTACAACTTCCGCAAACCCTCGTTTACAAACGTTTGAATCTTTGGTTGCTGCTTGCGAGTAAGCGGTTCGGCAAAGGGATCATCGACAATTCGATCATTACGTGCACTTTCGACTCCTCGTAAGTAAGGTGTCACAAACCCCATCCACTCGGCATCCAGATCGTCCGCAACAGGGTCCTCCTCTTCTTGGACTAATGGTAAGGAGAACGAAGCAGGTTTCATTTCGTTGTCAACTTGTCAAGAAAAAGTGTAATGGAATTTGTGAAAGCTTGAACGGACATGCAACTGCACTTCCCATAATTTGTGACATCTGCCAGTTATTATTCTCACCACGTCCCATTTCAAGCTGTCATCTCAATATGTTGGCTATGTATATCGTGTGAACAATCGCGTTTTGGTGAATGGTCATGTTGTGGGTTTCAATGTGATGTCGCTTCCAACGTATACGGAAGCCAGCATCATCTTATTCCTCGTCGATGCAAGACGCCATTGTTCAATTTCTAGAATCGGATTCGTGTCTGCATTGAGAATGCGTAGTATGATTGGTAATGATCGGCAGCTTTCCAACTTGCGTGAGACTTGCACGCAAAGTGAACTTGTTTTGCCTGAGGTAGGTTTAAAATCAAATTGGCACACACTTGTTTGCTCTAACGTAATGGAGCTTAATGTTTGCATGTGAGCTGTGTAGAACATCAACTCTGTTTCAACGGAAATCTCAAAGGTATCATGCGATGACGATGAAGGAGCCATTGAAAGAGGAACGAAGCGAAATCATTTAGCGATGGCAGGGATAGCCGATGTCGAGACAAAACAAAGTACTGTGGTTCAGTGCACGGACGGAGATATTGAAGAAAAAGCGTTGGCAGAGGTAAAGTATGGTGATAGTGTTGACAAGATCGCTGCAGTCGAAGAGGGCGAAGAGGAAGACGAAGGACCACCGAGAAAATGCTCACGTTTGGCAGAAGAAGTTCGCAAACAGCCAGCAGCTGTACCTTCAAATCAAGTTATCGTGAACGCCTTTTTGGACTCCGGAGACCAGGAGTTACATTGCGGACGCACAGGTCAAGGTGTTGCACACCTACGAGCAGCACGCTCGATTCATGAATATCCCCGTACCATCACTTCTGGCATTGAAGCGCGTGATGTTCCTCTGGTTGGGGCAAAAATGGCTGCCCAAATTGAACAGATTTTGGACTCAAGACCAGTGGAGGTGAAGAAGTACACGCCACCAAAGTTGGTACAGGAGCTGCGCACCACTATTGCAAAACAATCGGAGAATCAGCTACTTGTTGATGAACTCGCGAAGTTCGGGGAGCTTGAGCTGTACTTTCACGACAGAGGCAACAAAGACACTAGCCGTGTTCAGGCTTCTCGAGAAGTACAGCTCGGTGACCACGTTACTGCTCCCACCGGGAACAACCCTCGTCAGGAAGTAGCGGATGTTGGACCGGTTGATTCCAACGATAGTGAACAGATTCGTGATGATCAAGGTCTCATTGTCAAGGATATTCTATTATCAGGTGAGGTCGATCAAATAATGAAGAATGTCGACAATACTACTCAACGATCTGAGAACGAACCCATCGCAGACACGTATGTTGATGATGGTGACCAGCATGTGTTCCCGGGCTACTTCGCCAGAGGAACTGCGCTCCTGCGCACAGCAAAGGCAATTCGAGACGCAGATATAGTTGTGACATCGGGGAAGCAGGCGGCTGAATCGATCAAGGCAGTTGACAATCATGTGGCTGCTAAAATCGATCACATTCTGAATCGCAAGCTCGATGACACTGACACCCGTGCACCACTTCAGGAAGCTTGTAAAAGACGCACTCACATTGATGGAAGCCAAAACACTCAGGATGAAGGTTTAGCACATATGGAAACGAAGGCTGCAAACTCCACTGATCAAGAAGCGGCATTGGATCGTGCTGCGCATCATCTTCACGATGCTACCGAGTTTGTGACAAGTGGCAGCGCTGCAAAAGCTCTAGGTTCCATCGGAAAAATGGTAGTGTCCTTTGTCAACCATCAGGTCGGGCTCACGTCGGTGGATGACAGTATAACGGACGACGATGATAGAGACGAGAACAAGTAGGTGTTCTGAACTCTTCGTTTGCAGCGAAGCAGCAATGCAGTTGAAGCAAACGAAAGGCAGTTAGATGATACTGCACGTCTCACAATTTTTCTCGTTTTCGAATTCGTCAAACCATTCTTCAGAAGATTTCACGTACTTGTCTCGATAGATGTAAAAACCAACGGTGACATCCTCGCGCCTACGTCTCAGTGTGTTTTTTGGACTTGGCCTCCACATCCATTCTTCTTTTTACAACCACCAAGAAGTAGTTACTGAGAGTATCATGGTAGATGCAGAGACAGCTACTGCGGTCTATGCGCAAATTGGAAAGATGCGTGAGATTGCCATGAGCAAACAGATTAATATCCCTGAGGTTAGTTTTTGTGTCATTGCCGTGCTTTTCGACATGTGTGGAAACCTAATGGGTCTCAATATGTTGTATAGAATGCGTACGTGGCCACGAGTGATATTGCTACGGCACTTCTTTCGTCAAACGGAGACGAACAGGTAATTATACTGTCATCATCTGTAGATCACGTCAAATGTTTGGGTCTAAAACTGGATTGCTCTGTAGTCTGCTTTGAAGAAGATCAAAGCCAAGTTTGGTCGTAAGAAACGAGCTTTTCCGCCGGAGATGATCCGGAGCAACAAGAAAGGTAAAAGCATGGGTGGTGAGAATGGTGGTGATGAGAGTAGGGCCTCAGCGGATTATGACGAAAGACAATATGATGAAGATAAATCGATGGCTCCTCACAAAACAATTCGTTTGGTGGAAGAAGCTCGTGAGAAAAAAGCTGCAAACCCTGCAAACCAGAAGCTCGTGGATGCGTTTGCCAACTATGGCGAGGAACAACTTGATCGTGGGCATACTGGTAAAGGGGTGTCACATTTGCGAGCTGCAATCCACATCCGTGACCACCCGGATGCCATCACGACTGCTAGACAGGCACGTGCTGTTCCAATGGTAGGTAGCAAGCTTGCATCTCAAATTGAAGAGGTGTTGGTTACAGGGAAGTTCAAGGATGAGACTTCCGACCAAAATGTTGGCACGGATGTTGACAATCACCAGCGACCCCAGTTGGTGGTCGATATCCACAACTCTCGTGCCAAACGTCCCGAGAACCAGATATTGGTGGACGAGCTTACGAAATTTGGTGAACATGAGCTTTACTTCGGTAGTTCGGGCAAAGGAACGAGTCATCTTCGTGCAGCACGCGAAATTCAACTTAGTGATCAAGTAGTTAAGTCTGGGTCAACAGCCCGGACAAGCATCCCGCTCGTAGGTGACGTGATTGCTGACAAGATTGACCAAATCTTAAAGCATGGACGTATCGTAAAAGACACCGGAGAAACTACAGGATCGAAAAGCTATTCGCGCGGCAGTGGTGGTGGTTATACACTAGCTCCGATTGTACAAGATTTGCGAGAGAAACCTGCCGTATGCTCCGAGAATCAGCCCATTGTCGATGCTTTAGTCGACTACGGTGACAGCCATTTGAACTCAGGTCACCGAGGTAAAGGGATATCGCACTTGCGAGCAGCTCAAAATATTCGAGATTCGAAGACAGTGGTGAAGTCGGGACAGCAAGCAAACAAGGAGGTTGGGATGGTAGGGAAACGCATTGCTGCTAAGATCGATCAGATCCTTGAGCAAGGTCATGCTGATAGTGACGAAGATTACGAGTACGATCCAGAGCAAGATAATGAAGATGAAGGAGCTGATTATGGTGAGCTCGACCGTGATTCGACAGTGCCGCCCATTGTGCAGGACGTTACGAGCAAGCCTGCTAAAGTTCAAAAGAACCAAGCTTTGGTGGATGCTCTTGTGGAATATGGTGAAGCGGAACTTAACAAACGCCATACGGGTCGAGGTACGGCATTTTTGCGTGCAGCACGCCGTATCCGTGATGCGAACGTTGCGGTGACCAACGGCGAGGAAGCAAAAAAGCTCGGACGGATTGGGAACAAGGTTGCGGAGTACATTGACACGTCTGTGTCTAATTAGTTTGGTGTAGATGTCGTGACCACCATGTCGTCACCAGCACTAGCACTTTGCATGAAATTGCCGATAGTTTAGGTAAAGCCGCAATGAATAGCTCTTTACCAGTTGAATCAATTTTGGTCTGCCACGTGATGCTGCCTCAAAACAGCTTTGATTAGACACAAACCGTGCGCGGTAGCTTCGACAACAAGTCAACAAAACGTTAAAGCATTGCGTAAAACCTCTCGTAGTTAAAAAAGATGAAAGTAAGCTAACGCTACGAAAGCTAGCGGCATAAGATATAGGCGAAGGCACCAAAACGGCACCTTGCCGTTGGCTGCACAGTCGTGCTGTCGGTGAACGTCGAAACCATGCTTGCTGTGCCTGCAAACGTCGAGCCTTGTCATTCTCCGCGGACGCATAGCAGGTCTCCTTACTCACAGGCAATTCCCTTTTGGTCTGACTTGATGGACGTTCGGTTGCTGGAAGCTGCGTTAGTAGTAGCATCTTTCGCGGCGTTTACACTACTATTTTCCTTACCGATAGTGCTCTGCTGCTGAGCTTTTTTCACTGATACAGGTCGAGGCTTGCGCGTAACTGCAGGCACTTTCGTCTGCGCAGAAGATACTGACCACGCTCGACGGTCTACAACCTGTCCATTCTTCGGTGCAAAACTAGACTCGACCGTAAGAGGTGGCAACGGACCAGTGTACGGAGTGTAGCCAGAATGCAAACGAGATGTCTTGTCAGCAGCACTTGTCGCTGTCGGGGTCTTACAAACTGGCATTGACACACATGGAGCTTTTGCAGGTGTACGTTTACCTTGCTGCAACTTGTGAGACGGTGGCGGCGTCGCCTTGATCTGTGTCTGGTTCTTAGCAAGTGCAGCGGTGCGTCTAGCAGACGATTCCGTCGGTCGAGCAAATGAAAACTCTCTCGTTTTTGTCGTGTTTCCATTGTTTCTTGTTTTGGTAGCTCGTGTCTTGATCAGATCCAAAGCACGAGCTTTCTTCTTTGTCTTTTGATGCTCATGATCAATGGTAAGTTCAGCAGCTGTTGTACAAGTGTCAAGGGCATCAAATTTCCTCTTGGTATCATCAGCTTTTGACACTTCACTTTGCTTCTTTATCGTCCCAGTCACGAGTAAATTATCTTCTTTTGCCTTAGTGTCAAGATCCTTGACACTCTCCTTGAGTGTCTTCTGTTCCTCTTCCTTCGTGGTAGCTAATCTCGTGTTCTCTTGTGCCTCCTGTTCATGTGTCTCTATCTCAGTGTCTTGTTGTGTCTGTTTCTCTTGCTGTATGTCCTTTGCTACCTCTTTCTCTAGCAAAGTCGTTGACATGGTTTTGTGCAATGGACACTTAACACTTGATTAAAGAATGGAAGGACAGGTTTTGCCGCAATTTGGAAATCTGAAACACAAGCAGGGTTGTTGGTGTTGCGTGTATATTCTTCTTATGTTGCTGAAATCACTTCATCAATTTGACTTCCGCAACTGTCCGTGCAATCTCTATCATTTAATTCGTATACACGTATACATATACTATAGTGTTTCATGTAATATTTGTTATGAGTTGGTCTTTTTATTTTATCATCAGATTCTTCTATATTATGCAAACAAAGCGACAGAAAAGCCAGTCAGTCAATCATACAACAACACGACCTACTTCGTCCTCTGCCTCAGTAAACAGTATTACAGTCTACTTGCAAGCAAGAATCGGCACCACACTAACGTATACTCCCAATTCTGCTTTTTCTCTTCTTCTGCCTAGCTCTAATGCTTCCATGGATCGCAAGATCAAACATATGACCACTAATGCTTTTGGCAAGCACTAGCTCCTCTTCTCTTCAAGGATAGCTGTCTCTACAAATGATCGCCATTTGACTTCGTAGCTTCATTGTAATCCACACGTCATTTTGTTCTTGTTGTCCTTTCCTCACATCGTACATACTCAACTAACCGACAATTCACCAACTGTGAACTTCGCCGTTTCCCGCTAGCTTGATCCCATTCCATACACGCAAGCTAAAAATGAAGCAGGGCAAGGCTCTTTGTCCCATCGCAGTCGAACAAAGCAAAAGATTCCTTTCATCTTCGATTATTGCAATCCCCGAACAATTTGATTTCCTCAAAAATACGGGCTGCACAGTTTCAAACACATATCACTCAGCTTGGGTCGTGTCATAAACAAACAAATAACTCTACACTTCGTGGCAATACCTTTCAGAGCCTCCTTGTTCAAAGGAACGTTCTCAAACTCCATTCCAAACGGATTGGCCTCTACAGTCTCAGACTGAGCCCTCCGTACTGACTCTAAGAACGGATGCGCCAGCGCTTTATCGACCTAAACATCAATTCCTCGGTCAGTCACATGAAATGCAGGACACAATCGAATTAAAACAATTCAGCTTACCGAAATTCGACACTCAGGATTAAATGATAGCATTTGCTTGAGCAAGTCAAGTGAATCAGCGGGAGCGCCTGGATACATCTAGAATAGTATTATAAACCAAGTCAATAATGTTAGTTCTTACAAATGAAGCTTCAACCAGGCATTGACATACCTCACGAAGGTCCCTTGGCTCCTTCTTTGGTAATTTTCGCAAATACTGCTTGACTTCACCCAAGCTGCCAATATCATCCTCGCCCGGTGTGCCTATCACGTTAAAAATCACGTTTAGCTGATCCAGCTTGTCCGAGTAAGTCGTCGGTCGATCTGCGCTAAGAGGAAAGCACGACCGTCCAGGAAATAGCGGAACACGCTCCTGGTACCGCGGGCAACTCTCAACTTGCATGCTCAGCAGCTCCGCAAAAAATGCAACCAACGCTCCACATATCGACAGAGAAATCGTAATCTTGAAGGAGAATGAGCTCTGGTGCACGGTACCACCGCGTGACGACGTGTTTCGTCAGCTGCCGCCGCATCTTTGGAAACTCCCCGGACGATGATGGTGTCGATGAGGCACTTCCAGGAGATGGTGCCGACGTAATTCCTCCATCGGATGTAGTAGGTGACTTGGCCTTTGGCGAATACAAGTGCTTACTCAGTTCCTCCATCGACATGTCGCTCTCCATCACACGAGAAAGGCCAAAGTCGCAGATCTAAAACGTAAATGTCAGAATTAAATACCACTACCATACACATGTTCCCAAAGCTTATATTATTGTAAGCACATACCATGAGAGTGCAATCTTCGTTCAGCAAAATGTTGGCGGGTTTCATGTCACGATGAATCACGTTGGCCGAGTGGATGTACTTCAAACCACATAAAAGCTGGTACAAAAATACTTGAATGTGGCGGATTGTCAAGTATTGTGGGCTCATGATGAGCTTGTGTAGGTCGGTGTCCACAAAGTCAAACACCAAATACAAGTCCGTAAAAGTATCATAATTTTCCGGTGGGATCACATCGATCAGATTGATCACCTGAGAATGGCTAAGGATCAAAACAAACTACTCCATCAGTAAGGACCCAACACAGCATTCATCTACCACAAGCTAACAAACCTGAGACGACGCAAGATGTAGATCTCACGGTACAGTCGCTTGCAGTCAATCTCCTGGTCAAAGACGTTGATAATCTTTTTGATCGCCACTTTTCTCTGGCGTTCGGTATCAAAGGCCTCTGCGACCTGTAAATGGAACATAATCCAAGAACAAGAACAGACACAAAGTCTTGGATCAGATACCACACTACATGAACAAGAAATCACCCATTTGCAACATATAGCCGTCTACGTCATACCTGTCCATAGGACCCTTTGCCAAGCAGTCGTACGAGCGTATAGCGGCTGCCAACGTCCCAGTTGGCAAAATTGCGAAGATTCAGTGGCGCCGCACGAGGCATTGGGGAAGGTGTAGCTGCATGTGACGAGCAGCCAGTAGAGCCACCAGCCGTCTGGTTATCGTCTGCAGGTGTTGTAGCTGACCCGACCTGTGCCATACTATTCGATGGAAAGCCGTCACTTGGTGTAGAAGAGAAACCTTCGGGTGTATGACCAAAGCCGTTACGATTAACAAATGCAGGCGTAGGTGGCATCTGCTCCACGGGTCCGTGAGGTGTAGGGGCAACATCAGCGCTAAGCATGGCACGTTGGTGATCAATGAATCGGTCTGACGTGTAAATAGAGCCCTGTGGTGTGACCACGGGCGGTGTCATACCATTCGATACATTCGTGTTTACAGTAGCAGCAGGACGAGAGAGTTTGGTACCACGTTTCAGGCCAGAAGGTGGTGCAGTGGTTGTTATCTTACGTTTACGGTTCCCCGCGTCAGTCACGTCCTTTGTAGTAGTAGCAGTCTCCATTGAGGGCGAGAGAGAGAGAGGGAGAGAAACAAGAATGATGGTCTGATGGGAAACTATGCGAAAATAAATTTGTTATTTACGAGAAGGGAATAGAAGGATATGCGGTATTTAGGTCAAGAATGATTGTCAACGCTGGCTAGCTCCTTTTCTTGGACTGTTTGCGTTGTGTTTTGTTCAGGGGTCGGGGCGATTTTTTTTTTGACCTCGCTCTCTCAGATCTCAGAAGAAATATTTTTGACCAATAGCTAATATTCAGCACTGAAGTTTTGACAAATCGTAGGATTAAGATTATTGACCAATACTACGCTGTTTCAGATTCAAGACGGAACTGACTCAATTGCAAAACACGTGTGTGTGTTGTAAGGTAGATCAAGAAGCTATAGAAATGGGCCTGTCCTAAATGAGGCACAAAATTTCCTCGACTTTACTATAAACTGGCCTTAGTTTTTCCCCCGGTATCTTTGTTGCAATAATTTGTATGGAAAGGCTTGCAACATCGATCGATTTGGTTTCTATGAACGGGTGCACTTGGATACTCTTTATTTATGTTGGAAGTCTGTCGCAGTTTTCCTATCATCTAGCGCCACTAGCACGTAAAATTGTATTGATCCATCTGGCTGGTACTATAAGCCCATGTATTTTGCAATGGCTTCTCACCACGTACTCCCTTCCTCTCTTCAATACCGATAAATACATGTGCAAAAACCTCAAAAATTGGCTGCATCCTGAGCCAGAAACACTTCGAGGTCGTCCAGATCTTCATCTTGCGTCTCAATGGTGTGCTCTCGACAGCGCCGAGTCCTTTCGACCTCATCCTTGGCTTCCTTTTCCTCACGCTCGTACTTTGCCTGCGCCGCTGCAAATCTCTCTCGCTCTTTTTCCTGCATTTGAAGCATTCGTGCAGTAGCAGTGCCGGTGTCTTGTCGGTCTTGCTGACGCTGAAAACGTCGCTGTTGCTGCTCCAAGTACTTGCGCTCTTGTAACAGTTGTTCAACACGTTGCTGGTTTTGCAGCTTCAATGCTTGTACATGACGAAGTTCTGACTCTAGATCCACCAACAGCTGCTCTTCGACATACTCCTCGTCGGTCTGAAAACGGCGTTGCGCTAGCACCACGGGTGACATATTTTTGTGCCATTTTATGCTCACAGCTTTGAGTTGCTTGTTGGTGTGCCAAACATCATTCTGGTGGATGAAGTAAGCTAAAGTGGTGTAATCAACACAATGTTCATTGATCATGAGTGTCCATGTGGTCTCGACTTCAGCTCCTCACGATGTTAAATTGACGGCCGAACAAAAGCTATATTGGCTCAATGCGCTACAGGTGGTTGGCGATTGGTCAGTGCATGATGATGGCGATGGAAGGCTGTTTTATTATAACCATACGACGAATTTATCTCAATGGGAAGTACCTGAAGGTCTTGCGTCACTCGAGACGGAGTTTATGATGAAGCTCATGCTACAGAATGCTGTGGCTCGCTCAGGCTCTTGGACAGCACATGATGCAGGTAATGGTACAATGTATTACTTTAATGCAAATACGCGCGTGTCGGTGTGGGAACGTCCGAGTGAATGGGGCGAGGCGGAGGCTGTTGCAACTGCAGCTGTCGAAGCTCGTGAACGGGAAGAAGTAGTGGAAGAAAAGAGAGAAAAGGAGAAGGAAAAGGAGAAAGTAAAAACGCGGAAGAAGGAGATGAAGGAACGCAAGAAAAACAAGAAAAAACTGGAGAAACAGGCAGAGTTGAAGAAGGTGGAGGCGGAAAAGGAGGCAACAGAGATAAAAGTAGTGCAGGAAGAAGAACCGTTGACAGCAGAGGAATTGAAGGAGGAAGAGGAGCATCATGCGCGTAAACAGAAATGTATTGAGCAATTTTGTGCCATGCTTTGTGACAAGAACATTATGCCTTTCTGTAAGTGGTCAGTGGCTTTGCCACAGATCGCAGGAGATCCACGCTTTTTGGGCGTACCGTCGATGGATGAGAGGCGCGCGATTTTTGAGCACTTTGTTGAACACCGTCGGGAAGATTTGAAGGTTGAAAAGAAGAGCAAGCTCAAGCATGCAAAGCAAGTATTTATGCAGCTTTTGCGCGAACAGTTTCAGGTGGAGTCCTGGGAAGCCAATACTCCATTAAGTGTGTTTCTATCGACATTGCAAGACAATCTTGGACCTGAACGATACAATGAGGTTCAAAATGACGCCCTCGCTATATTGACGTTGTCTGCTCAAGAAAAGCTTTACTCGAAGGCAGTAGCAGAATATAAGTCGGAAGCGCTCAAGCGTGATGGGGAGCAGCTACGGCTTACAAAGTTTCTGGAGGATAAGCTTGCTACGAATGATAACTTAATAACATTGCAGTGGGAGAGTGACGACGTTCAAGAGCTGCTTCGTGAGTTTTACAACTCTGCATTTTTGAGTGGTATGCTACTGTCAGAGCAAAAGCAGAGGCAAGTGTTTGACGAGTTAATGGCGCGAAAGGTTTATGATCGGACTTTGGAATACAAAGCGGTAGATGAAAAGCAATCAGATGGCTTACCCCGGCAGGATCACTCGACGGACAAGGTGAGAGACTTAAGTCCACGACGAGAGCGACGTACCTCACACTACGGTCATCATCAATCTCGTTCTCGCTCCCGTCCTAGGCGCAGTCGCAGCCGGTCGCCATCTCGCGAGCGTGGAAAGCGATATCGCAGCCGAAGAAGCAGTCGGCATCGCTCGCCATCTTCGTCACGCTCGCGTTCTCGGGGGCGATCGTCTCGGAGATCTTCTAGACACCATCGGCACTACTCGTCTTTCCCCTCCCGGTCCCACTCACGAACGAGCTGATGGTCAAGCGGACAAGTTTGCAAACAAGTACATGTGGACAAACAAATAGAATTTTCCTACTGGAAAGAGTATTGAATATCCAAAATTGATTGCAACCCGCTGACAAGTCTAAAAGATTTTCTTCTTTGGCGTCAAGCCTGGTTAAGGGGAGAAATTCACAGTTCGCAAAACGTATTTTGGCTCGTCAGCAATCTTCATTACCGCCTGAACACCATAATCTAATGGCACTGAGTAGATTCCATCTATGTTGACTCTCATATCCCATCCAAGGGATCGCATCGACACCCGTCGAGCTTTGCCTCTGCAATCAACAAATTACTATGATCAGTTTGCACACTCCAATAAACAGACTGTTCCATCAGTGTAAACTGCTCACCGTCTAAATCGGATATCACCAAACGTGGCGTTAATAATCGGCTCGCGCACGACGTAGCCCATGTCACGCGAGTCTTCAGGAAAAACATTTTGCTTGTTTATACTGTGCAATGACAACGCAACACAATTGTTAACGCGTGAGTTGTAAGCACTTCAGCTTCAACTTGTACCAGAAAAACTTACAATTCTGTCAACTCTGTGACTGTCTCATTTGTATGTGTGTGATTCATCGCGCTGAGAACATTCGCGACCTGCTCTCGATATATTTGGCACTGGAAACACAACATTTAGTTAAGGTTGTGAGAAGCGTAGTTGCTTGCTCAATCGCATAGTTGGACACGTACCGCACTTGAGTACCATGCGCTAGAACCGGTACCCGTACACATGAGAATACCACTGCTGCGGTGGGATTCTCGTTGGTGCTGATCGATGCCAATATTGTAGTGCGATGGTCGGGATGCATCACTTTCTGCAATAAACACTTCGTTCAACGCAAAGCGAGGCAACTCGTACCAATATCCATCTTGGTTCACCATTCCAACATGGATTCGCTGGCGCAGTCGCCATTTGAAGTCTCCCTTTAGCAAGCGGTCCAATGCCGTACTGAATCGATGAGTAACATTGTCAACTTTATAGCAGCACAAATTGCCTTCGCTCCGCTTCGGATCAGTGTTCAAGCCTGCCACAGGTATCGGAGTATTTACAAAACTTGCTGTCTTCAAAAATGTCCCATCACCGCCAGCAGAAAATATCATATCAGCTCCGGCTACTGCCTCGTGGGTAAGTTGAGTTGCCGAGACAACTTTGACCTCAATGTTGCGATCCTTAAAACTGTATTCTCAAGATAAACAGGCAAAGTTAGGCATACACAGCCGCAAGATAAATCTACACAAAGCGTACAATACCTGTTAGTGATTTCTTCCACAGCCTCAATGTGATGTTCATGGCTTGCTTTCAAACGATCATGAATAAATCCTCGCATCGACATTTGCTTCCTCAATGCTTCTCTGTAAAGATTGAAGAAATACAAAGCATCAAAAAGCACATTATCAGTACATTATCAATATCAGTACCGCAAAGTTGCCAACTAAAATCACAAATGCCTTGCCAAACATACCCGCCGTTGCCGTACAGCTCAGCTTCATGCTGGAATCGTGACGTCTTTTTCACCACAACGACTTTCTTCAAGTTAAGCATAGGCTTTCCTTGTATTAACAGTGGTGTTTGGCGCTCTTCCGCCTTTACCGATGCCTCTGAAGGACTTGAGGATTCTGTGATAGATGCTGAACCGCTGTTCGAGCTCACCGGGTCGTCCGACTCCGACACATCTGGAACAACGTCTCCTTTCGACAATGACTTGGCGCCATTGTACGTCTTTTTCAAGATACTCTTCCGAGATAATCATTCTCGGCACACGTTCCGCAGTAGCCAGTAGCAGCTCATTATCATACACTGGTCGATTTATCTTTATCCATCCTTTGGGACTGAGTTTCTCGTTCCATGGACATACCGAACGCACGTGCGTAAAGAACGGCGCCATTTCTCCTGTTTGTGGATCCTTCCTGGTATAATGCAGGATATGGCCATTATGAATCTGGTCCACCATACGTCCCGACTCCTGAAGTTCAATGAACGTATCCTGTGACATTCTCTCCAGCCGTGTTCGCATGGCCCAAATCACTTCTCCATGAGCGACTACAATAGCTTGTTTGTCATGACATTCTTGGTTCAATATACCTAGCAAACGATCGGCACGTTGAGCCACAGCAGCCAAGGATTCACCTCCAGGAGGAGCATAATAGAATCGATTAAGTTCTCGTCGTTTAAGCTCGTCCTGCATCTTGATAAATCGTTCTTGTTCGCTCATGAGATCCATAGCACCCCAATCACGCTCTCGTATAAGCATTTCTGCATACCAACGTGCACCTGGTAGTCCCATGCGTCCAGCTGTCTCCATAGCACGTAAATACTCGGATACAAGGTACCGATCAAAGTGTGCCAAGTTGTTACGTTTCAGCCAATCACCTGCAGCTGCTGCCTGTCTTCTACCTCTATCCGTTAGTCGCCAATTTGAACTATGCCGATGTTTAAATTCACCCGCAAATAAACTGTGATCTCCAGCTAAAGAACGCTGACGAGCAATATTCCCTTCACTCTCACCATGACGGATCAAGACGAGGTCACTTAGACGAGGTAGACGTTGTTCATTGGTGCTGCTACTATAGCTACTACAACTACTATTACTTCCATTGTAGATACAAGTGTTACGTATTGGCCAATAGCGAGTCAAGCGGCGTGGATACGTCGTCCTTAGCATGATAAATGCCACAAGTTAGACGTTCGCAAGTGACGGATATTTGTAGCGATAAAGGTGATGTGGTACACACGGAATCAGATTGTTTCTGGTCATTGCGATGATTATTGAAGTGTTTTTGTCGCAGATTTCAAAGAACGTTCGTCTTCCCAGCGGCTTTGAGGATGGATGGATAATATCTATCTATTTAGCTTTTTTAGTTAGGTAAAAAACCAATGGAAAAGTTTTGTTGTAGAAAACGTCATTGATTTGAAATAAAAAACTATGGCGATTTCAAATAGGAACGATGATAAAGCTAGATAAGATGAATGAAGGATCGTTGAGAGTGTTGAGATATAGCTACTACCAAAGGATAATCATACAAATACATGTAACAAAGGTCTAGAAAGAGCAAGATGGAATGATTTTGCAACCGATATATATGACTGGTACCGTCTTCTTTCTGACAAACTAGTCAATTCTTCGACCATTGTGTAATAATGCCTGCCACAAACTTGTTCCGTTTGCATCGTTATTCCTCATTACGCGATAACAAAAAGCTCACAAGACCCTATCGTCGTCGTGCCGTTAGCTTTCATCTCCATTTTCATCTGTCGAATCTGTCAGATTACAAGACGGCGCCATTTTCAGTGTACTTGAAATAGGATGAGGCACTTTGCAGAACGCTTCATCTCTCTCACTGCTCGTGTTACTCTCTCCTTCGTCAGCTTCGTCCAGATTTTCCAGCAAATTGATCATTTCTTGGTCAGAATTGCCAGTCGATACGCTTTCATCATCATTGTCCCTGTTTGCATTTTGCAATGGAGGTGATTTTTCCTCAGTGTTGCTAGAAGCCTCGTGAACAATGAGCTCCCGCAATCTTGTGGGCTTCTGAGCACCTTGAGACGCACCATTCTCTTGTGAATTCTCTTCCTCTTGTAAAATAAATTGCTTGGATTGAGTCAAGGTGGTTGTCCTGCTGTCTTTGGAACGACTGGATGACTGATTTTGTGCGGATTTTCCGTCTGTAGTGAGCTTGGTATGTTCTGTTTCTTGGCTGATCACTCTTTTCTGGTAGGATTGACGGCGACGTAGGCGCTTGGAATCGCCATCTTGCAGATGCTGCCTCCACTCAAGCTGGATGCCAAACTTTTGCTCGAGCTCCTCTTGTGCATGTTTCAAGTTTGGCTACAAGGATAAATGAACAAACGACTTAGCATCATTGCAACAAGACAGTCATGATGCTGATAGAATACCTTTTCGTCCTTCAATGAGTGAATGATGCTTTCCACAGCCTCAGTCCGCGCCTCCAAAGGATTCTTTCATCATACAAAATGCAGTGAATACGTGTCGAAACAGTATTACGATGAACACTTTGCTTTACAAACCTCGGGTAGCTGAACATGTGCGGCTTCGCACTTTAAGATAAGCTCCGAGAGCGAATTATATAATTTTCTCAATGTTGTGCCTGGTGGTGATTCATTTTTTCGATTGTCTTGGTATCGACAAGGCGGTTACTGCAACAGTTGGGACGTGGACATTGTCTTTGATGCCATCGTTGTATATAGCCAACTGTCAGCAAAGTCATTGATATTTCTTAGTTTTCCTCGATACGCTCTTACTTAATCGGTCCTACGTAGCCGGACACCGTTCAGTAATACAGACTTACGTCCTTGTATTCACTTTGACCCCGATAAAGCCTCTTCATACTCACTCAAAGCGGCGGCAAGTCCATCATTTAGAAGCTGGTCGATCTTTGCGGCCACCGCAGGACCCACATTATCCAATTGCTTTGCTTGAGCCCCTGACATAATCACCACATCTGCATTGCAAATCGCCTTTGCAGCACGCATACGTGATGTTCCTCGTTGTGAGTGTCCATGGTGCATTTCATACTCGCCCAACTGCACGAGCTGGTCTACGAGCGTTTGATTTTCATCACGTGATGCAGGTGTGGCCTCCACTTCTTCTTGAATACGGCTCTTTCTCGTGTTCTTCTTCTTCTTCTTGCTGCTCATAAGAGGACTCATGGTATTGCTAAGCCCTGTTTGGCCTCTTGATCCTGCGTCACTGTTGCTACTCTTTACGGTGACGTTGCGCCGTTTGCTCTTGGGTGAGTCTTGCACGATCGTCCTCTTCTGGCGTCGCACTACACGTGGCGAGGGGGCCATTGGAGCTGCCTCCTTGGCTCCTGCACGTCCACTAAATTTTCTCTTTAGCTGCTCCAAAGCCTCTGGTATCTGCACATATCCCGTATCATCCTGCTGCGTGCTTTTCAATGCTAGAATGACCTCCCGTAGCGCTTGCCACGAATTCTATGGATATTACTTATGGTTAGAGAACTGCTTTTTTATCACTGCTAACTGAATAGTAAACATGAGGTGATAGTCTCTCGCTACCTCTGGTAATTGAATGCCCTTTGCTTCACACTTGAGTACTAATTCCGAGATTTCAGCTTCCATGTTCATCTTTTTTGCTGGTTAAAATATCCTGAATGAGCAAATAGTGAGGAAAACAAACAAAACGTGCACTTCAACTTGCACTTGTGTGTCGTACACACTTCTTGGATCTCACATTATGTCCAAAAATATCCGATAATCCGCCACACTATTATGGATATTATCCAATCACTTTCTCATGTTGTTTTTGCATCCTTTCAAAAATTTGAATTTCCAACGACTCGTTAACTCTCGACATTTCGTGATCTACGGTCTAACCCTCTCGTCTTTTTATCACAATTCTCATACTAATTCTCTACTATGCAGGATGATCGATTCTTTATGATGTCTCCAATGGATGATGCTGGTGAGAAAAGATTGCGTCAAGTACGTGAACATATTCATAAAGCTTTTGGACCACAAGGACATGGTCGTTGTTCCAAACGAACATTGGAAATGCCGTCTGAAGCCCCTCGAGTTGCCAAGACTCCACGTACAAAACTACGACAACGGATTGAACAGGCATCACAGTTAAGTGCAGATCAGATATTCTTTCAGCAGTTTGGAAGCCGTGACGAGCTTATAAATACAGAGTTTGATAAAGACCTGGTGCGACCAGCAGGATATCCCGTTTCTAAAACAACATCTAGACGCTATAAAGCTAGCCATACAGCTTCAGGCTCAACGTCAAGTGCTTCAGCACGTTATCGGACGATGGAAAGACCTACCAGTTACTTTTCCACGTCGACCACTTCGACTTTTACAAGCTCGCTACCTGCACCGTCGACTACAAAAGTAAACCACTTGACACGTCAGTTGACACGCTCGAAGCAGATTAAAACACCTCGTAACACAGCTATCAAGCGTGCACGAGCTGGAGAAAGTAGTGCTGAGAAGGCACTTGTGCTGAGAAAACCTCGAGTTGGTAACTCGGGGAAAAGTGCTAGAACACTCGACTATACCAGTACACAAGGCTTTTCGTTTCGAACACAGGCAGCACTAGCACCGCCACCGTTTCAAGCTCGGAAATCAGTGGTCACTACTCGCGCAAACTTGCCAAGCAGTTTTATCTCGAGAGCGTCACCGAGCAAGTTTCAATTTTCGTCGGACGCTACGAGATTATTTTCCCAGCGACAGGCACCACTGCGGTAATCGAGCAACGCTTCGCTTAGCTGCCTGACACCGCAGACGAGATACGACAAGAACATGAAGACAGAAAGAAGAATTTAAGATGTATTGGCCAGCAGATCAGAGAGATGAAGTGTAAAGCTGTAGCCTAAGAGAAATATCCTTGTCAAACTAGAAGCACATTTGTCAGCTTTTTCTCCTGTCGTGCGTATGTTGTCTGTTTGCATCCGCGTGCAAACGACTTCTTTCATCCGACTGGCATTCTAATAGATCATGGACTCCATGCGATTCAGCCGCTCGTTCGTTCCTGTCGGTAGACGGAATTTGATCATGCCCGCAAAAGTGACAACGAGTTCGGCTTTTTCGCGCAAAGCAGCAACGCCAGTACGCCGGATATCGCCGGACAGTTGAGTCTTTAGGCGATCCGCATCCCGTACAAGACACTCCATGTATCCGATCAGCAGAATGTGAAAATTCTGTCGCACAGTTTCGTCAAAGGCAAGGAAGCGGTCCACACAAAGACTAAGGTTGCTCGAGTTCTGCGTCGGCACGACCTCCAGCTCATCAACAAACGCGATAGCATCTTCATACTGCTGCTTCTCGAAGATCTCAAGGAAAATGCTGATGTTCAGGAGGGTCTGGAAGGCAATGGCAGCCGTGCGCGCATACCGATTGGCAATTGTCTGGACCCAAGGAAAGCGCATCCACTTCTCGGCAAACTCCCTCGCCTCACAAAACCATTCTTCGCGCTCTGGCCGTGTGGCCGACAAAGTTGAGCTAAGCTGCGAATTGAGCAGCACAATTGCGCCTTCGATATCGCCTGCGCTTTTTAACAGCGCAAATGCGTCGTGCGGTCGACCACGAGCTTCAGCCTTGCGTGCAGCGGTGAGAATTAGCTCCTTAACCTCATCTTCAGGTTCATCCCGAAGAAGATGATCGTAGAGACCACGAGTGCGCGAGCCGTCTGTGTTGTTTGTGAATCCAGCCAGCACATCAAACTTGCGCGTGTCAAGCAGCAACTCAGCGAGAAGCTCCTTCTTCGCTGTCATATCCGAAATGCAGGCCACGTAGTCGGCAGCCTCCGCGGCGTTGGCACGCTGAAACCCATGAATGTACTGGCGAACAAGACGCACGAGGTCGACTGTTGTCTCATCCTCTTCTCCCATGGAAAATGACGTACACTCCAACAGACCGTAATGGTTTAATGTGAGTGCAAAGTGCACAGCTTCCAGCAGAAAACCCCTTGATGCCAGATATTTGATCGCCTTTTCAAAATCCTGTGTGATAAGCAGAATTTCAAAGTACAGGAAGGCGGAAAAATAACTGCCGCCAGGCTGTACGCCACTTTCAAAGTGTGTCGGACCAAACCTCTGGATACTCTGTGACAACTTTGCAATCGTGTATGCACTGTCTGGCGTCGATCTAGTAGCCGCCACGCGCTGAATAAAGCAGAGACGTTGCCACAGGTAATCTTCAATGGTTGTCATAATGCGTTGCTCGTTGGCATTGACGTTACCATAGCACAATAGATTCACAACGCAGCGCTCGAACGGATTCACGACCGATACTGCGTCGATTGATGAGCTCACCAAACGGTGGTAGCGGTCCGTCAAGCGTTCAAACTCAGCAGGAAACTGCTTCATAAAAGCATTCAGCGGACTAGCGCTGCGGTCTGCATACAATGCCTTTTGCTGTGCACGGTATCGCAACGCGCACAGGATGTCTGCGTCAATAGGGGAGTCGTCACCACTTGACACACTCTTCGCAAGATCAACAGCCTCCTGATCCCCACCACAACGGAGGCTGTAGTAGATTATTGCCCAAATGTTATCTACGTCCATGGCACTATCACTACCACTAGCAGCATAACGCGAGCTATGCAGATGCTTGACAAACGCGCGAACATTGGAGATTAGGTTGGGAACTCCACCAGTAGCAAGGTCGTTCTTCTGTACAGTTTCCTGTACAAAGGCACGAAACTGGTTCTCAAGGAACACACGTGCTCCAAAAGCAAAGCGATGCTGTAGCAAAGTACGTTGAGCTTCATCTCGTCCCTCTCTCACACTTGTAAATTCACGTTCTCCCAGCTTAGGTGCATTTGGCTTGGTAGCATCTCCACCGACTAGCACATCATTCACAAGTTGCCAGCACTTGAGCACTGCTTCCCACTTCGATCCAGTCACTGACACTGATACATTGGCCGCACAGACACGTTGAAAGTGACGTGCCAGTTGAAACTGACTGCGCGTGTTAGGGACACGAGTACTATTGAGTTCCTTAATGACCAAGTAGTACTGTTTCATCTCCTCTGTCATTGCGTTTTCCACCTGTAGCTGTGACATTTGGAGCGATGTTCCAAACCCCGAGTTCGTTGCCAATTGAAAGCGTGGCTGGTTTACAAAGGATGCACCACGAAGACCCAATCCTGTCATTGAATCCAACGCCTCGTGCTTTTCCTGTCTTGTAGAAGCGAAGACACTTGCAGTTGTTTCATCCACGATACGTGGATAATTGCAACAACCACGTTGTTTCAGCCCTCCTAGATCCTCTAGTAGACGTTTCTTTGTATCCTCAAAGTCATCAATCATAGCTCGATTCATATGATCGTGTGTAGCTTGTATTGTCTGACGATTCACGTCCTCCATGGCAGTCAATACAATCATCTCGTGATGATGAGCGAGATATCCTTCCAAATCCGTTTCCCCCAATGGCGTCTCAGGCTCAAATGCTTGCGTGATTTCAAACTGCTCGAGCTCTTGACTGAGTTTCTCGGCATTAATTCCCTTGGACGCCAGTAGAAAATTCGCTTTCTCCGTCGCATGTGGACGTTTTCGACGACTAGATGTTAATGATGATGAGTTGGACACGTCATGGAGTCCACGTGACGCAGCATCTAATTGATCAAAGCGCTTTTCAAGACGTGGAATGCCTGGATTGCCTAGTGACGTTGTTAATTGAAGAGAACTTTGATAGAGAGCTTGGAAATTCACGTCATTCTGACTGGATGCCATGATGAGAACAAGGTGTGGAAGATGTTTATTTTAAAGTAAAACGTTGGATAGAGTGCGTTTTATTACGGTTTCTATGATTCAAAAGTGGTAATTTATATTGTATTGCATGGATGGAAAAAAAGTACTTTCTTGTGAAGTGGTGGTATTCGACTTTTTGAATTTTAGACGTCATCGCACTGATGGATGGATGCAAATTCAAACTTGCGACGTGTGATAGCATAGATGGCGTCGAATACAACTGATGAACTGCATATGGTGATGTCGTACAGCTATTTCGTTTCTTACATTGCGCCCACGCGAAGCTCGGACTCAAGCACGTTGTCGATGATCGGACGATGAACGTGGTTAGCGCCCGCTGATGACTTTGACTGCACAGATAATCGCCACCCCACGTGAGCCTTTTTCATTATCTGCCACGATGCTAGTTGCTACAGCAGTTGCATTGCTATTGAATGTACGTTTGCATCAATGCAACATCGTTTTAAGGGCGTCTCATTCTATCACGGGTAATCTATGATATAAACATACTGTCAGCGGAAGACTTGTACCAGCTGACGTACAATCATTAAGTTACACTATCTTACAACGCAGTACTAGAAGATCCATTCGTACACTACATGAATGATGTGGCTGTTGAAGATCGGGATGAAGAGTCACGATGTGCGGCACGACATGTCAGATCAAGTTGATGTCGGCAACTGTTTGCATGTGTATAAGATGACAGTCGACAGATAAAGGAACTGCAAAGATGAGTGAAGAAGCTTGCAGTTACTAACAGACAGGAAGCGCGTCATCGGAGTGGTGGCGAATGGTAGCGCAGCGACAGTAAGTCGACCGAGTAAGAGCGGCAGATACAGAGACATAGTGTGCGAGATAGCGAGCAGAATAGCTAGGACATAACGGCACAGTTTAAATATCAGTTTCCTTTCTACCTCATCAAGTGCAAGCTCAACATTGACTAACAGGTTATGAGCCTAAACCCAATGGCTCCTCCGACTGATGAATGACGACTTCTGCACCTGCAGACCACGGCCACGAAAGGGTCGCCGTTGTTAGCGATACCCAAGACCACGAAAGGGGTGCGGGGACCGACGAAAGAATCCTCACAATGCTGGCTGCCCTCACGGATCGCATGCAAGCGCTCGTAGATGCAGATCGACGAGGACAAGCGACTGCAAGGCGCGATCGACAGTGGCTTTTTTTGCGTCAGCGCTGGGACGCGGCATGGGCGGTACAACTCTACATCGTGACGCGCTAGGATATGATGCTCCGAGGCAGCCGCGTAGACGTGTTCGCGTGACGCAACCAGGTGACTCGCTATTCCAGAAGTTCGGTCCACAGTATGTCGTTCCGCGACAGCCAGAGGGCGCAGCTTGCGCCGCGCTATGCGCCAGTGTCGCCTCCAGATTTTGAAGACGTTCATGAGCCCGTGCCACCAATGCAGCAGGCACCGACACAGGAGTTGCCGTTGCGTGTCCCGGACGCACGCCAACGTAAGCTTGCTATTCGCAAGTTTGATGGTACAGAACTGTACCAGGGTCTCGGATCGGGTTTTGCTGACTGGAGTCGCACGTTCTTGCGCCAAGTCACTATGGCGCAGCAGGCCCGCGGATTTGCATGGGCTGAAGTTGTCAAGGTTGACTTGCTGGGACACTACCTAAGTGGGACAGCAGAGCGGTACTACCAAAAACAAGTGGAAGTTTGGTGGCTCGAAGAAGCCTCTCTCGATCACGCTATGGGCCGGTTGCCACACACATTCAAGATTACAATCACGGCGTCGCAAATCATGAAGCATTTTACTGCAAGGAAGGATCCCAAGCAATCATGGCCTGAACACTACCTGTTTATGGTTGCGGTATGCGATGCCTGCGATAAAGGTGCCGAAGCACAAGCTCTCGACAACATTGTTCACTATGCGTCGGCTGATCTTACAACAGTTTTGATGGCAAAGTAAAGCAATGACCGATACGATTATTTGCGCCAAGCTGAAGAGCTTGCGCATTTTGCACAGTCTGTTAAACTCGAGAACAAGACCGGAAGGACGTTGGGACGCGAGTTAGCCGCCGCTGTCACTGATGAAAGACGTCGCAAGACGACACCTTCATGCTGGCAAACAAGGTCATTTAAAGATTGACTGCAGGTCAAAAGGGAACGTCAACAAGAGCGCCAAGAACGACGGCGAGGTGGTTCTTTCTGTTAATGACGACAGCGACAATGTAAACGACGACTGGATACTCGACAGCGGTGCCAGTCGACACCTGGGAAGACGCCTGCTGATCGACGCAGAGATTTGCAACGATGTAGTCTTGCTAGCTGATAACTAGAAGGTCGGTAATTTGAGACTCTCCGTGGTTGCCAATGGACAAGAAAAAAAGTCAAACTCACGGACGTCTACTATTCACCGAGTCTGGCCCGCAACATCATCAGCTATGGCAAGCTTGATCATCAGGGATACAGTCTTAAGTATTCTAATGGCAAGCGATCAGTAGCTCGACGGAGTGATGACCAAGTCGCGTTCGACGTGACGATGGAGAATAGTGTGCTAATCGTCGAGGCGGTGAAAAAGTGTACGCAAAAAAGGAGACGGCGGATGTTATAATGGCTGCCATTCAGAAGGCAGCAGATGAAATGACTTCGGAGATGCATCGTGGCTCTCTGCTACACTTTCTGGGGCATCTGTCGTACGATGCAATTGAAAAGATCGCGAGAAATCCAAGCTCGGGTATCAATCTGACGGACCACAAACGGATGACATGCATCACGTGCGCACAATACAAGCAGACAAAAAACAAGCAGAACCAGAATGACTCTGGACAGAACGCCCCGATCAACCGCATCGGCGGTGTCATCTGCTCGGACCTAAAAGGTCCACTAACGCCTGCGGATAGATTCGGAAACCGATATCTGATCAATTTCATTGATTACAAGACCAACTACTGTCGAGTTTTCTTAGCTCGAACCAAAGACGCTGCGGAAAAAAAGTTCGAACACTTCTTGGTGTTCTTAGAGCAACGATTTGAGTGCAGAATCGCGGTTCTCAGAACAGATGGAGGTGGGAAATACCAGAATGTTGATCTGTTCTGCAAATCGACAGGCGTTGCAAGACAAGCGAGTGAAGCGCGAAATCAAGCGTCGAATGGGAAAGCCGAGAGAATGCACAAGACCGTTCTAAACATGACACAAGCGTGACTTCGCGTCTGGATTGCCCTTTACGTTCTGGGGCGATGCCGCTGAATACTCCACGTATATTCTGAACAGGAGTTCCACGAATTCAAATACTAAGAGAGCGTCGCCGCTTGAAGTTCTGACGAATAAATTGCCGGATTTGCGCAACATCGTCGTGTTTTGCTCCCACTGTACCGTCTACCGTGATCCAAGCAAGAACACGTTCGCGCGCCGCGCTCAATTGAGCACGATCGTTGGATGCAGTGACGAAACCAAGGGTTTCAGAGTATTCATCAGGAAAGAAAACAAGATCATCACGACGCAGCATGTCAAGAATATTGAAACGTTGTCTGAAGCCCAGAACAGGCAACTACAACTAGCCCTTGATGACGATAACCGGGTAGATTCAGACGAAGGCACTAAGACACCTGTGAGGCAGAGCAGTAGTGTTACTGCGAGCAAGAAGCCCAAGAAGAAGAAACAGTGGACTCGCCAGCCACACGTGACAAGAGGTGCGGCAAAGAAAGCAGCTGCAAGCCAACAAGAAGTAGCTGTCAGCGCAGATGTCGTCAATCACGTGTTCGAAAGAGATCCTCGCAACTATGGCGAAGCAATGAAGAGCAAGAGAAACGAGTGGCAAAAGTCAATGAGTGAGGAGCTGGACGCGCTCAAAAGAAACGAAGTGTGGCGTTTGGTGCTCCGATCAAGCAATAGCAACGTTCTCCACAGTAAATTGGTCTTTAAGACCAAGACGACTGACGATGGACAAAGCGCGCCTCGTTGCCTGCGGTAATGAACAAGTTTTTGGCGTGGACTACGCGCTAACTTTTGCTGCCGTCATGGACATGACGACAGTGAAAGTAATCTCTTGGCGTTAGCTGCTACATGGGGCGTCCCGGCTAAGTACGGAGACGTCCCCAATACTTACGTAAAAGCAGAGAAGGAACAGCATCTCGAGATTCTGATGCATGCCCCCAAGAGCACGATGATTGATACAAGAGAGTTAAAAGAACTGGGGGCGACAAAGATTGAAGATGTCGTGCTTGAACTGAAGAAAAATCTTTATGGTTTAAAGCAAGCGGGGCAATTGTGGAGCCAATTGCTTAACAATCGCTTATTGAAAGCCGTATTTACTCGCTGCATCAGCGACCTCTGCTTGTATTGCAAGTGCGACATCGATGGAGTCGTCATCGTCGGAGTCTACGTAGACGATTTGCTAGTGACTGGAACATCCGTTGTTGCAGTTGACAATTTGTTCGCAAGCCTTGAAAGTCTTTCGATTAAAGATCTTGGACCAGTGTTGAAGTTTTTGGCGATGCGCGTGACGCGCAACAAAGATCGTGTATATTTTCTTGACCAGGAGGAGGCGATTGTCGACTTGCTGCGTGACCACCGCATGACCGATGCCAACTCAAGTCGTGCGCCTATCGGGACAAATGTTTATGAAGTTCAATGTGCAGATAGCGGACTACTTGCAGACACGGGTGTTCCAGGTCAAACTAGCGTTCGTGCTCTTCAGTCTATTGTCGGATCGTTGCTCTGGGAAGCGAGGTGCACAAGACCAGACATCGCATTTGCGGTGCACAAGGCAACCAGAAAAACACACGAGCCACGGATCCATGACTGGAAATTGGCTAAGCGCATCGTGCGCTATTTGAGTGGCACGCGTGGATTGAAGATCAGCATGAAGACAGCAGTCGAAGAAACTGCACAACCTGTTCTAATGAGCTACAGTGACGCAGACTACGCAGCCGACAAGGCAGACAGAAAGTCTTTGACCGGTAGCGTTATCATGCTAAATGAAATGATAATCAGCTGGTGCTCGAAAAAGCAAGGAGCTGTGGCGCTCTCGACAATGGAGTCGGAATTTGTGGCAGCGTCTGAAGCTAGACAAGAGCTACTTGGAGTGATAGAGACGCTGAGTGAAATTGGTGAGTCGCCTGCACTAGCGATGAAAATGCTCATCGACAATCAGGCAGCAATACGGCAGATTGAGGAAGAAGCGTTGTCTACTAAAGCCAAGCACATTGATGTGAGAGTCGAGCACATGGGCTCGTCGAGGCATTGTGGTGCCACAATATGCGCCGAGCGACCTGATGCTTGCGGACGTCCTCACCAAAGCACTCGATGCAGTCAAGACGGTCAAGTTGCGATCACTGCTACACATCGTGTAAGCGCAGTGCAAGTTGCCGCAAGGAGAAGTGTTGAAGATCGGGATGAAGAGTCACGATGTGCGGCACGACATGTCAGATCAAGTTGGCGTCGGCGACTGTTTGCATGTGTATAAGATGACAGTCGACAGATGAAGGAACTGCAAAGATGGGTGAAAAAGCTTGCAGTTACCAACAGACAGGAAGTGCGTCATCGGAGTGGTGGCGAATGGTAGCGCAGCGACAGTATGTCGACCTAGTAAGAGCGGCAGATACAGAGACATAGTGTGCGAGATAGCAAGCAGAATAGCTAGGACATAACGGCACAGTTTGAATATCAGTTTCCTTTCTACCTCATCAAGTGCAAGCTCAACATTGGCTAACAGTGGCACCGCATGCTCTCAACTACATGAAGGACATATCGGGGCACAAGCATGTGTTCAATCAGATGTAGATTGTTGTTTTGGGTTATTTATTCAATTCTAGAAATGAATCAGATTAATAAAAATGGGTCGCCAAGATCAAACGGTATAATATCGGTTAGCAAATCACGGTCAAACCACTCTCTAATTTGATAGTACCGGTTTCTAACACTTCTATCGAATATCGGCAGCTCTTGCTGGAAGAAATAGCATGCGCAGCAACAAAACATCATTGTATACTACTATACTGCCAATAAAATACAAGCATCATCAATAACTTTCATATAGCAACAGGCATCCTGGAACCAATAGCCTCAACAACAAAGTTGCACATATGATGTATAACAACAGCACTTGCTTACTATTTTTGACATGGAGCGTACAAGTAGCATTTTTTTTGGTACATAGTGCAGGGTGCAAAGCGATCTAGAACGCTCAATTGATGCCAGGAAAACCACTAGTCACAATCTCCTTGTCGTTGCATTGTTGCGATAACACTGTTTCGCGAGGCTGGACCAAAAAAGCATGTGCAATTCGTTACGGGTAGCTTCCCACCGACACTCGATCCGTACATATTAAAGAGAGCCAAAACAATATATGTCTTGATAACCACCAATGCTACTCGACTCTCTTTCACCTCTCAACATAGCGATCATAAAAATATCTTTTGCCTTGCTGGCATTATTTCTTCCAAGCTCTTTTTCACAACAAGTCAGCAGCAACAAGTCTGTCCATTCCACAAACTGGACTTGTTTGTCATAAGTTGGTACAATGTCACGTTTTTAACCGCAATGTCATCCTAATAATGTTTTTGTATTTCAACACCCCCCCCTACCCCTCGTCTTTCCCGGAGTCAGAGTGATGGTCTCATATCATCGTCGATCGTAAATAGGAAAAAACGCGGCACGCGGTGGTCGGTGCAGACTAAAGAAGGAGTTCAAGGACACGCAGTCTTCATAGAGTGTAGATCTATAGTAGAAGTAGTAATCGATTACATAGGCAGTTAATTCTTAACTGTACAGTGAGAAAAGATCTTGTTTCTTAACAAACCCCTCACTCTCTTTTTTTCTCTCTCTTTCACTACCTCCCCCTTGTGTGGAATATCAAATCTCTCTCAAGAGGAATATTGCCACAAATAGTCGGAGTTTTTCTATTTGAAAGGGTGTTCTCTCTTTTGAGTCATATTCTATAGACAGGATACTTGACCGTCACTCTGCTATTAGCTTCCAATGACGTGGACCTGTACAGCGTGTGAGTTTACAGCCAATGAGGATGGTCAAGAAGCATGTGTCGCCTGTGGCTCCGAGAGACCTGAAGAAGAACAGGAACAAGAAGCAGCAGCAGCAGATGGAGAAAATGGATTGGAGACAGTGGAAAATGGCAAAGATGACGCAATCCGTGAGGTTGTTGTGATTGAATTACCTGCAAAGGAAAAGCTTGGTGTAAAGCTCATGCCACCAAAAGATGGCGTGATTAATCATGGATTAGCTATTGATAATATCAATAATCCATTGCTCGAGAATAAAGTACAGGCTGGTGATTTAATTGTTGCCATTGGTGGCAAGAATGTCGATGGGATGGGCTTTTCCGACGCAATTGATTTGATTCGTAAAATGCCTCGACCATTGGCAATTTCATTTGAAATTGACGAAGTGCGACGTCAAGAAGTTGTACGAGAGAAATTTCAATTGAATAAGGACAATGATCTGGATACACAATTGACAACGTATGCAGTTGTGTTTGATAATGGTCCAATGGGATTAAATTTGGAAGAAGCAGTACGATATGGTATTGATGGTGCCGTCGTACGTGCATTAAAAGGTCAAGCTAAAACAAGTGGGATGATTACAGTTGGTGATATTGTGTACAAAGTGAATGAGACGGATGTCTTGTGTATGCCTTATCTTGAGGTGATGAACGTCCTTCGTCTTGCAACGGCCCCGAAGACGTTGCAATTTGTACCAAAGGACAAATTAGCGGATGTCCAGCGTGTAAATTCTCGTCATTCCGAATCGTTTCGACTTCGTGAGTCGACATCGCAAGTTAAGCAAAAACTCATGAATAACCCACGCATTGTGAAAGATGATGGTAATGAAGGTGATGACAATCAATCGATTGCACAATTGATTCTGGATAATCAAGCAGCGACGATTAAGAAGGGGCGTATGTACAAACAGGGACGTGTGATGCGCAATTGGAAATCGCGATACTTTGTGTTGAGTGTGTCAAAGGTGGAGTATTTTAAGAGTCCGAGTTCTACTACATCACGTGGTGAGATGAGTTTTTTGGATCACCGTTGCACTGTTCGTTCGCTACCTGGTACAGGCGACGTGGTTTGCCGATCGCCAAATGTGACAGCCGAGTTTTTACTAGAGCTTCGTGTGGATGACCGTCGTATGGTGATGGCCTGTACATCGGAATCGGACAAGAAAGGCTGGATGGATGCAGTGAAACTAGCTATTGATGCCTCTAAGACTGTCAACCGCACACAAAGTCTTGGGGAATCACTGCGTGAGGCAAAGGCGCTGCGAACACAGCGCACGGAAAGTCTTTCGATGGATGGGACATTTCTGGACCGCAATGCTGGTGGACGTTTATCGCAGTTCAACTACGAGGCATTTTCGACACCTGTCATCCACGTTGGTGTTTTGTCTGCGAAAAATCTGACAAAGTCGGGCAGCTCGGTGAATGCCATTTGTGAGGTCACTGTAGGCGCCGAGACATTCAAAACTTCAGTGGTGAAGAACCAACGTTCACCTGTGTGGAAGCAAGATAACTCAGCTTCATTTGAGGCTCCTAGTGACGAAATGGTGGTGGAGATTCGTATTTTTGACGAACACATGTTTCGCGCGACCGAGCTTATTGCAACGCTGTCGATACCTTTGAAGTCACTACCGAATATGCAAAAGACGACTAAGAAGTATCCTCTTGCACTTGGTAGTCGTTCTGCAGGAGCTGTGCTGACACTGTCGCTGGAGTACGTGAACAAACAGAAGGCTTTTGAGGAGGATCAGGAACGTGGCTGCCTTGGTGACGACCTGAACGGAAATGGCATGATGAATGAGCGCGATGCAATGGTCAAAATTAAGGCCGAAGCTCAGATGGCAGCCGATGAAGCCACACATCACGCTGCTCGTGCACAGGAAGAAGCACACATGCTGCTTGAGCAATCACGACAGAAGGCAGAAGCAGCTATGGCTGCAGCTCGGGAGGAACAACGTGAAGGCAAGGCAGCGGTGGAGAAGGCCATGGCGGAAGCGGCCCGCTCAAAAGAGGAAGCTGAGAAGCAGCTTGCAGAAGCAAGACGGGCACAGGAAGAGGCTCAAAAACTGATTGAGGCAAACCGTCGTATTCAAGAGTCTGATGTTCAGGGACCATCGATTTATGCTAGGTATAGGCGTATGATTCAAGACGGGGCTTCCAACGAAGATGTCAAGAAGAAAATGCAAGAGGATGGTGTTGAGGAGATGGGTATCCAGGCATTCTTTGACGGGATTAATTCGTACGATGAGAAAATTCGTGCTCTACAGGCAGAAGTTGAAAAACTTAAGCGAAGCCGTGCGGGGCGATCGAGAGAGGAGCCAAGAGCACAGGACATGCTGGCTAACCTGGATATATCAAGTGACCAAGTCAAGTTGCTTCGCCGTCTACTAAAACTTGAGAAACAGTTGCAACAGGCTGGTATTGCTGTGGCTGCAGACATTCCGTACGAAGAAGCTATGGCTAAGGTGCAAGAAATCTCAAAACGCATGCAAGAAATTGGTTCTGCTGATGTGACGCATCCGGACGCTGCAATCCAGAAACAGCTTCGCGAAGAATACTACCGTTTGGAACAGGATATGGAAAAGTACAACACAGCCCTTATGCTAACTGATGAGTATGCAGCAGAAGAAGCACGTAAGGAACGTGAATGGGAAGAGGAGAATTATGAAGAAAACGTCAAGGCGCTGAAAGCTATTCGTCGTATGATGCCGGTTGACGTGAAGAAGATGTCTGAAGCTGATCTGCAAACAATAAAATCACCGAATGGCAAGACGCTTCCCCGTGACGTTGCTCGTAAGTTTAAGCGAACGAACGTGCTTGAATTGATTCGTATGGACCCCGCCGATATTGCTAAGAACCACCCGTCGCTTTTGGAGAACCTTCGTGTGACGGGTCTCTCAGTGACAGAACGAAGGGCAATGCACATGCACCTGCGTGGTATAGCAGAGACTTGGAAGGCTCAGCAAGGCGAAGAAATGACAAAGAAAAAGTACGAGTGGTTTAAGACTCTTAAGGAGACATTCAAGACTGTTGTGAATTCGTACAATAAACACGTGAAACAGTACGGACCGGCGGACAACCATCCGTATGCCACACGTGACGATCCGGATATTGGATGTCCAATGATTGGTAAGCAATGTCCCATCAAGGCGAACCAAGTTCCTGCGTACGATCAAGACCTTGGATATCCTGATGGGGATGTTTACATGGAGTCGACGGTACAAAAAGGTAACCCTGATGATGCTGGTGCACGAGCATTGGCAGAAGCGCAGGAAATGGCTCGAGCAAAGCTTGCTAACTCGCGTGCTGACGCGTTGAAGAAGCACTATCGCAATGTCCGACTGGTTGCTGAAGCAAACGGCGCGTGCGAATTGATCGATACGTCAATGGATTTGATTGAGAACCGACAGTTGCTATGGTTTCAAGCAAGACTGAAGCGCCGGCTTGAACGAACGGAGACTGCTGCTACAATTAAGGTAGAATTGGCAGAGTTTGGTGAGCTAGTGAACGAGATTCGGTTGGTAAGCTTGAAATTTGCTGAGCGATCGGGAATGAATTTGTCTGGCAAGCGAAACTCAGCACTGGATGCGAAGGACACGCGTTCTTCTATCGAGTGTAACCTGGTTCTGCTCTACTGCGATGCCGTGACAGATTGCTTTGATGGCATGGATGAGCGCATGGATGAGGTGAAGGCAAGTGATAAGCGCTTGCGTTCGGCTATTCCTGTTATCCGGGGCCTCATGAAGGACCTGACCGATAAGAGTCGTAGTACTTTGGATTCGCTGAAAGACAAGGGCCCTCCGATGACCCGGCGTGTAAAAACTAGGAATGAAATTATGAAAGAAGCGAAGGAAAAGAACAAAAATGCTGTCGCACCGGCAGAGAGTGAATCAGCTGATGAAGCTCCTGGCTCTGGTCGAGCACCGCATCCAATGATGGCTGCACGAGGCAGAGGACGTAGTGGCCGCGGCGGTGGTCGTGATAATATGTTTGCTGCGATAAAGGGACGTGGTGGTGGCGATGGTGGCGATAACCCTGCTGGACCTCCTCTCGATTTCCTGTCATCAATCCGCGGTCGTGGTCGTGGAAAGCCAGGTGGGCCAGGACGCGGTGACCTTTTTTCCGCAATCAAGGCGCGTGGTGGTGAAGCCGGTGGTGGTGGCCGTGGTGGTGATTTGATGTCTGCTATTCGGGGTCGTGGTCCACGTGGTCCAGGTGGTGGACGTGGTGACTTAATGTCTGCTATTGCTATGCGGAAGAAGGAGTAGACCATGACGGGTTCATTTGTGATAGAAAGGAAGAAAAAGTGCCGAGTAAAGCGAATTTGATGGCGGCGTGAGATGTTGGTTCTTGTGGAGGCTAGTAAGGCAAAAGCGTAAAACAAAGAGAAAATACAAACGATAAACTCGGCACATGGAGTAAGATTGAGTTGTCCAGCTACCGTCTTCATCGTTTGTGCGTGTGTGTGTGTGCTAATCATTGCGGAATTTGGGCTCCGTCTTCGTCAAGACCGCACCTACGGCCTGTTTCAAATCGTCACTGTACAGCACAGCGGCATTATGGTAACGAATCTGCTGAAGCGAGTCCCTTGTCGAGTGGTCTCTTTGGTAACGAATTGTTTGTTTGATACCACGAATCGTCAGCGGACTCTTCTTCGCAATCGCTTTGGCCACATCTTCTACGTGATTCATGAGTGTCTCTTGATCAGGTAAAGCTTTTAAAACCAGACCAAGCTTCTCAGCTTCTTGTCCAGTAACATTGCGGCCTGTAAAGGCTAATTCCTTTGCTCGATGGTCACCAATAAGCTTGGGTAAACGTTGCAACGTACCTATATCCGCAATGATTCCTAGATCCACCTCCTTAACAGAGAAGACAGCATTCACATCAGAGTAGCACAAATCACAGGCCGTTATCAAATCAACACCAGCGCCAATGCAAGGACCATGTATTGCTGCAATAACCGGGACTCGGCATTGTTCCACTGCCGTCACAACGTTCTGGAATTTATCAATGACATGCATCAATTGCTCACGCTTACGTCCTGGACAAGATTCTTCCATTGCAATTTTCTGCATTTGAGTAAGGACATCAAGGTCCATTCCACTCGTAAACCCACGTCCTTCTCCTGACACTACAACAGCTTTGATACTTGGCTCTGATTCAATCAATTGAAACGATTGAGCCAACTCAATCCACATTTGCATATTCATGGCATTTAAAACCTCTGGACGATGAAGTTTCAAGTGAAGCACACGAGACGAGTTAAGAAACTCTGTCGACAAGGTTTGAAACTTTGTGGATAAACAATCAAAGGACTGTGACGAGGAACCTTTGATCCAGTTTGCAAGGTGTTCATAATTGCTATTGGATGCAAACGATCGGTGCACGACAAGACGTGGACGAAAGAAAACAGTACGTAAAGATATCATGAGGGGTTTCGTATGGATTTAAATGAGACTGACGAAGCACTGAAACAATGAATCAGTCTTTGACGTGAAGCTCTTGTGATGAATGTGCACCACATCAAAGAAGAGAACAGGGACGGACGTTGAGGTCGACTGGGATTGACTCTATATGACAGTCAACCAACTTGCTTAGTCTCGTATCATGCCCTTCAGTAGCTCAGAAGACTTTTCATAGCCGTAGAATGTAACAGCATTGCATGGGAATGCTCGCACACAAGCAGTACCTAGACCACTAAAAAAGATCCGCCAGCCACCGAGACGAAAGAGTTGTCGTGCTTGATACGCAATCTTGTGCTCGCCAGGCTTGTGATCAACTGGAAGCGTCTGGATAGCAGATTTAATGACTGTATCATTGCATACAATAGCAGCAGCAGATGTGGTTAGTACAAACGCACGAAAGATTAACGAGTGTGAAGTAGCAAGAACAGACGTAAGTCGACGGATGAACGTACCGTCAAAAGGATAGGAAACGATCCAGGAAGCAACACCAGCAGCTCCACCAGCAGTCAACATGGAAGTTGTAGAATTAATGCCATTGTCAATCATCATACGTTTTGTGTATTCGTATAGCCAAAAGTAGACAGCAAAGGATGGCACCTCACGCCACAATGTACACGTGAAGCCAAGAAAGAGTCCAGGCATTCCTTTCACTTTCATAATATGTCGAATGCAATCCATTGGTCCTCGGTAGTGACTACTTCTACGTCCATTTTGCACCTGAAGTCTGCACTTGATGAGCTCTGCAGGTGCCAATGGAACAGTCTGCCAAAATCCTCCAATTGCTCCAGCATAGAAAACAGATTGAAGTGTTGGAGTCTCTTTATTGTCGTCAATCATCTTCAATGTGCGCTCGTAGACTGCAAACATGACGGCATTTGTCGCTGCACTTCCAATTACTGGTGACGTCATACCCTTGAAAAAACCTGATACTCCTTCATGTTTGAGCTAGAATACAAATAAGAACCTTATTAGGGTCAAATGATCCAGATACTGTCATAGTACACTCTTTCACAAACTCATCTATCTATCTCTATACATATGACACTAGTAGTATGATCACGCACTGTCTGATGTGCACAATCAAAAGCTCCATGATAATACTTGCTGTAGATCTGGAGACGTACTTTAACCTAGAATAAAAATGCCATACATTTCTCCTTATTATTATTATAATACAAACCAGCAAATGACTGATTCAATACACAACTATACGAACAGTATCAAATGGTTGTCCAACAATAACACCAGCAATACCACCTACAGTACCAGCTGTTAAATCTACGACCACTGCGTACTTTTCGACCTTGTCCACCATTGGCCTTGAAAATCTTAAAACGTAACGAATGTCTAAAATAGCGATATTTCGTACTTAAGGTGACATTTTACTTTATTTGATTGGATGAAATTGAGAGACGTGGTCCTTTATGCTGTGTGTATACATCATATTATGTGTTTTACATAATATGAGCAAGATAATTGGTTGGCTGGCTGACAATGTGACGGCTGGCTCATGGAATTCGCGCTGTATTCTGGTTTTTATCCACACGTCGCCGTTTATTTCCCCGTGAAGATCCGCACTCGCCGGCAAGCTCTCTAGACTTTTTATATAGTCATTATGTTGGTCCCTAAGACAAATCGTATTGCAGTATATTCGTATCTGTTCAAGGAAGGTGTAATGGTTGCAAAGAAGGACTTTTCACTTCCCAAGCATGAGGCTGTGGATGTACCAAACCTTCAAGTCATTAAACTCATGCAGTCGCTCAAGTCTCGTGGCTATGTTAAGGAGACATTTAACTGGCAGTGGTTTTACTGGTATCTTACGAACGAGGGTATTGAATACCTGCGTTCATACCTGCATTTACCTGCGGAAATTGTGCCGGCTACGCTCAAGAAACAGGCTGCTCGCCCGACGCGCCCACAGGCCCCGTCTAGTGGCGGCTTTGGCCGTGGTGGACGCTTTGACAAGGAAAAGGGTGTTGGTCCCTCGGGTGACTTCAACCCGGAGTTCCGTCGTGGTGGTCAGGATGGCTACCGTCGCGAGGCTTCTAACTAAGCTCTTGCTTATCTCGAAGGAAAGCGAGACGGGAATATTGATACAATAAATCTCCTCGCGACAATTTGTCGGCTTGACAAAGGCGAATAATACTCTTGACGTGTGTTATCATATGGGTCGTTTGGTTTGTCATGATAGGTGCAATTGTGATTGTGTGCTTCGGTATCATGCATTTGGTTTGATCTCCCAGTCACTCCGTTGGGCTCGCAATACCTCTCTGTCAACGAAAGCCTGTACTGTGCTGTCAGCATGGTTGTATTCATTCGACCAGGGTCTGCTGTATTGCTGCAAATGTAAACATAAAGCTTCCAGCGATAAGCCGAACTACTACGATCATTGCCAAGCACGCCTCGATGTCTCATAACTTTGATGCTCTTTACCCGTAAATAACTGTAATGAGCAAGTCAAACGATTGATAAGCGAGACCGAGTCCGAAGTAGCTTTGGCGTTGCTCATGTTGTTTGCTGTGAGTAATGGTGTTTATATGCAAGCGCATAATGTCATCGAGATAGTTACGGCAAGCACAATGAACAGTAAATGTATAGGACGATATTATGCTTAGAGAACCTCTAGTGACGGTGAATATATGAAGCTTACGCCAGCCACGGCATACGAAGTTATCGAGCTTTGGAGACATTCGAACACTAGTTTACATTTCAATCATTATATCTACATCCTGTATCGCAATACCGCAACTGAACAATGGAATTTCAAGAGCAAATACTCAGAAACGACTTCATTCATAGAGCATAACTAGTGGGTATCTGACGCACAGCTCTCTAGCAGCACGACAACGTCATACGTGCTTCCATCATTCAACTTTATAATCTTATCTTACTGACAACTTTCTCTACTCATTAGACTTCAATGCGCAAGCACGTTCCATTCATAGCTCAGCTTCGCAGCCGTTTTTGATTGCAAGAATGATCTAGAAGAGCGTGTTGCTAGAGGACATTCTACAGCACATCACCAACGATGTTTTGTGCATTGTAGATATAATAATGCATGTGGAACATATATAGAAGTAACAAAGATGTTTGCTCCATGGTTAGTCTCTAGCATAATCGTCAAAGCGACTAGCAAAAAAGATTGGGAATATGGAGCCATCAATCAGTTGGAGCAAGTATTCCAGCAAAGTAACCGAGATCACTAGGCGGTCCAGATGCTCAACAACCAAGACTTTTCTATTCAACTGTTTGCTTCGCTTATCCCTCACAAAAGACGTAGAGCTTACGCACGTGCTTCACGGTCTTACGACTATAGAAAAAACATACGTGCTCCACTTTGGGGCGAGTTGCTTGACCCTGGGACCTCTACTGTGAAAGAGAGGTCTCACCAGAAGTCCAGTTGCTTGGATCGCTAAGATATAACTAATAGCTACATGATATATACGTACAGATTTATGATTATATAGTATGCATCACTCATCTACATTGGGTGATACGTTTATGACAAAATGCCAACTGTATCAACAATCACAACAGGACACACACACACACACATGCATGCACCCTCGGCAGCCAGTCATTTCCAAGAACCAACCAAAAGTGAAAGCGTACTTAATGGTCCTTTGTACCTATGAAAATACGAACCTAAGAAAACAAATCGGGAATGAATATTGAAATGTGAGAGCAAATCCTGAAAAATTGCTGACTGAAATAAAGCAAGTCCTTTTTTCAAATTGCTTAGTAAACAAGAAGGGTAACGCCTCATTGTATTATCGCAACGGCAAGAGCAGATGATTGATTGACAGCTGCTGCCATGGTCTTGGATTGCAACGTCTGGTACTGCAGGAGAACTTGTTCTTTACTGACTAATCTGGGAAAAGACATTAGTCATTTAATGGCTAAATCATAATTATCATAATAAATAAACATATCTCTCTCTCAAAACCTTGTCTCGGATGCTTTTTCGCAACAGAACAAAAAGATCACGTGGTAAAAAAATGGGTCTTTATGGGAATCTGACCAAAAGTTTGAGTACATTCTGACCGTTTTGAAGATTCTTCTCCACCAAATTTCCAATTTTCTCCGACGAGATAGGTCATTCGCACTAAAAAAAATGCATCCCATGCATAAAAACGTGCACAGGTTTCAACCCTATTTCAAACCCACCCGTTTTGTGCCTAAATATTTTCAATATGTCTTCTCTCCCCTGTTAATATATATATATATCTATACCATGCCTTAGAAATAGTTTAGTATCAGACTAGAGACCTTTGTGGACAGATGAATTAGATAGAGACAATTAGATAGACAATTAGATAGACAGATAGACAGACCGATAGACAGACCGATAGACAGACCGATAGACAGACCGATAGACCGGCCGACCTTTACTCTTGAGGTGTATGCAACTTTCTTGCCTCTCTCTCTCTCTCTCGTTGACTCCATCTATTAGGCCATTTTCCTCTTGTTGTTTAGCTCATACAAAAGTCTTCATGACGACGTTTTCTACTACTGTCTCCATGTTAAATTCACGTCAAGTCCAGGACTCATCATTACCACAACGTTTGGACCCACTTCGTCGTGGTTCTTTGCCTAAAATTACAGGTCGGAAGCTTCGTACACCACGCAAATTTGTCGTGACGGACGTGTCGGATGAAGAGCTGGATGCATTGAAACCAAGCGCGTCGTATTGTGTCAGTCTGTCCGATATTGCGGGACAAGAGCAAGACAAGGACAAGAGTGTGGGCTGTATGAAAGACATGGGAGCTGTGAACGTCTCGGTTCGCAAGGGCAAGACACAAGTAAAAGGTCGCTTTACGATCACTGACTTGTCTCCAGAGTCACCAGAGACACCGTTGGAACGTGAAGGTTTGTCAATTTCTATGGGATCGACACCCTCACGAAAGTTTGAAAAAGCTCCACGCCGTTCATCACGGAAAATGTCCACTCGAAGACCATTTCAATCGGCAGGTGATATCCGTCCTTCGGTAGATCTTACAGAGTCAAGTTCTCCTCAGCAACAGCAACAACAACAGCAGCAACATGAGCAGGAAAGGCCTATGTTTGCATCGTTTGAGCGCCCAATGGTATCATCGCCGTCATCGCGCTCTCTATGCACGTCCCTTCCTGCCCATTCAATGAACACACAGACCAGCGAGACTAACAATCAGACTCCGATAATGTTTGACAACCATTTGAAGTTTCTGGAGAAGGAGACGTTTGAGATGAGGTCTACTTTGGAGAAAATGGTGGCTACGAACTCTCAGTGGATTGAAGCTCTTGTCTCAGCTGGTCTTGTGCAAGGTAAATTGCGCGAGGTTTCTGTCTTGGAACCTGTTGTTGCTGTAGAGTCACCTTTTGAACAAAATTATCGTAAAGTAGAGAAGGCGTACATGGAGCTACAGGCCAAATACGACGCCGTGTGCCAAAAGAGTGAGCGGATGGAAATGAAGAATGCTATGCTCGAGATTCGTCTTCATCAGCAAATTAATCGTTCGACGATGCTCCGATCGCAGCTTGACAAGTTGACACACTACACGGAGAAACTAATCTGCGAGTCGTCAGAGCCTACGCTGCACGATTACAACTCAGACCTGAACTCAATCTTTGGCGAGCATTCTGAAGCTCATTCTCCTACAGCTGACGAAACGAGCAGCGGTGAGTACGGTTTTAACGACAATGTGCTCAAGTCTCGGCGGCAGCGTTGGCATAACATGGATGAGGAGTGTATGTCAAACACGAGTACCGAAGGAGAATCATTTCGTAAGACGTCGTCACCGGTGCCATACGAGCGAGATAATGAAAACAATCAGTACTATAGCGATGTAGAGCCCATGTCTGCGAACGGCCATGGCCGCCTTTTTGCGCTGGAGTCGCTGCTAGATGACCAGATCAACGAACTGCGTCAATCTTTGCGGTCAAAGAAGGAGGACACTGATGCACCAGTATCTGTGAATGGCTCGTTAGATTCTATGACTGTGTGCCCGTCTGTCACAAACTTTGCGCCTAACGATGACGATGAATGTGAAGTACACGACCAGACTGTTCATTCTGTGTCGGTGAAGCAGAAGAGACTGAACGCTGACCTGCTCAAGCACAGCAACTCGGTAGCTTCACTCAACTATTCGACAGTTTCTTCGACTTCATCGTTGGCTGGTTATGGACTTCACTTGGCGACCATGGCGCAGTCAAAATCTGGCTACTTTTCTAGCATGGCTGCTACGACTTTGTTTGGTCCGCATCCTGAGCCGTATCCAAATGCCTCTAGCCAACAGAACGATTGCCACGATGACGAGACTGTGTACAACGTGCTCAGCCCAGAGAATCTGCGTTTCCACGACTGTCAGTCTTTGCTTAAAGCTGCCGAAGAAAGAAGCTCGCAGCCGTCAAGCAGGCGACGTGGTTTTCCTTTTACGACCAACAAACAACCAGCTTCTTTACCGGAGGCGAATGAAGTCTCTGAACGAATACAAACGACTGGCAGCAGCTTGTTTGAACGATTTGCAGTGCGGCGGCGAAAGCCTGTTGACTAGATGTCATTCTTCCAGTTGATTTGACTTCTCTGCATTGGACGCAGATGCAGTCATCTGTTTCGATTGCAAAACCCATTTTTCCAATATCAGTAAGGACGTCCATAGGGTGACATTGTTGTCACGTTTTCCTTCTTCTCTTCTTGTGCTTTGGTTGAAGGAATGAAAGTAGTAAGTAGTAGTATGGACTGTGTGGGATTGCATAATGAAGTATCTAATATGTGAATCTATTTGACCGACGGATGTTCGTTCTGTCACCACTTTGAACGTCTTCTTCCATTAACCTCATTCATTCCGGTTCAAATATTCAAATATTCAAATCAACGATCGACGTTTATGGGGCGATGGCAGCGCGAGTATGAGAGCAAATGGTGCGACTACACACAAGGAGTGATTCATGATTTCTGTAGGACGTATGCAGTTCAGTGCAGTTCGTCCATTACACAAGCAGATGAGTATGAATTACAAAAAGTCCTAGCGGTAGAAGGAATCGCCCACGTGCCTCCAAATCACAGTCGATGGCGTGCGCCTATCCCTGCGTCACAGTCGCCTTTGACCGCTTTCGATGCTCAAGACTCACTCATGTCGGTAGGTTCGTCGTACGTTTACAACACTCCACCACCTCCAGACACTCAAGATATATTCCCAGCCTTCAGTTCACAGGAGGATTTCGAATGCCAATTGACGTCTAGACGTCGATTGAGCGCTTCCCAGCGATTACAGCTGCGAATGGCTGATATGTCGCCAATTGCAGGTGATAGACGCACTTCTATTGAGTGTGCAACAACAATCTCACCGCCTTCTGGAACGTCCAAGTCACCCTGGACACCTAGACAGTCGTCGCCAAAACTAATTGGAAAGACGCGACGAACGCCTCGTCGGTCGCTTGAAGCACGTTTTAAAGGTGACGACTTGAATGTCTCGATACAGTCGATACGTCTTTGTGACGATGAAGAAAGTCAAATGGAGGACAAAAAGACGGAGGCAGAGGATACGCAAATGACTGACATGTCGGAAGTTTATGACGAAGAGGAGAAAGCTGCGGTGGGTAGTGATTATGAAGATGATGCTGAACAAGAAAAGGAGATTGACCGTGTAGACGTCGCTGCAGATGAACAAGGTGTTGATCCGTGGTCCATGATTAAGCATGACGATGATGCTGAAGATATGAACATGTTCAAGGAGCTGGTATTTCTTAAGAGTGACAGCGAGGACGACAAAGAAAGAGAGACGAAGGAGCAAGTTGATGCTGACGCTGTGGTAGAGGAGAAACGAGTGAACACAGATACATCGCTTACTATCAACATTAGTGGTAAGTCCATCGATGCGTCATTGTCGCCGAAAAGTTTGACTGAAAGGCCGACATCGGCTTCCGAACATGACTTTGAGTTTCTTGGAACGGAAAATGATTGCAACAACAATATTCAACAGCCTCAAAGTGGAGAAAAAGATGTAGAGATGCACGGATTAGCACGGTCTGTAGTGGAGAGTGCACCGTGTTCCTCTAGTGCAATTCAGACCGTTGGAGAGCCATCTCAGGAAGACACCAATTATCCTGTCGACCAGCAACAGATTCCTGCCCAGACAACCCGAACATTGACCCCCACTTCAGCTAACAGCAACAGTGTAGCAAGGCAAAGCCAGCCGGTGTTGGTGAGGCGGTCAACTGGTACTTTACCCGCAAATCTCTCGCCGCAGACAAGAACACCGCATGCATGGTCGAAAAACTTGCCAGCAAGAGAAACATCTTACACAAGACCCACAACTGTGTTAACGAGAGACCCAGCTATCGCTTTATCATTGTCTGTAGAGAAAACGACGTTTGCTGTCCAAGCAGCTTCGTCTGTACAAAAAGCTTTGCATGCATACCCCGCACCTGCATCAACAGCACAAACTCTCTCTACTGTTTCAGCATCGTCCAAATCCGCGTTATCACGGAAGCGTGCAAATCGAAGTCCGCTATTGCGCGCGAAACTGCCGCTGCAAATGGAGTATCGCTTCGCTAGCGACAAGCGTCGGCGTCACAGGCGTCGAAAATCTCTTGCAGCTAAGCCGGGCGTGTTTCCCTACGTTGTGCCAGAACTTCTAGTAGAGCTGCAACCATACCAAAAGAAGGCACTAGAATGGATGCTAAAAAGAGAGAAGGAACTTGGTGGCCCCATTACTATTGATCAGCAACGCCGTGGCGAAGTAACTGCTGTCGACGCTTTGGTTGCAAAGGTGCGCGGTGGAGTTTTAGCCGATGAAATGGGTCTTGGTAAGACGATATGCTGCCTTGCTCTCATATGCGAATCTCTCCGCCTCACCCGAGCGGCGGATGCTCAGGCAAGAAGTGAGACTGGCAGTACTGTTTCGCGGCTAAATCCTCCAACCCTTATTGTGACACCGTTGTCTATCCTATCGCAGTGGAAACAAGAACTACAAGCAAAGACGAACTTGAGTGTGGTAACGTATCAAGGCGGTACGCGCAAGAGCTTTCGCTCAGCCACGCAGTTTATGGGAGCTGACATTGTCCTCTCGACCTACGACACCCTTCGGCTTTTGGAGTGTAAGGTCCAAGATAAAGACATTGACCATGACGATGACGAAGAGGATAGCGATGGAACTCGTGCAAAAGATGATGGGTGGCATCAAGCGCCACGTCTTGTCTCACGTTCTAAGAAGTCCGTGTTGACATCAAAGCTGCACCAATTGCAGTGGTTCCGAGTAATTTTAGATGAAAGCCATCTGATTGCAAATGCTGGATGCGGACGAGCGCGAGCTGCGTTTACACTAAGCAGCAAACGTCGTTGGTGTGTGACCGGAACACCAATCCAAAATCGCACGGCAGACCTAGCAGCACTGCTGCAATTTGTTGGGCTAGGCAATCGTGCTCACACTCTTTCAGAGCAAGAACTTCAAGCGCTAGTGCCTCGCGTTGTAATGCGCCGTCTTAAATCTACGGTCGATGTGTGTTCAAGAGCTCCTATCTTGGAGCTTCCCAAAAAGACTGAAGAGACAATCGTGCTTGACTTTGATTCAGATGTCGAACGAGCGCTGTACATTTTGTTGCATCGCTCTACTAAATGGCAAGTACTTCGGTATTTGCAGTCCAAGGAGGCCAAACTAACGCACCGAACTCCCCTCACAACCTCAAGCAAAGAAGACAGTCAAGAACGTTCACTGTTCATGCACGTGTTTGAACTGATTCTGCGACTGCGGCAATTGTGCAATTCCTGTGCTCTGGTGACCGCAAATCCGTTTGCCGAAGTCGAAACACGAGTAAATAGCGCTGAAGCGCTTGCTGGGAATGGAGTACTCGACGGCATTTCTCCGTTCTCAACTGGAGAGATTGAATTGTTAAAGCGGCTTCAGAAGCAGCATACGGATGCAAATGGTCTTTCCGGGTACAATCCTTTGGAATCAACAAAGCTGACAGCATTGATGCAGGAGTTGAAGAAGGTACGAGCCTGTCGGGAACGAGTGTTGGTAATTTCACAATGGACAAGCTACCTGGACATGATTGGAGAGCGCCTTGAGATTCACAATGCACAATGTGAAGCACGCGTTTTGTCTGTAAATGATGCGTCTGAAGCAGGCAACGAGGCTATCATGTTTGCAAAATTAGACGGTAGAATGTCTGTCAAGGATCGAGAGCAAGTCGTGCGCAATTTCCAACAGCATGAAGACACCTTCGACATGGGACCAGTTGTTGGGCCACCGCTGGATGTGCTACTGCTTTCTTTGCGTACTGGTGGTCTCGGATTGAATCTCACAGCTGCGGCGCATGTTTTCATCATGGAACCTAGCTGGAACCCAAGCCTTGAGCGCCAAGCGATTGATCGAGCTCACCGTTTTGGCCAGACAAGAGAGGTACGCGTCGTTCGCTTCATCATCAAAGGCTCCATTGAGGAGCGTGTTGTGGCTTTGCAACACAAAAAGCGCCAGCTTACGGCTGCCTTCTTAGGCGATGGTGGTATCATCTCCAGTGCTAAAGAGAATCGACTTCACGAGTCGAGATTGTCAACTGGTGATCTTAGAAGACTGTTTTTCACGCAGCATGAGCAAGACGTAGAGGAAGATCAACACTACCATGACGACGAAAATGATGGTGTAGAAGATCACGAAGATGGAAACTACGATGACAGTGCGGCGTTCGTTGAATTTGAATGACTAAGGAGACAAGAAGTCGAATGCCCGTTGCAAGAGAGAGGAAGTGATGTTTATAGCATAAATTAGTTTAGTTGGCTTCCACTTATCTACAGCATGTCGTAGTTACCTATCCTGTCTACATGTTCAGCTTACGCTGACGTTTGTTGTGTTTCTCGGTATCAGGATCGGGCCGCTCAGGTGATGGCACAGTCCGAGTGACACCAATAGTTGATGAAGACGATGCAGCCGTTCGTACGGGCGCAGGAGGTGCTTGAGATGGTGATGGAGATAGCGTCTCCGTGCAGATGAGGTACGAGTCGTCCAATTCGTTGTCGTCAACGGGCAACGAGGGTTTCGTTTCATTATCATGGATATGCAGTACTTGTTCAATTGCCGTGGGGCTTTGAGCCAGCGGCTTAATGGGGTCTACCATCACCTCGGGTGATGTAGCTTTTGGCGTCTGAGTCCTGGTCGAGACGGGGGGTGTACCAAAGTAGGCGCCACGCACAATTTTAAAGGCTGTGCGATAGGCGTTTTCTTCGATTTTAACAAGCTTGAGAGCCTCCAGTAGTTGCGTGACCGTGAAATTATACTCGGACTTGGCCACGAGTTGAACTGCAGCCTTGGCTAGACTCGAGACCGTGCAGTCAAGTGACGAGATCTCCTCCACTACTCGCTCCAGTACGTTAAACACGGATACAACGCAGTTCGTACGACGATCTTTATCTTGACCAAAGGGAAGCTCATGTACAAAATCCCTTGCCATCGTAAACACGTTTGGGGGATTAAATCGAAAACCCACGAGACGCACAAGCTTTGCCTCGGCTTCAATCATTTGTGCACGTGAGAATTTACGTTCACACATGAGAGCCATTTCTTCAAGAAGGATTGGTCGATTCTCGTGCATCTTACTAGCTGTCCACATCGAAATCATCCCCAATAGCTGCAGTGTTACACGATCCACCGAGTGTACACTGAGGTATTGATCAAGGAAATGGAGGGCACCAAAGACCGTATCCATCTGAAGTTCAAACTCCTTTGCCGTCTCAAACATCCAGCGACAGACACGTAAACGCCAAGTGGCTGTCATACCGTGATGCTGAATCTTTGAAAGGTAGAGTGGATTACGTACAGCAGGATAGTGTTTCTCTTTAAGTAGAGCCCATTGAATCGTCTCATGTGCTTGAGAGGCACAGTGCATGGGTAATGTAAAGGGCATTTTAGATGTATGAAGTGACATAGTGCTAAGAAAAGATTGGGAAGAGATATAAAGAAAGAATGAAACAAAAGGAACACTACGAGGCACACGGCAAACCACGAAATGACGTAGGGCGAGGAAGCGGGCGACCAGTGCCTCAGGATGCAACCGGTATTGGTCTCAAATACGGGTTCACCGGGCTACGTGATCAAAGCCCGAGGAGAAAAATATTAATTATCATTGGCAGATAGACAAAGATTAATTGTTTACGCGAATCGGAAAGGAGATGTGATGATTCTTTTAACCAATTAAAGTAGTTGGCGCCACCGGGTGGGTCCAAAGTGAACCCATTTCATCGGTAGACCGGTACGGTAGTACATAACAAGCTACTCAGAGCATGCGATGTGTGAGTGCAAAACACTGGATTGCCGCATCTCAGCGTGCCCTGTTGGATATGTCTGTGTGTGATCTTAGGCTGTCGACAAGTCTAGCATTGTAGTGAACTCACTAAGCAAGTTTCAATACGGATCGATTGAAAACATGTAGGCAGAAAAAATCGATTTAGTGACGAATGTCCCATTCAAGATCCTGTTGAATAAGGTATTGGGTTGACCCTGGACCATGCATTACGTGCTATGCCACTTTTCTTTCGCATTCGAACCTTGGGTAGAATCAGCTGCGAATGAGCTCGTCAGACGCCTTTTTGGTCCACCTCTAAGATCGCAAAACAACAAAACCTCGTCTGTTCTCAAGACACCGTTTTCATCATCGTCACGTTCATCTTTGCCATATCAAGTTACATGAGCTGCAGTGTTGAGATCCATTAGTGCTGAATAGACCAGTGTAGAAGTAGTACGGATTTTAGAACAAGTGATTCCTTACAATTTAGATATAGAGTGTTATCACGAGCGTTAGAGTTAGGAGTTACGAATGCTCACAACATGGCACGGATAGGCGCACAAATTTACAAGTTCTGATTGGTCGTAAAGCTGAGACCCTGATGTGCTGCAACGTGTCACTATTGCATGAAAAACACGCAGTTTCATGCATTACGATGGGTAATAAATTTACATAGGTAACTATTAGCTCTAACTCTTGGTGCGAGTTAACACATTTAGTAGTTTAATCTTCGTACACATTTATTAAAATGTTGGGTGGTAGGGAGTAAGAAGATCGTCAGTTCTAGTGAGTAATCGTTTCTAGCTGCATAATAATCAATGTCGTGGCATAAGTGTCGTTTTAACAAAGCTTCCTTTTCAAAACGTCGGGACATCAATTCAATTTGATTATTGTTTGAGCTACTCGTGCATTGACATTTTCCGGTGCAGTGAAGTAAGACAGACAGTTTTGTTGTTCTGCCAAGTAGAGCTTGTGTGAGAATTGGCACATTATCAGTTAACACAACACTTCGGTTCATATTTCACGTCTGTATCAGAAGCTAATGTTCAAGCAGTTCTGTTTCCTCGTGATGAACTTTCTCGGAACTAGTTTGACGTTGTGCTTCTTTCTTGTCCAGCATGATCGGACACAATAGAAGCCACGAGCCAATAAGTTATTGTACCAGTATGTGAACTTGCAGCTCTGAGCGTAATTGTAGCAGTTTTTCTTAATCGCGTGTTTCCCAGCCAGCCCGCTAAAGGTCGGGCTGCGCTCAAGACGTATGTAGTTCTTATCCTTTTCTTCTAATGCACAAAAGCGTTTCGTCTATATCATCACATATATCGTATTCGTTTTCTTGGCAAATGTTCGATGTCAGTACGTTCAGAGTGGACCGACGTGCTGTTTCTTCCCGTTACAGCTTTCAAGGTCGATTTGCTGGAACGTCCCTATCGTCATGGATCAAGTCAATTAGACATCAATTTAATCAGCTTGCTGCTCTTCAACAAGCTCTTCTTGAGTCGGCAGCGCATCGACTTGTCAGAATAATGCATGGCGTCTTGGTGGCACAACGCTGCTGTGACACGGGTGATTTTAGACACCTTGAGTTGGTATCTGTCACCATTCTGCCAGACGTCAACCATCTTTCCATGCCTGCCTCGACAAGGTGGCACTTGCTACCTGCAGTGACAATTTGCTCTGAATATTCGCGCGTCGTTGCTTACTAATGGTTGGCAATTCGACACGCTCATATTGTGTGGCGCCTAGCACTCACTTGCTTTCAGATAACAGCAGCCTTAACGAGCACTCGCTAGACTTGTTTTTTTGTGGCTAATGCCGTTCGTCAAACGCGTGATATAGTGCATCATGGGACGTGGGAGCCAGCGAGCCATCTGAGGAAGGGAACAACAAGGTACTAGAAGCAACAAAAGCTTTTATAGTAATTACATACAGACAGAGAGTCTTGTCCTATCGCTAAAATTTACATCGATCATCGAACTCCATTTGACCGATAAATTGTATTCAAACCGTGCTTTTACGGAATGTAAAACTCTTTATAGTTTTGTATACATATCTCGTACTTCCGTCTCACGTTGTCTTTGGCATCTGCGACACATCTTTGAAGTCTCAGCTGCGCCCGTCGCCCAAGGTGTGAGAAAAGATCGTACTTAAACGAGACCACGGAATTGAATCAAACGTAACGACAAACTCATGATATAGCTTACCCTATATGCTACAATACCGACATAGAAGTTTTGGGTACTGAAACAGTAGTATATTCGATATGAGAGGCATCCTTACCTCACATTTAATAAAACTGGCTCTTTTATTGTTATTGTCCGTCCATGTTACGTACGACTGCATTCAGCAATTTGCACAACGCTTGACAAGTCCATTTGTTTTGCTCTTCCACACACGCACGTTCGTTTTTGCCTTTGAGCGCCATAAAGAGAGAGAGCCCACGAGCCCTCTCTTTTGTGCCTCTCTTTCTATTGTCCTTGTTCTTTACATTGAAGTTTGTTTCATCTAGTGCCTTGTGTGGTGGTGGTGTATTGCGTCCTGCTGCCGTTTCGTTTGAACATTTAGAGAGAGAGCAGGAATAGAGAGATAGCTATGGGCGCGGTGGATTGGATTTGTGGCAATTATAGCACTTTAGAGACGAAAAAGATGGCGAAAGTAGATGAATGTAAACGCGTATTGAGCCGATTTCGACGTCTAAGACTACACGGTTCGGCTATGCTGAATGCGAAGGGCCTCTTGCAGCAGACGGTTGTGATTAAGCTCTACCCGATTGTACACTTTCGTTTATCACCAATACGCTGCACGTCACCCTTTAAGCGGAAAAATTCGTTCATTGACGTCGCTGAGCAGCAGAAACACAAGGAGAGTGTTGAGACGGAGATTGAGCTGCCCACTACTTTGGAAACAAAGTGGCTTACCACGGAAGCTTCCGAATGTTTTGCTAATCAGGTCAAGTGTTTGATTGAAGATGTGAATTGTACATTCCAGTTAACAAGTGAAGGCTGCGGTGGTGCGTACTACATGACGACGGATTCGAGTACCAAGATGAATCCGATAGGGATCTTTAAGCCTAGAGATGAAGAATATATGGCCCCGAACAACCCACGAGGATATGTAAAAGAAAATGCCGTAGTGGGTGTGACGGATCACCCGATCAACAAGGGATTTCGAGTTGGTAATGGAGCTCTTCGTGAACGTGCTGCCTATTTGCTGGATAGCGCCTATGACAACTTTAGTGGCGTGCCTGTGACGAATTTGATGGTTTTGAATGTAAATGGACAAGAGAAGGAGGGATCGATGCAACGTTTCGTAGCGTCGAAGTGCTCGGCGGAAGACATGGGCACGCTCAAGTTCGCGATCTCCGAGGTGCATAAGATTGGCATCCTGGATGTGCGGCTATTTAATACCGACCGCCACGCAGGCAACATTTTGCTGAGGGAGCGGACAAACAGTCAGACTTTTGACATGACGCCGATTGATCACGGTTTTTGCTTGCCATCCTACAAGCAGCTGGAAGAAGCAATGTTCGACTGGCTGCAGTGGCCTCAGGCTGAGTTTCCGTTTACATGTGCTGAACTTGACCACATCGCTTCACTCAATGAAGATCGCGATGCAGCCGTTTTACGATCGGTTGGAATCGAGGAGGAGTGTGTGACAACAATGCGTGTGTGTACAGCGGTGCTGAAGCGTGGCGCGGAGGCCGGGTTTTCGCTGTTTGAGATTGGTAGTCTGCTGCAGCGCGACGGTGACTTCTCGTCGCCCTCGCAGCTGGAGCTGGTTGTTGCCAAGGCGGTGGCTATGGTAGAGGAAGATATGGGGATGTCCGAGGAGAAGGATGGTGTCGCCTTTTTCGATGCCATTGTGGCCGAATCCGCTCGTCAGACTGAGAGTATGTTTGAGGGGCAGACGAAGAAGAAGGTGCGAAGCATCAGCTGTTTTAGCTAAAATAGTGCATGGAGCTTGAATAGTTTGTTCGCAGTGAGTGAGTGTTTTGATGGAAGAAACATGACAAGTAACTAATAAACAAGAGATGGAGAGGAGGGGAATCACGGTGCTGTCGTAGTATAACGTGTGAAACTTGAAAGCACGATGTTAATTCACGCGACATTAAGTGCTGACCACCTACCAATGTGTAAAGTAACGGACGAAAAAGGATAACGAGCACGTGTTCTTTGACGAAGTAAAAGAATGAAGCCCTAGCACCGCAGACAAATGCTGATGTTGTACAAGTAGATAATCTAAATGAGAAATGAATGATGTTCTTTGGTCCTTGCGTGTGCCATTGTGTTGCCCAGCGAGCGACGGAATCAGCAAAGCGGATTAGTTTTCACACACGATTGGCATCGCCTTTGTGCTTGGACTTGTCGTCGCAATCGCCATCTATGTCATGCTATTCACGAATCCGTTACGTGAAAGATGTTACCACTGCGCGTGAAAAAGCTTGTGTAAATTGTGCCTCACTTCCGAAGCCGAGAGGTGGTCGAGAGCGTAATCTCCGGCATGATCGGGTCACCGAGGCGGTACGAAGCTACTGCAGTGCTAGGTTTCCACGGTCTTTCACTACACTGCACGGGCTTGATTTACTGAACACTCGTTTGTAGGACCACCGCTTAACCTACAGCGTTATCGAGCATTCTGGTGGTTCTGTCCGTGATCCCTGTAAAATATTAAGCAACATCAAACGCACCTGTCTATAAATTGATGTCTACAGACAAGTTTGTCTTAGGCTCGGCTGAATCTTGCAGCGATATAGTGGTGAAGTTAAACTGTGCAAAATTTGACAAGACAAACCGATCTCAGGGTAAGTGCTTGTATATTACATGTCAATAGGTTTGCTAAGAGCAGACGTTCGTACTAACCTTCTTCTATGCTGATCCAAGAGCTGCTTTAATCATCAATACTTGCTCGTGCGGTCAAGAATCGTAAATTTCATCGCCATCAAGGTCTTGAGGGTCTCCTTGGCAATGTTAATATCATATTCTTTTTCGTCGTCCGTGAGGAACACGTACGGAACGAGACACGGATGTTTCTTCGAGTTGTCGTCGCGTTGCGGACCATACGTCCAGCCTTCATCCATACGACCCTTTGCCCAGACCTCGTGGGCGTTTTCGGCTAAAAGGTCGACTAGGCGCAACAGTCTGGGAGGCAGCTCAACCGTTGTCGTGTCAATTGGTAGAGGACGGTAGACTTCAATATTTCCCTCTCCGTAGGTTGTGAAGTACGGAGAATCATTCATAAGACTATTGCGCCGAAAACTCATTGCCTCGCGCAGCAAGGATGGTACGGATTTGATCGGTGCTCCAGGATAAGAGGCAGTGCCCAACTCTTCAAATATAGCCAAACTGTTGGCTCGAGGGCTTGTCGAATCCGAGCCACCACTAACAATTGAACTGTTACTTCCACTCATACCATCAGCGATATCTGACATCATGGATGTTGACCGCGAAATAGCGTCGTGGAACGAACCACTGTGAGAGATCTGGTGGCTAGCACGCGTAATCGTGTAGTTCATAAAGACAATCGTCTTGATCGTCTCAATAGATGATCGGTAGTCAAACGCTTGCTCTTCCACGGACAACAACTTGTAGGGAACAAGGTTCGGGTGTTTCTTATTGGTGTCATCGCGCTGTATACCGTATTGCCATCCTTGTTTGAGACGCTCAAGGGCCCACATATCATGACAATTACGAGCCAGGACATCACCTAAATGCTCAAGATGACCCAGTTCCACCTTGGACGTATCCACAGGCTTTGGACGGTAGTTGTGACCTTCTTTTTCTCGAGACGGCATGTCGATAAGGCATTTGCGAAAACGGTACATTACCTGAAGAGCTTCATTTCGCACTTCCGCTTGGGAGCACATCGCCTTACGCTTATCCTTACGCAGAAACAGATCCAACATACGCGAAATCTCATCAAAGCGCAGGCTCGTGCGTCCATCCGCGCGGACACTATCAAATAGCAACTCAAGGCGATAATCGTCTACCATGTTGTTCTCGGAATAGTTCCACAACTTCGTTGCACGCAATAAGCCCATTTTGAGTTCTTGCAACATGGTACGGCACAAGTGCACCGCGAGTCTCCTTTTCGGGATTCGCAGTTTCTCGCCGCCCATTAACTCCAAAACACGTTCGCGCGGTGTTCCGTCGTCATGATCGGAATCATCGTCAAACGAACCTAACGACGAGATAGAGCGAGGTGGCGCAAATGCAGTTGGCACACCCGTAAACTTCTCGGCAAAGCTTGCCCCAATGCCAGCGCCTTCCACTTCATTGGGACCTAATACAATACACTCCACGGACAATTTGCTGTGATGGACAACCTTAAGCGCGAGGCCGTCACCAAGAATAGAATCTGTCTGAAGTCGAATTGTGATACCGATTGGAATCATTTCCTTGATCGTCTTGTGGTCAAAGTTTTCGGATAATCGAATATGAGATACTAACTCACGGCCATTGCCAGAGCCCCCACCATTGCTGTTGTGCGCATTTCCATCGTGCGTCTTGCGATCGCCAAAATTGATACGGCGGTCGAATTTCATGCCAAAGCGCAATAAGGCAACAACACGCCAAACTGCACCGCGAAATAGCTTCCTCACGCGCTGGCGTGTCTCCTCTTGATCAACAAGGTTTGTTGAAATAAGTCGTACTTGTTGCCAGGGAATGAGACGAATAACGCCGTAATCCTTGGGCACGACGACTGTAGGTGAGCACGCACTTACAAAGCTGCGAATGCGCGCAAGCACATCGTACTCGACATCATCACCGCTGGCAGTCTCATCGTTCTTCGCAACTTCGTAGTATTCGGACAAAATTGCAACAAACATGTTGACAAGGATCTGAAACACCAAGACCACGAAGGTGCCGATGAAGATTGGCGCGATCCGAGGGTTTGCCTGACGCAGTCGTGCGTAGTCCATCTCGCCAGCCAGCATTTGGAAGCAAGTGCCATATGACTTGCTGATCGTTGAGTACTCTTCAAGAGCAAAGCCAAAGGCGTAGCTGCCCATGGCTGAGTATCCCAAGAAGATAAGGTTGAAAATAACAAGAAAGCCCATAAGATCGCTCATAGCCATGCCTAGCACACGCCAAAGCAAGTTTAGCGTCGCGTTCATGCGTAGAAACTTGAAGACCTTGAGCAAGCTGATTGCAGACCCCAGCGATGCAAGATCCGAGAGCTGTTGGAACACTGTCAAAAGTCCCAGAGAACTTGAGTGGCTCAGCTCTTCTACACCACGACCTTCTCGCAAGTCTGCCAAATGTTCTGCAAAGGTGCTGGATGTCATGTAGTAATGCACCATATAGCTCAATATGGCAGCCAGCACCACCAAGTGCGTAAGCTCAAACAAGTTCCACATGTTCGATCCAAGGTATGTTGCTACGCCCATTGTACTCATTTCCGTTCCCTCACCAATGCAGTAAGTGATAAAGAATAGCACCAGCACAACCCACAACAAAACGCGCACGTCGAATGCCTCACGCAGCAACGACACTAAAGTACTAACAGCGCTGATGATTCGGCGGTGAAACCAAGCATGAGGAGGACTGCTGTCGTCGTCAGCAGACATAAACTGCTCCGACTTCTCGTGCCCAATTACTCGGACATGAGAACTGTGCGCGAAGTGGTCGAGGTGGCCGGATGGATCAACTTTGATCACGTGCATTCCAATCGTAAAAACTCGAGTGACTGGGTTCAGCAAAATGAACTTGAACGCTGCAGCGCGCGTATGTTCGGAGAGAAAGTTGTCGCGCTGGAGCTCATTCACGTCCTCCAAAGTACACAGATCCACTGCGTAACCACCTGATCCGTACGTTTTAACAGGAGCATAGAACAACCAGTCTATGAGCGACCACGAAATCGCTGGAGACAGCTCGCCTAGACCATCTCTCCACTTGTACGTACGCCCCGTGCCGTTTTCGCCCAGCAAAAGAGATTTTTGCTCGACGTCGGTGCTATAAAACGGGTAGCACGGCGCCTCCCATCCTTCATAAACTTGACAGCGTTGCTCCTTGACACGCACCTGTCGGAACCCTACTCCACCAACACGAACCCATTGTGCAGTAACGTCTTGACGGTCACAAATAGTTTCCCTTAATTTGCCAGCAAATTCGTAGATATCTGCAAAGGTCTTGATTTTGCACTCACCCTCTTCTCTGCAAGTAAGAGCCCCTACTACATCGTTCTGATGAAAACTATCTTGCACTGGTAACCATGATAGCAGTGAGAAAAGAAGTGTCAAAAACACAAAGTACACGACAAGCTCTTGGTAGAACTGTCTGCGCTTAATCTCTTTATACTCGGACGCCACACTCACCAAATCCAGCTTTTTCTTTTCCATGTGAATACCACGATAAACATGTATCGTTTCGGTCGAATCTTTTGTCCACATGGACAAAAATCCGCGAGCAGCACGTCTTGACGTTACCAGTTGCTGTGCTACCCCTGCAAACGACGAGTTGCTACGTTCTAGTCCCGGTTTCTTGTCTCTTGTATCAGCGTCTACAGTAGTGTCTGTATCAATAATACCTGCATCTCCACTGCCACTACCACTTTCATCTGCTGAGCTCTTACTACTACAAAGATGTGAACGCACAAGTGTCGCCATGTTGCGCAATCTCGTCTGTCCCTTGCCACGTCTCAACGCCATAGCTGGTATATTGTCAAGTGGTGGTGCATGAATCTTGTCGTCAGCTTCTTCATCCGATAATGAAATCTTCCGTCGATTCAATCGATTTGGGCGTCTCATTGTCCCTACAACGATCCCCATATTCGCACTGGCCGGCCGAAGACCACCAAATTCACGCTGGACACCAGTGAAACTCGTGTTACTACCACTACCACTTCCACTGCGCATTCTTCGAGGTGGTGCGCGTAATTTCGGCTTTTGTTTGAGCTTCAATGACGTTTTTGTCGTCTTGTTTACATCCGCAGCATGGAATTCATCCTTGTCAAGCTTCTCGTGGTGCTCAGGTGGAGTTCGTGATGCTTGAAGTGGTTTACTTGACACAGGAGACGAAGAAATCTTAGATACCGATGATGTTATTGGAATTGAAGCACTCGGAACGTCATGAGTGTCCATTGGAGACGATCAACACTCACTCTCCACCTCGTCCTTCCAGCACCTTGAACGGATTTTTTCAAATGAGTGATGATGTCGCAAAAACGAACTTTAAGCGAACTTCGATGGAGGTTTGAAGCAACTGAAGCTTACGGTGCGGTAAGATATAAGGAACGTTGAGATTGTAGCGATAGCCATGGTGTGTGTTATCAAGACATCAACCCATCGTGAATACCCACCCTCTCTATTGGAATAATAATCCATCATTATCCCAGATGGCCATCAATGTCATCTTCGTCTTCTTCTTCTTCTCCTCGATCTTTATGCGATTATTTACGTCAGTCTTTGTACTTGCTGATACACCTCAATCTCACATCTATGATCCAGTGCTAGCGAGTGAAAATTCGATACGAGTGCTCTCTCCAAACTCTGCAATGCCGTCTCAGATTCATATCGCTTTGGCCGATGAAGTGACGGTGACAAGCTCGAAATCCATTGAGATATCAAAGACGACGACGATCAAGACGCTATTGGGTGTAACGATCTCATGGGCAACAGCAATGAAGACAAGTACATCGTCGGTGCGCTATGGAGTGTCAAAGCACAAATTGTCGACGATACAACAGGCCCAGAAACCCTGTGAGCAGTATGACTTTTGCTCTTATACGTCTCCTTGGTTACATCATGTGACGATTTCAGGCGACAAGTTAGCACCAAATACGAATTATTTCTGTATGATATTGTTATTCTTGCTAAGGCGAATGGACTGGACAATGGAAGATTGACATTTCTTCTTTTTTTTCTGCTCCATGTGTCGTGGATTAGATCAATGTGGAGACGATATGGGCGGGTGGAGTATCATTTATTCGTTCAAGACGGCTGTACCTGTCGGAGATGAGACACCACAGACATTTGGTGTTATTGGAGACCTTGGGTGAGTGAGTACGTGCAGTATCGAGACACATTGTGTTGTAATACTGACTGAACGATACGTTTGTGTTGCTTGTGTTGGTTGTAGCCAAACAGTGTACTCGGAACAAACCCTTCGGCACCTCGCTAGCTACCATTCCAATATGACTGCTATCGTGTGTGCCGGTGATTTGTCGTATGCTGACAATGTGCAACCACGATGGGATCGGTGGGGCAAACTCGTCGAACCATTGGCTGCCCGAATGCCCTGGATGATAGCACCTGGCAATCACGAAGTGGAAACGCCATGCCAGTCGGAAGTGAGCAGGTTTGTCGCCTACCAGTCTCGATTCCAAATGCCTTACAAGCATAAGAATGCTTTGCAACGTCGTAACCTGTACTATGGTTTCCGCGTTGGCCTCGTGCACTTTATCATTCTGACACCGTATGTCGACACTGCCCCGAAATCAGTGCAGTACGAGTGGCTTAAGCAAGAACTTTATCGTGTCGACCGCATTGCTACTCCATGGCTAGTGGTGATCATGCACGGGCCGTGGTATAATAGCAACACAGCACACCAGGGCATGGAGCCGCACATGATGATGAAGAAGCATATGGAAGACATTCTCTATCGGAGTAAGGTGGACGTGATCATTTCGGGACACGTTCATGCCTACGAGCGCAGTCATCCCGTGTACCAGGAAAAGGTTGTCGTGGATGGTCCAATCTACGTTGTGCTGGGTGATGGAGGAAATCGCGAAGGTTTGGCACCTACGTACTTTGATCCACAGCCAGAATGGTCTGCCTACCGTCAGGCTGAGTATGGGTTTTCTCTATTCAACGTGGCAAATCGTACTCATGCAAGCATGCAGTGGTTTGAGGATCAAGTAGTAGGTGACGCTATATTACGTGACATGGTCACTTTAACCACCTCCAAGTACCGTTCGAGCTGATAAACTGTAGTAATTGATAATATCTCAAAAATACCGTTGATACCATCAAAAGAATGTAGCCATGTCAGGGGACGTGAGGTTTTTTATTGTATATATATATATCAATTTTATCCAATCACAAGACACACCCACATCCATCCATTCTTCAATCTCCTCGTCATACTAAAACATAGAGAAAATGACGAAAATCAGTGTCAAGTGGGGGAAGCAACTATTCTCGGATATCATCATCGAGAAGGATTCATCCGTAGGTGAATTAAAAGCAAAACTTTATGAGCTAACGTCTGTACCAGTAGAACGTCAAAAACTCATGTCCAAGGCATGGAAAGGAATGCTCAAAGATGAGGTCAATCTATTCACATTAGATACATTTGTAGATGGACTTTGTATCATGCTTATGGGTTCAGCTCACGTGGTAGAGAAACCAAAAGAACCTATTGTCTTTATTGAAGATATGACGACAAAGGATATTGCAATGACTGGTACCGTGTACCCTGCAGGTCTTGTGAATTTGGGGAATACGTGCTATCTGAATGCGACATTACAGTGTTTACGTCCAGTTGAAGAACTACGTGATGCATTAATGATACTACAATCTCCTTCTACTGGAACATCCATGGATTTAGCCACTAGTTTTTCAACAGCATTACGAGACATGTATGGCCAATTGGACAGTAATGTTGAGAGCATTACACCTTCCATGTTTGTAACCGTATTACGTCGTGCATATCCACAATTTGCACAGCAATCACCTCGTACTGGAGGCTACATGCAGCAAGATAGTGAAGAGTTTTTATCAACACTCTTTGCTACCTTACAACAGACATTGACACAACCAGCAGGTGGACTCAAGTCGCTTGGACCGACGTCAAATGTCGTGGATGCACTGTTTGGAATGGAAATGGATGAGACCATTGAGTGTACGGAAAGTGAGACAGAGGCAGTACTTGTGAAAAAGAGAAGGCACTGAAGCTTGTTTGCAATATTACTATTGATACCAATCATCTGTCCGAAGGCATTAAGATTGTAAGTGATGTAGAGACGTTGTTGTGTGATATCAGAAAGTATCGAGACTGGATTTAATACGGAACAACAATGTTGATGCGATAGGGACTTGAAGGCACGATTGAGAAATACTCGGACGTTTTGGAACGTAATGCGATATGGAAGAAAATATTGCGGATAAGCCGTTTGCCCAAGTACCTGTGTGTGCAATTCATGCGCTTTTACTGGAAAACAACACCAGAAAGTCGCGACCATGCTGGTGTCAAGTGTAAGATGCTGAGGGTGAGTATTGTTTGTCGTTGGTGCTGCATGAAGAAATGAAGCTATTTGCTCATAGACTGTGATTTGAACGAATTTACAGCCCATCACTTTTCCCATGACGCTGGACGTCTATGATTTCTGCTCCGACGATTTGAAGGCGACAATGAAGATTTCACGTGACAGGAATGCGGAAAAGATTTTAAATGAGTTCAAGGAGGTAACATTTTTGGCTCTGCTATGTTATATTGTATTGCTTCACCCCGACGCAGTTGAACTCATGTTTGACGTACTGATCTTGTAGAAGAAAGAGGGTGAAGCTGAGGAGAAAAAGGAGGAAAATGAGGATGACACGATGGACGGTCTTTCCCCGGAAGACAAAGCTGCTCTATGAGAGTGCTTGCGCTCTTTCGTTGGGTGCCAAGTCGCCTGGCGTTGAACTTCCTGTTGATTTCCAAGTACAATGGATCAGTTGCATTCTTTTCGTGTCTGTTTTCGCTGACGTGGTCGTTCTCATGTGTCTGCATTCTAGGGAAATTACGAGCTCTACGCAATTTTGACACACAAAGGCCGTTCCGCTGACTCCGGTCACTACATGGCTTGGGTGCGCCACGAAGGAGGTACGGACAATTGCTTCGCTTTTTTTGAGACAGGTGAACATGAGATGTTCAACTCCTAACGTGTCCGACACCGTGACAGATGACTGGTATTGCTACGATGATGACGACGTGTCGCCGTGCAAGACAAAGGACATTATGAAGCTCAAGGGCGGAGGTGATTGGCACATGGCGTATCTCGCTTTCTACCGTGCCAAAAATTAGGATGCAAACGATATCGTCATTATTGCCAAGTGCACCAAGCCAAACGAATGGGTCTTGCTGCGATTAAGAAGAAGACTAGCTATGTGTGGTCTTCGCGAGAAAAACTTATCACAAGCGTTTCTTGTCGCCATTTCAATCTTAAGACCTCAGGAACAGGTATAAAAATGCAACCTCTTTTTACATTTCGAGTGCAAAGCAAAAATGCAAATAACAAAATAAAGGAAGCCAAAGAAGACCGTGCGCTGACTCGTAGGATGTCTACAACAACTGAGACCTTCACGGTTGCGTCGTGTGCTTGTCAAACTCTCGGCCTTCTTGTCACTTCGTCTTACATCTGAATACCCTCCGATCGATGACCAGAAGAGGGACACAAACTGTCCACTTTCCGCGGCTCAATATCGCTCTTCATCGAGTCTGACATGTAATCTTCGTCATCGTCATAACTGTATTCACTAGTCTTGTCGGCAAGTGTCAGTGTATCAAGACGCGGAGGAGAGTCCTGTGACGAAGAGTCCGATGTCATTGACGTCGTTCCAGTAGATTTACGACGAACTCCAAAAGGCGACGGAGGCGGCGTCATGCACGGCGATTCCGACACCGGACTGGCCGGGCCAGGTGAGCCAATAACATCCCCACTAGACATATCCGACTCCGTGTCTTCATCCTTTAGATTTTCCTTTGTAACAAAAGGTGACTTCTGGTCCTTGTCAGTAGCGACCCATATACGAATCGTCTCCATGCGACGCTGCACACCAGGCAAATCCATATTATCAGCATCCTAAATTCAACAGCAAATCAGTCACAAATCAGCACATAGTTTCTAGATCGTACATCAAGTACCAATACGATAACAGTATATACGTACGGGACAGAACCACTCCATGCACACCTCCAAATCCGTACGATCCGCTAGAACCGGTGTAAGTAATTGTACAAGTGTCCCGCGTGTCTCTATGTCAAGATGTGGGATCTCAATGCCACGCACTTCAAATGTGTTTACAGGTTGACCAAGTACAACAGCCGTAATCCACTTTGCCAAGAAATTAAACTTGTCCACTTGACCACGACATACTGTCTTGAGTAAGACTGTAAAGACTTCTTCTGGTACTTTATTCTTGGAAACATACATTACTTTACGCAGCGCAAAGTCTTCCCGCACATCCAGTAATAACTTGGATTCTTCAAACCCGTGCATTCCCAATTGATAACACCCTTCACACAAATGATAATTCACACACTTGGAACAGGAATACATATTGCCAATAATTGGATCCACGCCACAGCCATCACAGAAGGAATCTTCATTAATATGAGATGGTGGAAATTTCATTTGTGCTACTTTTTGTCCAATAAAACGTGTTGCTGCAGACATTTTACTCCCCAGACCATTTCCACGTGTTTGTGGTTCCGTTGGAAAACCAATGAGAGATGTTGTACTATCTCGTTCCATACAAAGTGGTTCCGACATGAGCCAATATCGTTTCGTATTCTTTTGTATCTTGCGTTCACCATGAATTACACGCTGTCTTTCACCTTCAAATACAGACTGTTGTGGACCAAAGAATAAATGCTGTTCAATAGCTTGAGCTTCTTTTACTAATTGTGCATTTAAATGATCTGTACTGATGACAGATGGACGTACAGCCATGGAATGTTCACTACCGTCGGATGGAACACTACGTCGTAAGACATTCGGAAGTGAAAAGAGTGACATTCTATTGCGTGAGAAAGGAGGAGAAGAAGAAGTGGCGTGGGAGTGAGTCGTCACGAGGTAAATGGCTTAATGCCGACGAATAGGACGACTGATTTGTTAGGACAGGGAATATATATATATTACTTAAACAATGAAACATGTATATTACTTAAACTAGTAGACAGACGGTTTTGAAACCTGTGTATTAAAATGTTTGTAGTTTGATGAAATTAATATAAGTACGTAGGATTTCGTAGGAAAAACGATCGTATTATAAAAAGATAATAGGTTTCATGGGGTTGTAGAATATTAAGGATTGCAGGGAATCAAAACCTCAGCTTTGTATTTTGATTGTATTTTTTATATTCTTGCTCTTCTTCCTATGGTTTCAGTCTGGGGGCAGAAAGAATCAGCTTTGCTCAAGGGGTAGGTGGGACATCGACCTAAGAAATGGAAGAGGTTTTAGACTGTTTCTAAAAACATCTAACATACTGGATCCAAGTATTGTTGTATCGATTATAAGAACACTCGATTTTACATACGCGAACAAGACATAAAACATACTAAGATCAACTACACGACTCTCTCTATTAAGAGTATCACACCATCTGTGCATCTCAATTCCTTCGCCTTATTGTAAACTACACAACGAACTGATGATAAGCCAGAGACAAGTATGAAAGAAGTAAAGGGTTGTGTGATAGGAAGTTGACAAACACCATGAGAAAATACCATACGTACCATACCTAGAAACCTTGTCATCATCATACGTTGTCGTTGCACACGTCTAGACGTTACAAACATACCGCCTGTCCTATGTGGTTGGTATCCTCTAGTACGATTTATCCTCAAAGTGTCGCTCGAAATAGGGAACCACAAGGGTTAACACAATTGATCCAAACTATAATACGTTACCGTAAAAGATAGAGGGATCCAGTATCAAAATGCAGTAGACGAATCATAATAGAGACACACAAAACCACGTTAGATGTGGTTCTTACTACCAATTAGAGCAATACTGTTCTTTGATCGGACCAAGTGGAGATAGAGAAAAATACATGTCACGCACCTGGATATAACCAATCGTTTGAAAATCACCGATAGCTGCAATTGGCGTCTGCAAGAGTCCCATGATACCACCAATACAGAAGGCAATGCCCGACAGTGCTCCATAATGCTGGAAACCGAATCGATGTCCCAAATATGCAAACAACAGTGGAAACATGATGGTTCGAAAGAACGCGTACGTCACGAAACCAGTCACAATCCATACGGTTGACATACTGCTCAGCATCACGGTGAAACACAGTGCTGCTATCGTACACAATAGCGATGAGTACGTGTATCCGCATTTCTTGAGCAGGTATCCGACAAACGGGATGAAAAATACACTTCCGGGCAACACAAAGGCCAGCTTTGCTAGCAGCTTTTCCACCTCGGTCTCTGAAAGGCCCTTCCATCGTAACAACCCGGTGATGCTGCCCAGAAAAAAGTTGCACCAGAGCAACAAAATCGAAAAGTAAAACACAATGAGCAAGAATGGCTTTGACAGCACCTGTGTTCTGAACGAACGGTTGCGCAGGTCTCCGTCGGAAAAAACTTCGTCAGTTGGCAAAAAATGGCGTCTACGATACTTGTCAAGTGCTGGTGTAGACAACAGTAGCGACACCTCCTCCTCCTTAAACACGGAAGGTAGACGCATGGGGGAGAGCAATTCATGCTCATCACTGGGTACCGCCTCAAATGGAATGTCTGGTTCCGTAAGTAATGTGCCAGTGAGTGAGAGAAACAACGCACTAGCGTATACCTTGAAAATCGTGGCCATTGACATTCCGAGGTTCATGTAAGCAAGATCGAATAGCGTGAATATCAAGAAGCTTAACTGAAGACCTCCAACAATAAAACACGCAACCAATGCCGTCGCTTCAGGGAATAAATTCGATACATGAATGCCAGAGAGCTGGATACCGGGGCCTGAAAATCCTACTAGCACCATTCCGTACAGCACCAGATCGTGTTCCTCATCATTGATTCTGACAAAAAGAACTCAGAAGAAATGTTAGAAGATTGCTGCTCGTCGTTAAAGCCACAACAGATCGATTGTATGACGATCGACCCAAAAGCTTATGAAACAACACCTGCAGTGTGCATTTCCCATTAGCAAAGCCCCAGTAATCAGCAACACCAAGGAAATCGACTTTGTTACACGGGGTCCAAACCTGGACCATTGTGGTATCAAACATCAGCCTCTGCCAACGTAATCATGAATGCCAGTACCGTTGACGTGCTGACTGACTGACTACTTACTTGTCAAACACAAGACCAAGCAAAAGATTTGACCACATGCTGCTGGAAACCGCCATAGTAAATGCATACTGCAGTCGATCGCTCTGTTTCTTGCAAACTGGCATTCAACCACAAGATACAAAAAACAAAGCACTTTCCATCATGTTTCGTATTAAATTGTTGCTGCTAACCACCTTTGTAACACGTACTTATTTCGTCTGTCTCACACACTTCGTGATAGATCCGTTCTTTTTCCATCATTGGCACTAGTGACGTCCTTTACAAAGTCAGACAGAAAATACCAAGACAAAAGCATCATCAATACGTGACAAAATACGCAGATAAGGAACACTGCATAACACTTTCTACCAGCCAAAGATAACCCCTGCACCCAAAAAACACTGAAAGATGGCAAATATTACATAGAAATAACGATGTGGGTACGATCCATTGTCCATGGACGTCATCTTTGTGCTTAATATTGTGATATTATAGTTCTAGTATAGACGGAAATATCTTAGATATTTGTAAATATTTGGAAATAGACTTGACCATCTGTTCGTGACGACGATTTGTCATGGGTTATTATTGTAAAAAAGAGCCATTTTCTAGGTAGACTCTCCTATAAAACTGCGAGGTAGATGATCCTAGAAAGCTATAGGTTACTTTTATCCTATAAAAACACCACTGCTTCGTGACCATTCAATATGACGAGCATCCATGAAACTCGTGCTGCGACGCTAGTGGAATGGCTCGAACGTCTTGAGCAACATCGATATAATGATGATACTATTACTACCTACAAAACTAAGAAGCAATTGATTGTTCATTTATTGGGTGCTGATTATCGTGAGGGCAATACTGGAAGCGAGACTTTGACGGTCTTTGAAAGGTTCATACAGCACGTAGCGACTCAGACGGACGTCACGTTACTTCAACTGGTGCTTGTAGGGCCCAATGTAGCAAGAAAACTCCATCTACAAGAGTTTCTACAAACGACGTATAAATCTAGTGAGAATATCGATGAGGACGACAATACGTTGTATGTGGACATTCAGTACTTTGTCGGTTGTTTTGAAGTCTACTTTAAAGACAAGACATTCTACTGTCCACCGGACCTTGTCATTTGCTTTAATGCTGGTATTTGGGGCTATGATGAGTGGCTACCAGCTATTCAATTGGTATTAAGAGAGATACAAGTGCCTTTGTTAGTCACGTCGTATAATCAAAATGAAGCTGGAGATGATGAGGACGTACTGGATGAATTGATGCCATTTAAGTGGCTTTGGAGACCTGAAAAGAATCCACGTGGAGCTTCTACACCTCGTGCCACGGACAATGAAGATGGAGTTATCCTGAAGGAGAACAACTACTGGATGTGTCTAACTGGCAGACCATAGTGATATTCATGGCTCAATATGCATCATTGTGCCGTCTTATTCAAGCAGCACTTCGACGGGCGTTCCACATGGAGTAGTGCCCATAAAGCGACGTAGACGCAACTTGCCTTGAAGCTCACATATCTGTGGGAAGAAAGTCTTGTGTTTATCAACCACTTGCTCCCACGTTTTTGTTGGGAGAACAAGTGTGCAGAATGTTCCTGATGCATGACGCATGCGAATGTTCTTGATCATTTCGTCGCATGTTTTACCGCCACCATGAGCAGACTCCTCTCGCTTCGTCCCAAACGTCAGCACCGTAGCGTCCTGAAAGCTTTCTTGTACGTTGTAAACTTCCCCTTGCATACCTGAAAGAGGCGAGCGAGGCACAGGAATATGCAGATAATGCTCATCCACTTTGTTTGTCGCCACTTCCAAGAACAAGACACCGAAATTAAACGGTTCTGGTGGGGCTGAGGAAGAGAATCCATGCGGCACATCAACGTGAGCTGTATCGTCCGCAGTATCAAAAGGCGGACAATCCATACACAACAATTGATAGTGCTTGGGCATGGATGGATCGTACTGCAGCAATGACTGTACATTAGTCGGGTCTGCAATCTGGAAGGCACAAAAGAGATCGTCTAGTGTCGTGAGCATCTTGACTTTGATCTGATCCATGTAGTTTAAGGCCTCTGTCTTCAACTGCTGAGTCTTTACATCATGTAACGTCTTTGCCTTATGCTTTTGCTTCTTCAGACCTTCCTTCTCTTCACTCTTCCTCCTCTGACTCACTATCATCATCCGTCATGGGATTCTTCCGCACAAGGGTGGGGAAGCATGCTCGCACTCCTTGCAAAAAGTTTACAGCCACTTCTCCCACGTCCAGCACTTGAACACTCGGGATCTTACTTTCTTGGGCTTGAAGTAATGGAACAACCAAGAGTCGACGCTTCCCGTCACGTTTGACACGTCCACCAACACACGTGAGCTGTCGACAACACTGAACTCGTCCAGCCACTACGACATACTCGTCGAATGGAAGCTGAGCCTTCGTCGTTACGTCCAGAAGCACGAGAGTTCCAGTATCCATAGCCTCGAATACAAACATCGTTGAAAGATACAATTTACTTGAGCAAGTCCGTCGTAAAACAAAGCAAAACTCCAATTAAATTCGCATTATCGTACGCCCTCGTTCTTCTTCTCTCTCTTTCTCTCCTTCTTCTACACCTCTACTCTCCCTGAATGCTGTTACCATTTGCTTAAATATGAATGTCGGCAGGTAGAACCGACGGCTTGAGAATCTCTTCAACCAAAAAGTCCAATGGAAATTCCACAAGATGACCACGGATCTCCGAGAGCTGGTCACGTGCTCGCGTTTCATCCTCCTTCCGAACCGTGGCTGCTGTCTGAACGTGACCGATCTGGCAATCGGCTTCTTCATTTTCCTCTTCTTCTCCATTTTCGGAAAGACGACCTTCGCGAGTCGCAGCATGGTAGCTGCCCCTTCCATCCTCCAACAGCGGATCATCATTATGCAAATTGTCCTCGTCCGTATCAAAGTACTCAGCGTTAAACTTTGAGCGACGACCAAAGTCCAGCACGTCCACCGTAGAATACCATCGCTTGAGAGACGCGCCGATGCCGAAACCTCCTCCATTCTCACTGCCCGCATCACTAGCTTCATCATCGGTATCGGCGTGTCGAATACCGCCCACACTGAACAAGCCGTAGGGGCTATCTCGTCCGCTTCGAGTATTACGGCGAGCTCGAACCTTACGAACAGTACCTTGGACCGAAGATGCGCGTGCGCGCGGTCCCGCACTGCGAGGTACATTTATAATCGCATTCACAGAAGGACTATGAGACGTCGGCTGAGACATCGGGGAGTTCGGGTATGACAGTGCATCACCAAGTACCGCAGGCCGCAATGACGCATTGTTATCTGGCATCGACGTCGAATTATATAGCCGATGACCGCGACCCGTGCCTCCGCCACTCGAACTACCAGCTATTCCACCTCCCGAGTCCAGTTGACTGAAGTTTGATGGAGTCATGCTAATGGAGTTCGAGCGACTAAAATCACCTTGCTGAAGTCTTCGCCAGATGGAGTGAAACCGCCCATGTTCCTCGTCATCGCTAGCTATGCTGAAGGAGCTATCGCGAGGATCAGGACGTGGCGGGAGCGAACCCTTCTTGTCCCACCGACGTCGTCGCACTTGGGCCATCAATCTATCAGCTACGAGATGCTGGAGTTTTTCACGTTTCTTGTAGTCAGTCTTCATAGTGCGAACCTCTTGGAACACGGAAAAGTTACGCGCATAGCACCAGCCATCGTGGTCCATGGAAAACAACTTCTTCTTTCGATCTCTGTAAATATCCACCTCAAAGTCTCTCAGATCAACACGATCCGCTGCAATAGGTACACCGTTGACATCAGTCCACGGTGCGTAGTCTCCCTCCTTTAGATTGTTAGCGTCCCACAAATGCGATCGCCCCGGTACCTTGAGCACATTTAAACGCTGATTTTCGAAGATCTGCGTCACTTCAATGCTCTGAAAATTCACAAACCCACGCATGCGATTGGATGGTGCACAATCAAACACAGCCTCAAAAATCTTGGTATTGCTTGAGGCAGTAAACTTGATCGACTGCCATGTCCGATCTGACGTTGGATCCGCAATTGAGACATCATCATCAGATAGACCTAGATGCTCGCGGAAAAGCTGTAAGCGAAGCTTGCTGGCCGTAACACCTCGCCGATATGGCATCTCATTCATCATGCCGTCCTCATACTGCATATCTTCAACCACGAGAGCAATTTCTGAGTCGCGGTCTCCGTTCATACTGCGGTCATTGATGTTTGCGCTGCCAATGATAACACAGCGGTCATCTGCGATCATGAGCTTGCTGTGAATGTAAATTTGCTCAGTGGCCACGCATCCGTTAGGCATGATGCCATACTTGCGCAACCCAAAGAATGCCACGTAGTTCTCCGGGTGATTTGTCACTCCCTTTAACGCTTCGAATAGACTATAGCGACCACGGCAAATCGTCGCAAACTGCCAGTGCATTACTGCGTGGAGATTCGTGAGCTCATGACTGCGTACGTTGCCTTCGAATGCGGGAAGAAGTGGCATGACAACATACACTCGAAATTTCTCGTCACGCTGCACTGCACGCTCGATGCGGTCCACCAACGCTTGCAAAATACGATTGCGTACTATGCCGTTGCCATCCATGCCTGAGACAAAGAACTGGTTTTCAATGTACAAATAATGCTTTGATTTCGCAATCACATCCATGTAAGCAGCCTGAATACTAGCTTCCGTAGGCACACCCGCTGACCACATGGACACGGAGCGACACACCTGGACATTGCAAAAATTAGCGTTTGGATGAAACACATGAAAAATGGACTCCCCGCGCTGAGCACAAAGCACTTCACCATCATCTAATCGACCCGTCGTTATCGACGCACTCGTAACGGGTGGTCGAATTGGATTTAACGGGTGCAATGAAGCGGCTGGCGGCCACTGGGGGCCTGTGGCAGCACACGGATACATAGGATTTACAGACTGCACCACTTGAAACGGTTCCATACTCAACGAGTCCTCACGAACGAGGGGAATAGTTGTCCGCGTAGATCCATCCCGCAGCGCTTCCGGATCTGACGATGGATATTGTAGCATCCATCCGTTAAAGTCCATAGGAACAAGACACTTCGGCAAGAACTTAAATCGCCGCGAACGAAAGCATATACACCAGCCCGTTCGAAGCTGATAATCATTCTTAGAGCACACAAAGTTCCAGCGCTGGATAAAGTGATATGCTACATCCTGGACTGGTGGACCAGAAATACTGCAATGTACGTCATGCCAGGGCATTCTCGGCTGTGAAGACCGATCAATTAGATCTTCAAACGGCTTGTTCACTCGAACAAAATCCTTAATGATCGGATTCGAGTAGTCCTTGCCTCGCCAGACAGGATCGTCACTTGGGTCACTGATCGGATGCCCTTTGTGATCGTATCGACCAAAGCACAAATCCAAGCCGCCCACAAACGCCAGAGACTGGTCAATACAAACAATCTTCTCATGATGCGACCAGAATCCTAGACTTTGAATCTGAAATATCGGATCACGCAGAACCCGAATGTTAGGGTGCACCATCAGACTGCGCTTTGTATAGGCGCTGTTCAGCGTAAGTGCCAGCTTCACTTCACGATAAATGAGCACGTAAATTTTCACACCAGCCTCAGCTCGCTTCATCAGCAACTGACGCAGCATCGTCTTGTTCACTTGCTGTCCGTTGGAATCTTCGTCAGGATCACGAGGGTGCAACTTTCGGCCTGGACGGAGCAAAAACAGGTCCGGACACACCCACCATCCAGCAATCAGAATCTCATACTTTGCGCTGGAAATTGCTTGAAACATGGCTGCATACGTGTCTTCACCATCCACATGCCAGCAAACAGCGCTAGGATTCGGTAATGGGACCTCGAACGATTCCTCCGATTGTGTGCTGCTGTTAGCACGCGTAGACGTAGGCGCCAAATTTTCAGCGCCTATATGTACGGCACCCGCTTCACATTTCACTATCGACTCCACCACCTGGTTGATCGCACTCGTAGGAGTACTTCCTAGCGGTAAACTAGCAGCCTTTGCTTTAGCATTAATTGCGGCGGAATCGTCGTCAACTACTGTGCTGATGTGCTGTGGGGCAAAGGAGTTAAATCGCGTAGACGTCTCCTGACGCTTAAGCTTCTGCAGGCGCCGCACGCATCGATACCAATGGTCCCTTCGCACATGTGGATGCCATATTCCAAGAAACGTTACAAAATAATTAGCCAGGAAACCAACTACCGGCGCTATTACGCCACCTGCAAATAAGAACAGCGCGTAGTACACGTAGGACCGCCACGTGAGAGGCGCGATGTGCGTGGAAATCACACAAAAACTATCAACATCACCGAAGCTCTGCACATCAATGTCAGTGGTGACACCTTCCAGGGTCAGGTTGCCAACAGTTGGCAGCGAGAAGTTTGTGCCTGATTCAAGAAACCGGTCATTTTCAGCATCAATTGGCTTCACCACACTCACCATCGTGCCTGCTCCGACTGCGTTCGTGATCACGCTCAGACTGTTGCCCATGCTATCACTTTGCCAAAAGTATCCGAGATTCGCTGTCATCGAATTTGAGGACGGCATCTGGAGTTGCGAGATAACAGCTTTTTCATCGTCACTCTCGACGTACACCGTTACGCCTTCGGGTACCGTAAAATAGAAGCCACAATACTTAACATCGGCATTCTCAGTCCAATTCTCGTATCCTAAAGCGTTCGTAATTGGCACGCCCAAGCTCTTGTCCAAAGTAACGTTCTCGAAGTTGTAAATGCTATTAGACAAACGCATGATCCCATAGCAAACTCCCATAAGCGCTATAAAAGCTGTTAATCGAGTGTAATAGTGACCAGTGTCAATTTCAATATCACCAGCTTTACTGCCAACAACCAAACCACTCGGCATCCAGCTCACTCCTTGCTTGTAGCTACCTTTCCTAGCTGTAAATGTTTTATCAAACAAAAACACCTCACTTGGCTCGCGGTCATTGCGATTTCGGTACGCAGCAAAGCACGAAGGTTTCAGTACAACCCAGCGCCGAATGACACCAAGTCGATGCTGGAAAAACTTGTATACGAACCCAGCAAAGAAAATAATGCCCGCTAAAACAGCTAGACCCATGAATACACCAGCTGTATTCAACTTTGTCGACACCTCCTTAGTACCCGATTCAGAGTTCACCAGCTCCTTTTGAGGAGAAAAGAAAGTCGGAAGACTCGTTACAATCACAAGACACACTGGAAAAATAAAGCCTACAATAGCTGATACGAATGCAATGCGCATCCAAGCACGGTACAAATGCCGGTATAACGCCTCAATAGTGCGATTGAAACACGTGTACAGAGGCAGCTGAAATGGTCCGTTAATACGCATGTGCACATATCCTTCCTTAAGTGACGGTCCAAGTCGTAACATTGCTCTTGATGGACTCACCTCTAAAAACGATAACAGCGGCTCGGAATTTCTTAATTCTCTGTCTCGTAGCAAATCCCTAATATAGGTTTGCACCACATCCACGTCCATCACTCGTTTTTCCGCACGTTTTTCACGCCAAATTGTCCATGGCAAATGTGCTCCTCGCATGAACTTATGTTGAGTAAATAGAATATACAGATGCAAGTGAAGATGAAGCCGTAATAGTTGTTTCTGTCCAAAATAGACCTCCCAGTCCGTTGTTCCCCACCGTACTCGACCCACAAATACACAGCATGGAATCACTCCTGCTTTCGTAACTGTAGCTCTATTGACTGAAAAATCAATTGTGTGTTCCATCACTTCTTCTTCACCTTCACTAACATCTGTATTATCATCATTCATAATCGTCATTTCCTCCTCGTCCTCGTCGTTCTCGTGTGGATCTTGAAAAATATCACTCTCACCACCCTCTTCTTCTTCTTTTTTGTCGAAATTCTCCACACTAACTTTTGTAACGTCCAATTCACTTGCGTTTTCCAAACTATTTAAACTTTCAGCGTTACGTGGACCACAAGTACTACTTGTTAACGCTTGATAAGAATCACCACCAGTAGAGTAATTATTATTATTCTGCTTCTTCTTGTCTTTACTTGATGTCGTTTGATCTCTTCTGTCGTCTAGATCGGATTCAAGCATACCATGTAGGCACTGAATAGACGCCTTGATTGTGTATTTAGATTGAATTGATATACCTTGAATCAATTCTTTTTTTTGTATATGTTATAGCACAAGCTTGAGAATCTACAAATACATATCATCACACACTTGTGAATAAGAACTATAAAGCATGATTATCTATAGGACGATATAATATGTAGATCGTACCCTCCCTCGTCTAGCAACTACTTGAGGTAATTGAATAGTAATATACTAAAATGATTACTAGTCCTTGTCTTCCTACTACTAATCACAAAAAAAAAACACAAGACGATTGAATGACGGTCCTTAGTCTTGTTATTAGACGTTTTGGAGTGAAGGGGATTATGCACAGAAGAACCTGTAGAATATCATTTACCTAAGTAATACGATAAAGAATGAAGTTCAAATCCCTGTAGGAATTAATAATCAAGTCGGTTTAAGCTCGAAGAAAAAGAAGATAGAGACGAGGCAGCTGACATGAGAAACCGACTACTTGCCAGATGGTAGGGTAGCAAGTACCTCCGACTCTCTGGATTCAATCCATATATTTAGTCGTAGTATATTATGATTACGACGGGATCAGATTCAGTGAAAATTATCCCATATTTACAAAGAAATTTATATCTTGTCATTTGTATGAACTAGTTTTTCCAGTTGACAAAATACTGCCAGTTGTGGCTACTGTCGATCTGACTAGCTCTATGACTGTTTCATATATATATATGTATATGTGTATATGTCACTCACGCAATGAAGCGACTGCAACTGTAGACTGTAGTTAGTTAGAATGCAAAGGAAATTGTTGTGAGTTATAACGCGTGAAAAAAGTGATTGAGGGATTGTAAGACTGAGTTCATGTAGTTGAGCGCGTGATAACACTTTTTGTTGATCATCGTGTGTTGCTTGCATAGCAACGCATACGTTTACGATCTACTTTCCTCAAAGACCACCTTGTCATCCAGCAATCGCTCAATATCCTTCTTGGACTTTTCAAGCACGTTTTCAAGCACGTAGCGTGTATCTTGCCCCAGTCTACGTCCGGCAAACAGCGTTATGCCCGGCGTGGCCTTCAACTTAGGCAAGATTGCAGGCACTGCAAGTCTTCTCGTTTTGTCTCCATCATGAATTTCCACCTCCTCAAACATCCCACGTTGTTGGTAGTGCGGGTCCTTGGCCATGTCTTCCACAGAGTATACTAGACCAACCGGTACCGTAGCCTTCTCCATTACTGCAATCACAGTATCTAGATTATGTGCAGCCGTCCAAGCCACGATCACAGCGTCTATTTCCTCTTGATGTACGACACGGTCAGCATTTGTTCGGTATTTAGTGTCCATCGCCATATCTTCTCTACCGATAGCATTCATAAGCTTCACAAATAGCGAGTCCGTGTTAGCAGCAAGGACGACATTCTTCTTGTCGTTGGTAATGTACGTGTTTGAAGGCACAATACCCGTGATCGTGGAGCCCGAGCATTCGCGAATTGATCCTGAATAATCATACTCAGGCACCACTGCCTCCATGAGATTAAACATCGATTCGTAGATAGCCACATCCACAACTTGTCCATCGCTGTTCAGCCCAGCTGCAGCTCCTCGCGCACGTCCAAGAAGAGCAATCACTATTCCTAGTGCCGCATGGATCCCAGCAATTGTGTCGCCAATGCTGAGGTTTGGACGAGCTGGTGGACGGTCTGGAAAGCCATTGACGTAGCGAAATCCCCCCATGGCTTCACATACTGAAGCAAAGCCTGGTCTTGATGAGTAGGGTCCGTCCTGTCCAAATCCAGACACTCGCGCGTACACGAGTTTGGGATTTGTCTTTTCAAAATGACACGGTCCAAGTCCCCATTTCTCCATACGACCAGGAAGAAAATTCTCAATGAGGACATCACTCTGCTCAATAAGCTCTTCAATAAGCTTCCGTCCTTCTTCTTTCTTCATGTCGATCGCCACAGACCGTTTGTTGCGTCCAAGTGAGTACCACCACAACGACGTCTTAGTCGAGTCCAACTCGCGGTAGTCGCGCACTTGATCACCTGTAGGGGGCTCTACTTTGATCACATCAGCTCCAAAGTAGCTCAAGATTGTTCCGGCAAAAGGTCCAGCAATAAGATGACCACATTCTATGACTCGAATGCCCTCGAGTGGTAGCGGGCGGTCGGTTGATGAACTAGTCGTCACTGTTGTTACACAACGAGACACTTGGTTTTGCAAGTGTTTAGTGCATCCTGTAAGCAGTAAAGATCCACCTCGTGACAGCATTCGAAGATTGAATAATCTAGTGTTGAACTGAATGAAGCACGTGTCCTGCGTGATGCGCAACCGTTTGTCGTATTTTCTACTGTTTTCTACCTCAACCACACGTTTAGAAAGGTAAGCCTATGTCTATCAGGAAGAAGTGACGGCTACTAAGGCAGAGTTGCTGGTGTCTGTAGCACGTAGTAGCTGTGTATGAACAATTGAGAAGAGCAAGGTAAACACACGCCACCTATCATCTACGCAAACTACGTGAGAACCTAGTGGGCTGTACCTGATATTGGCAGCGTCTGTAATGCTCAGGAATGTTCGCTTTGTAGCACGTAAGACATGATTCGGTTCATTAGCATCGGCACATTGCTGCAGCTCTACAAGTCTGTTGATAAAGCATTGGCATTGGTAGCATTGTGCATCACGTCAAAACTAATGGCAATGACCTAAAGTGGATGGTAACAGACGTACCGCTTCATGCTGAGAGTCGAGGAACCTGAAACGACAGGGAGTATGACAATGCAGCAATACGTCAACTGCTGCTTGTCATGAGACAGTTTTGTTGTCTTCCACTTGCGTTTGCGCTCGACTCGTTCGTCTTCTAGCTTGGACGTAACTGCGTTGCCATAAATTAAGTCCACGGCATCTTCCGAGTCGGTTGAGATGCGAATGTTACGCATGACTTGCCATTCAACAAGACCGCGTTCCACCAGAAGATCATTTAACACCTGCAGATACGCGTGATGCCAAAGTTTTAGATGTAGGTACAAAACTTGTTGATACTAAGGTATGCAAACCACTTGAGTTCCAGACGCTAGAAGCGAGATGTCCATGTTCGACTTTGAATTCCTTACACAGCTCAAACGAAAATGATCAAATGAGGAATGGTCGTGCAATCAGATCAAAGTCCTCATACACTTTCCAAGTTGCGTCTGGATCAAACGATGTCGCAATGATCTGCGTATGCTGTTTATACTGCAGCTTACAAATGGTGGCATGTAGTAACGACTTCTAACGAGCAGCCAAGAACATTTCTTAAGTTTAACCGGCAATGTTCTACTGCACACATTGATGAAGAAGGTACCTGCGTGAACACATTGCTTCCATCATTGTGCGAACCACGATCGATAACGGCAGCTGTCCTGTACTACATATAAATGTTGAGATAATACAATGGAGGCATGCCATCCGATGTGTTGCCTCTGTAGAATACGATATACACCATTAAATGGTGCGCTTCTCGCGAAACAACTCGAATAACTGCTTGTGTTGCATCTCACCAACTACGAACGACAGGGTCGCGTTTTTGTAGTGGTCACTGTTGAACGACAAGTTGTTGATAACATCGTCGAGAAGCACAGCTTTACCCAAATACGTTCCTATCACAAGAAGTACGATCATTTAGACATTAGGCAGCTATTTCAATTGAAGCCGTTGCATGCGCACCTTGAGTCATCTTGACGTGCGAGAAATGCACATGTAAGTGATAATACGTTGGCTGGTAGTGCAAGTACATGCGTATGGAACTCGCGTTTACGCCAAACTTTTCGCTCAAAACATCTAGACTGGCATCTCTGTGTACAAAAAAGACCAAACGCCATGTAAGCTGTAACAAGTTAACACTTCTATATACACATAACATCGTACCGAATATTTCGCAGCAATGTCAAGTGTGTGCCAGTGAGATCACGAAGTGATCGCAGTGATCGATCATGAACAATCGCCAAGCAGTAAAGATATTCTATCTGAAAGCAGTGAAAGCACGACAAAAAAGTCAGTATCTAAGGGTGAATATCACAGCACAAACATGCCAAGATGTGTGTGTACCTTGGACGGATCAGACCATTTAAAATCGGGCAATAACACAAATCCATTGCGAGGGTGTGTGTCCTCGTAAATAATCCGCTCCGTCTCGCTTTTGCTAGAAATCATCAAGGGATCCAGCAGTCCACTAGTAACTCACCATTGATCCATTTGATTTTAACAACACCACATCACCAACTTACTGCTCTAAGATATTGTACACCCAATCAAGATTATGTGCGGGAAGATTATCAATGAACGGTTTTGTAATCATCCGATACGCCTCTTCGGTCTCAACCACCATGTGAAAATTCTGGTCCATGTGTTTGCGTACATGACGCTCGGTTGCCGGATAAATCAAATTGACCTGTTTAATAACGATCCACATCACCACAATGCACTTTGTCATGCTTTCTCCCGTCACACTGTTCTCACTCTCAATACTTCTCACCTTGTATGGCTTAACATGACGTGATACGTCCCCCTGAAACGTACTATAGACGTCATTCACCAAGATCTCATGAAGTGACATTGCATTCATCATTCGATATACAGCTTCAGTATCCATAACAGCAGTCTGGATAATCAACACGGCCGGTTTCTTGTGGTTGTCACTCTTTAAGTTACCAAGCAACGCCAATTCCGTATCCGTTCGCTTGAGCACACGCACGAGATTAAAGTCTTGAAGGATAGCAGTATTTCCAATACCTGCTACTAATTTTTTCCATAGATATAGCGTCCCTAATAGAGTGATAGCTAACGCAATGCCGAGATCTAGACGCTCCATGTGTCAATGCAAATCTAAATAGCTCCGAAAACATCCTGAGCGTTCATTGGCTATTATGCTGCAAGCTTGACAATTCATCTGTACCGGTATTCAGAAAGGTATTAGGATGAAACTATCATCGAGCTCTGTTTTTGTATAACCTGATAATTAGACTTTTCATTTTTGACGATTGTTTTCTGATACTAATATATGAGTCATCATCGACAGTAAGTATACAATGCGTAATATATTTATTCTTCGTAGGAGGTATTGTCATCAGCTTTTGTTAGTACTGCTCTTCCCCCCCCGTTAACTATATCATGTTATTAACTCCTCCGCCTCCTCACTCCTCCTCACTCTGTGTGTGTTATTTCTGACGCATTTGCAAGGACACACGTAAGTGAAGACGACCTAAGAGTCTTCCACCAAGCGTTAATGGTACACAAACATCGGTCTTCTTTGTCATTCCTTCCGCACAGAATGTACCATGACCAAAAATTCTCTTCGACATAAACGAAGACGAAGACGACACGAACGTATTGTGGTGAATTGGACCACACGTAGAAGAAGCGTTGGAGTTATCACCAGTACATGGAGATAGTGAAGAGCTAGCGTGTAATAATTGTGAAGCCGATGAGGTCTTGGACATTGTGCGTCGTCTGTCTAGTGAACGAAGAACCACAGCTACGTGCTTGCGACCAATAGCTCCTGCCATGGTATGATGCCGTAATCCATTATTAACAAACTCGTGCCATTTGATTGTGTAAAAGCTGGACGTGGACGTGATAGGCGACGTAAAGCTTATGTCATCTGTGATTCCAGCCTTAGACACGCCAAACGACAAGTGCTCGGCTACTTCATGCAACTTGCGCTGGGGTGCAAAGACATCCTCGCACGGCAATGGAAAGAGAAAACCAAACTGTAAATGTTCAGCACGATCAAACAAAGCAGAGTCGACTGCGTCAATCCAGTGAATTGAACGAAACTCGAGTCGAAGACGCAGTTCACATGCGCCAGGTACGTCTTTCATTCTAGCAGTAGCTAGTGTACTTGCTGAGGGATGAGCGTGAAGAATCATAGGGTTGGCACCTGTCGAATCAGCGTTCCACAGTAAATCATCAGCCAACGGTGAAGCTGGGGGGAAATTGTGATGTTAAAAGAGCCACCTCAAAGCAAGCCGATACTGGTTTGTGGTCTGATGACGTCACTGCCTCACAAGAATTGTACGACAAGCAGCGAAGTGATTTTTGTGTACCTGTAAGCGAGGTATACAAGACGCGATCTGTGTAAGATGGCACACGGTACCCGCCATGAGTGGCAACAAGCGAATAGTTTTGCCGAAACATGACCGAATCGAGTGGTTGCCGCAGAGCTTGTCCTCGGATGCGTCGAAAAGTAGGGAAAAATGTGATCTCATTTTCCTGAAAACCGTGGAAAATTTGCTGCGAGCGGCATAGCTGGTACAACTCGTCGTGCTCCTCGACGAGTGAATGCAGAACGAATGGCAATGAATTGCTGTCATTGTTGCAGGGCGATGAATATGTCCGCTTTGTTAAGTTCTTCCGAGTCATTATAGTCGGCACTGGGCTCTGCACTTTGGGTGTTATGCATTGCCGAAAGTCGCTCTCACGACCATTAACGGAAAGCTCACGCAGCGATGTTTGAATACTTGCTGGGGAACTCGGTGATGGCAAAGCCAGCGTGTAAACGCTGTCTCTTGTATTATGGTGCTCAATTCCAGCATTCGCAAGCAATTCCAGCATATCCATTGGCGTTGCTCCTCTTCGTGTCATCCGATAATTGAGGTCACCAAGAATAAAGCTATGATGATGCAAATGTGGGAAGCCAAAGCCATAATCTTCTTCGTCTAAGTACAGCTGCTGAAGAATTTCCATTGCGTCTTGATTGCGCCGCTCCACTTTGGACGGTGGTTGGTGCGCCACTGTTTTGGTCTCGTCGGACAAGGAAGCTTTGCTACCACTATTTCCAACACTACTTCGCCCAACGCTTCCGCTGTTATACAGCATATTCAGTTCCACAGCACTGTCACTTGTCTTTTGATATTGTAAAACGGCGTTAGAGCTTTTCTTACGCTTAGCTCGTTCCAGCCTTGATGAATCAGACGCAAGATGGCATGTTGCAAAAGCAAAGGACGTATCATCAAACCGAAAAGACATACCAACGGCGCCTTTGTTGGATGCCCGGCCGAAAACCAAAAGTGATTTGCCGCGGAAGACTTCTTGAGCATTTTTCTTGCTGCTCTGTCGGTGAGGCATACGAAAGCGCCCAGATGTCACAGCTGTCGCTCGTACAAAAATGCATAGGGCAATATACCCGTGATAGCCTAATGCTGTAGCTCGTTTGCCAATCTCGCGCGAGTAGTGCACGTATTTACTACTTGGCCCGGAAGCGAGATGACGCATGATCTTGATTTGCAAGTCTTCGATATTCATGCACTCTTGAACACCGATCACGTAAACATCTTGTCCGAATGGAATCCATTTGCACTGCCCAAAACATCAGCACAAGTTGGTTAGTTGTTGTGCACGTATAAAAAGCTTACAGAGAACTACAATTACCAGTTCACTTTCGTTTACATTCTTCTCGCCCATGTTGAATGTAGACGCAAAAATTGCAATTTTTCTAGGATCCACAGGGGCGGGCGATGGTGCATGGTGCAACAATAAGCGCTTTTGTAAACGCTGATGCCAGGTACGATAGCTAATGCCGTGCTGCTCCTGATTTATGACTTCACCCTTGCGAAAGCGGGAATTCCTGCCCGCATGAGAGTGTCCGCTTTCCGACTCGCACGAAAGTTTACGTCCTGATTGGGTCCGATCAGTTCCAATCTTTGCAGGTGAACAGAATACGGTATCGAGATCGTCCTTCGCTACCGCTGTACACTCCTTCACAGCACAGCCATTTACAATGCTGTTCGGTGATGAAGACATACTTTCAGCTTCGCAATCACGCGGCGGTGGCACCTTTGTAGCACGGCTGCGGCAAATACCGCCGTAAACAATCGAGTTGGAGAAGCCGTTTAGATCTTGGATCACTTGTACGGTGAGGCCTACACTCAGACTATTCATCCCACCAGCTTCAAAGACTTTTGAAAACGAGTTCACATGTCACTCTATCTCTCCAATTAATAAATCGGAAGAGCACTGCTACTTACTCCGATAAATCATCATTGGTACGCGATGCGCCGTAAAGACGACAATGTAGAGCAACAACTTGCGACGAATCAGTGTTGATGACGTATCAGCCTCTACTGTATCGTGCCTACAAACAGTAATTGTAATGCGAAACGTGTTAACGTACATTCAAGAACTCCTTCTCAACAACAACATTCGCACACACCTTGCCATTCGCTGCTTCATGTTCAGGTGAATGAGTCCCAGGAGTACAAAGTTGAACACAATCATAAGCAGATACAACAGGTAGAAGTTCAGGAACATGTAGCGGATCTCATCCAGCCAGCAGTAGAACGTCGCGTCACCATACTTATTTGCTACCATTCACACAAACAAAACAAACACAGAGGTCGCCATTGTTACCACTTTGTGCACATTTTACACCTCGCATTGTCCCTTAGAACATACTCATGAGATGGTAAACGACAAAAGCCGCTCCAGGCACAATTGCAATCGCTAGAAACAATGGAAACCTTCGTTGTCGCGTCGCGTCCGACTCACCACCGGCAATCCATCGATAGAGGTTGTAGTCCATGCAGCATATCCAAATACAGCTGGCAAGAGTAGCAGCCTGTATTACTGCCGCCTGTGCTTGACAGAGCACCAAGTCGTGCACGACACTACGCCCGACTGCGCGTGCTGTGATGGTGACGAGGTCGAAGAGTGCCAGTACGAATACAAGCTTCTCGATAAAGTCCATGCGGTGGCGATGTGGCAACTGAGATGCAGTTTGCTGCTGAGGTAGCTGCAGTGCGTGAGTCTTGCACCAGTGTACGTAGCCAAAGTGTACAATCACATAGAGTGTCCCTGTAAGCGACAGCGCACTGGAGATGTAGCCGGTAAGCTGAAGACGCATTTCTTGTGCAGAAGAGAGCGACACATTTGGTCCCGCATTATGGCGGTCGCTCATGCCAATAAGAGGCCGCGATGGGGGAATAATGTGGCAAATGCGCCAGCTTGGTCGATGTGATGATGGTCAGAGCGTATCGATGGAAGGTCCGGAGAGTGGGACGTAGATGTGATTGGTAGTTAAGCGCAGTTTACGAATTGTTGATTGGCTGATTACTTCAACAAGGAGAGGATGATAATCATGGATACACCACAATCGTGTGGCGTTGTTTTTAGTCTATAGCTTTACTTTACTATAATAATATCAAGTAAATGCCTGGTTAAACAAACCTGCTACTATGTTATTAGGTGGTGCTTTTGTTTGTATCAGTGCGTGATGAATAATCAAGCGCCAAGTCAAAAAGCTCTAGAAGTAGACATTATAGGCTGATCACTTCATGCCAAAAATAGTACAATTGTCGTACTATCATTGGGGTCGAATACGATGCCGGAATGCTAATACGGATGTATATTGGTCATGGTGTTTGTCCAAAGAAATGTATTCATCAATTACCTACCAGTTCAAAGAAGCATTACTAAAGCAATGTAAAGTTGCATGATGTCAATCCGGTAGGAACAATGAAGTGGGGCAGACTCCTTCTACCTTCATACCAGATCGCAGCAGAACTGTACGTAGATAAAGCATTGACAAGACCTCATTTAGTCCAGCACAAAGTGACCACCGTGACCCATTGCAAAACTACAAAGTGTGTCCACATCAGCGTCGTGCTCGCGTTTGATCTCGCGCACTAGATCCTTGATGGAAAGCATGCCGGTCAGGTCGCCGTCGTCATTGACCACGGGCAGGTGGCGAATGTCCTACAACAATGTAAAGATAAACAATAGCGATCAACAAACATCTTTACATTACCAATCGAGTACAGTAGCGCATACCGAGGACAGCATCTTGGTCATTAATTGGTTGGGGGTCTCATCTTGCTTGGCAACAACGAGACGTGCTCGCTGCGTCATGATTTGTCCCACGGAAGTATTTTTAGCTGTAAGTCCCAAAAGTTCGACTTTCCTCAAGTAGTCACGCTCCGTTACAACGCCCACAAACTTGCCATTGTCACCACTCACAGCAAGACAGCCTAGATTGATGCCTACCATACGTGTTAGCGCTTCGAGCACAGTGGCGTCCTCAGAGATGACAAAGTTGACGCCATTATAACAAGATTTGCTCATCAGGTCCTTAGCCAGACCTTTGGTGTAGACACCACGATTGGAAGCAGACAGTGAGAACGCACTGATACGTTTCAAGCGGGAGGCTGAGAGGAATCGCATGTCAACTTTTGCGTCCGAGAGCGTGTTCAGGTGTGAAAGTTTCAGACCAGAGGCATTTATTTGGATCTCTTTTCTCAATCGAAAGCCGTTTCAGTGCTAGATGAAATGTCTTGATATTTGTAAGGAGGAGTATCAACCTTGACACAAAACTCAGTCATTTCATACAATATACTGCTTTTTTTACAACGTAACAAGCAAGAATATGTACAATTCAGATGAAGCGTTCTGTGCCTTACGAGACATAGAGAGTTCTGATTTAGTTGATGGCATCGCTTGATTACAAACTGATCAAAAACAGCAAAGAGGCAAACGCTACACACACAAAAGTCTTTGTCTTTGTCTTTATGCTGCAAAAGAGTGATGGAAAATTGCCTCGCTGGGCAAGTTGGAAGAATGCATACGTTGAAATTTGCATACTACGTGATTCTTTTCCTCAGTCGGAGCATATTGACACACAGTCCAAACTTTACAAGGTTTGTGACAGCAAAGATAGCTAGTTCAATGCGCGAGCCGATATAAATTCAAGCTGGCGAGTATCAGCACCATCTCGTTGTTGTTGTAATTGGCGTTGCGCTCGCTTGTCGGCGCGCTTCTTCTGTTCCAGAGATAACGCATCGGCATACTCGTGCAATGGCAGACCATGAGGGTCAAACTTATTAGGAGAAAAATTGGACTGCAGCTCATCAATACCAAAATACTCAACCACCTTTTCCAGAATGTACGGGTTTCGCACCTCTTTCTTGTCCTGCAGCGTCGTCTGAAAATCCTGACCGCGTTCGTGTTGTACACAAAGGAACCGCTCGATACGTTGCTGCGTCTCGTTATCAGAAGCCAATGAAGCAGTTGCTGGAGGTATTCCTGCTCGTAAAAGCATTAACTCTTCATCTCCGTCAGACATGGACACATCTAGTTCTGTGGATTCTACCGCTTCTTCTGCAGTATTTTCGTCTGACTGAACTATCGGAGCTTCATCGATAGTGGCAGAGGCTTGTAGTGCGGGAGTTGCGATGATTGATGTAGCTGGAACAGGAGAAGAAGGGGCCCTAGGCTCTGTCGGTATTGGTGATGCTGAAGCTACGTTTTCTTCCTCATCAGACGATGATAATCCATACTCAAGCCCCAGCGAGTTCATGAATCAAGAAAAAGTATCAGAGCAAAAGCTATTGGAAGATTTATTTGCAGCCATATGTTGTGAGACGACTGCGATCATGGCTTCAGAATGTGAACTTAAGCAAGCTATAAGAATATACATGTCTAGAGACGGGTTATTATATGCTCAGATAGGATCAGATAAGGAACAAAATGGGTCACGACAATGAGAATGAGAGAGCTAGTATACGGTAATAAGGTGCGACTGTCAGATTTATAGGAACGCAAAACGGATCCAGGCCGTAACTAGTTTCATTATGTATTGCCATTTCATTAGTATCAGTTGCCTCTTGTGCATTGCCTTTGAGTGTCGCGGGAAAGCTGAGCTTGGACAAGCAAATGATTGCAGCACTTCCCCAGCATAATGAGTTTTTCTTATTATTTTATGGTCTTGAACATAATCTTCTTGAGGCAATTCTTGTTTGCACGATGCACTGTAATATCATGTAATTGCGTCGACAACCTGTACAGATTTTTTTCTGGTATAGAAAACGGAAAGATGTCAAGATGAATGCAACAGATTTTGCAAACTATGGCGTATCCATAATATCTCTATAGCACTGAGATGGATGGAATAGAGTTTTAGTGGCTTACTACTGAGTATAAACAGATTCTGATCTCGCCTCTTTTTCAAAATGTACTATATCACAGCATACTAAAAGCCAGTCAAATGGTAATCTACTCCTTAGGCCTCGAGATCAATCAATCAAGCGTGATAGACCTCTTTTGTCACAAGGCAACACATGATCGACTCAGGCGTGTATCGCTACGAGCGTAATCGGACGAGCCACGAGTTCTTTAGTCCAGGTCCACTTGCGACCACACGAACCGCCACCGCTCGATCCGCCATCTTCAATCTGGTGAGCACAATCATTGGCGGTGGTATCTTGTCGCTTCCTTTCGCCTTTGACAAGTGTGGACTTGTAGTAGCGTTGGTCTTTACGGCCATCGCTGCATCTGCCTCTACCTTTAGCCTTTACGTCGTTGTGAGTTGTAGTCGACGTGGACACGCTACGTCTTACGAAGAAGTAGTGCGTATAGCACTGGGAGCTCGAGCTGGACGCGTCACGGTCGTTCTTCTAGTGCTGCTCACGTTCCTCACGCTCGTGGCATACGTCATTCTTATCAAAGATCTTGTGGGTTCATTAGGCGTGAACTTCCTGTATAAGCGGCCAATATCTGAGGTGGAGCAAAATATTTTGCCGATCGTCTGCGTTCTGCTCGTGTCACCAGCGCTACTGACACGCTCCATGGACGCGCTGCGCTTTACCTCTGTCTTCAGTCTCGTGTCAGTGTTTGTGTTGGCATTTTCAATCACGGTACGAGCGGTAGACGTGGTGTTTAGACGTAGTGATATTATGGAGGTTGAGATTCGAAATCAGATTCCGATCAAGATGACCCCCGATAGCTGGGTAGATGCTGTCTATGCCTTCCCCATCATCTCCGTATCGTTCCTATGTCATTTTAACGTGCTCCCTGTGTATCGTGAATTGCACAAGCCAACGCGCCAACGCTTGAAAAAGATCGTGACGTCTACGATGTTCTCTACGTGGTTGTTTTACATGGTCGTCGGGATCATGGGATACCTCTTTGCATTTCAACAATCAGGAGGAGTGCAAGGCGATATCCTCAATAACTTTAGCGACAACGACGCGCTTGTAAACCTCGGACGACTCGGCTTGCTAGTCACTATTCTATTGAGCTTGCCTCTCATTATCCAGCCGTGCCGTGCCAATCTGCTTCGACTTGCCAAAATCATTAGAAACTATAGTCGTGCCCGTGCTACAGTTTCCTACACCCTCGCTTCTTCAAACTCGGACGAAAGCGAGGCTGCTGGAGAAGAAACAATGCTTTTGCCTATCAGAGATGAAGCTGCAGTGGTTGGTATGATTAATGCTTCTACGTCAGCAAGGTTTAGAGCTGCCGCCGTTCATGTGCTGCTTACTATCAGCATCATGGCCAGCGTAATTACAATTGCGCTGATTTTGCCTGGTGTTGCTGGTGTATGGAACCTCATGGGCTCTACTGTTGGCCTCCTCATTTCATACGTCTTGCCATGCGTATCCTACGTAAGTATTCGCCGCGAGAAGCCAAACAGAGACCGACGTAAACTTACAGCTTGGATTATTCTTGCAGCTAGCTCAATTACCTGCGTTGTTTGCACTATCCAGGCGTTCATGTCGGTCTTTAATCTGTAGACCAAGCAATTTACTTTAAGTAATCAAATCAAAGCAAAAACATCAATCAATTGTCTTGATGCTTAGTCGCAATCGGTTCCGTCATTGCCTTCAATAGCTCTTTTGCATTAGGATCATGCGGGGCGGCCAACTCTAGCCACTTTCGTGCTGTCTCCAGGTCCTTGGGCACTTTTCCGTACCCAGAGCGGTACATTTGCGCTAGGTTCACCATCGCCATCACAAATCCTTTCTCGGCAGCCTTGCAAAAGAGTGCCTCAGCTTGCAATGGGTCTTGCGGTACACCGTCCCCGGTGAGAAACAGGTGACCCAAATTGTACTGCGCCATAGCAACCCCTGCACTTGCTGCTGCCATCCAGCACTGGATAGCGCGAGCCTGGTCCTTCTGCACGCCCCCTTTACCATGCCAATAGTATTCTCCCAATCGGTTTTTAGCCGATGGGTCGCCAGCTTCAGCCGCCTTGATCAACCATTTCAAGGCCTCTGCCTCATTCTGCGCAACATAGACATTAATGAGCTGGCCTACTTCCGACACGAAATCTTACGACACAAAAGCCGGCTAGCGCTATCATTTTTACCTTCTTCGTCCCTATTCCGTGTGTGTACATGTTACAGACGTTCATATAAGCCGGTGGAATGCCGATTTCAGCGCACTTCTTGTACAGCTCAAATGCCTTCTTCTCATTCTTGCGCGTGCCTTCACCATTATGTAAGGCTTCAGCGTACGCATAAGTACCCCATCCATGTCCAGAAGCAGCTAACTAGAAGAAAAAAGTGAGATCAAACTGTGCGTTCACTCCAATACATTCTTCCATACCTCCTTTAAGTGCTTTGTGGCACCCATCGTGTCCTTCTTTGGAAAACCTGACAATGAACAACACCATTATACACACATAACATATCATCTATCATAATCCAATGAAGTGAACCAAGCTCATATCAAAGCATGATGCATACCAGTTCCTTTCTTCATGCACAATGCGTAGCTGTACTTGGCCTTATCACTTCCCTATACAAGATAAAGTATCAAACACATCAGTTGATACACACATGTAGCATACAGCAATAGACATGCCTACCTGTTCCATTGCTATCTTCCACACATGCAACGCCTTCTGCATCTCCTCGTTGTTGTCGTCAGCGTTGCTATAGATCATATTCCCTAGGCCATGGTATTCCATGGGCGAGCGAAGCTTGGACACCAGTGATGAGCTTTTAAACTGATCATAAACTAAGAAACATCAGCATCAGATTGTAGCAAAACAAACACGTGCGTATATCGGCTGCAACGCGCACCTGCTCCAGCGTCATGCCACGCTGGCCGAGCTTGCGCATGTTTGTTAGCACCTCTTGCAGCTCCTACTTAGCATTCGACACGCGGTGTTAGTCACATGAATTTGCACGCAGTAATACACCATCTACACTCACCTTATGGCCTTCCTTAGCCCGTGCTACACGCGACTTGCGCCAAGCACTCAGCATCCGCTGTAGCATTATTGATAATTTTGTGACGCCATCTAAATTGATAAGCCTGTGATAATACATAATGACGTGCTATCTCACATTCTCACCTTTGTGTTTAATATTAGGTTTTGATCCTATTATAATGTGCCCAAACGAGGTTTTTTGTAAGTTTTGATGTCTGCAAATGTATAAGCGCTTGGATTTGGAGCAACGCCACTTAGGAACTGACCATCACTCTTTCTTTCATTCGATTGGAGTAAAATGAGTGACGATGCAACCCGCGCTGAGGTGGCAGCTAAGCTGCGCGCTGTTCAGCCGAAGGATGTTGCGACGGGAGGTCGGACACTGCTGCGTTGGGATACCGCACGCTGGCAGCAATTTGAGCGCACGCCACAATACACGACGCGTGTCAAGAGCGCACCTATTCTGCCCATTCGTGCGCCGCTCTCTTCTATGTATGTGATGCATGTTTTTATTGTTATTATGGAGCTTAGAAGCGTATTGGCACAGACTTATAGCTTGAATTATGTAATGCGATAGCTATGAGATTCATTTATCGGCCAGGAAGAACTATACACCTTCAGCACTTATGGAGAAACTTATTGCAGACACGCGGTCAGGTTCTGTAGTGGATGTGGGTCTTGTAATCGATGCCACAGGCAGCAACACTTTTTTCCACGATGTCAAGTGTGTACATGTGCTGGATTCTGAGCTGGCAGGATGAGCGAGTTGTTGTCTGACTGTGCCACGTTGTTCACTGCCAGGGAGTGGGACGACTGGGACGTCCAGTACGTCAAGCTGCAAGTTGATACGCTAGGAGGTAAAAGCGCGTTTTTATTTGATCCAGTTTTTTGAATGGAAGGAAGTGTGAGACATAATTGGATGCTGGTGACGTATTTTGTAGAGGAAGAGAAGAATTGTGATGCTTATAATGACCAAATAGCCGAAGCCTTTTGTAAGACAGTAAAAAGTCATTTGGAAAGTGATAGGAAGGATATGGACGTGGCTGTGTTTGGTACAGATGGCTACAACTTGGTGGGGTTTCTCGTTGTGAGGTGCGTCGCAATTGCTTTTGACGTTGAAATTGGTGACAGTGGCGCTGAATGTAGCAATGACAGCTTTTTGGTAGAAGAATGTGGCTTGAATCTTGACGCTGCAGTAAACGAGTTTGCGGCGTCGACCCCGCCAGGACTTTACTCACGACATTTTCTTGTGGTTTGTAGCTGCGTGTTGGTGCTACGTTCGAGCTCTCTTTACTGAGTTGTTATGCTATGTGTTGATTCGTTTCAGCGACTATATCGTAAGTACTTCAGCACATTGCCGTCTGAGTCGATACAATTAGTGGTTCCTGCCCCTCCACGATGGGAAAATGATGAAACGCGTAAGCGTAAGAGTGAATCATCTGTTGGTAATGAGGTTGTAACGGAAGAGGACCGATCAAAAAAATTTGTACGAAAGAAAAAAGCTGCGGCGTCTAGTACTCCACCTGCAAAAGATGTAGCAGCGAGCAATGGACGAGGAAGTTTGCTCAGCAGCCTTTCCACTGCACCGGTATACAAACCGCCCATGTATATTCCGCCGGACCGCCAGGAACAGCGTCCGGCAAAACGCCGGAAAATTCGTTCGTGGGTGGATGAGGTAAAGCCTTTGACGTACGGTGAGACGCTTTCAAGTTTATCAGAGGAGCACCAAAAATTGGTTATGTCGTTGGAAAAGCTTACGGGCATTGAAGGATTTCCCGGATGCGAGGTAAGCAAGTAGGTGCGTTGGAAGAGTGTGACAGCTTATGAATTTATTTGGTGTGGTTTAGACGATACCCTTTACAGCGACACACGTTGCAGAAGGAGCTTATAAGCGCAAAGGTGGCTTGACCAAGGCTTACCTTGTTACTTGGCGAGCACGGGGGTATGTTTGGGTCGATTTTTGAACAATGTGAGTATTGAGCTATTAACTCGCTATGAAATTATAGTCGTCGCTGTCTTCTCTATGTTACTGCCGACGGAACCTATGTCGTGTCGCGCGACATGACGTTTACGAAGGTCAAAATGAAGTTTCCGCGACGAAGGGCACCGGTATATGTTTGAGCGAGGTGGCCTTAACGAAGGTACAATACTTTGCTGACATTCTCTATGTTTCACAAACCAGAACGAGTTCCAGGTGAACACATTGATTGATGGACTTATCGTAGAAGACCAAGACCATGACACGAGGGTGGCCCGGTATCTGGCGTTTGACATCATCTTTTTGGAGGGTACGCCCATTTGGCAGAAAAAATTGGAGAAGCGATTGCAGTGCTTACAGAACGAGATCATTGTGCCGCGCAAAAATGTGAGTTTGGTGTGGAAGAAGCCAAGCGGTTTTGTAGCACATTAACGCGACTTTGTATGGTGTTTGTATAGGACAAGTCATTTGATTACACGACGGAACCCTTTCGTGTGCGTATGAAGGACCACTTTCGTCTGGCCAAGACTGAGTATATGCTGACAAAGTTTTCAAAGAGCGTGACCCATGAGGTGGATGGTGTGATCTACACTCCTACGGAGGCTCCGTACAATCTCGGTGGCTTTGAGTGCAAAGAGCCAATTTTTAAATTCGTTGCTAGCGAAGGCGGAGGTATTCCTGGTCTGGATGGAAGCATATCAGAGCAGCGGCTTCTCCAGTACATCAATTCTATCCCGAAATGATTAGGTGCAGCAAGCAGGGCGTAGCATATCCTTCGACCATGAAATGGATAAAAAACAGTCTTAGTACTTGGTGAAGGCAGCTCCCTACGTGCGAGTGAGTGAATTGTTGGCCAGTCCATGTCTTGCATGTAAGTAGTTGTGGCGTTGCTAGATGTGCCGTGCTTTGTGGATACACGAGAGAACCAGATGAATACAAGAAAAGTAAAAATGGGCAAACGCGCTTGTGTGTGCTGAGCATCACTTGGCTTGCGTGAATTTAAGATAGGGTGGTTTTATGTTTGCACGATGATGTTTCCTGTCTCCTCTGTTCGCTCATGCTCATTTGCTCGCCGTGTTAATTGATTGTGAGAGGTGCGAAAGCGGCTATCGGTGTTCGCAACCATTCGGTCTCAAGATATGCAAACTGCCTGACTATTAGAACGTGCTATTCTTTACCTAGTGAACACAGCATAATGCATTCTGGATCAGCAACTCTGTAGTTGATGACAAGTTGGAATGATTAGGAGCCCAGCAAGACGACTGCTCGGAAGTCATGTATTGCAGTATTGAAATTACCAAGACCTTTATGAACGAAGGCAAGACTAAAAATATGCATGCACACTTGTCGGCTGCTGTGCAAAAACACAGAGGACAGTGTAGGTTTGCAAAGGAGAAATTGTGGCAAAGCGTCGCTCCGACTGCAAGATTCTGCGCTGCATGAGATATGGCTTCGGCAGGTCTTAGCTGACATCGTTCACGGCGTCCATGCACGGGGGTGCCCACAACGTGATTAGTTTGCTTACACTGCTGATATCAGCTAATGAGGCCAACGTATACAACCTACTGCAACACTCGCTAAAAGCTTACGTCTAGGTGCCACTACTGACCGTAATTGAGCTCCTATGACTGCCGTGTTGAGAGAGACCAATAAGCTTGCGCTAAGTGTGCTGCACTTGACAGTTGCTGTTGTTATTGCTGGTAATTCTAACATCTCGTCTATCTAAGAGCATCACAAACAAATTGAACGCATACAGACCAAGCACATGAACACGTGAGTTTTTGTGATACTGCACATCTCATCTGTCATCCCTAGTGTTAATGGCAGTCCGATTAGACCAAAGGCTCTAAATCCATCTCCAAAACGGAAGTCGGTTTAAGCAAGTCAAAGTTCGTCAGCACCACCGGGTGCAGCACGCCAAACGTGCCCAAGCGCAAAGGCCTTGCGTCTTCTTTCTGCAGCATCACGTATGCGCACCGACCGGGAAAGTACGTACGCTCCTCCGCAGGCGTGACGGTGTAATACTCCATCGTGCCAGCGAGCATCTTCAACTCGGACGGATAACCCATCAACTGCATGATGCGGTCAACAAGACCGTGGATGACTTCAAAACCGTCGGTTGGGCCGGTGTAAGCAGCGCAAATGCGACGCACGTTCTTGGCACCTACATCCGTGTTGTCATCAATCACGACGACGTCTGAGACCTCAAACAATTTCAGACCCTCCTTGATCGACATAGCCTTGTTGTTCTGAATGGTCTTCAACACACCAGGCAACATCGACGTACGGACAACCTCAAACTCAACCGTGGCCGGGTTGGACAATACAACAGCCGAGTGACCATCATCCTCACGGTTCAGATACTCAAAGTTTTCTTTGTGTGAGCACAGCCCGTGGGTAAGAAGCTCAATGTAACCGGCACGACTGATTTCATCGCGCAGAAGATCGCCCAGCTTGTTAAGGGGCTGAGCCATACCAATGGTCTGGGTTTGAGGAATCGTGAGTGGGATGTTGTTGAAGCCGTAGGCGATGCCGACGTCCTCAATCACATCCACGGGGTGTAAAATGTCCGAGCGCGTAATTGGAACCTCCGCAACAATGGTCTTTCCATTACTCGAAGGCTTGGCATTGAGCTGCATCTTATCGCATAGTTTGCAAATTCGATCAACATCAAGGTTGATCGGCTCACCCTTACCAAACAGCATCGAGTAGACGTTTTTGACCTGTACCTCCACCGAGCGCTTGCTAAGATTTGGCGTCATTTCGCTCGCGTTCACACTATCGTCCTCGTAAATTACCTGCACAGGCTCCACAGTGAAAGGCTTGGCACAGTACTCGGAGAACATGGCGACCATCGTGTTCAACACGACTTTAGCCTTGGTGATATCGGTCGCCGTGCACTCAATGAACACATTCTTTGTGTTCAACGAGATCTTCGAGTGCTCACCGTTGATAATAGGGGGGAGCGACAGCACCACGCCGTTGTTGTCCATAATCACAGGGTACACCGGCGAGTCGTAAATGATGTCTGTGTACGGTTTAATATGCTTCACCTCCGCGTTCGTGCGGTAGAAATCGAGCAGTTCCTTGGCATCAAACTCCCTGTTTTGAGTCAGCGGCTTGAACGTGATCTCACTCGGTGGCAGCGCCTACAATGATTAATAGAGAAAAATATTTGCACTATCAGCGCCATCTCCACTTCAACATGAGAACGCTACCTAACACACGTACGTTGTAAGTAAAAGGTCCCTCGACCGTGTCCAGGTCGTGCGTACCAATAGCAACGAGTGTTCGGCGACGGCAAATGTTTTGATGCAGCTTGTCCTGCAGGTCAATGAAGCTATCGTAACGCTCTTGAGTAAACTTTACGTCGCGTAATACGGCCGACACTACGTACGGTCGCACAAGCTATACAAAAAATAAGACACGGTACATTCCACATCATTAATTTCTCCATCATTGGCTCCATACACATGCATTGAACCCATTCAACCTTAGTGTTCGGTTTGACCGTAATGTGAAGCGGACCCTCAGCCCTGGGTGTTAGCGTGTATACGGGTGGACGTTCTTTCTCTAAGAATATGCGCAAGGATCGACTAATGCCTTCTACACACAGCAGGTCGTAGCGATTAGCCGGTACATCAATCTTGTAAAGCACAGCGTCCGAGTGGGTTGAGTGATCCTTGTCCTGGCCCTGTTGCTCCCGCTGCTTAAGCTGCTTCTCGCTCGTAACGTCATCTAACTCGATACCAAAATCAAAGCAAAGCACGTCAAACTCCTCGTCCGTGTATGTCTGGCCCATGGCCTTGAACAGCTCGTCGCGCTTCACTCCTACGGTCGGCATCCTCTTGACTTGATCGAATGAGCGTCACCAGTGGATGAAAAACTGTCCCAAGCGCTGATTTGCTTAAACGATTCTAAAATGGTCATTCGTGTAAAAGATAGTAACAGGTGATTGGTTAAAAAGACTCAACCTGCTATTCGAATGTTGTACGACACATTAAATCAATCACTCGAAAGCAATACCAATGTTGTTTATACTTGCACCCCTTCCACTGCCGCCAATTTACATGTTATAGAGGCAACCCCTCGAAGACCACCGAGGCTGGGTTGAGATATGGATTTAGTAAGCACACATAAAGCACAGGGTGTGTTTGCATTTTCTTCGAAAGGTTCAGTGTATAGACTAAGCCTTTCTTGCTTATGACCTTGAAATGTCCAATTAAGCGTGGACGTAGTTTGGTTTTGTGTACCGCAGAAACGGCACGAGTAAATAAATTTCTTGCGTTTAATAAAACTAAATTACCCACTTTGAGCTCGTGTTCGTTCTTTCTGCCTTTGGCATCTGCTTGTTCCTTTTGAACATCCTTGCTTTCAGCCATAGCGCCTTTGACGCGACGTAATACGCCAAAACGCGTTGTACAACGCTCTCACCTTCTTGCTAATCGCAACAAAGCTGATATCAGCCAAGCCTTCGGCTATCTTCCCCCCACTAAGCCCTGATACGGCAGGGGTTAGCGTTAACAGAACGCAAGGAATAAACTAACCGTTCACATGGAAGGAGGTGAAGCCTGTTGCGTTATTCAACGCAATTAAATGCCTGGAAGCATCGTGGTCCATTGCTTTGATGCTTCAGCACAAGCACTCTGAAGCGTATCACCAAAAACGCCATCGACACGTTCTGTCTGACCATCGGTCTGCGGATGATCCGCCGTGGACATGTCCAGTCGAAGTGCCGAGCACTTTAGGCTAACGTCCAAAGCTTACTTGTAAAACGAGAGTCTCTATCCGAGACGATTGCCACAGGCAATCCTTGTTGTCTAAGCACACGATCCATGAACAGCTTAGCTGTTTCTTCTCCATCAACAGATTTCGGCACTACCGCTAAATGAGCCGTCTTGCTCAGCCGGTCAACAAAGACCACGATTCGCAGTGTTTCCGGCCGCATCACGCGGTAGGACAAACACAAAGTCCATACTAATGGTCTGCCACAACCCCGAGGGTTCAGGCAAACTCTAAAAAGGCGCAGCCATAATAGGCGAGGACTTTACCCTTTGACACGTCTCACACGTGCGTACGTAGGTACCAACCCATTTGTATAACTTGGGCCACCAATAATGGGTGCTCACCGAGCTGTAGGTCTTCTCACGACCTAAATGACCACCAAGTGGTGTATCATGAGCCTCATAAAGTATCGATACTTGAGGTACTCATCATGAGGCATCACAACACGAGGCTGGTCATCCGACCCTGTACTATAGTACAACAGAACATCGGTAAGTGCATAACGATGTAATCTCGCACGATTACGTGGTGACAGCTTCACCTTTCGAGTTTTCAAACTCTGCGCTACCCAGCGCCTGCAGAATGGCAGCACATGCCTCATCGCGTGCATACGCCACACGGATACGATCCGTGACTGGCGAACTCACAACAGTGAGATGAACAAGCTCATAGTCAGGTCTACGCGATAACGCGTCAACCAACACATTCTGTTTTCCCGGCTTATACTTCACCTCGAAGTTATACTTCGCAAAAAAGGAGAGCCAACGAGCCATTCTCTGCGAGAGATGAGGCGACTGTGTCACTGTGCGTAATGACGCATGATCGGTATAGATCACAAACGGATTTGAGCCCAACATGTGTACCCTGAACTTAACAAGGGCATACTTCATGGCAAGTAGCTCCTTATCATTGAACTGGATAGTTCTTTTAGCAGCTTTTAGCTGGCGAGACTCAAACGCTATGACGCGTTCTCAACCCTCAGAGTCGACTTGCAAAAGTGCACTGCCAATGGCAAAGTTTGAAGCGTCGCATACGACTCTAAACGGGAGATCAGGATCAGGTAGAGCTAGAATTGTTGCCTGGAGGAGACTCTTCTTCATGGCTTCAAAAGCCTCGTAGTGCTCGCTGTTCCAACACCACTTCACATCCTTCCTTGTAAGGAGATTCGACAATGGCCTTGCCACTTCCGCGTAGTTGTGGCTATACTTGTGCAAGTAATTTGCCAAACCCAACCACTTGCGCAGGTACGTCTGGTTCCTCGAAACCGGCCAATCCACTATGGCTTTGACCTTAACAGGATCTGCCCGGATTCCTCGCTTCCCAATGAAGCATCCCAAAAAGGTAATCTCTTCCGCACCAAAGATACATTTGTCTATATTTGCATATAACTTATGCATCCTTATACAACCGAGCACAGCTCTCACTTGTTTTGTGTGACTCTCCACATCAGTTTTGCCATTGTCGGCTCGACTATGGACGAATATATCGTCAAAGTATGTCTGTGCATACGCCCTATGGAGCCGAAACAACTGCGTCAACCGACAATTAAACGTTGCAGGTGCGCTAGACAGCCCTTAAGGGATCACTGATCACTCCCAGAACATACCGCTTGGAATGCTGACATCTGTCAGCGGGATATCACTAGCTCGCATGAGCAGTTGGTAATATCCATCGACTAAGTCAAGGGCACTGTACATCGTACATCCCACCATATTGTTCTGAAGAACATCCTTGAGAGGAATCAATGTTTGAGCCGGAATAGTGGCTGCATATAGCTTATTTTAAGCATGCACTATTCTTCACTTCCCATTGGGCTTTTTCACACAAAACGTTGGCGTAGAGTGAGGAGACTTACTCTCACCCACCATGCCAGCCGCGTGCTTCGCACGAAAGAACTCGTCAATGACGTCACATTGTTCTCGTGGCAGCGGCCACTGTCGCGTCACACCGTATTGGTTCCTAAAACCAAGTCAATCGCATAACGTACACCTCTATCTGGAGGTAACCTCGTCGGAGGTTCTCTGGAGACAACATCTCCATATTCCTTCAACAAAGGAAAATAAGGATCCAAAGGGTCCTTCAGAATCTGTGATCCTCTACGCGCATTCAGCGCCTTCTTGTCATCCTCAAGAACTGCTTTATCCAAAAGCGATGAGGAGTTCAACTCCTCCTCAGGTCGTATAACGACCACTTCGGCGTTGTCGCCTGCCTGTAAGGCACTGCCAAACTCGGCAAAGGACAACTCGTCCAGCTCTAACAGATCACTTACTGCGGGTATAGATGAAAGAGCCACCGGCTCTTCAACATCCCCAGCCAAACCATTGACGAGTGTATATAGCTGCTCGCTATCACCGTCACTCACAATATCATCATCGCTACTCATGATGCTCTCAGCATCCGACACATCAGCGTCCACAGGTGTACACACCTCAAGGTCAAAGACCACTTCGTTTACTGACTGCACCCCGCCCTCTTGGGTCAATGCCTCCCCATCAGATATTTTACCTCAATTCCTCAAAAACAACCCCCTTTTTTTTTTTTCCCCCCCCCTCTTCCCCCCCCCCCCCCCCTTCCCCCCCCCCCCCCACAACCCCCTTTTTTTTCCCCCCCCCCCCCCCCCCACTTCGTCACTAGGTGTTCGCACCTCGTTGTCCTTAAAGATAACATCCATTGATGACTTCACCTGACCCTCTTGGGTCAGTACCTCGTCGTTAGGTGCATGCACCTCGTTGTCCTCAAAGACAACATCCATTTGATGACTTCACCCGGCCCTCCAGGGTCAGTTCCTCGTCACTCATGTCACTTGGACTCATGTCCTGACATCTTGGCTTGCAGCCACCAACACCACTCACGGTGTTTAATGATGTAACATCATTCTCATGACACATGTCATATGTGCATCTAGTGGGTTCTCAACCACACTATCGACAGTCCTTGGGCCTCGCCCAGGACTATTGTCCTCGACACTTACAGTGTCTACAAAGTCGGATATTCCGACATCCAACATATTGACCGACTCGGTCCAATATCCGCGCCAAAAGCACTTTTGCTTTCTAGCAGAGGTGGGTTCATGACTCTCCAGAGCCCCACCAGAAGCATTGCGCGTTGCGCCTAAGGTCTTTGACCTCCAATCAATCCATGGCTTATGACGTTCTAGCCATGCCATGCCTAGGATGAGGTCATACCTCGCATCCAGGTCTAAGACCAAACAGCGTTTCATGCTGTTAAAGTCCAAGAACTTTACAACTCAACTCCATCGAGACTTGGGTACCGTAACACGCGTACCCGTCGCTAAGCGAACTGTGACTGTGTCACTTTCACGCGCTACAAGCGCTTCAGCATACTGCTGACTACCTTCCACGGTGGCACGGCGCACATAATTGCCCGATGCCCCGAATCGATCAAAATGATCCATGGCTTATCAAAGCCCTTGATCGTCCCTTCAACGACTAGCAAGCCTGGCTTGCATTCGCTCGTTCCGTTTTTGAGAGTTCGGATCTCTTTGGGGCTGGGCCCTGTTTACTTCTACCTCCTAGAGGTTCAACAGAACTCAGTTCTTCCCCAATAGGGCGCCCGGCGCCCTACTTGGATTCCGCCGTTTCCCCGCGGCAAACCAGAGGGTTTTACCCATGGGGTGTCGGCCCTTCGAGGCCAAATATGCCTTTCTTGCAGGGCATTTTGCCATCAAATTGCCTGTGCTCTTGCAGACAAAACATCTGCGCTACAATTTGCTGCTCCGCAGCATGAAGCTCCAGCTTCTTCATCCTCCACTTGACTACAGTCCATAGGTACAGACCCATCAGACGAGTAGTTATAAGTGGCAGGCCTAGCGGCCTTAGTGTTGGTCTCGGCATTCCATGCCTCTCCAACAGCTACCTCGAGCAAGGACGCTTATACACGGAAAACTTCCGTTCTGGCAACGCTCTCGATGGCCTTCCATAAAGACCGTGACGGTCACTGCCTCAGGAAGATGTCTATGACCATGGCAGCAGTGAGAGTTTTCAACTCTTGTACATATGCCGCAAACTCACGCTTTCCTTGGCGACACGACAAAAATCGCGATCGATTTCGGTGTGCTTGGTTTGGCGGTGCATACTGCCGAGTCATCTAAACTTTCAGATAGCCCCATAATGGCGATGCATCTTGAAACGTTGCAAGAGATGTTCTCTATATATGGCCTTAAGGGCGTGTAGTACCTCATCGCCCAGGGCAAAGAAGAGGTTAAAAGCGTATTCATATGTTTCAAGAATATAAAACGCTTTAGTCGAGCATGCAAAGGCACGGATGCCTTCTTCTGTGCCTTCGCTCATGGCGACTATGGCGCAAGATGTGGTCCGCAGACAAAAAACAATTCTGAAGGCAGTCGACGAGCTCGACGACAAAGAAGGTGATGGCCTTATATCCGACAGGTTGAGTCGGCTATGTTTAAAGCCGACATCACCTCACCAAACCAATTTTGGCAAAAAGTTCGGGTCACTGTTGCGCATGGCAAAGATCGGAAACTTCTAGCCGAGGACACGTGTTGATAATCTTGAAGTGGATTGACACTTGTGCACCACATGACAGAGACGACACAACGAAGCTGTGTGTAACGATGGGTATCGACTCACTGTGGTAAGACCTATCGTAAAATCGTTATTACAAGGCTTAGAGGAAGTGCAGTGTAGCGAAATAATGGCTTATCTAGCTACAATTCACTTTCATTTTGCCTGCTTCTAGCTGCTGAAGCCCTAAAAATGCTAGCTGAATAAAAAGCGAAGCTGTTACTAGACGCTGCAGCATTTTGGGCAAAGTGCGGTGACGCGAGTTAATTTGTGTGGTGTACACAAATTGAAACGAACCTGATAATCGAGTGCCGTATACAGGTGTATAATCAAATTCAGTATACATATACATTGGATTTGATTATGACAAAGAAGACTTCAGGAGCAAGTCACGGGGTGTTATGGGCAAGAGCATTTGGACTGGAAGGCGACAGTTTGTACGCACAACGAGAGCGTTATGAGCGTTTAAAGCAGCATATGGTATTTCAAATAGATGCGACTGGAATCATTGACCCACTGACTGCTAGTACTACGACTAGTAGTAGTATTGTGAACTCATCAAGCAGTTGGAGCCAATACTTTACAGATGAAACGCTGCTGGAGGAGATAAAGAAGGATTTAGAACGATTGTATCCAACTGGCAACGAAAGCCTTTTTCAGAATGAAGTGTACATGACTACGTTACGTCACGTTCTTTTTGTATGGTGTCGATTGCATCCAGACGTAGCATATCGCCAAGGCATGCATGATGTAGTGGCTGTGGTGCTTTATGCTTTGATAGAGAATCAAGAGACGGATATGTTAGAGGTCAAGCAACTGCCAGCAAGTACTGAAGCTGACACTTTTCTACTGTTTGAAGCCGTGATGCTGTTCTTAAAGCCATTCTACGAGATTGTCGAGGCAAGACGCGAAGCGACGTTTGGTGTAAATGAAGACAATGATCGGAAACTTTGTAGCAACTTTGTAGTGCACAAGAATGACAATGGGAATGGTGTTTTTCGATATGCAGTCATTTGGAACGATAGGTGGGAAGCAAAAGCCGTCGGCACTGCAGAGATTGTGTCATCATATTCAGTACGATTTACTGCAACAGAAGGATCCGCAGCTCTACTACCACTTGAAAAACATGGAGATTGTTCCTGAAACATATTGTTTGAGATGGATCCGATTGCTTTTTGCGCGCGAATATGCCTTGCAAGAACTAATGTGTGTTTGGGATGCTTTGATACTTGATACCAGACGTGCAGCGGTTGACTTTCCAGTTATCAATATGACCGAAAAGTCGGACAATGACTTGCTGAAGCTACCCAAACTGATTATGGAAAGCGAGGAAACGACTTGGACTGGATTTCCATTGTTGCGTTATGTTTGCGTAGCAAAGCTGTTACAAATGTCGACACAGCTACGCGATTCGGATAACACTGACTGTTTGCGACTGCTCATGCGTGCGTGCCAACAGGAAGATTTAGATTGTACTGACACGGAGCGACAGAAGTGTGCAATGAAACTCATACAGTTCGCGAGGATATTGCAAGACCCAACAGCCGAGGGGACCGAACGAAGCGAAAGCAACATTAAGTCAGATGACGAATTAAGAGTATTGGATCCCGATGGAGGCTCCAAGTTAGTGGAAGTGGTCCTGTTCCAATCAGGTTCGCTCGGCATCGTTTTAACAAAAGCAGAAGCCCCATACAATGATCGCCTGGCAGTTAAAGCTTTTACAAAAGATCCGACCACAACCGATGGGATGGGACAAGCAGAGGCTAGTGGAAGAGTGCATCTTGGTGACCTCCTCCAGTCGATCAACGGCGTGCCAATAATTGGGTTGACGACAGAGGAAGCAAAGCGTCGTATCCAACTCGTCAAACGTCCGATCTATATTGCGTTTTCCCGCTGTAGAAATGCCTTTGGCGACGATGACATTACTCCTTTAGAAACTTCTGGAGTCACTAAAGATTCCAATGCAGCGGGCTCTCCGCCATATCCGGAGACCACGCTGACTGAGCTGGTGCAACCAACATTTTTGCCTGGCGAATTATGTTATGCTAGCGTCGAGAGTAGCATGCAGCGACTTACTCTATCACACGACGGATCATGTCTATCTCACTATATTAGCGGGAAATTGTTCATCACAAACTACCGCTGCCTCTTCACGCGTCTGCTTGGTGGTGGAAAAATCGAATGGCAGATTCCTGTGCTCTCCATCCTCTCGATAGACCGCATCAACCCTCGCGCAGTTTCGTCCGGGGCAGTTTCCGCAAGCCTATCAGTGGAAAATGCACAAGTTGCTCTAGGTTTTGCCCCAGATGACTTATACAAGATTGTCATTCGGTGTAAGGATACCCAAGTGGCACGACTATCGATTGCAGACCAGAACGAATACGAGAAGCTTGTCGAGTGTTTGAGTTTTTTGGCTTTCCCAAAAAGCTTACTGGATGCTTTTTGCTTCTCCTATTCTCCGACTGTGGCGCCATCCGAAGAAGTCCGATTCGACATCCGCGAGGAGTATAAACGTATTGGCTTGCTCGCTTTTCCAGATCACCTGCGCTGCATTGACCAGTCTTTAACGTATACGCTCTGTGATACGTACCCGCGGTATCTTATCGTGCCTAGTGGCATTTCGGACATTCGTCTGAAGGCGGCAGCTGCTTTCCGATCGCATCAACGTTTGCCTGTCGTATGCTGGATCCATCGCGGCAACAGTGCTACAATTGTTCGATCAAGCCAGCCACTTGTGGGGTTCAAGTCTTCGCGCAATGAAGAAGATGAGTTGCTTGTTCATTTGCTGTGCTGCTCGGGCAACAAGAAAGCGCCTGGACGTTACGTAATCATGGATGCGCGTAGTCAACTGGCTGCTGTGGGTAATAAGGCACTTGGAAAAGGCACGGAGATCTCTAGCAACTACCACGGCGCAAAGATCATTTTTATGAATGTTGAAAACATTCACTCCGTCCGTCAATCGCAGCTTGCATTAGCTGCGACATTTGCGCCTAAAAGAGGTGCGACAGAGGATACATCCAGCAGTATTTACGGTCGGATCGACCGTTCAGGTTGGCTACGCCACGTCCGCCTCGTGTTAAAAGCATCAGTTGATCTGGCACATACTGTGCACAACGGTACATCTGTACTTACACACTGCAGCGATGGGTGGGACCGCACGGCACAAATGGTAGCATTAGCTGAGTTGATGCTTGACGCGTACTACCGCACCCTTCGTGGTTTTCAGGTATATGCTGAAGCAAAATTGGAATGTATTCTTGGTCTAAATTCATCGAATATGGCTTGTGATGCGCTAGGTACTTGTGGAGAAGGAGTGGTGCGCCTTTGGGCATCAGTTTGCCTTGAGAAGTGGTCACGCTCGCAGTGACGTATCGAACGATCAGCGTTCACCTGTATTTTTGCTCTGGTTAGACTGTGTCTGGCAATTCATTCGCCAGTATCCAACCGAGTGCGAATTTAATGAGAGCCTTCTGCTTACACTGGCCGATCATGTCTACTCGTGCAAATTTAGCACATTCATGTTCGACTGTGAGCGTCAACGGTGAGTTTTCAATTGTGCACAGCTTCGATCTTAGGCGCCAAGAACCTCACGGTCTTTTTTGAGCTACAGGAATGACATTTTTGCCAAACATCGGGTATTTGCTATCTGGAGTGAGATCAACAGCCAGAGCGATCGTTTCACGAACGATATGTACGCGCCCAACGAACAAACAACTGTGCTGTCACCCAGCACACTGTCCAAGAACATCAAGTACGTGCTAGAATTCCTTACCCTGGATTGCAACTCTTGTACTCATCCATCTACTGGGTTTACATACAATGACAGGCTATGGAAGGGCTACTTTTGCCGCTGGGATCCGACTGTCATTCCTCGTGTCCCTGCTTTTCAATGTTATTGACAACATGTAGTAGGCTAAAGCAACATGTATTCATCCTATCATGCTCCATCATCACCATTGCTGTTCGTCTACATTTTTTGCACAATTTGATATCTTTATGGTATCACATTTGGCAATTAACAGCGACTTGACGCGTTCAATAGCTTCAGTAAGTAACCTTATCAGTCGATATTCATCATGGCGCTTCCATCGTCAGCACTTGCTGCAATAGTGACCCCCTGGGTCTTCATTGGTATCTTTCTTGTTTGGTCTTTCATCCGCGGTCTTAGCTGTTCAATTCCTTGCGCTCTTCAGTCGTCTAGAACGACTAGAAGGCTTCGTGTAGGATTCCTGCATCCTGATTTTGGTATTGGGGGAGCTGAAAATCTTGTCGTGAATGCAGCAGTCGCACTGCAGCAGCGTGGAATGCATGTCACAGTATATACAGCCCATCATGATGTCAATCACTGCTTTGAAGAGACTCGTGGTGACGGACCTTTAGCAGCACATGTGCGTGTCCACGGTGATTGGCTGCCGCGCACGATTCTGGGCAAGCTCTACGCGTTCTGCGCAATAGTGCGCATGCTGTATGTAACTCTTTGTGTAGCATTCTATCATATTGACGATCTGGACGTGTTTATAGTGGACCAAGTGTCAATCTCTGTCCCCTTCTTGCGTGCTTTGAGCAAACCTGTGCTTTTCTACGGCCACTTCCCGGACAAGCTCCTCTGCATTCACTCCAACTCGCCCTGGAAGCGTATGTATCGAGTACCACTAGACTTTCTAGAGGAAGTCACCACTGCATCATCGGACATTATCGTCGCTAACAGCAAGTTCTCGCGCGGGGTCTTCCAGAAGGTTTTTCCACGCCTAAAGTCAAAAAAAGTGGGAGTTCTCTATCCACCAGTCGATACAAAGGCTTATGAAGTCACAGCTGGGGAGAGCGTGCAGCGTGATTCAGGTCTTTTTGTATCGTTGAATCGTTTTGAGCGGAAGAAGAATGTCGCTTTGGCGATTGAAGCACTCGCAGAGTTGCGCAACAGACTGTCTCGTGAAGAATTTCAGTCGGTCAAAGTCGTCGTAGCTGGAGGATACGACCCGCTCAACACGGAAAACCAAGAGCATCTCATTGAGCTGCAAGATGCGGTGGCCAAGCTCAATCTAGAGGAACACGTAAAATTCCTGACGTCGATCTCGAAGTCGATGAAGCTTGAGCTGCTACGCAAAGCTCACGCCATCCTGTACACACCCGACCGCGAGCACTTTGGCATCGTCCCCATCGAGGCTATGGCATGCGGTACCCCTGTCATTGCAGTATGCTCCGGTGGTCCATTGGAGTCCATAGTCGACGGCGAAACAGGATTCTTGTGCGAGCAGAAACCGGAGGCGTTTGCCGAGGCCATGGCAGGCCTTTGCGGACCCAAACACAGTTCTAGAGTCATTGAGATGGGCGTTCGCGGTATACGACGTGCTCAGAAGTTTTTCTCGCTCGAAACCTTTGGTGACACTCTGTTTGAGCTGGTGAGTGAGGCTGTGTATGGTGAGAAGGCGGCGTAAGGCTGTAAAATGTAGTTGACCAGGTAGGCACTTTAACAGTCTCCCGAGTTTAGAAATGGAGGTGCTTGCATTCGCTTTATACGTTCGCTAACGGATTTCAAGCTACAGAAAAGGTGTGAAGATTATAGGTCCTTTGGTAAGCAGGTTGGAAGGTGTGCACGTACTGCCAAGAAGTTACAAGCCTCCACAAAATAGTGCTTTACAGAAGAGAGCGAAGCCAGATGCGTAGCAACTGCGGTGTTTGCGAGATTGCATGGAGCAAGTGGAAGACGATGCGGAGGATACGTGGCTATCCACTTCACGGCACTGCATCACGTACTTCTGTAGCATAGGCGCGTTCTCGTAGTAGTGTCGCGAGTCAAAATGCGTTGGCCGTACGCGGTCGCGATTCATCAGTTCCTGTACGGGTAGAGTGCCGGAGTCAGCGTGACGAGCCTTTGGATTCACAGGTGGAAGCTTAAGATAGCGACAAATGGAGTTGCATCGATGCGATGAGAGGAATTTCTGGAAGCCTAACACTCCAAGATTGCCTTTGCCAAAGTCGTGTCCGTTGAGTGTATGGATTTGCGGGTCTGTATATAAATCACCTACGCCTTGAATGTCCACGGCGAGCAACTCATGATTCGAGGCCTCGTATGTGAAGTGCGAAAAGGCCTGTGGTGTGTTACGCTCGTCATCGCTTACGGAACCAAAGTTGTTGTTGTGTTTGCGGTACTCGCCTGGGATGTAGGCCTCCACAGCGCAAAGTGCACCATCTCGTTCGGGGAGCTCTAACACCCATGCAGGGATAAACCCAACACGTTTTGGCGGTGTGTATGAGTTGTACACTTGAGCATAGTGTGCGCAGTGGGCCTGCAGCTCTATATCCTTGAAGTATGTCTGTGGGTCTTCATCTGGGTCAATAGCGAGTTTTGCCACATAGCTGCCTGTGTAGCAGCCATTATTGGACAAGCTAGCCGAGCCCTCCGCGCTCAGGTCTTGTAAGTGGTATACAATCCGCAGACTTCCTTTGCTAAAAGGTGTTTCGTCCAGATTGATGTACACCTTCACGCTGCTCCACTGGCGAGTGGCATAGTTAAACACATGCTTAACTGCCAGCTCCGGGCTCATTTCACGAAAGTCAGGAGCGTGCGGCACGATCAATGGCAAGCCTGCCAGGACATAAAAGAAAGATAAATACAGCACAGCGCTCCCTTGAGTCAATTTTTTTTCTCATTTATAGCACCAAGTTAAAGCTGAGTGTCATGCACAATCTGCGCACCTTTACTTCGTTGAAACGACATACGTCTCCTTTGTGTGACTGTATCTTGCATACTTGACGTAGGTTCGAATGTCGAGAACGTAAGTTCATCTACAATAGCTCCTTTTCGTCTGCTTAGTCCCAAGAACAGTCCTCGTCAAGACCTAGATCCTACCCATAAACCCTGCATTTTGGTTGCCAAAAAAATAACGCACCGTTCATACTCATCCTCTGTAATAAACCCATCGTCACAGAGCGCTTTCAGCGTTGATATCCTGGCTAAGATGCTGTCCTGTAAGTTGCCTGCGATCTCTCGCGTCTCGCCACTCCAGCCATACTGGTGTGATACGTCACTATCGCTTACGTCCTGTGTCTCCTGCTCGCCCGCCTCTTGATAAACCAGCTTGACGCCGCGTTTTTCTATGTCTGTTGAAGCTACAACCGTGTGGTAAAGCCAGTTATCGTCCTCCTCGATGCGCACTTCCGCCGTCTGCTGACCGCCGCATGACGCACAACGTGGCGGTGCTGACGTTCGTGTTGTCATGTGAAATTAATAAAAGATTGGAAAAGGTGGTGGAAGTAGAGAAATGAATGCAATCAACGTCAGAAATAAAAGGAGAGAGGAAGGACACACTGAGATCTCTGCCACACCTCTTCAACAAGAAGATAAAGAGGAGCAGGTCACTTCAACTGAAAAATGACAAAAAATCAGTAATTTGTTTTGTCTAATGTGTTTATGTTATGAATGAAATCGTTTGATTAAACTCGCAAGGTTTTTTTCTTTTCTTACCATTTTGTGACTTAAATAAAGCCATATTGTAGTCATAATGTTATACTTTGTTGTATTGCAATCATACACTACACTACGGAACTTATTTGGACTGATGGTCCATACTTGGCCAACACGTGCTGTATTTGCCAGGAAGTGTACCCGTATCAAGTGCTAGTACTTCTTTTCGACGTAGAGGTGGCCGAGGTTATGACCACCACGCTTAAGAATCGCAGTGGTCAGGGGTGACCTACGGAAGGTCTACCTCATGGCTACGGAGGCGGAGAAGGACCTAGGGTCAAGGACCCCAAGGGACCGACCCATCAGAGAGGTCGACCAGTCCTGAACCTCGACCAAAGATTTTGGACCCGCACGGTGTCGACAACCCCAAGTGCAAGATGTGCCCATTGTGGGTTCAGAAAACATGGAGACTTGAATTGTTGGAGGAGGCTGACTTGCGATCGCTGTGGAAAGAATATTCATCCATCACACCGTTGCAGGTTTGTATGTCGAGGCTGTGGAGAAACTCACGAGGTCGGGAAGTGCCCGATGGAAGAGTTTTATAACTTGATCCTTCAGTGGTACAACCCGACCAAGCACGCTGGGATGTTGCCGGAGAAGGTCGAGCAGATGCTAAATTAGGACGCTCGCCAGGTTTGAATCTGGTACGAGCCGAGCGTTCTGATTGTTGCATTATTTTCATATGTGGAAAATCAGCCCAAGGGAGGAAGGGCATTCAGGATAACTCGATGGGAAATATATCGAAGTTTGAAAGCTACCCTAGGGTCCATGTTGCTTCTTTCAGTGCATCTAGCGATTTCGTCGAGAAAGTGCAGTGATGGAGCTGGACTTACTGCCGGGCGAGTCAAGGGAGCATTGGAAATACCATGCTCTACGAAGTGGTTTGGACAGGCCAAGGCCTCTAGGAAGATTAAAAACGATCGATCTAACTTCTTGTTCGAAATTGGCGCCCGAGATATTTATTTTGGATATCGCCTTTTCCCGTAAGGTATGTTGTCAGATTGACGAAAGTGAGCGCCAAGAATGTGTTGGTATCGGGGAGCCCGTGTATACCACGGAAGGACGCACCCACATCAAGGTCACCCTGAACGGAATTTGGTATTCATCTTCAAGTTGTAAGTGGGCCCGATGGTGGGTCAGGATGCTATTTTAGGCATGGACTTCATGGTCTCAGCCGGTATTCGACTAGACCTGGCGAATGGGCGATGAGGTCCGAGTCCAGTTAGCCGGACGGAGGTTTTTTTATGATAACCGGGTATCAGATGTGAAGTTGGGTCGATACGCGCAGATACAGGCCGGAGGGTACGTACAAGGAAGTGCCTTTAAAAAGTCTGACCTCGCACCAATGGAAGTTGTGGGTCACAAGGGGGAGAACGATGGATCACGACTGTGAACCAAGGGGTAGGAAGTCGGAAGTTACTGAAGGTAACTAATGTCCTGATATTACACGAGGCACCAAGATAGGTATGTGGCTGACGAAGGACCAAGTATCAAGGGCGCAGGGTTTTGTGTCGTTGGGGTCTAGAAGATATGCCGAATGGCTAAACCTGGTGTATGAATCTACCACCGACCAGGTCGACTATCAGGAGGACCTAACGGGGAAGGATGAGGGGCCATTGGCGGAGGTACCACAGTACAGTACTCCATCTAAAATACTACAGCGACCAAGGGTATATGCTACAGTAATGCCTATGGCATTGCAGCCAAAGGTCGATCAGGTTGACCCTCAGATTGACCAGGTAGACCCTCAAGTCGATCAGGTAGACCCTCAAGTCGATCAGGTAGATCCCGTTAATCAAGTGCAGAGGGCGGCTGTGATGAAGCGATTCAAGAACTGGTAGGTCAGAGGACCGGTTGGTCAAAGAGAAAATAACGACTACGATCAGAACCAAAAATCATTGTTTGATCTTGTAAATCACATTCAGAAGCTTGATCACAAATAGGGCAATCTAATGGATGATTAATTAAAATAAATTCTAAAACACTTTCTCTTGCTTTTTGAACTAAAGGTGTATTTGTAAATATTTTCATATTTGGCATTAAAGGCATAGCACATGAAGCTACTGGTTTTGGAGAATTTTCAATTTCAACTAAACACATTCTACAATTACCTGCAATTTGTAAATTTTCTTGAAAACAAAATTTTGGTATTTCAATTTTAAAATTATTACAAGCTTGTAATACTGTTAAATTTTTATTAACTTTTAATTTTATATTGTTAATATATATTTCAATCATATTTTTTGAATAAATTAGGACTTGACAAGGAGGGGCGACCGTTGGGTAAGGGACAGAAAGACGTGGCGCTAAAGGGAACAGTAACTACCTTTGGATGAGAAGAATGTATGGTCAAAGCGAGTTAATTAGACGCCATTCAGAGGAGTTAATCGCGATTAGCCCGATGACCCGCAATTCCTTGAGGTGGACCCCGGTCCTTCAAGGTCGACCCTAGTCTATCACTGGTAGACCTAGGCCTTTCATAAAGGTAGAACTTGGCTCTTCGGTCGGTGGATTCTCGGTTTCGATTCCTAAAGGTCGACCTTAGTCCTTTATCAATGGACCTTGGTCCTTAGCCGATAGACCTTTGCCCTAAGGTCGATGGAATCTCGGCTCTTCGGTCCCTGGATTCCCCTCAGTCGATATACCCTAGCCAAGCAGAATCAAGAATCAAGTCTCGGGGGTTAAGATAGATTGACGGAGTTAAAAGATAGGACCATATTAATTACTACTCAATTCGCGATCTACATAGCACGCTTCCGTCGTGCTCTCAAGGTACCTACTAAGTCTACCCACCTATTGCGGGAAGGGATACATTTTGACCCCCGTCGAATACAGTTGTGTGGTAAGACCCAAGTGCGAATAGAGCACCAGGATATATTTTGGCCTGTGGGTTCGTCTGAGTAGCACCCCTCAATCGACCCGCTATCGGAAGCGGTCTTCCTACCCCCTAGTGGTTCGGGAGCAAGTAAAGGCCAGGCGGTTAACACCCCTGAGATATCAAGGAAAAGGAAGGAAAAGGCCAGGGTTGAGGATCTCCCCTGAAGAATTTGGTTATAAGTCCACCCTCGACCCAGTCGACCGAGTGGCCACCTACTCGCTTACCGAGTAAAGTATATCCACTCGAGGCACCCCAAGGTCGACCCCTCTCAAGGCCGACATCACATCTCAATCAAGCCCTCCAAGGAGTGCAACCCGCCAGCCGACGGGTATACAAGGTGAGAGAAGGTCTATACGCGGCATCAGGATAGCCCCTCCGACAGTCGGCAGTCCGACACAGTGAGTGGCTTGGGGTCTCATCACGCAGTTTTGAGAACCTACTCCACCACAATGGTGCGCGTGCCTGAATCTTCGGAAGACACAAGATATCACCGCAGATCCCAAGAAGATGAAGATGTTCAAGCAAAGATGGAGCGAATGGTCACTGGAAGACCGATCGCCAGTGACTACACAAAAAACAACAAAGGATAGAAGGACTGACCGGACGTTAGGAAGGGCCCAGTCAACATGGTCAAGGCTGAACTTATTGAAAAGAAACCAAAATACCCTCTCTACGTCTCGTCGAGGACACCTTGGGTCATGACTTCCATCATGCCCCAGAGGACAATCAGTCGAAGGTGAAAACTGATAGACTATTGTACCCAAAAAACTTAGAACATACAAAAACTACAAAAAAGTACGATCGCCATGTCCAAGCTGACCAAGCTCCGGATTAAGGCACCAGGTGGCACCAAGTCGGTAGGCCCTCGACCTCAGGACCTTTGACCTGGTCGGATGCCGACGTGACCATGGCCTACCATCGACTCAAGCTTGACGCGTTCTTGGAGAGCGGTCCCGTCACCAAAGCACTCAAGATCCGACTGCTGGGTCTGCTGAATGGACCTGTGTCGACCCTTCTCAAGCTGAGGACGGTAACAGACGCGATTACCGCGCTCGTGACCCTTCTTCGCGAGGCGGGTATGGTCGCAGGAAGGTTCGAGCCTGAAGACTTGTTTTCCCTGGGGTTCAACAGTATTAAGACCACGTTAGAGATTCTACACAAACTTCTGGGTATCCTGGTGGGAACAGCCCCAGTACTACTCGACTCACCTTCAGTTACCATTGCAAAAGCACCGTCTGACGACAGCCAGATGACCCTGCAAGACATCGAGGTCCACCCTCGAGAGCAATGGTCGAACGAGGACCCATGGTCCATGCGAGGTCTATCACAGACCACCTTGCCTCAGGGTCCTCAGGTCCCTGCAAAGCAATCCATCGGGCACCTATGCAAGCGCTAATTACGATCCTTAATTTGACCATTCGAAATCTACTAGTTGCTACACCTAATCAGCTTGCAATATCTACTCTTCGTCTATCAGATCATAACTGACATTGACCAATTAAATCATTGCCGTACTTAAGGAAATTTATGCAATCCTATTCCAAAAATTTGTCCGACTCTTCACCACAGCATTTTATTTAGGTGATTCACAGATGCATATGGATAGGTTTTATGCATGTGTGTTAGGGGATGAGATTGCCTGTACAAGACATAAACAAATGATAAACCAGCCAGTAACGCAAGCATGCACACTAGCACAATAAGTAATTCACTTCTTTGTTTCCTGCTCAACAATAAGCCATCTTCAAATTCCTCACAAAAACTGTGCCTGACAACTGACAACCTAAATCTAAAACCCAACTACACCGGTCACGCGTATTGACGGCAGCACAGATCGTTGCAACTTAATCCAGGCTTATGGAAGCAAGCGCAAACT